CACACAGACAGATGGGCCACAAACACACAGACAGATGGGCCACAAACACACAGACAGATGGGCCACAAATACACAGACAGAAGGGCCACATACACACAGACGCATTTCTATATTAGCTCAGTTTCTCTTTCACCCTCTACATTGATCTTTGTTATTTCATAAAGACTAGATTCAGAAGTACCTTTAAATGCTAAAGTTAATATAAAAACAATTTAATGCCAAATTGTTGTATCTGAATGAAGCCCTCACCCCAACTAACCCCGCTTTTCACAACTCCTCTGATAAGAGAGTCATGTATTTTGTCCAGGATTGAGCCAATATCAGTACTATGACAACCTACCACCCCTACACATATTAGTCAAACCTGAACACGTGACATGAATAGTGGTGTCCATGATAAGAAACAGGAGTGGAATTATTTGATTTGAAGGAACACGGAATTGATCAGTTTGCACCGCAAGATAAAGAGCACAATTAGGTCTCAGAATTTAAGTACATGATAACGATTGCAGATATAAGACAGCAGACTTGTGGCAACGTTTAGCCTATCCTAGTATAGTCCAAACTACAGCAGACTTGGGGCAACGTTTAGCCTATCCTAGTATAGTCCAAACTACAGCAGACTTGGGGCAACGTTTAGCCTATCCTAGTATAATCCTAACTACAGTAGACTTCGGGAAACGTTTAGCCTATCCTAGTATAATCCAAACTACAGTAGACTTCGGGAAACGTTTAGCCTATCCTAGTATAATCCAAACTACAGTAGACTTCGGGAAACGTTTAGCCTATCCTAGTATAATCCAAACTACAGCAGACTTGGGGCAACGTTTAGCCTATAATCCAAACTTCATCCTGTTTTCCATTACAGTAGATTTTTACTCAAAATGTGACCTGCTAATGTCTGGGTTATAAAGAACACGTCTCCCCAATCAGTGAAGGAATCAGTTCAAGGACAGTCAGACTTGTACGTTTTTATATTCCTAGAACTGCTTGTAAAGGCACAAGTTCCAGGATAGACATGTTTGTACAGACACAAGTTCCAGGATAGACATTCTTGTACCGCACAAGTTCCAGGATAGACATGCTTGTACAGGCACAAGTTCCAGGATAGACATGTTTGTACAGACACAAGTTCCAGGATAGACATTCTTGTACCGCACAAGTTCCAGGATAGACATGTTTGTACAGACACAAGTTCCAGGATAGACATGTTTGTACAGGCACAAGTTCCAGGATAGACATGCTTGTACCGGCACAAGTTCCAGGATAGACATGCTTGTACCGGCACAAGTTCCAGGATAGACATGGTTGTACAGGCACAAGTTCCAGGATAGACATGGTTGTACAGGCACAAGTTCCAGGATAGACATGCTTGTACCGGCACAAGTTCCAGGATAGACATGTTTGTACAAGCACAAGTTCCAGGATAGACATGTTTGTACAGGCACAAGTTCCAGGATAGACATGTTTGTACAAGCTGTTGTGTTTTTAGGCTGTGATATCCGTTGGCATAGACGCTAAAGCTATGATGTCGTGGGATGAAACTAATCACCACGATCTTGACCTTTTCTAAATTTGACCAACAAAAACCCACAACAAAATGTTGTGCCATTGCGCGTGCCAGCGACTGTTTATTACGCGGCTCGCGTGGTCAGACAGTATGTGTAAGACAGTATGTGTAAGACATCCTTATCGTCCTTAAGTGCTGTACTTGACACGAACATAGCACGACAGATTCAGCCATTGTTGCTGTTCTACACGGCAGATGTACTGACAGTGTCACTGACAAACTTTTGCCGTGAAAAAGATTAAGGTAAATTGGATTTAAAACTTAAGACCCATGTTTAACATGACTTGCTCTTTTTAATTAGGACATCTGATGATTGTCTAGATTAAAGACGTTTTGATGTATTACGTTTTTTTACTCAGTTTTCAACACATTTATTTAGACTACAAACCAGCCAATAAGCTTCAGACATTTATTGATTTAAAAGAATAGAGTTCTAGAAAAACACATTTTTACTTTCTCGTATTGGAATCGTGCAAAAAAAAATTATATGAAGTTTTACACCTCCCTTTTGTATCGTATACGGAATATAAAATTTGTAATCATGCAAAAATCGAAATCTGGATTTTGACAAATTTTGAGGTTTTATAACCTTCCAAGCCGGAAAAAAACTTTATTTTTCAAACCCGGCTGTCTGCGTGTATCTGTGTGTGTGTGTGTCTGTAAACACGATAACATGAGTACCGTTTCACTTATGTTGACCAAATATCATATATAAGTATTATGTCAAATTTGCAGTTTTCTATCGACTTGTGAGCGATTTCCAGTAACTGTAAGTGGTACGTACTCTACTTCCGATCTCTTACAGGTCAATAACTTAAGTATCATTATGAGCAGTGTTTCTTCCAGACTTTTTTCTCCGAGGGGGCACTTGGGGGGGGGGGGGTAGACTTTCTTCGGGGGGGGGGGGCGGACACTGTAAAAAGTATATATTTTCTATTTAAAATATATAAATTTCATTTCGTCCAGGGGGGCGGTAAAACAATTTCGGGGGGGGGGGGGGGGGGCTTTGCCTCCCCCCCCTACCCGAAGAGATGCCAGGAAGAAACTCTGATTATGAGATTGCATGCGCAGGTTTCTGCCAATTTCTGAACGATTTCCGGTAATCGGAAATGGTGCGCAATTCTTTATTTCTGCGCGATTCTCTTCTGTTAAAAAATGAGTTTTAAAAAAGTAATAAAAAAACATTTTTATAGCGCTGAAGCGCCATCCACCACTTATATAAGAATATAATTATGATAATTTTAGGGGGGATAACTCCCGTTTTATTATTATTAGCATTTATTTAACTAACTTTATTGTACTTGTGTCGTGCTTAGTGCGCCATAGCTTCGTCATGGATTGAAACTGGAGAGCGAATATAAACACTTTATAACGGACCGATTTGTTTCTAACTTAGCACGTGGGCCAAGACCCAATGGCAATGCAATCTGACATCAAATTTGACTTAATTGGATGCTTAATTAACCTTTTATGAAGAAGGATTCCAATTATAAAGGTCTATTTTCCGCGATATTTTCCGCAGTTCTATTGTATTAAAAAATTTTAAGTACTGAAAAATGCATAAATAAAGCGGGACTGATCAACCCTAAATTATCTCGAATATTCTTATATAACACTGCCGGGATGGTAACTCCGGATAAAGACATGAATTTTAATCTTACTAAATCAGACCCCGCCGTTCAATTGTGTTTCCGTGTTTAAATCATGTGTTCGTGTTTAAATAGCGTGTCCGTGTATAGGTCATGTGTCCGTGTTTAAAAATTAGTGTTCTCTTTAGGTCATGTGTCAATATGAGTCGTGTGCCTGTATTTAGGCTATGTGTCTGTGTTTAAGTCATTTGTCTATGTTGAGGTTGTGTGTCAATGTTTACACACCAGCGGTGCAGCGGCCATTAATGCGGGGATTGATTGAAGAGCTGATACAACTCAACACAACAAACAATCAGTCCCGGTCTAAACATATCTGAACCACTGCAACTAATCAATATTGGCCACGAAATCTTCAAATGTCATCGGTTGACTTTCATGTGTGACACATGACAGTGACATCACACTGACGATTTATAATACATGATATCAGATATCAATGGCACACCATTAATGACACATGGAAATGACACATAATGACACATCATTGTGGCACACGTTTAATACCGTTTGTGTTATGTCACTCGATTGAACCCATCGTTTAGTATCATAGCTCTTGTGACGTGGGGTGACGTTGTCATATGTTTACCTAGTTATTTTTCTAACAACATTATTCTCTATTTATTTGTCAGCTGAAAGCTAACTTTTATTATTTATAATTAAAATATTAATCGTTAGGGCCTATACTTCATTGATGCTGTTTTGTCCCATTCAATAGGTTTGAGAATAATTTTAATGAATCAACTGGTTTAATGAATAGAAATGTTAAATTTAAGAATAAACTGTTAAAACGAATATTGCAACCACAGTAGCATACTCTTGCTTGTTGATTTTGGTCCAATTGACGGCTATCAATACGCACCGTGCCATTTTTAGACCAGCTTTGTCAGCAACAAAATTATCAAAGGGAAGCTACTCCGACGTGGATTTTCAATTAGCATAAAACACAAAACTTTTCACTGTAGCGATTTCTGTCACGTTTCTACTGTGGCGTAATAATCGAATGAATGGAATATTATTAGCGCGTCTGTGCATGAATGGTGTGTCAGCACGTTATGGGAGATTTGTTTGAACTAAATTAAAGGGAAATTTATCGTGTTGGGCAAATGGGTAGCTTAACAGTTTAGCTGACATTGTCACGTTATGTTGTTTGTTGTAGTGCGGTCTTGTAAAACGATGTCCGATCTTGCAGGGTGGTGTTGAAGGATGACGGATATTGTTGGACAAAAGGGCGGGGGGCGGGGTGATGGAGGGGAAGAGCGCACGAGTGCTAACCAGAAAGTCTGGGGTTCGGACCTCCGGACTGAAGAGGCTCGGGATCTGGAACAACATTCCAACTAGACCAATTCCGCCTTGTAGATGTTCGGGTTAAACTAAGGCAATGGAGGCACATCCATGAAGCAAAGCAGGCCGTAGTTCGAGTCGCGGTCACGTGACGTATAACATGCACACACGTTAACTTAATTGTGTAGGAGGAGATTCTCTCCGATAATACAATTAAGGACAATTAAGGACAATGAAGAAGAAATTGGTTAATGGATGTTGTGGGAGGAAGTTGTATGTAGTGAAATGTTTTGTATATGACCGAGTTGTGTTGCATGTTGTGAAACGATTTTATAGAGCGGAGTTGCAAGTTGTAAAATGATGCTGTAGAACAGAGTTGCTTGTTGTAAAACAATATTGAATGTTGCAGGTCAATAACTATTGTAACTTTTAGTCATTTAAAGTCTAAGCTCTTTTTACACTTCCATAATTTTCTAAAAAAAAACAACTTTTTTTTTCAGAAGCGGAATATTTTCTTGAGTCACGCGAACAAGGAAGATAAAAACAGCCCAAGTGGACTTACAGATTGAAGACAATGCTCCAGATTTGAACTGTTAAAATAAGATACAAGTGACCAGTGCTAACGTTCGACACCATCCTCTACCATGGGTCTGCTGGATGTCGTAGACCTAAACTTTATTATCCTGGTCAGATTGGCCGCGTACAGTGTACTGGTATTCTTTAGTTTCTTCATCTTTGTCGGCGTGGCTGTCATGAAGGTTGGTCTTCACGTTTTAATAACCTCCATTTTTAAAATGATTACCTAGTAATAATTTTAATGGGTCAGAACAAAAACTCAAAAAGTTAAATAACTAATTGAAATTGTCAATCAGTGATAGTCACTGATGTTATAGTTGTTTAAAGTTGAACTTGTCAGGTTGGAAAATTGGAAAATAGAGCAACAGCACGCACTATCGTTTAACGTTATCTCAACATTTTCCTCTCATATTTGTGTTATAGTTCTATCGATGTATTTAATAACCATGGTCGAATATCAGAAGCTTCTCGTCTAAAGCTAATTTCGCATAATCTAAAAAAAACGTGAAAAGGTAGTGTTTCCCATTCATTTGGCAGATCTAAAAAGGAAGGGGTGTGGGCATAATTTTTCTATATTAAAAATCTTATGACGTGATGTGTGGTTTCCTGACAAAGGAAAGTAGACAAAAACTACTAATATGTATGCATTTTTCTCCTTTACCAAAACAAAATATTGATAGCAGAGCCATAATAGAAGGAATGTATTGAAGTGTCATCCTCATCCTGTGTGGAGTAATCCCCCCATGTTATTGTCTTGTCTGCTGTTTTACTGCCAATTGCTCTAGTTGATGGATTTTACATGTTTGTTTTTCAGGATAACGTTGGTGGATTTTGTCCTCTATACCATCCAGGTCCTGTATCAAACTGCAACTACGCCATGGCTATTGCAATCATTTTTCAACTGTTTTACACGTTGTATCAGATTGTTGTTTTGCTGCTTTTGAAATTTGGAAAATTCACAACTGAGTAGGTTCTGTTTTTTTATTTTTACCCATGTTTATGTTTGAACTACAATTTACAAAGTAATTGTATAAAGCAATTTTTATTGAAATCTGAATATTTTGTTTTTCCCAGAATGTTTTTGTTTTCCAATGTGATGGAGCTTGTTTACTTCTGCATTGATGTTGTTGCCTTCATACTCACCTTCATTGCTGCCTGCATCCTCTCAGCTGGCCACAATGACACCTGTGGTGGGAGGTAATGTGTGTGGTTGTCAGTGTTTCTTCCAGACTTTTTTCTCCGGTAGGAGAAGGGGGGGGGGCACTAAAATTTTTCGGGGGGGGGGGGGGGGGGGCTAAATTTTTTGGGGGGATGGGGACACTGTTAAAAGTATATATTTTTCTATATAAATTCCATTTTGTCCGGGGGGGGGGGGCGGGGACGGGGAAGAACTGGTGGTTGTAATTGTTGCCATGGGAGGTTATGTTGTGTGCCTGTACATGTGTGTGTGAGGAGTATGTGTGTACATTTTTTAAATCTAAACACAGTTGTAGTCAAAGATAATGTTACGAACATGTGTTTATACAGTAACCATGTGTGGGTATAGTGTGGGTGCCAGTTCATGATATATTGTAGTTAGAGATTTACATGTAGCCTGCATACTATAAAGGAAATTTCTTGAATTTCTGACAAATTCATTTCTTTCAGATATTCCTGTGAAAAGTTTGAAAGTGCCTCTAGGGCTGCTCAGGTAAATATTTTGCATGCCATAAAATATTTGATTAGTGTAACATTTGTTTCAATGTGTTACAGAGTACAAAAAAAGTTAGTAAAGTGTTTTTGAGTGTAAGGCAGGCTTCAGCTGGCTCGGATCAAAACAAACAATCTATTTTTTTGTCCAGTCCATGTTTTGTAGTTTTTAAAATTATGTAGCTAAATGAGCATTAACCACTGCAGTTTTAAAAAAAAATATTATTATAATGTTTAACCACTATGTTAAATATTTTAATGTCTGTTAGTCCTCTGTTATTTTTTTTAATTGATTAGTTTTCCATTTTATTACACTAGCATTTTTTGTATGTCTACCAAGAAAATTTGAGAGATCATTTAATATATTATTATTAAAAATAAAATAATTGTATCATCATAAAATGTAAGAAGTCTTTTTAAAATTCATATAGATGGTAACACTGAGCATTATACCACATAACCAGACACTGCACAACACAAGACGCCAGACCGCACCGGGTGACACCATTTTGGGGTGACACTACGACAAAAAAAATTAAAATTTATAGAAGAAATATGCTTTTTGCAAGTTTAATGAATGATTAATTAGAGTTAAGAAGTATTTTAAGTACAAATAGATGATCCCAACAAAGTGGTGGTGGGGGTGGGGTGGGTAGGGTGGGGGGGGACGACACCTTGACACAATCCTGTTAACTATATAGAAAATGTTAGATCCAACTTATTAATAACTGTTTATAGATAAACATCTTTAATCAATGTAGTTTCTCAGTCAGATAATCTCAGATGAGGAGAAAATTAATTTTCCCTATTTCAGGCTGGAGGCTGGATCAGCACGATACTTTGGCTGGTACTTTGTATCCTGGTGTTGCTCTATATGCTGAGGTCTGGCAAGATTCCTTTCATTACTGTAAGGGCCACAACCACCACCACAACAACCACCAGCCAATCAGGTGGAGCCTTCCCTGCGGAAACATCACCAAATAATCCAGAGGAGCCTCGATATTAGTTGACTGAAACATCACCAAAAATCCAGAGGAGCCTAGATATTAGTTGACTGAAACATCACCAAAAATCCAGAGAGCCTAGATATTAGTTGACTGAAACATCACCAAAAATCCAGAGGAGCCTAGATATTAGTTGACTGAAACATCACCAAAAATCCAGAGAGCCTAGATATTAGTTGACTGAAACATCACCAAAAATCTAGGAGCCTAGATATTAGTTGTCAACTTATTTTTCTTAATTGTAATTGGAGTATGTAGGTTTTAAAATGTATTGCCTTAAGGGACATAATTCAACATTAATTCAATGAAAGATATTTTATTTATTTACTTGAAGATAAATTGAAGCTCATAATATTTATTTATAAGATCCTGAGAATTTTTTAAAATACTTTTTTTTCTATAGCAACAAATGTGTATACAATTCATTAAATAAATAGAAGTCATTTTTGATGAATCTTTTGGAAAGATAAAATAACTGCTGTATCTAATATATGTTAAATACTATATGTAATATTTGTTTTCTACAAAACATGTAAAAATCATTCCAACATTAATATTGTATAACTACCTTTAAATATTAAAACTGTTTAATGTGCCTTAGAATAACTGAATAATTAAGGAACTTATTTATTCACCTGGGTGTTCTGCTATGGTCTGATTTATAAGTGTATGAAGCCAGCGTGGTTTTGTTTTAGATCAATATTTAGGGTGTTAGAAATAGTGCAGGGAGTCTTTCAAGTGATTGTCTAGGGCAGACATTTTTCTGATTGTCTTATGGCATTCTCTTTCTGTGTGTAGATTTTATATGACTTATATTGTATTTAGAATTTGGTCGAATCAAAGTTTATTTTTTGTATGTGAGTGTTTTTGTTGAGTGATTAACTTTTGAACTGTAGTTCTAGAAAAACAAGACTCTAGGTTTGTTTGTAACCTTCGGCTACAGCCATCACTACCCAACCATCATAACTCTACCGCAGCCATCACTACCCAACCATCATAACTCTACCCACAGCCATCACTACCCAACCATCATAACTCTACCCACAGCCATCACTACCCAACCATCATAACTCTACCCACAGCCATCACTACCCAACCATCATAACTCTACCACCAGCCAAGGAATAAATAAACAGCTCACATTTCAATACACCAAGCTGTTTGGGGAGGGTTGGTCAATATGTTACAAGGTACAAAGAAGTTAGTAATGTCTTTGTGAATGTAAGGCAGGCTTCAACTGGCTCAGATCAAAACAAGCAATCTATTTTTTTCCAGTCCATGTTTTGTATTTTTTAAAATTATATAGCCAAATGAGCATTAACCACTGAAGTTTTTTAAAAATATATTATGTCTAACAACTATGGTAAATATCTTAATGTCTGTTAGTCCTCTGTTATTTTTTTTAATTGATTAGTTTTCCATTTTATTATACTAGCATTTTTGTATGTCTACATAGAAAATTTGAGAGATGATTTAATATATTATTAATAAAAATAAAATAATTGTATCATCATAAAATGTAAGAAGTCTTTTTAAAATTCATATTGATGGTAATACTGAGCATTATACCACATAACCAGACACTGCACAACACAAGACGCCAAACCGCACCGGGTGACACCATTTTGGGGGTGACACCAAGACAAATAAAAAAAGCAAAATATAGAGGAAATATGCTTTTAAGTTTAATGAATGATTAATTAGAGTTTAATATTTTAAGTACAAATAGATGATCCCAACAGGGTGATGGGAGGGGAGGGTTGACACCATGACACAAAACTGCTAACTAATAGAAAAGAATATTTTACCCAACTTATTAATGACCGATTTTATATATATATATATATATATATATATATATATATATATATATATATATATATATATATATATATATATATATATATATATATATATATATACACATATATACATATATATATATATATATACATATATACATATATATATACATACATATATACATATATACATATATATATATATATATATATATATACATATATATACATATATATATATATATATATACATATATACATATATACATATATACATATATACATATATATATATATATATATATATATATATATATATATATATATATATATATATATATATATATATATATATACATATATACATATATACATATATATATATATATATATATATATATATATATATATATATATATATATATATATACATATATACATATATACATACATATATATATATATATATATATATATATATATATATATATATATACATATATACATATATATATATATATATATATATATATATATATATATATATATATATATATATATATATATATATATATATATATATATATATATATATATATATAAAAAATTATATCTATCACACAGAAACTATATGAAGACTCCACCAGTCAGGTAATACACAAGGGAAAACTAACAAAACCATTCAGGGTGACGACGGGAGTAAGACAGGGACGTATGCTATCGCCAATGATATTCTTGATGGTGATCGACTGGATCATGCTGAGGGCCACAAAAAACGACACAGGAATCCAGTGGAGTTTCACAAAAAGGTTGGAGGATCTTGATTTTGCCGATGACATCTGCCTACTATCTCATAAGTATCAACACACGCAAGCCAAACTAAATCGGCTGTCTGAAGAAGCCTCCAAAATTGGACTAAAAATCAATAAAAACAAAACAGAGGTCATCAGAATCAATAACAACCAGGACCTGCCGATACAGCTAAATGGAGAAGATTTACGAGAAACAAACACATTCACATATCTGGGAAGCGTGATCAATAAGGACGGGGGAGCAGACGAGGACATAAAATGCCGTATCAACAAGGCTAGATGTGCCTTCAACTCGCTGCGCCCAATGTGGAGGTCCACGGCCCTGTCACTCCGGAGCAAAATTGGGATTTTCAACACAAATGTTAAGGCAGTGCTACTCTATGGCTCGGAGACCTGGAGGGTTACGAAGACAAATACTGATAGGCCACAGGCGTTCGTAAACAAATGCCTACGTCATATACTCAAAATAAGATGGCCAGACAAAATAACAAAGACCTGTGGCAAATTTTAAAGCAACAGCCAATAGAGAAAGATATTAAGGCCCGAAAATGGGGATGGATCGGACACACGTTAAGAAAAGAAAAAGAAAACGTCGCAAAACAGGCATTGGTCTGGAATCCCCAGGGGAAAAGGAGGGTGGGCCGGCCAAAGAAAACATGGAAGAGAACGGTTGAGGAAGAGGCAAAAACAGCTGGGCTCTCATGGGCACAGATCAGAGGAGCAGCTCAAAACCGAGTTCGCTGGAGATGTGTATTTGCAGCCCTTTGCTTCCCAGGGGCCATAAAGGAGTGATGATATATATATATATATATATATATATATATATATATATATATATATATATATATATATAAATAAAATCGGTCATTAATAAGTTGGGTAGAATATATATATATATATATATATATATATATATATATATATATATATAGAGAGAGAGAGAGAGAGAGAGAGTTTAGTATATACTGAGTACTATAACAGATCAATTCGGTATTTGTCTTCTACTGAGTGCTACAACAGATAAATTTGGTCATCGTCTTCTACTGAGTGCTACAATACAATTAAAGCGCAATAAACTGGAACTGAAATAGTCAACGAAATCAATCTGGAGTAAAGGCAAGCCCTATTTGGGCATTATTACTCGGAGTTTGGAGATAAGAAACTCAGACGTCAGTCTATTCTCTAGACAACCACAGAAAAAAAAATCGCACCAGTAGCGTAGCAATAACAAATAACTGAGCACAGGACAATCTGCAGTGTAGCACTAGTGTAGCACACTGGTGTGTAGCTGTGTTGGAGCTGAGGTTTCTAGCGCTGGACGTAGGTTATAGGTTCATTTCATTTGTTAATTCTATTAAAATCGAATAACACATTTTTAATTTAAATACATCCAAACGCTGGTAGCATGGTAGACATATTTAAGCAGTGTTTTATATTCATGCGTCCCTAACTTAGAAGGGGAGATAATTCAATAGAACATGATATAAATTAATAGTAAAGCAAACATTCAGAGCGTTTAAAACTGGTCAACGAGTAAATTGTAGAGGATATTGCACATCCTACGGTTCTCGGCCAAAAGAACTTATGCTATGACTGTTTAAATTTAACGACGACTTTGCCATACTAGAAGGCCATAGGGTGTCGTCATGAAGTGCTTATCCGCGTGAACAAGTCAAACATTTTTTCAAATAAATTCAAACCAGTTTGGATGCGAATAATAATTTACCGTATAATCCTTAACACAGCTCGTATGCAATAGCTACTTTGTCTATAGATCCATGTTAATCTTGTATGTTTTCTTGTTAAATTAAATTCAACATTAGCCTGCCAATAAAATAAACGCACATACAATACCATTTAGCTCAGGAAGATAGCAGCTAGCGTGTTTCTGTGTATTGTTCACAAGAACGATAACTCGCGACTAGAGTACTTTGGGCCGTGCTGGGAATACCCTGTACAAAAGTTTATCTCAGAAAGTTTTTTTTTATCTCTGTGTTATTAGACCCGTGGGTGTGCCTCGGTCACACGTCTGTCGCCGACCGGTAACAAAGATCATTCTCTTGTCGTCTGGTGATGTGACCACAACCAGCAGCAGACGGCCAGGCGGTCAAGATGGCGATCTCAGAGAAACTCACAGCGACGGTACTCACGCGGATACGCATGGGCCTTTACGGAACGCTGGTCTTCTTCAGTTTCTTTACGTTAGGTGGAGTTGCTAATATGATGGTAAGTTGGGTCTTCTTTAGTTTCTTTACGTTAGGTGGAGTTGCTAACATGATGGTAAGTTTGGTCTTCAGTTTCTTTATGTTAGGTGGAGTTGCTAACATGATTGTAAGCTTGGTCTACAGTTTCTTTACGTTAGGTGGAGTTGCTAACATGATGGTAAGTTTGGTCTTCTTCAGTTTCTTTACGTTAGGTGGTGTTGCTAACATGATGGTAAGTTTGGTCTTCTACAGTTTCTTTACGTTAGGTGGTGTTGCTAACATGATGGTAAGTTTGGTCTTCTTCAGTTTCTTTACGTTAGGTGGTGTTGCTAACATGATGGTAAGTTTGGTCTTCTTCAGTTTCTTTACGTTAGGTGGTGTTGCTAACATGATGGTAAGTTTGGTCTTCTACAGTTTCTTTACGTTAGGTGGAGTTGCTAACATGATGGTAAGTTTGGTCTTCTTCAGTTTCTTTACGTTAGGTGGTGTTGCTAACATGATGGTAAGTTTGGTCTTCTACAGTTTCTTTACGTTAGGTGGAGTTGCTAACATGATGGTAAGTTTGGTCTTCTTCAGTTTCTTTACGTTAGGTGGTGTTGCTAACATGATGGTAAGTTTGGTCTTCTTCAGTTTCTTTACGTTAGGTGGTGTTGCTAACATGATGGTAAGTTTGGTCTTCTACAGTTTCTTTACGTTAGGTGGAGTTGCTAACATGATGGTAAGTTTGGTCTTCAGTTTCTTTACGTTAGGTGGTGTTGCTAACATGATGGTAAGTTTGGTCTTCTTCAGTTTCTTTACGTTAGGTGGAGTTGCTAACATGATGGTAAGTTTGGTCTTATTCAGTTTCTTTACGTTAGGTGGAGTTGCTAACATGATGGTAAGTTGGGTCTTGTTCAGTTTCTTTACGTTAGGTGGAGTTGTCAACATGATGGTAAGTTTGGTCTACAGTTTCTTTACGTTAGGTGGAGTTGCTAACATGATGGTAAGCTTGGTCTTCAGTTTCTTTACGTTAGGTGGAGTTGCTAACATGATTGTAAGTTTGGTCTTATTCAGTTTCTTTATGTTAGGTGGAGTTGCTAACATGATGGTAAGTTGGGTCTTATTCAGTTTCTTTATGTTAGGTGGAGTTGCTAACATGATGGTAAGTTGGGTCTTGTTCAGTTTCTTTACGTTAGGTGGAGTTGCTAACATTAGTAACATGATGGTAAGTTTGGTCTTCAGTTTCTTTACGTTAGGTGGAGTTGCTAACATGATGGTAAGTTTGGTCTTCTACAGTTTCTTTATGTTAGGTGGAGTTGCTAACATGATGGTAAGTTTGGTCTTCTACAGTTTCTTTACGTTAGGTGGAGTTGTCAACATGATGGTAAGCTTGGTCTTCTTCAGTTTCTTTACGTTAGGTGGAGTTGCCAATATGATGGTAAGTGTGGTCTACAGTTTCTTTACGTTAGGTGGAGTTGTCAACATGATGGTAAGTTTGGTCTTCAGTTTCTTTACGTTAGGTGGAATTGTCAACATGATAGTAAGTTTAGTATTTTTCAGTTTCTTTACATTTGAGGGCTCAGATTTTCATGCATGTTAAAATATAAATGGTAAAACTTGTTTACTTGATGAATATCCCATAATTTTCTGGTTTTATTTAAATACTAAATGACTTTAAGTAATAATCAATGTGCCATAATATGCTGGATTAAATTAATTAATGTGCCAATTTGAATGAATTTTCAGAATAAAAATAATGTGTGTCCGCTGTACGGGGCGGTACATGGAGCTCTGATAACCTTTGACACGGGCGCGTGCACGTATGCACTGGTTGCCTCCATCTTGTTCCAGCTCTGCTACTGCCTCTACAGGTTCATCACCATGGTGCTGTTGCATTTCAGGAAGATCAGCGAAAAGTAGGTCATGGGGGTTTCTTTTAGACATTTTTAGACAATGGTAAAAAATATATATTTTATATTATTAAATATTTTCAATATAAATGTTATATTTTGTTTTGAGGGGGGTGGATATACTCTCACCCCCCCCCCCCTCCCGAGAAATAAACTGTAAGAAGTAAGCATTTGTTATGTTGCAATTATTGTTGAGATCTAGCTGTAGAAATAACAAAGGTCTATGTAGCTAGAACTTGTACAAGTTTAAAACAGTTGAAAAACAACACTTGGATTCAGTAAGAGTATTTTTGAAAAGCATAATCTTTTGTTTTAGCCTTATACAGAATATAGATAGATCTGTCTCTAAATAATTAAGATCTTCAATATAACCCTTAGAGAAATTGAAGAAGAAATAACTGTCTGATCATTTTTTAAATGACATAGTATATTGACACTGTACTTTTATTTGACATATCAAAAGCTGAAATAGATGTAGCCTATTTAAAATTACTTGTGTTTCTGTCATTAAATTAATTGATTTCTCCAGCCACATAATATTTGCCCCAGGAATTCAGCGTCTCTACATTTTACACGAGGTTATAGTTACAATTCTTACCTTTGTCTCTGCATGCATCTTGTCAGCTGGCATTAACTCTTCATGTTCCAATATTACGTAAGCACACATTATAATATGATTAATTCTACATAATGTATTAGACATGTAAAATCATAAAGTATTGACCGACGAAATAACTCTGGCTAATAAGATAACTGTCTAAATTGCTTCCCTTGATTACAGATGCTCACTACAGAATTGGTATTCTGCAGGACAGACTGCTCAGGTAAAAGAGTAGTTAGAGTAGGTTATCTTTTCTTTGTGCGAACTTTAAAGTGTGTAAGCATACAGTTATTTAACTGTGCTGGTTTATTTGACCTGCACAAACTTCACAACCAGGATTTAAGGAACAGCCTGCAGGCACATGTTTTCCAAGTCATTTAGATAAGTTATTTATTGAAAAATATTGCAGATAAACTTTTAATGCTCATTTGATCTTAAGTAGCTCACTGATGTTATGGTTTACTTGATTTTAATTTGTATTCCACAGGCAGGGGCTTGGATAAGCACATTTATTTTTGTAGCTCTGACCACATTTGGTGTGCTGTACCTGCGTGGTGTCAACAGTGAAGCCCCCACACAGGGCGTGTCCTTCACCGCCTCCTCAGGGTATCCTGGAACTGTCATTTCCGGCATTGACTCTAGCCAGCAGGGGGACACTGCCACACATCCTAACCAGGATAATCCCCATCCTAGTCAAGGATCTAGTAAGGATTACCCAATGAATGAGAACCCACAGTTGTATTACCCACAGAATCCTCCAAGATATGAAGATATCTTGAAAACATATTGATACTTCATTAAACAATATTCTTCATGAAAACATATTGATACTTCATTAAACAATATTCTTCATGAAAACATATTGATACTTTACTGAACAATATGCAGGTCAAGTTAACAACCTGTTTTTTTGTTGCCGTTAACATCAAAATAATACAACTCGACATTGATGCCCAAATCCAGTTATGCAGTGATATTGTGTATATTTCATTGGACAAAATCAAATCTTTATGATATTTTAAATTGCAATACAATAATTTATGACTGTAATGGACATATTATGAAACTACTGCAATATATCATGTACATGTCAGATGTAATGTTTTTAAGAACAGAATTTTGCTTTGAAAATATAAAAATGTATGTGTGTATGTATATTTACATGTAAAGAAAGATAAAATTGAGTGAAAAACCATATATTTATTATAACTTCTCTTTTCTATTGTTGTTTTTAACTACAAACATAAGTTTTGTTGGAAGTGTATTTTTTAAATATTTTGTATAGTTTCTAAAATACTGACATTTAGATTTATAGTTTTTTATGTTGATAAGTTGCAGTAAAACCTATTATTTATAGAATAGCAATCACTCAACTATTGTCGTGTGTCTTAACTAAACAATTTTTTTTAATGTATACATTTTATGAAGGTGTTTTAAAAGCGGTATATTAAAAACATCCACAAATAAATTCTCACAATACTTTTCACATTATTGTGGTCATTCTGCATAGTGCCTCGTCTTATGGGAGTTTAACTAGTAAGTGCCAAATATAGCTATGAAAAAGGTTTTTTTTTTATATAATTTTATTTTTAACACAATTTATATGTTAGCCAATATACACATAACAGTTTTATGCTGCAATAGTATTAAATACTCTTTCTCATCAGCACAATAGTGTTTAACAGCTAGTAAAAATAAACAAAATTGAACAATACTGTTTTGTCCTGTATATACATAATTTACATCAGGGGTTTGTTACCCTTATTAAGTACATTTTTGTACATGGAAATTCCTTTTTTTATATGGACCTTGATATATATCATAATATCATTTTACCAAAACATCTTTAATATTTCAAGTCACCACATAGTGTTGACAGTTTTTGACATTTTCATTGATAGAATATCTACATAAAGAATCAACAAAATATCAAGATGCTCAAGTCCATTTTGTGCTAGCCTTAGCCTGCCGATATCTTTACTCGAATAGCCTGGAATATCAAACAATATTTTAATTACTAACCATCAACCATTAACCAAACATAAATACAGAGATCACTAGAATAGCCTGAAATATCAAACAATATTTTAATTACTAACCATCAACCATTAACCAAACATAAATACAGAGATCACTAGAATAGCCTGAAATATCAAACAATATTTTAATTACTAACCATCAACCATTAACCAAACATAAATACAGAGATCACTAGAATAGCCTGAAATATCAAACAATATTTTAATTACTAACCATCAACCATTAACCAAACATAAATACAGAGATCACTAGAATAGCCTGAAATATCAAACAATATTTTAATTACTAACCATCAACCATTAACCAAACATAAATACAGAGATCACTAGAATAGCCTGAAATATCAAACAATATTTTAATTACTAACCATCAACCATTAACCAAACATAAATACAGAGATCACTAGAATAGCCTGAAATATCAAACAATATTTTAATTACTAACCATCCACCATCAACCAAAACTAAATACAGAGATCACTAGAATAGCCTGAAATATCAAACAATATTTTAATTACTAACCATCCACCATCAACCAAACCTAAATACAGAGATCACTAGAATAGCCTGAAATATCAAACAATATTTTAATTACTAACCATCAACCATTAACCAAACATAAATACAGAGATCACTAGAATAGCCTGAAATATCAAACAATATTTTAATTACTAACCATCAACCATTAACCAAACATAAATACAGAGATCACTAGAATAGCCTGAAATATCAAACAATATTTTAATTACTAACCATCCACCATCAACAAAACTAAATACAGAGATCACTAGAATAGCCTGAAATATCAAACAATATTTTAATTACTAACCATCAACCATTAACCAAACATAAATACAGAGATCACTAGAATAGCCTGAAATATCAAACAATATTTTAATTACTAACCATCAACCATTAACCAAACATAAATACAGAGATCACTAGAATAGCCTGAAATATCAAACAATATTTTAATTACTAACCATCCGCTATCAACCAAACCTAAATACAGAGCACTTGTAGAGGCAAAAATGCATATTATAATCTTCATTTTAAAAAAATATCTTGAAACAACCCTTAAACTTAAATGAATGAATTTAAAAACAAGAATTAGAACTTCATTGTTTTTCTTCTAGTCTTCTAGTCACAAGTATTGGTTCTTCTAACCATAACTTTGTTATTAAAAGATGTCAAATACATAAAATACAATACACATTACACTAAAGAAGTGAAATACATAAAATACAACACATGTGAGATTAAAGATACAAATTACATAAACCGACACAAAAGGAATCTGACAGTTTAGTCAGATTCACAATACCAATTTTGGTATTTGAAAGACTGCAGTTATTAGTGTAATTAAAAAAATGTATTTACACTTCAAAGTGGGTTATGTTGACAAAGAAGGCTATGTAACTTTTTGAACCAGTTCCACATGATAAATTAAAACAACTAAACAGCTCATGTTCCACAAAATTGACATATAAAACAAGATATAAAACTAAACTATGTGTACAAAACAACAAAATTGATATAAAATAAAATGTATAACTAAACTATTTGAGTACAAACATCCACAAAACTGATAAAATATAAAACAGCTTTACTCTTACATGGCCACAGAATGGACATTCACCAAAGAGAGTGTTGAAGCTTTGTCTTGCTGACAGGTTTCTTAGCCACTGTAAGGAGAGAAAAAAAAAGATCAATTTACATTCACTCAATCTAGCTTTCCATTTTAGGTGTACATGGGGATTTAACATCAAATAATACCTTTCTTATATTTAAAATTATTTCATAACAATTGATTGAACTTCCTTTATTTGAAAAACAAATTTAAAAAAACAAACAGTTTACCTAAAGATAGAACTAAAAAAAAATATAATGTATTATAATATATTTTAACAAAGGAAGCTATTTTTTGGGTGACACTGAATAAAAGAGAATACAAACATGTCTTACTTCATACAAACATATTCTGTGAATATACAAACATGTCTTACTTCATACAAACATATTCTGTGAATATACAAACATGTCTTACTTCATACAAACATATTCTTTGAAATATAGAACTATGTCTTACTTCATACAAACATATTCTGTGAAAGACATGAGCACATCGCTTGTCCTCACACACTATGTCTGGCGTCTCCTCACCCTGGTAGGGGCAGTAGCAGATCCCACAGTCCACACTCAGCTCCTGGTCAACCATTCAGGTCATTAATGCAAGCAGGATTAGTCATGTGACCAAATGACATCACATTTATTAGTAATTTCTATCTTTTTAAGATATATATATATGTTACAGTATTTGGAGATCTTAAATGTTAAGTTCGACATGAAATAACAAGGCACTAAAGATGTATATGCTGTAATATTTTGAGATCTTAAATAGTGAGATGTTCAACATTTTAGTTATCATGAAACATCGAGGCACTACCTCCTTCTTGGTATCTATATGTGATGGGAACTCCATATCCAGCACTTCTTGGAGATTCTTTAACAGCGACCTCTCAGGGTCCCTGAATGATGTTACAAGTTACAAACAGAAAACAGACATCACACCAGTGTTCACAGTAATGGTATTAGAGCAAATCATTTAACATTGTGTCTACAGCTTTTCAACACACTTAAGTGGAGAGCAGAAGAAACAGCCTACAGTGATGCTGATTCTCATTGACAATGAAGAACTCTAGTCCACTCTCTACATCTAAAATAGTTGTTTTAAATATATTGTTGTAAAATACTTTGTCTTCTGAATATATTTAAAACAGTACAACAGTTGCATTAATGAAGGAAAAACTCACCATCTGTGTAAATTGACATTGAGTTTCTCTCTTAGCTCAGCTGTAGCTGAAATGTGTGACATAGATAACCTCTTTCATTTTCATTGACAACTGAGATATTTAATCAAACATCATGATGTGGTTAAAACAGATACTGCAAATTAAACGTCATGAGATAAGTTTGTACCCGGTGAGAATTGGCAACACTATTTTTATGTCACTTTCTAGTTGCAGATAGGAAAAAAAAACAGTGTAGCTTTCTAGTTGCAGGTAGGCAAATGACAGAAAAAATACATACATGACAGAGCTCCCAGCAAACGACACTCAGGGAATGTGGAAGGTTGGTGACAATTTACAGTTATCTGGATGGAGATGTTGGGGCCTGTCGACAATAAACATCTTTACTTAGAGCAATCCTCCAAATATCAACATCTTTACTTAGAGCAATCCTCCAAATATCAACATCTTTACACAGAGCAATCCTCCAAATATCAACATCTTTACACAGAGCAATCCTCCAAATATCAACATCTTTACCCAGAGCAATCCTCCAAATATCAACATCTTTACCCAGAGCAATCCTCCAAATATCAACATCTTTACACAGAGCAATCCTCCAAATATCAACATCTTTACCCAGAGCAATCCTCCAAATATCAACATCTTTACTTAGAGCAATCCTCCAAATATCAACATCTTTACACAGAGCAATCCTCCAAATATCAACATCTTTACCCAGAGCAATCCTCCAAATATCAACATCTTTACCCAGAGCAATCCTCCAAATATCAACATCTTTACACAGAGCAATCCTCCAAATATCAACATCTTTACCCAGAGCAATCCTCCAAATATCAACATCTTTACCCAGAGCAATCCTCCAAATATCAACATCTTTACCCAGAGCAATCCTCCAAATATCAACATCTTTACCCAGAGCAATCCTCCAAATATCAACATCTTTACACAGAGCAATCCTCCAAATATCAACATCTTTACCCAGAGCAATCCTCCAAATATCAACATCTTTACCCAGAGCAATCCTCCAAATATCAACATCTTTACCCAGAGCAATCCTCCAAATATCAACATCTTTACCCAGAGCAATCCTCCAAATATCAACATGTTTACCCAGAGCAATCCTCCAAATATCAACATCTTTACCCAGAGCAATCCTCCAAATATCAACATCTTTACCCAGAGCAATCCTCCAAATATCAACATCTTTATCCAGAGCAATCCTCCAAATATCAACATCTTTACTTAGAGCAATCCTCCAAATATCAACATCTTTACACAGAGCAATCCTCCAAATATCAACATCTTTACCCAGAGCAATCCTCCAAATATCAACATCTTTACCCAGAGCAATCCTCCAAATATCAACATCTTTACACAGAGCAATCCTCCAAATATCAACATCTTTACCCAGAGCAATCCTCCAAATATCAACATCTTTACTTAGAGCAATCCTCCAAATATCAACATCTTTACACAGAGCAATCCTCCAAATATCAACATCTTTACCCAGAGCAATCCTCCAAATATCAACATCTTTACCCAGAGCAATCCTCCAAATATCAACATCTTTACACAGAGCAATCCTCCAAATATCAACATCTTTACCCAGAGCAATCCTCCAAATATCAACATCTTTACCCAGAGCAATCCTCCAAATATCAACATCTTTACCCAGAGCAATCCTCCAAATATCAACATCTTTACCCAGAGCAATCCTCCAAATATCAACATCTTTACACAGAGCAATCCTCCAAATATCAACATCTTTACCCAGAGCAATCCTCCAAATATCAACATCTTTACCCAGAGCAATCCTCCAAATATCAACATCTTTACCCAGAGCAATCCTCCAAATATCAACATCTTTACCCAGAGCAATCCTCCAAATATCAACATCTTTACCCAGAGCAATCCTCCAAATATCAACATCTTTACCCAGAGCAATCCTCCAAATATCAACATCTTTACCCAGAGCAATCCTCCAAATATCAACATCTTTACCCAGAGCAATCCTCCAAATATCAACATCTTTACCCAGAGCAATCCTCCAAATATCAACATCTTTACCCAGAGCAATCCTCCAAATATCAACATCTTTACCAAGAGCAATCCTCCAAATATCAACATCTTTACCCAGAGCAATCCTCCAAATATCAACATCTTTACCCAGAGCAATCCTCCAAATATCAACATCTTTACCCAGAGCAATCCCCCAAATATCAACATCTTTACCCAGAACAATCCTCCAAATATCAACATCTTTACCCAGAGCAATCCTCCAAATATCAACATCTTTACCCAGAGCAATCCTCCAAATATCAACATCTTTACCAAGAGCAATCCTCCAAATATCAACATCTTTACCCAGAGCAATCCTCTAAATATCAATATCTTTACCCAGAGCAATCCTCCAAATATCAACATCTTTACCCAGAGCAATCCTCCAAATATCAACATCTTTATCCAGAGCAATCCTCCAAATATCAACATCTTTACCTAGAGCAATCCTCCAAATATCAACATCTTTACCCAGAGCAATCCTCCAAATATCAACATCTTTATCCAGAGCAATCCTCCAAATATCAACATCTTTACCTAGAGCAATCCTCCAAATATCAACATGTTTACCCAGAGCAATCCTCCAAATATCAACATCTTTACCCGAGCAATCCTCCAAATATCAACATCTTTACCCAGAGCAATCCTCCAAATATCAACATGTTTACCCAGAGCAATCCTCCAAATATCAACATCTTTACCCAGAGCAACCCTCCAAATATCAACATCTTTACCCAGAGCAATCCTCCAAATATCAACATGTTTACCCAGAGCAATCCTCCAAATATCAACATGTTTACCCAGAGCAATCCTCCAAATATCAACATCTTTACCCAGAGCAATCCTCCAAATATCAACATCTTTACCCAGAGCAATCCTCCAAATATCAACATGTTTACCCAGAGCAATCCTCCAAATATCAACATGTTTACCCAGAGCAATCCTCCAAATATCAACATCTTTACCCAGAGCAATGCTACAAATATCAACATCTTTACCCAGAGCAATCCTCCATCAACATCTTTACCCAGAGTAATGCTACAAATATCAACATCTTTACCCAGAGCAATCCTCCTGTGAGCTGTAGCCAGTGTTGGCTGTTCAGGTTCCAACACCCAACACTTATCATCCAGCTCTTTCATTGTATCCCAGAACTGTTGATATCCATTCACAGCTGTCTCAAACTCTTGAAACACATGCTTCAAAAGTGTCTGTGAATTTTAGCATGAGCAAATAGGTTAAGCTATTCTAAAACTGGTATAAACTAATAACATTAACTAGTTTAGTTTACAAACAAATATTGAGAATAGTACATTTTGTAAAACTCCTTAAGACAAAGCAATAATTTGGGATGGTATGTAGCACATAATTATGGGATGGTATGTAGCACATATAATTATGGGATGGTATGTAGCACATATAATTATGGGATGGTATGTAGCACATAATTATGGGATGGTATGTAGCACATATAATTATGGGATGGTATGTAGCACATAATTATGGGATGGTATGTAGCACATTTAAACTTACCTTCCCTGACCAGGTGAAGCTAAATTTCTCTGGTAATAAAGTCTCACACTGTGGAGCAGCTGTTGGGTCCTATCCAATCAAGAGAAAACTCAGTTACTAGCAAGTCAATAACATCAAACAATTGAATAATAACATCTAACAATGGAATAATAACATCTAACAATTGAATAATAACATCTAACAATGGAATAATAACATCTAACAATTGAATAATAACATCTAACAGTTTTTTGGTGTGTAAAATTTACAAGTCAGCTTACTGTATACGCTTAGGCTGATCCCTTATAAAATATGTTAGAGTTAGAGTTTTGGCCTAAACTTCTAGGATGGGGACCTAGCTATGGCAGGAACCTAACTTTGACCTAAACTTCTAGGATGGGGACCTAGCTATGGCTGGAACCTAACTTTGACCTAAACTTCTAGGATGGGGACCTAGCTATGGCTGGAACCTAACTTTGACCTAAACTTCTGGGATGGGGACCTAGCTATGGCAGGAACCTAACTTTGACCTAAACTTCTGGGATGGGGACCTAGCTATGGCAGGAACCTAACTTTGACCTAAACTTCTAGGATGGGGACCTAGCTATGGCTGGAACCTAACTTTGACCTAAACTTCTGGGATGGGGACCTAGCTATGGCAGGAACCTAACTTTGACCTAAACTTCTAGGATGGGGACCTAGCTATGGCTGGAACCTAACTTTGACCTAAACTTCTAGGATGGGGACCTAGCTATGGCTGGAACCTAACTTTGACCTAAACTTCTGGGATGGGGACCTAGCTATGGCAGGAACCTAACTTTGACCTAAACTTCTGGGATGGGGACCTAGCTATGGCAGGAACCTAACTTTGACCTAAACTTCTAGGATGGGGACCTAGCTATGGCAGGAACCTAACTTTCATGGCTGACAGCCAACTTGTTTAGGTGACAAATTCCCATGAGAACGATCACTTTTCTAAGCCTGTGAGTCAAATTCAGGACAATTTTGTTCATGCTTTTGGCAGTGGTAATTATGAATGCACAAATTAAGCAATGCTAGTTCAAAAAGTCTTTGCCATCAATAAAATTTATGTCAATCAATAAATAATGTGAAATTGTTGCACAACATTAGTTTTGTAGGGTCATCAATTATTCAAATAAGGTATTGAATATTTATAAACTCATTAACAACTTATTCATACAAAAGGCAAATTAAATATCTAATTGAGCCAGATGTACCACCATAACATTATACAGTCTCTATTCATGCATAATCAGCCCATATCAGTATAATACAACAGCAGCACTCAATGTTTTGTGAGGGGAGATAACCTTTTTATTGAGCATAATTTTAATGGTGTGTCTCCTGTCAGCTGGATCAAGCAGGGAGAGCTCTATCACTGAGAAACTGTCATCTAAACTTACAAGCCTTAGAAGAAAAAAATTAAACCAAGTTTAAAATGCATGGACTGATTAAATATTATCAACTTACAAGATTAAACAGCTTTAAGCTGCCCAATGCTAACCCAATTAAAGAGATTTTCTATTAAAGATAGCTCATAGCAAAAGAATGCTAAACTCTGCCCCACACAGCTGTTTTCTATTACAAATGTTTTCTTTTGACAGAATGCTAAACTATACCCTACACAGATGTTTTCCATGACAAATATTTTGTTTTGACAGAATGCTAAACTATACCCTACACAGATGTTTTCCATAACAAATATTTTGTTTTGACAGAATGCTAAACTCTACCCCACACTGCAGTTTTCTATAACAAATATTTTGTATCTACAAAATGTAAAGCCACCTGCTCCATCCAATCTCCTGTATCTGCTGTAAGATGACACTGCTGTATTGAGACCATGACTCAGGCTGAATGGAATAATCTTTGACACAGCTTTCCTGGTAACAAAATGGGATGATTCACACTATTTTATTGTAATAAAGTGTATGTAGGCCTACAATTTAATCTGTATAGCTTTCTACACAATTAATCCTAAACAACTTTTTTTGAAAAGTTAATTTAGTAATGGATTTAATGAGTGCATTTTTGTAAAATGTATTTTTCATTTAGAAGAATGTAAATTTATCTTACTTATCCTGAAATATTTTAGAATTGTTAGATGCTTTATTCAAGGAAACAAATATTTTACATCAAACTTACAGCAATTTGAATAAAATCTTGGAGAAAGGCATCAAGGCTTTTATTTTGCCTCAATATCTAAAGATAAAATTTAGAATTTTATTTATTTTTACAACACAAAAATTGCCTTGTCTTATACTACTTATGCTGTCCTCTGAAAAAAACACCTATATATGTATTATTGGGTAACTATTGTTTATAAAAATGCACCATAGTGTGTACAGGTTATTGGACAATTATGCACAATATTAAAAAGCTGTTACATTTACATAGCTCTAGCGTTTTACTTCAGAATTCTTTCAACATTTAGATCGTAACTCTTTCAGAATATTTTTAACATTTAAGCTAAAATTCTTGAGTCAATTTTTACCCCATACAGCAATGTGTTTCTCATCTTGTTGCACTTTCTAGCATGTAAAGGCTGATAGTTTTAGCAATCAAGTACCTGCTGAATGTAGCTGTATTTATGTTGGAGTCTATGATGTAAGCTCCATTCACATTCTAGCCTAGCCCCAGGTACACCCTCTTCCAGTGGTACAGTTATACCAAGTCTGTATGAGTGGCCCTGCAATAGCATACATTAATCTTTCTTATTCACCACACATAACAAATAAAAACCGTAATTCAAAATATATGCAAATACTTGATTATTTAAATATAAAAATTCCAACAAAACTCAGTTGTAAAGTGCAGACTGCTGGGAGTAATAGCAAATGGAAAGAAGATAATTAGAAATGATAGTTTGAATTAAAAATTGCATACTAGTGATTCAAAGAGGCAATGCAATGAGGGTATTTTGCATATATATAGGCAGTGAGCCCAAAATAAAAAATAACCCTTGACCGAGTTTACACAAAATTAATTAAAATTCAAAAACAATTACCCACACAATTTAAATTAATGATTAACAAACAGCTGTTTCTCAATGTAAGTTTCATTTCTAGTAGTAGGTTTAATTAAGAGTTCAATAAGTAACATTTTAAATTAAAGGTCAACTATTGATTAAGACATCTTTTTGGGTCAGCACAAATATCAGACACATGCACACAATTTTGTTACAAATATTTGTATTAAATATTAAGACAACCATTAGAGACAAATGGGCTTGTAACAATCCCAGTAACAGACTTACACAAACCAAAGCCCTCACACTTCCAGCCATGAATCAAAGCTGAATGGGCTTGTAACAATCCCAGTTACAGACTTACACAAACCAAAGCCCTAACACTTCCATCTGAGTAAATATATATAATTCTACCAAATGGTAAATGTCCCAATATTTTTAAACTCTTTATCTACCAGCTGTTTATTTTATTCATGCAGTGCTGTCAATGATTAAAATGCAATGTTGATTACTTGAGTGAGTGAGCAGAGTACAAATGGACTCACTTGTGAGCTGTTTGCATTTGTTACAACAGGTTTTTCACATTTCAAAAACTAATGTAAGTGCTAATGTTTTCAATAAGCAAAAGCAAAGTTAACAGCAACTTGATATATTTTCTCAAAGTAATGTTTTTATGATTTGCAGATGTATCCCTTTATGGTCGACAAAATATTATTCTGTTAGTAGGAGGTGGAATAATGGGAAAGTGTGGTCAGGTAGGAGAGCATATGACTACTAACCCAAAAGTTTTGAGTTTGGAAGCCATGCTTTGCATGCGAGCACCTGGCTCAGATGGGTGGATGTTAGGGAAAGCTGACTGGACATTGTGCTAACTTCGCTATCCCTTCATATGTCAAGGTCAGAGAAACAAATGGGCTCTACTTCATTTGCTTTATAGACAATGTGGTTTGAAAGGGTAGACTAACTTATCAGTTTTTATACGTTTTTTACTATAACACAAAAAAAACTATGCATTAAAAAAAACTGTCAAGTAAACCAATCAAAACATTTTTCCAACTTTTATTACATTTTGAAAAGAAAATGACTGGACCACATAAGGCAGAAAAAGCTATTTGTTAATCTCAATTTTAAACTGTGTGGGCAACTGCTTTTAAATTTTTATTATTTTTGTTAGTACTCTGTCAATGGTTATTTTTTTTTTGGGCTCACTGCCTGTATAAAGTTACATTATTTATTTATTGTGTCCCCTTATTAAAGAAAAACTAAGGGGATTTGCCTGAAATGTGACATCATATTTAGGGTTTTACTATTTGTGACAATGTGATAATTTGGTGAGGAGCATCAATAAAAATGTATGGCATAATATAATGTATGAACAACTCAATCAATCACATAACATTATTATTTGTGCAGAAATATAAAGGCCTAAATAATATTTATTAAATAATTTTCCTGTTTGCGTCCAAGACATTTGGGGCCGATAAAGTTTAGTTTCAATTACAATGACATACAGGGGATAGAGTGGTCAGCACTATGCCCTGTTGCCTTTGTTTCTCTAACATGAGTCAGGTACCCATCAGAGCTGGGTGAACTCAGGGATGTCATTCTGTCAAGGGATGTCATTCGAGTCAAGGATCCAAACTTGAGACTTTCTAGTTAGCAGTATAGCACTATAGCATATAATGCTCTGCCTATTTTTAATTTTGTATCAAGTTAGCAGTATAGCACTATAGCATATAATGCTCTGCCTATTTTTAATTTTGTACTAGATCTGGCCTCTTCATTTTTAACATTTAGCATATTTTTATGCTACTACTAATATTTAACTAGTAAGTAGGTCTACTACTGCTGACCACACAGTAATTTTCTACTTTCAAGCCAAACTAAACTTTTACTAAAGTTTAAAATTTAAGTCTAAATATATATTGATTCTAGATCTAGTAACTAAACTTTTTTTTAACCCTGCCTAAAAAAGTGAACAAAAAATGTAAAAGTCTGGGACAAACTCACTAAAGGGGTGACACCAATTGGGGGGGTTGACACCAAGACAAAAGAAAAATGCTTTCTGCCTGTTCAGTTAATGAATAATTATTTTAATTAGAGTTTAAAAGTCTTATAAGTACACATTGGCCATCTCAACAATACATACACTCACGCATACACCCCCCCACACACACACATATATATATATATATACATATATATTTATTTTTTTCTTCGGTGTATGTAGCGGGTGGGGGAGGTTGACACCATGAAGTGCCACACCAGGTGGCACCTGACCTAGCAACACAATTGCCTAATACTACTAGATCTTGACTAGATCTAGTACTAGTTTAAGTATAGTGTGGGGGAATTTTAATACCAGTGTTAGATAACAGAATCATCTTTAGAATTTGGGTGTTAGGTTACTGGTGGTTAACTAAATACACACATTGCTGGATAATATCAATGATGGTAAAACTCCATTTTAGCGTATTTTATTCCCCATTCCACGTTCACCTGCAGTTGAGCGTATTTAATTGTAAACACAACTGAAACACACAAAAACGTAAAGAAAACTCTAAGCATATTTCTTTATGAATTTTTGTTTTATTTTTGGATAATTTACTTTTGTCAAAACTTGAGATAAATCCAAATTTGGAATTATTGAATGTGCACTGCTTGGATCTAGATTCTAGATTTATCTTTTTTTTTAACTCTTGAATTATGTTCGTGTCAGTTAAAATTTCCATGGCGATGGGTAAAGTACCAAGGCGGTTAAGTTTGTATTGTTAAAAGTATCTCACACGCATGAAACTATAAATAAACACATATGAACTCACAATGACCCCAAAATTAAAGCCACCACAATTTCAAAATAGCAATTTCCCAGGCGATGACGTATGCTGACAATTATAGTCAATGTGAACTCACGGTGAACCCCTGACCGTGTAGGGGAATTTCTCACGCCGTCGATCACATGCTATTTTATTGGAACTGACTGTAAAGCTTATTTATAATGTTTTTTACCTTTTCTAATTAAAACATACATTCATAACAAAAATAAGTACATCTAGATCAAATCCTAGTGTTCTCTAAATGATTTTGCATGATTCGGTTGTTTATAATAAAATATGCTCAACCGGAGGTGTAAGCGAAGCGGCAAAATAATATACGCTAAAATGGAGTTTTACCATCAATGCTAACCCTGTCCCTAACCCTAACCCCAGTCCTACCATATGCCTAACCTAATTTCTAACCATAAAATTATCCGAGATTACAATACTACTTAATAACCCAACACACCTATTTTTAAGGAAGAGTCTATTATTATCGGTATCTAAAAATAAGGTAATCTATCGTTTTAGGTGCGTAAAATCTGCCAAGGCTAGTAATGCACAAAAAAGTTGCCTCATTGTTAAGGCTTTAATTGAAGTATGTTGTGATATATTTGTGTCAAATATTATAGATAACTAAATAATAAACCTAAATCAATGATTAAATATATCAATATAGGCCAGAAATTAACTATAAACAGCAGTGTTTGCAAGCAAGATTTGCTATATTAGATAATAAACAGTGGCCATCTGTAAGTTAGAGTGGTTTCCCCTGAATCTCTAATTATAATTTTACAAAAAAAAAACTTAAGATGGCTGCTAAAGTAAATGATTAATGAGCTTAGTTGAATCTGATGAAAACATCGCTAGTCTTTATTTTTTACTGAAAAGTTTTAATACAATTTTGCTTAAAACGGGTACATTAATTATATTAATAATATTAGGTAATCTATCGTTTTAGGTACGTAAAATCGCCCGCGGCTAGTAATGTCCGAAAAAGTTACCTCATTGTCAAGGCTTTAAAAGAAGTATATTGTGATATGTTTGTGTCAAATATTGTAGATAAATGAATAATAAACCTAAATCAATGGCTAAATATATCAATATAGGCCAGAAATTAACTTAAAATAGCAGTGTCTGCAAGCAACATTTGCTATATAAACAGCAGCCATTTGTAAAATAGAGTGACTTCCGCCTGAATCTCGCGCTATAAGTCTATAAAAATAAAACTTTAACAAGATGGCTGCTATAGTAAATGAGCATGGTTGCATCTGTTGGAAACATCGCTGGTGTTCATTTATTACTGAAAAGTTTTAATTCAATTGTTTAAAAACAGGTACATAAATGAAACAAGGAAACATTTTTGTATTTTTCAAAACATAAATCCTCCTCAAAATGTGAAATAATTATTAAAATGTAAGGAGTCACTTGTTTTTCACATTACTAGTCGCGGGCGATTTTACGTACCTAAAACGATAGATTACCTATAAAATAACATTGAAACTTTGAAACATTTTTGTAACTTTCAAAACAAAAATCTTCCTTAAAATGTGAAAAAGTTATAAAAATTTATTAAAATTTAACGAGTCACCTTTTTTTTCACATTACTAGTCTCGGCCGATATTAAGTAGTCTACCTATTCCAAAAATGATGAAAATCAAAACCAAATCATCCAAAAATTAAAATTCTTTAAAATTGTTTAAAAAAATGGGTAATCTATCGTTTTGGGTACGTAAAATCGCCCGCGATTTGTAATGTGAAAAACAGGTGACTTCTTAAATTTTAATAATTATTTCACATTTTGAGGAGGATTTATGTTTTGAAAAATACAAAAATGTTTCCTTGATTCATTTATATACCTGTTTTTAAACAATTGAATTAAAACTTTTCTGTAATAAATGAAGACTAGCGATGTTTCCAACAGATGCAATCATGCTCATTTACTATAGCAGCCATCTTGTCTAAGTTTTATTTTTATAAGCTTTTAGCGCCAGATTCAGGGGGAAGTCACTCTATTTTACAAATGGCTGCTGTTTATATAGCAAATCTTGCTCTCAGACACTGCTGTTTAAAGTTAATTTCTGGCCTATATCGATATATTTAGCCATTGATTTAGGTTTATTATTCATTTATCTATAATATTTGACACAAACATATGACAATATACTTCTATTAAAGCATTGACAAAGAGGTAACGTTTTCGTACATAAATAGCCGCGGGCGATTTTACGTACCCAAAACGATAGATTACCAAAAAATGTTTTCATCAGATCAGATGCAACCGATTGATTTTAAATTTTAATCAAGTATGACTGGTAAAGATTTGTTTGGATTTCACTCACCAAAATATTTAAAAACCCATAATATTTTACATGTTCATTTGACACATGTAAAGGAATAAGTAATGGTGCTACTTTTAAATTGGACATCTTTTTCTATATTAATTCATTCTTTTTTTAAAGTAAACATTACAACCGGAAAGAGTTACGACACTTTCGTTTTTCTATGCAAAATTATGAGGTCTTCCAAAATTGCCAGAGAGTAATTGTGATCTAACATAGACTATTTAAAAAAAAACTAATTTGAAGTAATTGCCGAATCAATCTTAACTTATCCGTTGTTTAAACATACATAAAATATAACAACAATAGTATAATTCAGTCTTGTCTTAGTGATAATTCAAAATATAGTTCAGAAAAAACATACACTATAATTCTTTAACTTTGCAATGTTCAAAACTGCAACGTCGTGCCTTTATGAATAGTAGGGTTTAAAAAAAATAATATATAGATCTAAATGATTACATTTAACTATTCAATTTTCAGTTTAGTTGTTATATAAATGTACATCGCAGCTTCAATTAAATGTTTTTCACAAATAGCAGTCCGCGTGAACTTGGTTCTGGTCACAATAATAATCAAGGTTCATCCAATCTTATTTTAGAATGCATTTCAGTGGAAAACCCAATGAATGCCATGATAACATATGGACAAATAGTCCTATAAACGTTTTACACACTGGGAAACTATAAATAATTCATTGAACCTCTCGCGTGTCGGGTGGCTGTAGTGTAATGTAGTTTTACTAGTGTTGTCAAGGAAGCTTCGTGACTTTTTCGGAATACATTAACTCATTAAGAATAAGTACTGCATTTAAACACATTTGCTTTGGGTATAAAATCGACCAAGCCACGATGTGTGATCACTCAAGACCAACTGTTCCTAACCCAGATCTTGAGGTAGAGGAAACTCTTCGTCGTCTTACATCAGTTCCTATCAGCAGGCACACAAGCCTACCGTCGGGTGATCAAGACCTCAGTGGTAGAAAAGGAATACCGTTACACGCTTCACTTTGCTCCAACTCCACCAAAATCCGGTCATTTTCTGTAGATTCATACAGATCAAAGAACTTATATGACTCTAGTAATTCAAATAACACAAAAGATTATAACAGCTACCACAATCACCCATTAACATTAAACGGAGACATGACGGGATCAAAACTTTGTAGCAAAAACAAAACTGTTAATGAAGATGATTCAGCTATTCCAATAGAAGATAAAGAGGAATTGCCGTTAGAAAAAGAGAAATATAATGATGATTTTATTGCAAAGGAAATGGCGGCACAGTACAAAAAAATAATAGAGCATTTAGGAGAAGACCCATCCAGACAAGGTCTTTTGAAAACCCCAGAAAGAGCAGCCAAGGCTATGATGTTTTTTACAAAGGGCTATAAGGAGAATATTGCAGGTATTATACTTTTTTTTCATTGCATAAACTTAATTTTATTTTCCTCAGTTATTTGTTAATTAAAAGTAACCTGCCAGTAAGATAACATCGTTTTATACTATGAATAATAGACGTACTGTGGATGGAGTATAGCCTTTAAGAAATAAATGTAACAATGCAATGCGCATTTGTGAATATTTAAGTCTTTATTCTTTGCAAATAAAGATTTCATATTTGAAAATATTCTTCCCTGTGAGCTTTTACCAATTATACATATCATTATGTTAGCTACACGCAATGCTTTGATATTGACCAGAGTTAATTGCGCACTTTGTTGCTAACTACCGTCTGATCAACTAGTGCACACTCCTCCGTTGCGTGCAATAATTACTTCTTGTAAAACTCCGCGCTATCTAGATCTAATAACTTCCATGAAACAGATGAATATTGCTTTATCTGCCCCGCTGATAGACATAAAAGGAAACTCTTTAATCACTTCTGAAAGAGAATGCGTTTAAAAGCCTCTCCTGCGATTTTGATTACAAGCGCAAATGTTTTATATTCAGCCTTAGCGAAATTTTGTTAGGGACTTATTGGGTGAGCTTTCTTAGAGAAACCCAATTTTGAATACAGATTTTCAGAATAAAAATAATAGATGTCTATTGCCGGATCGACGTTCTGTGACATTAAGTCCTATTTACATAGATGGAATGTTACGCAAAAGCAGTATCGTATTTGACTTTATAAGACTTTAAGAAATGTTCTTTATTAAAATCCAAATCGCTCAAAAGTTGATACTGATCTACGATTTTGATATAATACTTATATATGAAATTTCCTCAACCTAGCTGTATCGGTACTCAAGTTATCGTGTTTACACAGACACACGGACAGAATTGGATAATCCAGTTTTTCCAACTCCGTTACGCATAAAACGCCAAAATTTTGATAAATCTGGATTTATAATTTTTGCCCGATTAAAATAAGTCCTCTATATCCCGGTTGTGATGAAGGACTGATGAGTAAAACGATAAAAACTGTCAGAATTTCTTGTGATTTTTGTGTACGATTACAATACTTTCTCTATACTCTGTATACGAGAAAGTAAAACGAATTATGTACCAAATGAATGTAAGCTATGTGTGCACATGTCAACGGAAAATTATTTCTTTATAAAGGAAATTTTTTTTTAAAAAAAAAAGTTAATTAAACACCTATTTAAGTTACATTTTATGATACAGTGCTTAGGGGGCGCCAAAATGGGTTGGAAAAATAAATTGAAAGGTTGAGGGGGTTGCAAATCGAAATTTTGAGGGGGGGGGGGGGGGGTGGTGCAAATCGAAATCTCGAGGGGGGGGGTGCAAATCGAAAGTTTGAGGGGGGGGGGTACAAATCGAAATCTCGAGTGGGGTGCAAATCGAAAGTTTGAGGGGGGTGCAAATCGAAATCTCGAGGGGGGGGGGTGCAAATCGAAAGTTTGAGGGGGGGGGGGGAACAAATCGAAATCTCGAGTGGGGTGCAAATCGAAAGTTTGAGGGGGGTGCAAATCGAAATCTTGAGGGGGGGGGGGGTGCAAATCGAAAAGTTTGTCCTCGGGCGCATTGTCTTCGAGTTAAACATTTGAAACAAATCGGTCCGGTAGAAGGGATATTTTTTTAGAAAACATAATTGCCGTAAAGAACTACTTCCGCTCATCGGAAATCACTCAAAATTTGACTGAATCAAAAGAATAAAATTTTATAACTATGCATACTATTTCGTTTACCTAACTGAAACGGTACTAATGTTATCTGTAATTTAGAATCCGTCGATAGAGTAAATTAACACTTAGGGTATCGTAGGTATCTCAAAATTTGAAAGTAATCCATGTATAAGATAGTATACTGATATATGAAATTTCGTCTACCTAACTGAAACGATGCTCAAGTTAACGTTTTCCCATGGAAATAGAGTAAATGACCAATTCCGGTTATCAAAAATAGTTTAAGAATTGACTAAAACCTTCGCATACAATCTAATACTTACATTTGAAATTTCGTCCACCTAACTTAAAAGCTACTCAATTAAAGGCGTTTGAGAAACTGGAATTGGAGTAAGGAACACTTCCTGTTACCGGAAATCGGCCACAATTTGGTAGAAAACTACACATTTGATATAAAAAACTTATATTTGAATGTGGTCAACCTAAACGGACAGGATTGAAAAATATTTTATTTTGCCACTCCGGAAGGTGATAAAATCTCGATTTAGATTTTTGCCCTATTGTATTACACTGCATCCCTTATTTTCCGTATACGATGAAATGGGGAGGCGTAAAACGACGAAAACTAACAAAATCCCATTTTAACTATTGTGCATTATTACAAGACTTTCTCTATATTCATATTACATAATCTATCAAGAAAATAATATTTAAATGATAGTTAAAACCCCAAATTTTTCGACACCCTATTGCACTGAATGGCTGGAAAACTTGTTTATAAACAAAGAGCTGTGACACCTAGCTTTTATTTTCCCAACTTCTTTCTGTCCATGATGTCCATTTTTTGTTTTAATCTCCGTCTTTTGAAGAACATCACCCGATGTTGTTTTTTTTAATTAAGATTTTCCCCTAAAATAAAACACCTCCTTTACAAATCTGTCCTTTAGTTGACATTTCCCAGACCGCCCCCACCCCTCCACCCCACCGGTTCACGGTCCTAGGAAGGAACGTCTTGACGAGCCGTCGCTCCTTTCACCCGATGACGACAAGCCGAAGCATTGATCTTTGTTGGATGGACTCTAATGGGTAGATGATGGCGGGGACAGGCTCGCCAGACGTGGCCGGTCACTTAATCGTCTGCTAGTATTTGTTCACGCGAGTGCCAGTGTGTCCGCTCTCTTGGATTCCTGACCTCAGCCCGTATGATGAAATCTACGCATTCTGTAAATATGGGTTTACAACATGTTAGCAAATGTTGGGGGCGGGGGAGGATGTTAAAAAATACTAACAAATATTGATGTCAACTCGTGTCTATGTTGGTTTTACCATTCCTGTAATTCTGGTGTTCATAGAAATAACGAAAGAATCTTTCATACCGTTTTTATTGCATTTAGTTTGCCGTTTTAAAAATACGGGTTGTGAATTATTTTTTTTTTGGAATTCGCTCGTTTGTCGATTATCGGGAGCGCTTTTGAATTAGAATCGTTACACTTAAAAGACAGCCGACGTCACGAGTCTTAAATTAGCTCTCCTGTCATTTCATCCTTAAAGGGTTTCTCGTGTTCAACCCGTACCCCTCCACTTGAAATACGGGGGGCGAGTCTGACGCTATGTTGGGTCGCTCACTGGACCGTACATGTCGTGGGTGTAGTTAGGTGTCTTGTTCCCTGTGTCAGACTGGTGGAGTGGGTCAAGTCACTCACTGGACCGTACATGTCGTGGGTGTAGTTAAGTGTCTTGTTCCCTGTGTCGGACTGGCGGAGTGGGTCAAGTCACTCACTGGACCGTACAGGTCGTGGGTGTAGTTAGGTGTCTTGTTCCCTGTGTCAGACTGGTGGAGTGGGTCGGACACGTCGCTCACTGGACCGTACATGTCGTGGGTGTAGTTAAGTGTCTTGTTCCCTGTGTCAGACTGGTGGAATGGGTCGGACACGTCGCTCCCTGGACCTTACATGTCGTGGGTGTAGTTAGGTGTCTTGTTCCCTGTGTAAGACTGGTGGAGTGGGTCAAGTCACTCACTGTACCGTACATGTCGTGGGTGTAGTTAGGTGTCTCGTTCCCTGTGTCAGACTGGCGGAGTGGGTCAAGTCACTCACTGGACCGTACATGTCGTGGGTGTAGTTAGGTGTCTTGTTCCCTGTGTCAGACTGGTGGAGTGGGTCGGACACGTCGCTCACTAGACCGTACATGTCGTGGGTGTAGTTAGGTGTCTTGTTCCCTGTGTCAGACTGGTGGAGTGGGTCGGACACGTCGCTCACTGGACCGTACATGTCGTGGGTGTAGTTAGGTGTCTTGTTCCCTGTGTCAGACTGGTGGAGTGGGTCAAGTCACTCACTGGACCGTACATGTCGTGGGTGTAGTTTGGTGTCTTGTTCCCTGTGTCAGACTGGTGGAGTGGGTCAAGTCACTCACTGGACCGTACATGTCGTGGGTGTAGTTAGGTGTCTTGTTCCCTGTGTCAGACTGGCGGAGTGGGTCAAGTCACTCACTGGACCGTACATGTCGTGGGTGTAGTTAGGTGTCTTGTTCCCTGTGTCAGACTGGTGGAGTGGGTCAAGTCACTCACTGGACCGTACATGTCGTGGGTGTAGTTAGGTGTCTTGTTCCCTGTGTCAGACTGGTGGAGTGGGTCGGACACGTCGCTCACTGGACCGTACATGTCGTGGGTGTAGTTAGGTGTCTTGTTCCCTGTGTCAGACTGGTGGAGTGGGTCAAGTCACTCACTGGACCGTACATGTCGTGGGTGTAGTTAGGTGTCTTGTTCCCTGTGTCAGACTGGCGGAGTGGGTCAAGTCACTCACTGGACCGTACATGTCGTGGGTGTAGTTAGGTGTCTTGTTCCCTGTGTCAGACTGGTGGAGTGGGTCAAGTCACTCACTGGACCGTACATGTCGTGGGTGTAGTTAGGTGTCTTGTTCCCTGTGTCAGACTGGTGGAGTGGGTCAAGTCACTCACTGGACCGTACATGTCGTGGGTGTAGTTAGGTGTCTTGTTCCCTGTGTCAGACTGGCGGAATGGGTCAAGTCACTCACTGGACCGTACATGTCGTGGGTGTAGTTAGGTGTCTTGTTCCCTGTGTCAGACTGGTGGAGTGGGTCAAGTCACTCACTGGACCGTACATGTCGTGGGTGTAGTTAGGTGTCTTGTTCCCTGTGTCAGACTGGTGGAGTGGGTCAAGCCACTCACTGGACCGTACATGTCGTGGGTGTAGTTAGGTGTCTTGTTCCCTGTGTCGGACTGGCGGAGTGGGTCAAGTCACTCACTGGACCGTACATGTCGTGGGTGTAGTTAGGTGTCTTGTTCCCTGTGTCAGACTGGCGGAGTGGGTCAAGTCACTCACTGGACCGTACATGTCGTGGATGTAGTTAGGTGTCTTGTTCCCTGTGTCAGACTGGCGGAGTGGGTCAAGTCACTCACTGGACCGTACATGTCGTGGGTGTAGTTCGGTGTCTTGTTCCCTGTGTCAGACTGGTGGAGTGGGTCAAGTCACTCACTGGACCGTACATGTCGTGGGTGTAGTTAGGTGTCTTGTTCCCTGTGTCAGACTGGTGGAGTGGGTCGGACACCATATCAAGTCGCTCACTGATAGAACCCCCATGACAAAGTCCTAGCTACCCCACTGGTTCCCACTATTTTATTTAATATGACCGACGAATGCCGCCCTAGCTGAGTAGTGTTGCAGTGACACACCCAAACACATGATGCAAGGTCACCAAGTCCACTAACCACTTATCGATTCCACTGTAAAACCTAGCTGTATCAACAAGCCCCCCCCCCCCCCCCCTAAAAAACAATTAAGCTTTTTGCCCTCGTAGCAAAGGAGTTCTGTATTTGTTGATTAGTTGATTATTTTATAGTTCGTGTAACGGCCAGCTGAACCTGCGGTATGTTCGGCATCTCGATGGAGGTTTGACGCTTGTTTCTTTATGTTCCAGATGTGCTCAACGATGCCGTGTTTGATGAGAACCATGATGAAGTTGTCATAGTCAAGGACATCGAGATGTTTTCTCTGTGTGAACATCATCTGGTCCCATTCATGGGGAAGGTAAGTCACGTAAACAATGGTTTGGTCCAAAATAATGATCCATACTCTTGCTAATCCCTACATCTATATATATAATTCTCTTCTGGGAGACGCTAGAAAACAAGCTGTAAGCGCGCTCCCTACCACCTCCACCCCTACATGGTTGGGTGAGCTGTGGTTCACTCTAAATGTTTACAAGCAGAGCCGGGTTTAGTGTGACTATTAAGGGCAGATAATTTAGTTTGAAACGATTTCAAACGTAGGGGGGGGGGGAGTAACTAAGTGGAGTTTATTGTAGGGGAGGGGGGGGGGGGTGGGGTATCGTCCTTAACGAGATACCTATAGTGTTTTAAAGAAATATTTTCAGTGGCAGCATTGGTACTGTCGAATTCACAAATCATGAATTACTGAAAAGTAGAAAAAAACAACTAAAAGCGGCGTATGATATGCCGCGGGTCGGCTCGTTTAAATTATTATTACACTGTTGCATAAGCTATATGTATTATATGTCATCATAAAGTACACCATACCTGTACGTGAAACACCTTTTGTCATAGTCCATGGATGTTTCAAGTGGGGGGGGGGGGGGGGGGGATTGGGGTCGAACACATCACTTTTACACCACTGGTGTTATATACCCTTTGTTTGAAACGATTCTTTCATTTTAATGTATTTCTTAGTGCATATTAGAATGCTGGTCGTATTTAAAAACCTTATGTGGGTGGTTCTCATAATAATATCACTTATTTCAGTGAAAAGTCTCTGAGAAATACAATCATCGAGTATGGGCTACTGTAAGCGGAAGTGGGCGTGGAAGAAAAAATAGAATCGATAATGTCGCTTTTTGGTCGAGTAGGTTATTAGGGATCTATATACGTTTGACTGACAATATGAGCTGGCGTCTTAGTCAATGTTGTGTTGCTGCTTTTTTAAATTTTATTTCTGTATACAAAGTATAGAGGAAGTATATTTTAAAAAGCCAGTAATGTTAGTACTGTTTTAGTTAGATGGACGATATATCACAAATAAGTATTACATTGTATAGGCATGTTTCTAAAAATTGTTAATGATTTCCGGTAACCGGAAGTGGTACTTTACTCTTTTTCCATCGGAACAATAACTTGAGAGCTGTTTAATACATTCGTATAAGATTTTATTCACAGGTTGCTTTCAAATTCTTAGTGATTTCCGATTACCGGAAGTATTCATCAATGTGTCCTTTATAAAGTGCTAATATAGCGCTCTAGTATACACACACTGTTTGCGTTGATTTGGTGCGCATTTCATGCAGTGTTTCTTCCAGACTTTTTTCTCCGGGGGGGCACTTGAAATTTTCGGGGGGGGGGCGGTAAACTTACTTCGGGGGGGGGGGGGCGAACACTGTTAAAAGTATATATTTTCTATATAAATTAAATAAATTTCATTCCGTTCGGGGGGGGGGGGGGGGCGGTAAAAAAAATTTCGGGGGGGCTTTGCCCCCCCCCCCCCTCCCCGGAGAGATGCCTGGAAGAAACTCTGATTTCATGTTTCTACGCGATTCTATTATTATTAAAACAAATTTAAATATTTTAAAAATTTATAAAAACATTTATATCGTCCGATTGCACTGAAAGTTACATAAGAACTATACTAGAAAGTTCAGGGGCGATCATTCAGGCTTTATTTTACTCTGTAACAAGTAAATAACAAAAAGCTATCGTCCTCGTGCTTACGTGAACACTTCCAAACTAGCAGCTCAAGGACTGACTCATTTGACTTGGCTATCGCTTTCCATCTGATACAGCTTTACGCGATGGTCATGTATAATGTCGGGTAGATCGTTGCTCTGTTGTCGTTTGCCCACTCTACCCAGTATTCTACAAGTCTCACATTTGGGTTGCTGAGTCCTTAGGGTAGTAGTCGCGCTGTAACGACCACGCCGTCACCATTAGGGTAGTAGTCGCGCTGTACCGACCACGCCGTCACAATTAGGGTAGTAGTCGCGCTGTACCTACCACGCCATCACACTTAGGGTAGTAGTCGCGCTGTACCGACCACGCCGTCACAATTAGGGTAGTAGTCACGCTGTACCGACCACGCCGTCACAATTAGGGTAGTAGTCACGCTGTACCGACCACGCCGTCACAATTAGGGTAGTAGTCACGCTGTAACTACCACGCCATCACTATTAGGGTAGTAGTCACGCTGTACCTACCACGCCATCACACCTAGGGTAGTAGTCACGCTGTACCGACCACGCCGTCATCATTAGGGTAGTAGTCGCGCTGTACCGACCACGCCGTCACAATTAGGGTAGTAGTCGCGCTGTACCTACCACGCCATCACACTTAGGGTAGTAGTCGCGCTGTACCGACCACGCCGTCACAATTAGGGTAGTAGTCACGCTGTACCGACCACGCCGTCACAATTAGGGTAGTAGTCACGCTGTACCGACCACGCCGTCACAATTAGGGTAGTAGTCACGCTGTAACTACCACGCCATCACTATTAGGGTAGTAGTCACGCTGTACCTACCACGCCATCACACCTAGGGTAGTAGTCACGCTGTACCGACCACGCCGTCATCATTAGGGTAGTAGTCACGCTGTACCGACCACGCCATCACACCTTATAGGGTAGTAGTCACGCTGTAACTACCACGTCAACAGGCCCCAGCGTACCATAAGTGCTCATCTCTGTTGTTGTTTACTTTGGCCACTCTCGCACTTTAGATGTAAACAGCGCGGACATTATCGGCCCTCTTGCTTATTGGATCATTTGCAAGTAAAAACCTTGGCTTTTGTATCGTGTTGGCAAACACGAGGAAATGATGGACGTTATGTAGATGCAAATGTCTGTTCTACCCATCAGCCATTTCTGTCTGTTTCTCCTACAACTTGTTGACACTGCCACTGAAGTTGTGTATAGGAAATTAGCAAAAACTGAAGAAAACATCGGTCAGCCAGCTTGAAAAGTGCCTTTTTGATGTGTATTTGTGTGCGTTACAAGCAATTTGCCAATCTAGTAAACACAAGTATTTAACCATCTCAACACAAGCAGACAATTTGAATGTCTGCTAGTAAACACAAGTATTTACCCATCTCAACACAACCAGACAATTTGAATGTCTGCTAGTAAACACTAGCATTCAGCCATCTCAACACAAGCAGACAATTTGAATGTCTGCTAGTAAACACTAGCATTCAGCCATCTCAACACAAGCAGACAATTTGAATGTCTGCTAGTAAACACTAGCATTCAGCCATCTCAACACAAGCAGACAATTTGAATGTCTGCTTGTAAACACAAGTATTTACCCATCTCAACACAACCAGACAATTTGAATGTCTGCTAGTAAACACAATTATTTAGCCATCTCAATACAACCAGACAATTTGAATGTCTGCTAGTAAACACTAGCATTCAGCCATCTCAACACAAGCAGACAATTTGAATGTCTGCTAGTAAACACAAGTATTTACCCATCTCAACACAACCAGACAATTTGAATGTCTGCTAGTAAACACAATTATTTAGCCATCTCAATACAACCAGACAATTTGAATGTCTGCTAGTAAATACAGGCATCGAGCCCAGTGTTTCTTCCAGACTTTTCTCTCGGGGGGGGGGGGGGGGAGCGGACAGCATTTTCCGGGGGGGGGGGGTGGACACACTTGTAAAAGTATGTTTTCTATTTAAATCCCATTTCTTTCGGGGGGGGGGGGGGGCGGTAGACTTTCTTCGGGAAGATGCCTGGAAGAAACTCTGATCCAGTCTTGCAACACAAGCATACAATGTGCATGTCAGCTAGTAAATACAAGCATTCAGCCATCTCAACACAAGCATACAATGTTAATGTCTGCTTGTAAACACTAGCATTCAGCCATCTCAACACAAGCAGAAAATGTGAATGTCTGCTTGTAAACACTAGCATTCAGCCATCTCAACACAAGCAGAAAATGTGAATGTCTGCTTGTAAACACTAGCATTCAGCCATCTCAACACAAGCAGAAAATGTTAATGTCAGCTAGTAAACACTAGCATTCAGCCATCTCAACATAAGCAGAAAATGTTAATGCCTGCTAGTAAACATTAGCATTCAGCCATCTCAACACAAGCATACAATGTGCTTGTCTGCTAGTAAACACTAGCATTCAGCCATCTCAACACAAGCATACAATGTGCTTGTCTGCTAGTAAACATTAGCATTTAGCCATCTCAACACAAGCAGACAATTTGAATGTCTGCTTGTAAACACTAGCATTCAGCCATCTCAACACAAGCATACAATGTGCTTGTCTGCTAGTAAACATTAGCATTTAGCCATCTCAACACAAGCAGACAATTTGAATGTCTGCTTGTAAACACTAGCATTCAGCCATCTCAACACAAGCATACAATGTGCTTGTCTGCTAGTAAACATTAGCATTTAGCCATCTCAACACAAGCAGAAAATGTGAATGTCTGCTAGTAAACATTAGCATTTAGCCATCTCAACACAAGCAGAAAATGTGAATGTCTGCTAGTAAACATTAGCATTCAGCCATCTCAACATAAGCAGAAAATGTGCATGTCCGAATCGATCTCTTGTAACAAGTATTTCTTTAACAAACTATTTAGAATAGATAATGGAAATGTATTGACTTGTGTGCCAGGTGGGAGGGGGGGGGGGATAGGCTTGTAGTGTAGAGATAACGGACACGAACATCTCGTTAATAGAAGTTTAACTACCTGCCCTTTAGAAACAGCTGCATACAAAGAAAGGCAGTAAATTATCTTTTCATAAAAATCAGTTGTGTTCAAATATATAAAGGTGTTAAGAAAACTAAACACCACTTCATTATAGAAATAGTTAAAAATAAACATTTTAATATTGTGACAGCACCGAAAAAATATTCAATCAAAGCATAACAGTATCGAAGACCAAAACCTTTATTAATCCGATTCATTAATTTACACGACTAGACAGAAAGAACCTTCTTATTTTAAAATATATGCAGTGTAGAAGTGGGAGGGGTAAGAACAGCTTTATTTTTTTAGTTATGAAAGAGCCACCGACCGGTTTTCTTGTTGGGTCGACCCACCAAACACATTTCGGTGACCTTTGCATCTTTATAGTATAGCGATACGGTTGAACTAAACCTCTGCATTGCGTTATGCAAAATCTGTGGTTCTCTAAATCTTGTCTGAATAATCTATTTTTAGTGCAAAGCAATATTGATTTTCTTTTGCTTTAAATTAAAGTTGTAATTACTTGATCTTTTGAAGTAGATGTGTGTGTGATGGTGTTTTCGTCTTGTTAAATGGTGTAGGAAGAAAACGTGCTGAACAAAAAAAAGCAGCTAAACAAAGTTGATGATATAAGCCTGCTATGTCCGGCATGATGTCCAGTTGGTGATCCTGGTATTTGCAAATATCCCCACGTCTGACAAGATTCAGTCGGTGGATTTGTTATTTAAAAATCTATGTCCGGCATGATGTCCAGTTGGTGATATCGGTATTTTAAAATCTCTCACTATGTAGTCGTTAGCTGGACCTGGATTACGGAACAATCTGCATATTCATGACGCTGATTCGAAGGCTTGTATCATCTGTATTGATCTCTTGCCAAGTCTGCGTGAATTGGCAGTCTCGGGGTGGGGTATGGATATTCTTTTGTAGTACCCTGGGTGGGGGGGGGGGGGGCGGTAGATCTAATACATCCGTTAGTACCATGTAGGCCTACTTATAATACTATAATTATCAATATTTGCAGCCAACGCTCCTGCATTGCATGCAAGATTATTGTTTAGGATTAGAAAAATATGCTGGATAATTTCCCCTACGTGGCACATCGTCATAAAGTTTTGAACTCGAACTCTTGAACTAGCGTCTGGCAACATTTTTGGACTAATTAATGTGTACACTAATTAACAGAATCATTATGTCTACCAAGGTGTCCAATATTTAGCATTGTCAATTAATTACGAAATGAATCATAGTAGACGACTGACGTTGTTCATTGTTCTGTGGAGGCGAAGGAGTCGTGTCATGTGTTAGGAGATATTTACGTGCAACTTGAGGTGAATGAATCGTGTCGTGTGTTAGGAGATATTTACGTGCAACTTGAGGTGAATGAATCGTGTCGTGTGTTAGGAGATAATATAAACACAACTTGAGGCGAATGAATCGTGTCGTGTGTTAGGTGATATTTACGCGCAACTTGAGGCGAATGAATCGTGTCGTGTGTTAGGTGATATTTACGCGCAACTTGAGGCGAATGAATCGTGTCGTGTGTTAGGAGATAATATAAACACAACTTGAGGCGAATGAATCGTGTCGTGTGTTAGGTGATATTTACGCGCAACTTGAGGCGAATGAATCGTGTCGTGTGTTAGGAGATAATATAAACACAACTTGAGGCGAATGAATCGTGTCGTGTGTTAGGTGATATTTACGCGCAACTTGAGGCGAATGAATCGTGTCGTGTGTTAGGAGATATTTAAGCGCAACTGTTTGAGGTGAAATCACATTTTTATTTCGTACCTCCATCAGAGCTGGGGGCTTCCCTGTGACGTCATTAATCATTCCTCGTAGCCCTGGTGTATCTAATTAAGGAGGACTGGGCATTGACCTTAGTATATTTTTTTTTATCTGCGTAGTCAGCGCTATACAGTGCGATTAGCAAGAACGGAATGACCCAGACCGTTTGGCGACCAACAGTGTTTTAAAGTGAACCCAACCCTGTGTGTGTGTGTCAGCGATTACCCACGAACATTGTTTTAAACTGAACCCAACCCTGTGTGTGTGTCAGCGATTACCCACGAACATTGTTTTAAAGTGAACCTAACCCTGTGTGTGTGTGTGTCAGCAATTACCCACGAACATTGTTTTAAAGTGAACCTAACCCTGTGTGTGTGTGTCAGCGATTACCCACGAACATTGTTTTAAAGTGAACCCAACCCTGTGTGTGTGTGTCAGCGATTACCCATGAACATTGTTTTAAAGTGAACCCAACCCTGTGTGTGTGTCAGCGATTACCCATGAACAGTGTTTTAAAGTGAACCCAACCCTGTGTGTGTGTGTCAGCGATTACCCATGAACATTGTTTTAAAGTGAACCCAACCCTGTGTGTGTGTCAGCGATTACCCATGAACAGTGTTTTAAAGTGAACCCAACCCTGTGTGTGTGTCAGCGATTACCCACGAACATTGTTTTAAAGTGAACCCAACCCTGTGTGTGTGTCAGCGATTACCCACGAACAGTGTTTTAAAGTGAACCTAACCCTGTGTGTGTGTGAGCGATTACCCACGAACAGTGTTTTAAAGTGAACCTAACCCTGTGTGTGTGTGAGCGATTACCCACGAACATTGTTTTAAAGTGAACCCAACCCTGTGTGTGTGTGAGCGATTACCCACGAACATTGTTTTAAAGTGAACCCAACCCTGTGTGTGTGTCAGCGATTACCCACGAACAGTGTTTTAAAGTGAACCCAACCCTGTGTGAATGTCGGAGTTTACCCACGAACATTGTTTTAAATTGAACCCAACCCTGTGTGTGTGTGTCAGCGATTACCCACGAACAGTGTTTTAAAGTGAACCCAACCCTGTGTGTGTGTGTCAGCGATTACCCACGAACATTGTTTTAAATTGAACCCAACCCTGTGTGTGTGTGTCAGCGATTACCCACGAACATTGTTTTAAATTGAACCCAACCCTGTGTGTGTGTCAGCGATTACCCACGAACAGTGTTTTAAAGTGAACCTAACCCTGTGTGTGTGTGTGTGTGTGTGTGAGCGATTACCCACGAACATTGTTTTAAAGTGAACCCAACCCTGTGTGTGTGTGTCAGCGAATACCCACGAACAGTGTTTTAAAGTGAACCCAACCCTGTGTGTGTGTGAGCGATTACCCACGAACATTGTTTTAAAGTGAACCCAACCCTGTGTGTGTGTGTCAGCGATTACCCACGAACATTGTTTTAAAGTGAACCCAACCCTGTGTGTGTGTCAGCGATTACCAACGCACATTGTTTTAAATTGAACCCAACCCTGTGTGTGTGTGTGTGTGTGTGTGTGTGAGAGCGATTACCCACGAACATTGTTTTAAAGTGAACCCAACCCTGTTTGTGTGTGTGTGAGCGATTACCCACGAACATTGTTTTAAAGTGAACCCAACCCTGTGTGTGTGAGCGATTACCCACGAACATTGTTTTAAAGTGAACCCAACCCTGTTTGTGTGTGTGTGAGCGATTACCCACGAACATTGTTTTAAAGTGAACCCAACCCTGTGTGTGTGAGCGATTACCCACGAACATTGTTTTAAAGTGAACCCAACCCTGTGTGTGTGTCAGCGATTACCCATGAACAGTGTTTTAAAGTGAACCCAACCCTGTGTGTGTGTCAGCAATTACCCACGAACATTGTTTTAAAGTGAACCCAACCCTGTGTGTGTGTCAGCGATTACCCATGAACATTGTTTTAAAGTGAACCCAACCCTGTGTGTGTGTCAGCGATTACCCATGAACAGTGTTTTAAAGTGAACCCAACCCTGTGTGTGTGTCAGCAATTACCCACGAACATTGTTTTAAAGTGAACCCAACCCTGTGTGTGTGTCAGCGATTACCCACGAACATTGTTTTAAAGTGAACCCAACCCTGTGTGTGTGTGTCAGCGATTACCCACGAACAGTGTTTTAAAGTGAACCCAACCCTGTGTGAATGTCGGAGTTTACCCACGAACATTGTTTTAAATTGAACCCAACCCTGTGTGTGTGTGTCAGCGATTACCCACGAACAGTGTTTTAAAGTGAACCCAACCCTGTGTGTGTGTGTCAGCGATTACCCACGAACATTGTTTTAAATTGAACCCAACCCTGTGTGTGTGTGTCAGCGATTGCCCACGAACATTGTTTTAAATTGAACCCAACCCTGTGTGTGTGTGTCAGCGATTACCCACGAACAGTGTTTTAAAGTGAACCCAACATCAGGGTGTTTACTCACCAATCCCACAGCCAATCCCGAAAGCAGTACTCACGTTTTTTATGCCCCCAGTTAAAGCAAAACGGTGTTGGTCTGAAGCGGTCCACCCACACCAAACATGGCCCATTCATGGATCAATGCATGGGCTGGGAGTGGGTATTATGACAAAGGAATAAAGGAAGCTTATTGATTGAGTACTCAATACATCAGAAACGGCTCACTAAACGAAGATTCATTTTATTTTAATACATCATCATCATATTATTCTTTACTATAACATGTCCACTGAAAGCCCAAAATACGTTGTCTTAATATCTTTGATGCTTACCATTATAATATAAAAGTCTGTTCAAATCTTTGTACACATTTTCTTTCAGGTGCATATTGGATATCTGCCAAACAATAAAATTCTAGGCCTTAGTAAATTAGCAAGGTGAGACACAGTTCTAATGTATCATCTTTAAGTTAATGCTTGAATCGACTTTATTAGATATTACCTTGATAAAGGATATAGTAACTTTATTGATTCACTTAAAATCTTTTTCAGAATTGTTGAAGTCTACAGCAGACGTCTCCAGGGTGAGCATTGATTTATTTGACATACAGTGAGCTGCTAGTATGATCACATCTTTATTTATTTGACATACAGTGAGCTGCTAGTATGATCACATCTTTATTTGACATACAGTGAGCTGCTAGTATGATCACATCTTTATTTATTTGACATACAGTGAGCTGCTAGTCTGATCACATCTTTATTTGACATACACTGAGCTGCTAGTATGATCACATCTTTATTTGACATACAGTGAGCTGCTAGTATGATCACATCTTTATTTGACATACAGTGAGCTGCTAGTATGATCACATCTTTATTTATTTGACATACAGTGAGCTGCTAGTCTGATCACATCTTTATTTGACATACACTGAGCTGCTAGTATGATCACATCTTTATTTGACATACAGTGAGCTGCTAGTATGATCACATCTTTATTTATTTGACATACAGTGAGCTGCTAGTATGATCACATCTTTATTTATTTGACATACAGTGAGCTGCTAGTATGATCACATCTTTATTTATTTGACATACAGTGAGCTGCTAGTATGATCACATCTTTATTTGACATACAGTGAGCTGCTAGTATGATCACATCTTTATTTATTTGACATACAGTGAGCTGCTAGTATGATCACATCTTTATTTGACATACAGTGAGCTGCTAGTATGATCACGTCTTTATTTATTAGACATACAGTGAGCTGCTAGTATGATCACATCTCAGTCCGCTACGTAATGTCTATAGCTAAATTGTTATACCAGTCTAAAATGTCAAACTTTTTTTCCAGTCCAAGAACGCCTAACTAAACAGATTGCCTTAGCCATCACAGAAGCCATACAGCCCTCAGGGGTGGGCGTGGTTATAGAAGCCAGGTAGGAAGATTTGTCATGTCAGTCAAGTTTAGTGAGTGACTAGGTGAAACACTGAGTAGCATTGGTTAAATCCTGTCTGCTTATGCTTGTATCAACTTAGCTTCTGTTGTGAAGCCCAGTTTTTGATGCCATGTTACAAAGCTTATTTGATTGTTTTGTTTTTACTTGCAGCCACATGTGTATGGTGATGAGAGGTGTACAGAAACTCAACAGTAAGACCATCACAAGCACAATGCTGGGGGTCTTTAGAGATGACCCCAAGACGAGAGAAGAATTTCTGTCTTTGACTCTAGCCAAGTAGCTGTCACCATTTGATCTGGCAACAGTGTAGCATTAGATAGCTAGAAAGGGCTGTAAAAGTTTATTGTAATCTCATCAAAGTATTTCTAGCAAGTTTAGGGAACATTAGTTATCTGTGGTGGTGGTTTTGTTGGTTTTTGTTTTATAAAAGACTCGTACATTTTTTTTTTTTTGCATTTATTGTTCAATTAACTTTACCGGTATTTGTGTATAAAATTCATGGGACTCATAATCAAATAATTAAATTCATATCATAATTTTACATTTTTTTTTTTTTGCTTTTTGTTGGCTGAAAATAACTTGTATTTTTTATTTCATAATTTTACTAATTTAAAAAAAAAATAATGTTTGAAGTAAAAAACTTTCTAAATTTATTCAAATATCCTGTATACAAAATAAAAATTCTCTTAAATTTTTTACTTTTTAATCTGTCATTACAAGTAAAAATAGTCAAACTTGGCCAGAAAGTGTATTTAATGAAATGTTGTGTTCTTTTTATTTTGTGTATTATTTTTGCTTCACTGCTGCAAATTAAACATGAGCTTTATGATGAAACAGCATTTATGCCATCTTAATATTTATAAGCCCTAGTTGTTTTAGTGAGTTGACACTGTTAAAATCAAACATTAAGCTTGTATTAAGCATGTAGTAAGCAATATACTGGTAAAGTTTGATGAGCTTTACTCACTTTAAAAGCTGTAGGGTAAATCAAAAAGCTATTTATATCTTCATTTATGTCTCATTTGTGTGATTAACTTGAAGCATAATAAATATTCATGTACTTTATTCAAAATGTTTATTTTCTATTTAATTATTCATTATTCTTTATACATTCCTTGAAAACATTCATTTACAAAGTTCACTTTGTGATAAAAGGTTGCCCAGTGCTAAATATAATTTACAAATATTATTCAAAGAAAATCTCATATTTAACTTTTTCACCATTTTCAGATCTTTTATTCAAATTTTGAACTGATTATAGAGGTTCAAACCAGTTGTTTTGTTGTGTTCAATCAAAAACTTTGTTTAATAACACTCAAAATTTTGATGTTGGTGTTGCATCAAAATTAACATTCCATTCCATTATTATATTTTAAATAAAAGAATTTTTTTCATTAGATTTTTAAAAATGTCCACTTTTATTTTCAAACTGTTTGCTATTATGAAGCAAATTATAATGTAACACATTTTGAACCAGAGTAATTTCTTTCTATTATTTACAAAATGTACTATATATAATATGTTTATGACACTGAAAAGATGTATTTATCTTCTATTATTCAATAAAGACATTTTTAATATAACCTCAACATATCTCAAGCACATCTGTGAAAAAAAAAATTTAAAGTGTAATTCTATTGGTATTGAAGATACATAGGTGATAGATACTGTTTGTGTAGTGAACTAGACTGCTTTTTATACCTTCTGCTTCCTTTCATGTTAGATGTATTAACATGTCATGGATACATACACATTCATATTGCTGTTGTATATTAAAGTGATTGGACTTGGATAATTGACACAAAATGATCATTGAATTAGACATCCTTTATTGTGTAATGTGTCAAATGTGTGCCTATACAGCTATGTTCCCTGGATTGTATGTAGCAAATCTATTGATGTTAACATATGATTTATTGTTTGAGATGTATACATTTTGAGCTCTTAACTAATATTAGGTGTACCAATGTGTACATGAAATTTTACAGTCAACGATCTAATGTACACAATAGGTTCATTCTTATATATAACATGCTGCACTTATACATTACTTCATTAGAAAAAAAAAGTTTAAACTTCTTCTTCTTCTTCGTTCTTAATTTTTGGATATGGTGGAGGATTCAGACAACAAGTCCAACTTCGTGGACAAACCGGACTGTGGTTTCCAGTTTGTCAGGTGTCCCATATAATTTTTCCCTGAGTGGGGTGGGCTGGGGCCAGTGTCTGCCTCTTGCCTGGCTATACAGAGTACATTCCTGAAAGTTTAAACAATAATACATAGCCATTGTTTTTATTCTATCTGATAGATGTTTAGAACACAATAGAATTGGATAAAAGAGAATGATTTACATTTATTTGGTTAAGACATTCTCATTTTTTAAATCTGCTTTCCATTAATCAGTAGTTGGTTGATCAGTATGTGTTTTTTTATTCTATTTATTAAACAGTTATTATTCATTAAAACAAGTCAAACAGGATATCAGAAATGTTGACTTGTTAATTTATCAGAATGTAAACATGTAGATACCAGACCTTTCAACAGCCCAGATGTAGAATGTATTGGAACTATAAAACATGGACCAAGGTGCAATACTATTGCATCTGAATCAACTTGAATTATTCTGACAAAAAAAAATCAATGTTGCCTAAAATGTATGAAATTATTTACTTTATGTTAAAGCACTCAAAGAATTTTGATCAGAAAGGTATCACAAAAATGTAACCACATCTTCAAATTTCCTTTGCAAAAAAAACTACAGGCAACATCAGTTAACTAATTATGTTAATTGTATGTCTACTTTTCTGTGTTCTGTGTACAATATCTAATCCATGACAACATGTGTAAGCTGAAATGTATTTTTGACGTTTCTACAAATGAATTATACAAAAACCAAAGCTAATTGGTAATACTGTTGACAAAAATAAAACATGATAGCCTAAATTGTTTGAGTTAAGATTTCTCATATTGTTTGTTGTAATTAGTGTTGTCTATTACCTAAATATGTTGTTATTTTTTTTTTCCAAGTTGACCTTCTAACATCACTTTTACTTGTTTCCTAGTTTGATGTTTTCCTAACACTTATCAGTCAGTGGTGGGCGTGGTCGAGTCAGTAAAGCTGATGGTTGCTAAACCAAAAAATTTCGAGTTCGAGCCCTCAGGCAGATGAGGCTCGTTAGCTGGGGACAGCCACTCTTCTTGGAGAGTCAGACAACTCCAAAATCAAACAACTGCTGCCTTGTAGTTTGTTGTTCTTGGTTGGGCAAAGGCTATAGAAGCAAATAAAAAAAAAGCAGGCTGAAATTAGACTCAATGGCGCATAACCAGTTGAAACGTATACTTAATTGTGTTGGAAGCGTGGTTGAGTCGGCAAAGCTCATGGTTAGTTAACATTAAAAAAAGTCTCGAGTTCGAACCCTCTGGCAGATAAGGCTTGATCCCTTCCAACACTAAAAATTAAGAACGAAGAAGAAGAAAGAAGAGTCAGTGATCTGTTGGCTGTTCTTTTTTTCTACTCTGTCACCATTTAACAGTGGCTTCATTATGTCGGGTCTCACCTGTTCAGTAATCTTCCATCAGAAGTTTCACTCAGATATTTTTCTTAAGAAGGGGCCAAATTTTTTCTAAATAAATATCTTCCGTGGAACAGAGAAAGTGCTCTGAAAAATGCCTGAATGCCAGGATAAAATAAAACTCTTGTAACTAAATCACAACAATCATGTCTTTTAGATCTAATGTCTCTTACTATAACACTATTTATAGAATATAAAACATTCAACTGTATATTACTTATGCTTATCAAATCACTTTATTATGAACCAGGCAATACACATATGAATCAAAGTCCAGAAATAACTGGCCTGCCCCTGTGCTCTTTAAGCTCAAGTCATACGGAATGATTAATTCCTTATGAGAAATAAATGCTTGAAGTGCTTGACATTCTCTGTTGTCATTCATGCATCAGTTTCTTTATTAGAACTTAATTAGGCATGATCTTATTTAGAACAATTCATTTTCTTCAAAATCTATATATGTATCATCATTATCATTGCTCAACACCCATTGATGCATTAGGCTTCAACTAGTAAGAGTCATTTCATTTTGTCTCTATCCTGTTGGAATGCATGACCTTTCTTTTTCAACTCTTTCACTATTGATCTCCAACATTTCATTTAATGCAATATTTTAAAATAGTGATACATGCAGTTCCTGCAAATAATATCCACATATTTATGCAAGTCTTTGTGACATTTATTAAACAAGAAACATGACCACTGCTTTTATACCCCCGTTCTCTCTTCCCCCCCCCCCCCTCCCCAAACGAGATGGAATTTATATAGATCTAGTGAAAATATACTTTTACTAGTGTCCGCCCTCCCCCCGGAAATGTTGACAGCCCCCCCCCCCCGGAAAATATCAAGCCCCCCCCCCCCCCCCCCGGAGAAAAAAGTCTGGAAGAAACACCCCCCCCCCCCCCCGCCAATTAATATGGTCACTTCTTACAATAACAGTAAGCTAAATTTATGTGGATTAAAATTTCTACCTTCACCGGCAGAAGCTAAAAACGAAACTGGTCAGTTAGATTAGGAGTTACCTCATACAAAAACAGGAAGCTAAATATCGTCATGCGCAGAGGCATCTAATCACCGCCATTGATATAGTTTTTGTGGTTTTGATAACAAGAATATTGGAACTTATTTTCAGAATGTTAAAAATATTAGTTGAACCAGAATAGCATCCCAATGTCTGGGACTCTGGCCTTATTTAGAAAGACAGCCGGTCATGGCGATATAAAAAAGTCGGCCCTGAAAGTAGCAGATACTAAAAAAGATACAGTCACTCGACTGAAGCATCTTCGACTTGTTTTGGGTTCGAAATTTTCGACTTGTTCTAGTCTAGCATCTAGTCTAGGTTGTAGCATGAGATTAGAACTAAAGAGTTTTATAACTTATAAACCTGTTAGTTACTTGGTGGTGGGATTAAGAATCACAATGATACCTAATTTATAGTGCTAGCTTAATTAGAAGCTGAGAAATTAATTTTTTTGTTTTTTAATAGCTGGCTTAACAGAAAATCTGTAAATGGGAGATAACACCAGGAAACAAAAAAAAATAAAAACAGCAAAATAATCTTAAACAATTTTATTTTAAAAAATCATATCACAATTTATAACAAATAAAAGTTACAATAATAACTGCCCTTGAAAGAATACAGAAAGTGCAATTACAGCTGTAATTTGCGACTTTTTAGCACATAGGCCTAATTTAAATTTAATCAAAATTTTAATATTTCAAATCTTGTATTTTTAGACAGCCCTATTTCTAATTATTTAGTACTGCTGTTGAAACTACAAATATATGCCCTGAAATGGCTAAGAATAATAATTAATTAGGCTATAATTAATGAAAATAACTGCTATAATTTGCAGATCAAAATAATTAATTTTTCAAACTTTGTATTTTTGTGAAAAATATATAGGCCTAAATGTTTAGTTTTACCTGTGCTGATTAAAACAACTTAATAGCTGAGTGTTAGAACAACAAAAAAATGAAATAAAAAAAAATCACCTCTAACTATGAATGTACCAAAACTGAGGTCAACATCTACCAAACATCCAGGTCCACAATTAGAGCATGTACAGGAATCTGAACTGTCCTCATTTCCTCACATGTAGCTAAGGATGAAAGGATAAGACTTGATCTTGCTTGATGGTAGCCTATCAAAACCCTCGAAGAGCAGTCCTTACCAGCCAGCTTGTAGACCAACAGATAACAAGCCAAGTCTTGTCCCTCTATGACTTGCTGCAGAAAAGGCTTCTGTCTGGCATCTATCCTAGCAAACAGTTCATGTTCGGCCGTAACACCACCCAGCAACAAAGCAGTCAGCACTTCCTTGTCCTAAAGGAAACTCCCCTTTTTCTCCCATTGATTGAAAAAGTAGAGGAGCCAAAATGTTCAGACAAACTGGTGAAAAAGGTTAGGTTTGCGCCCTGAGACATAGGCAGGTGACAAGAGCTCTCCAGGCATCTCTGTCCTGCGACAGTCTTTTCAAATGTCCCCAGGTGTATCCAATCTTCTTAGTGTCTTCTTTCAGGTCACGTCTCCAGGTCTTCCTCTTTTGTGTAAGTCTTGTGGATTCCAGGATAAACTAATGGCTATTCTAATTGTAAGAGATTCTAAATTAGTTTAAATCTAATTAATAATGCATACAAAATGCCTAGCCCTGATAAGAAGACTACTATGTTCCAAAAATGTTATTGGACAAGGGTTGAAAAAAGGCAATTAAGAATACATTTGCAAAATTAAGTGATATGACCTTGATAAAACTGGAAACACAAGTGGTTTATCTAGCTTATTTTATATAATTACTGACAAAGCCTTAAATAATTTATACTTATATAGTACAGATTTGAGAACTAGTGCCTTTTTTTACGGTTTTTGCCATTCATAGTAATGAAAAAAGCAATATGGCGGACTATTAAATTTGCTTGAACAAGGCTTGAAAAAAAAAAAAATTTGAATACATTTGCAAAATTAAGTGGCATGTCCTTGATAGAATAATAAAGACAAGTGGTTTATCTAGCTTATTTTATATGATTACTGACAAAGCCTTAAATACTTTATAAGTTATAGACTTCAGAACTGGTGCCTTTTTCACGTTTTTTGCCATTCATAGTAATGAAAAAAGCAATATGGCGGACTATAAAATTTGCTTGAACAAGGCTTGAAAAAAAAAAAAAATTTGAATACATTTGCAAAATTAAGTGACATGTCCTTGATAGAATAATAAAGACAAGTGGTTTATCTAGCTTATTTTATATGATTACTGACAAAGCCTTAAATACTTTATAAGTTATAGACTTCAGAACTGGTGCCTTTTTCACGTTTTTTGCCATTCATAGTAATGAAAAAAGCAATATGGCGGACTATAAAATTTGCTTGAACAAGGCTTGAAAAAAAAAAAAAATTTGAATACATTTGCAAAATTAAGTGACATGTCCTTGATAGAATAATAAAGACAAGTGGTTTATCTAGCTTATTTTATATGATTACTGACAAAGCCTTAAATACTTTATAAGTTATAGACTTCAGAACTGGTGCCTTTTCACGTTTTTTGCCATTCATAGTAATGAAAAAAGCAATATGGCGGACTACCAACAAGGCTTGACAAAAAAATTAATTTCAAATACATTTGCAAAATTCTAATTGATTTCCTTAATAAAATATTCAATATAGGTGGTTTATCTAACTTTTTACTTAAAAATCTGAGCGCAGGCGATTATAATTTTGTGAGAATACGCTTTTGAATTGTAGCTAATTTTTACCAATCATTATAATGGAGGCCGCCATGATGGCAGGCAGAAAAATCGAGATACCCAAGGTTTAAAAAAAAATTAATTTAAGATAGGTTTGTAAAATTTATTCTTAATTTCTTGTTAGAATATGAAACAAGAATGGTTAATCTATTTAATTCTCATTAAATATTGGTGCAGGCGGGTTCTTTTATATTAAAAAAAAAAGGTTGAAAACTTACCTATTTTTCTGAAGCAAATATTCAAGTTAAAAAAAAAAAAAATTGAAAAATTTTTGCACTGGGTAATGGCCGAAAATCCAAACTTTGTAAAAATTTGGCTGCTGGACGGAAGCGGAACTTGAATTATTTAATCTTTAATTAATAAGAGTACTAGGTAAAAAAAGAGAAAAATACTCATGCAGGCTGGAACAGGGAGGTTTTTTCAAGTCGGTTACCTCCCTTGGCCCTTAGTCTACATACTAATCTAGTCTCCAGAGTACTATTCTAGATTTTTGACTAATCTAGACCATTTCTAGACTCAACAATTCTAGATCTAGATCTATAGAGTCTAATTTATTATAGATCCTATCTAAACTGTACTCAGACTTATAGTAATCTAGTCATTGGTAGCACTGAGCAGAGAGCTAAATTCTAGATCTTGAGTTGTGCACTGAGGATTTTCTCTCCCCCCCCCCCCCCCCTCTTTGTTTGCAGCACCTAGTAGATTGACATAGATCTACATCTAGATTAAGTTTCCTTATTATTTGTAGCAGATTCTAGATTTTGATTTCACTTATTTCATATGATTGGAAGCATATTCCATCTCCAGCTGAGCTTAGGGCTTAGGCCTATTTCACCATTTGTAGTATTTGATTAATTAATGTAAACACAACCAAAACACACACAATGTTAGGAAAACTCTCAATAAAATCTAGATTTTATTTGTTTTTTTTTTTTAAATGAATTTATTGATAGGTAAAGTAATTGCAAAATTAAATAAGTCACTAGATCTAAGTGTTTAGGCATCAGTTTTAATCAATAGCCTCCATGTGATGACCAGTTAATTTCTTGTCAGATGGAGAAAAATCCCGACATGGTTGAGGACCAGGGGTCACTGTAAGGTCACATTGGTTTAGATATCGGCAATTGCTATAAGAAATTGTGGCGACGTCAGTTTTGGGGTCATTCTGAATTCATGTAGGCCCAAAATAATTAGGGTATATTATCATGCATTATGATGCATGCAAGATACTTGTAACCGCCTTGCCATTTTGATCTTTTTGCTTTACACATAGCCATGAAAATCTTAACTAACATGAAAATAATTTTCAAGAGTAAAAATAGACACATAGTGCACATTTAGGGGGCCTAATATTTTAAATTTGGATTTTTCTGAAATTCTGACGGAATTAACAAAACTTAAACAAAAACTCATAAAATATAAATAAATGGTATTCTCCTAGCCTTTTTGTGTGTATCAATTGTGTATTGTAAAATACACTTAATCCTAGGTGAACATGAAGCAACAAATAAAATACGTTAAAACATAGTTTTACTTAATTTAAAAATTCTAACTAAAAAAAAGACCAAAGCTTTGAAATACAACTACGATCCACCACCTTCTGCAATTGTTAAATATTAATATCATAATTTATAATAAAGTAAGAAATTATTCCCTGTCCTATAGGCTTGGCATAAATTCGGAAATGATAGCAGACTGGAAATAGCCATACTTTATTTTAGTGTGCGTACAGAAAAATGCTCAAAGAGAAATTTCTGGTCTCAGGAAAATGTGCAAGCAGAAAATGCACAAGTAAAAATTTTTCTCTCCCACAGAGAACTCAACTATAAAGATTGTTGCAATGTGTGTATGTGTTTATGCATGTGTATTTTTGTTTGTGTCTGTGTGTAAACATACAAAGATATACTTCATATAAAGTTTTAGTAAATAAATGCTGCTTCACTTTCTAAAATTCATAGAAACATAAATATTTTTTGATTATAAATGCATCACAGGTTTTTTACCATAGGGGTTGTTGTTGACCACAGCAAGGGTTTGCGCACTTTTTGTACCATTCTTATTGCACAGTTGCTTCACCTAGACTCAAAACTAAATGCTCAGTAGAACCTTGTAGTTTATGTTAAAAACGTTTACGTTTATGATTTTTTAAAATCAATTTAATGACATTTGTTTAATTGAAGTAAGTGAAGAGTAAAATTTGCTTTAATTGTTATTGCAGAAAATTATGACACCCAGGAAGCCAAAAAGTTCTTTATGGACAATTATTCACATATTTACTACATATTCTATGACAATTTTGGTACAGTTGAAGCCGATTTGAAACAAAGAGGTTTGTTTCTCTTTTAATATATCTTTATAAAATTGTACATTTTCTATAATGTATACTAAATTTGTATTTGCTTTTTTAAATTACATTTTGAGTTTATAGAGAGATTTTAAGAAAAACAATGATCATTTGAAAATGTTAAATTATTTGCAGATGGTGGTGGTGTATATACAAACATTTTTAATCTCTTTTTTTAAAAATTGCAAATATAATTTTTTTATGTAAATTTGCTTATAATAATGAACACAATGCTAATAATATTTTAAAACTATTCTTTAACTAGCCAATAAAGCACACAGGGAAGAGCTGGAAAGTATTCTATTCATATTTGAAGTGAGTCAGAGTCTTATGTGATAAAAGTTTGAATGTCAATTAAAATATATCAATTGTTGGCCATCTATTTATAAAATTTTAGTGTCATAGTATAGAAATTTAGTTTCAAATTTCTTTTGCAGAAAATCCTCTTTCTGTTACCTGAGATTATACATAAACGATGGATGTTTCACAGTATAGGTTTGTTAATATATGTTGATTAGTTCCACATTTTACTATTCTGATTTGAATTTAGAATTTTTAAATATAGATACATTTGTATATATTTGTTATATTAAAAAAAATTAAAGTATTAAATATAAGAATATTTTTTTATATTTAGGGCGAATCATAAAAAAACTACTTCATCCAGGAAACAACTTACAGGTATTTTTTTATTTTATAGGTTCTTATGTGTAGTTAATTTTCTCAACGTTTATCTTTTTAGAATGCAACTTTTATTGATTGTTAACATTTCAATATTTAGATTCGCAGTCAAGGAGTGAGGTTTTTTCTCATCTGGTATCAATGTTTGCAAGAAAATGCCAGTGAAGAATGCCATCAGATGTTCCTTAACTTAGTACCTGGACTCAGAGATGACACGGTAGCAGATTTCAACACCCTTATATCAGAAAATGCTGCATCTTGGGCAGACAGTGAGTTTCAATATTGTCAACATAAATTAAAAATAGCTTATCTGGAATAGTTTGCCTTCTGATATTTTTACAGCATATGTTAGCTTAAAATAAGAGATATATTTTTAAAAATATCTCACTGTATATTCCAGGTGTTGGTGGTATTATTGCTGCTGGAGAAATCACTGCCATTCTTCCCAGTCAGGCAGAGAAAACCCCAGATAATATAACGAAATATTTTCTTGATAGTTTGCTCAATTTCATGGTTTCAGAGGTATTTTGAGTTCCAAGTTTTCTATTAAGCTAGCCTACATTTGCTTAACATACCTTGTTAGGTGATTAAAAACATTTTATAGTAAATTGTGATCTAATTTTTTTTCTAAGGTTATAAAAATAGAATGGATGAACAAAGAAATGAGGGAGCAGAGTTTTGACTTTTTGTTTTCAAAGTTTAAAGCAAAGTATCTGCATTGGTTGTTGCCAGACTTTGTGCACAGAGATATCTATGACCCTGTTCAAGGTATAAAACATAGTATTACATTACTTTAAAATTTCTTAGAATAACTTGTGTGTTTTCTGTGATGACATGGTTACTGTTTTTATTTATTTAGAGCTTCCTGTGGCCCGTAGCAAAGAAGTGATGAAGAAAAAAGATGAACCTTTGGCAGTTTCAGAATGTAGAGATTCATTTATATTTTGGTTGGCAAATTTTACAGTATCTAGTCTTAAACCTGATCCTGATTTGCACAAGTAAGTTTTTAAAAATGTAAACACTTAAGATTTAAACAGTAACGTTTGAAATTATATTTATGTAATTAATCAGTATGATAATAGAATGAAAGATGTTTTGATATGTTTCAGGGGTCTGTCATGTTCACTGCTCACTGAGCCTTCATCTCATACTGGAGAATTAAGGGACATGAGCAAAGGTGCTGGTGATGTTGAAGAAGGTGCATCTTCACCACTTCCAGGCAGCAAGGGCAGTACTTTATCCTCAGACATGGTAACTAATGACTCAATGGCCAGCTTGTGTGGGGAGAATCACTCGGCTTCAGAGTATGAGATTGTTAAGGCTGTCTTGTATTCTACTAGAGAAAATGTCAACACCGTTCATGAATGCTTTAGACAGGTGACTTTTTTTGAAAACCTCAAATCTATGCATTTTTCAAAAATAATACCCTTTATTGCCATCATTTCAAGCTGTTTAATTTTCTTGGGTTATTTAGAATAATGCATTTTTTTTTCTTCATAAGACCCTTCTTCAGTCATTCAGACACACTAATGCTATTAGGAAGGTGATTAGTGTTTACAAAGAATGGTTTCAAGTAAGTTTCATTAATCATATTATCATTATACATTCTGTTGAGTTTTTTTTTATCAATGTATTTATTTGGTAACTACATCTTTGGCATGTAAACCTAATTAATACATTGTAGATTTATATTTAAAAAACTTTGAGAATGCTTAAAATTATATACAAAACACCTATTGAGGGTCCCAGTTTCTAGGTAAATGTAATTGGAATTTTAAGGTTAAGAGATGTTCAATCATAGTTATGTATAAAAGACATACCATTTATTCAAGCATCCCTAATTTTAAAATTTAGGCTTTTGATGGCCTCACTGGGTGTTCAGTGTATTTTATGGGATAAACATTTTCTGCATGTTGCTCTATTATGAGACTTGATGAACACTAATTTATTTTATTGTACTGAAATTACGTTGGGTGGAAGTTTACTCTTTTATTTACTGAGCAGATAAGAGAAATAGCAAAATTAATGATAAAGATTACAACATGATAATATGTAACCCATGAAATTAATGTTGTAACTAAAGAAAAATCTTTATAGAAAGTAAAAATCAACACTCCCTCTAAGTTTCTTGCTTGAAAAGTGCTTGTTACAACAATAAGCAGTTTAGTTCATAAAATTCATCCTGCTTGAGTTAAACTTTTTTATTTGGAAATTTTAGAATTTCTTTTAATTATCAAGGGTATATATTTGAAGATAAATTCAATGATATTTTTAGATCTTTGCAGTTTCAGTACCTTGTGCTGTTTTTTTTTAATATCTTTTTAACTATCAGTTTCAAATAAAAAATTAATTTATTTAAATATAAAACTACTCTTGATCTCACTGTGCCCAGTGTTTGTTTTGTTCTGAGTTCTGTTTTTTTTTTTAATGGCAGATGTTTATTCTGTCATATTTTTTTTCTATATCTGCTAACTTTAATTTCCCAAACAAAAGCACTTTTCTTTTCACTCAATGGGCTCTGCTTAAGTCTAATAGTATTACACATTTAATTTAGCCCTTATGAAAGTAGAGGCATTTTGTTATTGTTTAATGAGAATGGTTAATATAACTCTTAACTTATTTTTAAAAAATAGTGTATACCAGTTTTACTATATAGTGAAAAATAAGTTTAAAATATTTTAGGAAAGTATAGGTAAAAGAGATCCTGTGTGACAACACTAATTATCGTTTAAGAATATTATATACATTGGTAATTTATTTTGTTCTCTAAAATGTTTACAGAATTTCAAAAAGCTAACTGCTATGATTTTGATAATATTAATTTTAAGCTTAATTTTGATAACTTCAAAACCTCAACAGCTTGGATTAATACATTTAAAAGAAATTGATTATATTATACTAAAGCACCTGCTGGCATATTTAAGCTTTTTATATTGTGAAAATACAGTATAAGTGCTTTTCTTGTAAGTTTCTCAAAGAAATAGGACCTGGAATATAAAATTAACATATTGTGGATTTATTTAGAGGAGAACATGATGGTTTAATAATGATTGCTTGCTTTTATTATGATGTTCATGCACATTCTGTCATTCAACAAAATTGGGTATGTGCTGATGATACCATTCTACTTAGAGGGAAGTGTTCCTTTTTCAGAAAAAAAAGTTTATCAGTGATTGTTTGTTTAACAATTAAAATATATTTTTGTTGTGAGCTACTTTCTCTTAAAAAATATCACTCATAAAAATTGTGTACTTCCTTATTGAATTAATTATTGTTCTTCATTTCTAATACAAAAATTCTTTTTGTGCATTTTATAACCTTTTTTTTTTTTAATAAATGTACTATCTTTAGAAGTTTAGACATCCTCTTGCTTTTATTTCTCCACAAAGTTCAATGTGTTTTTAAAACATAAGACAAAAGTTTTGTTTATGCATCTTGTTACAATTAATTTGTGATCCTTCTAGATTCAAGTTTTTAACAGCATTTTAGTGGTGGAAATGTCTCCTTATTTTCTTCTTTTAACCTAATCACAGCTTCATATGTTGTGTTTTAACTCCTCAACTCTTTATATGCATGTGTGTGAGTATCTACTACTAATTATCAATTGAGCAGCATGAAGAAGAGCGGCCAGTGTTTATGTTGGAGCCACCAAGTATAGAGAACACCACAGAGGCCATTGACCAGGTTGAACAAAATGGCGTTGACCAGGGAGAGGGGCCAGAGTTTCATCATGGTTCTCTCTCAGATATTGTGGAGGAGGATAGAAACTCATTTGATGTATGTTTTTGTGTATTCATGTCAGACAGAAATGGGTGGTTATGTGTAGCAGGGATTAAAATACATCCACATTCCTACTTACTTCCTTGTAGGGAAACAAATCACTGTTCTGAATCCAACCCATCAGCTATATGTTATGTCACTGTTGTATCAACTAAGATGCCATTGATTTTGAAGCTCAATCGCATTGTGTAATGTTGAATGTTTCATATATGTCTCACCATGTTATTCATGCATGTCAAATAATGTGAAATTCATTTAACTTAAATACCTTTATTAACTGGCATAAAATTATTACATGTATTATCAACTTCAGTATTTGTCATGTGTGTTTGTATTGGTAAAAAATACTACTACTATTATTTCTGATATATTTTAAATGTATCATTATATAAAGTAAATTCTAAAGACAGATGATATGACATTAAAAAAAAATCAAACATAGCTAGTAATTCACTTCATAAAGAATTGTCACCTGTGTGTAGTGTTTTATGATTGCATGCCCAAATAAAACAAATATTGCAATTTTCCCCTTAAATATTTTATCAAAAAGTTTGATTTAATTAAGCCTTTGAGTGATCCATGCCTCCATACCTTTTTCATAATTACACTCAGCATGTCATTTTCAGCTTTTTTTTGTCAGCACGCATATTTATGTGTATTTTCATGCTTTTCAATGTTGCCACCAGTTTTGTTATTCATTGATTGGTTTTTGTGTTGTAACCTTTTCTTATTTATCCTTCCCTGTTCATTTCACATTTGATCATATGTTAATTTAAAGATATTTTCATTTAGATTTTAAAATAAAATAATTTAATTTAGCTTTTAAAAAATTGACTTTTTATTTACTTAAAAAGGATGTTAATTCATCAATTTAACTGGTTGAAGACCAGAAACAGTTTTTACATTCATAAAGTACCTTAATTAACTAATTAACCATTGGGGTTTTCTTTCTCCTGCTATAAAGGATTCACCATCAGCTAGTGCCCTTTCCTTACAACACTTAAATGCCCCATCAGAAAATGAAGATGGTGCTAGACGAATTTACCTTAGAAATCGCTCCTACTTGGGAGCTGTGCAAGACCTAGCAGACCTTGGGGATGAAAAAAGTAAAGATGTTAGAGCAGGATTGCAAAGAATACTTCAAGTGTTCATTACTAATGCTGCCAATATTTTTCTATTGGATGCTGAAGATGATGGGCATCTGCAAGATCAGGTTTGTATCTTTTTTATACAAACAAATTTAAATTACCTTTAAATCCAGGGATATCATGTTACAAAAAACATTTAGCATAATTGCCTAAGTATTAATAAGCAAGGAAATTGAGTCTTGTTAAAAATTACACAAGTGAATACTTTCTTTTATAACTGAAGTACACTCAAATATTTACTCCATCTGTTAATTGTATTTGATAGGTGGAACTCTGCAAACGGGTGCTGAACATCTATCGCCATGTGGTCATGAACATTGAATTAAATCACCAAACATGGTAAGGTATTCTTTAATGTTATCTAAAGCTTTATTAGATAAGCCAGTCTATTATCTGAACTAAACTTGATTGTAAATTTTCTGTACACAGGGAGCAAATGTTGAAGGTGTTGTTGCGAGTTACATCTGGTGTTCTGAAGCGAAACCCTCCAAAAGAAAGATATTTAACTTTAGGAGGAAGATTAGCTCAGCCAATTTTTCAGGTATATATCTACATTTTCCATCCTTATTGTGTATAAACTCAATGAAAACAATATAGCAACATTGTTTATTTTAAACTTACTTGTGGTAATTTACTTTTTTCAAACTCACCTTAAATATTTGTGCACAATCTATCTGGAAATGTATATGAGATCAGCTTTCCAGATTTTTGTTGCACTGACATAGAATTTGACTTTGCCACGGTGTTGTCTAAAGTCAGGCAATTATCGGCCGAGGGGTCATACATAAATACTTATCACAAGTCTCATCAAACAAATTGCTTCCCATTAAATTAACCAAGAACATTATTTGCTTATAAGATAATCAACCTTTCCTCTGAAAGTAATACACAACTGAAACATTGTTGCTTCTTAGTCTTCTACTGTTTGATTTGCTACCAAGAAGTATCAAAATAAGATGCCCATTGCAGTAACACTGATAATAATATATTTATTTTCCCTACAGACATTGATAGTTACTTGGACCAAAGCAAATTTAAATGTTATGGTGACTTCAGCATTATGGGATGAATTTCTGGCAGTTCTTTCTGCTCTTACATCTTGGAAAGAACTGATTATGGAGTGGTCGGTATGTTATATTTGACTGCACTTTTCACCCAAAGTTTATTGTGAGGAGAATTTTAAATTATTTTTGCAGTAATGACCTTTCTCTTTTACTAAACATGAATTTCATTCTATCTAGAAAACAATGGAAACCCTTACAAGAGTTTTGGCAAGGCAGGTATATGGGTTAGATTTAAATGACCTCCCTTTGGAGCGATTGAGTGAGCAGAAAGAAAAAAGACGAAGGGGAAAAGGTAAAGTAAAATTAGTGGAAAATACCATTTATGTTCTTTTGTTGTAGTTGTACAGTTTACTATTAACATGCTGCATTTACTGTAAATAAGGTCCCGCCCCTTGGTTTATTAGTAATCTTTGTATTACAGAGTCTACTAAAGGAAAATCCAACTCTAAGTCAACAGCTGGAAAGCTTGAGAAAAGCTTTTCCCGAGGCTGGAGTGGTAGCGATGGCAATACTGTGAACCCACTCCGTAGCTCAACTAACAGTGCCCCAACTCCAGAGTTGACAGGATCTTTTGAAAGGGGAACCAAATACAAAAGTGATGGTACGTAACATGCCTGACTAGAGCCTGCTAAATCTGAGTATTGAAGGTGTAATTGATTGTGATAGTAAGAAGAAGTCTTATTACATTTAGGTGCTGGAGGTAAAATACGACCAGACTTATCCAAACAAAAGTCTCTGAGTGGAGAGCCATCACCAGCCCATTCCCGATGTCCATCAACGTCTACAGAATGTTTAGTCAGGTCTAGCAGTGAGGGAAACATTGCAGCGGATCCACATGAGTTGCTTGAAAAACTCAGAGGTAAGATTGTCTCAGATTGTTTTTCCTAGAAGGGAGCAATCTTTTAAAACTTAATGTGCCCTTTTATTAGAATCCTTAATAGTTTCTATTTTAATGCTATTTGTTTTGTCGATTGCTGTGTTTTTCATACTAATCTCTTTCCATTTATTTAATTTTCAAGTTTTAAAAAAATTTAAATGATCATTTTAACATAGAATGTTCTGACAAAGTTGATACTCTCATTGAAGATTAAATCATGTTGTCTTTAACAGCATGTACATTTTCTTGTTTTTGTAAGAGATTAATAACAATAAACATTGTCTTAATTTTTAAAAATCTTTTCTAAATAGCTAGCTTTCTAAATTAATATTTTTTAAAAACCTGAAATATATTAAAACAAAATGATTAGGAAAAAAGCATAATTATTAGGAAAAACAGAAACAGTGTGAACTTTTAACAATATGATGCAACCAAAAGCTCAGAATTATCAGTTTTTTTGGCAACCATAATTAAAGTTTTTAACAGCTTATTGTTTTACCTTATTGTAAATGACTCAAGACAATAACATCAAATTTAATACTAATTTCTCTCATCAATGTCTAGGTTTGGATGTATGTTTAAACTAAATGGGCATGATTTTTGTTTTCTCAAGTCTGGGGAATCAGTTTTGATTTCATGCATCTTGCTACTGTGCATTTTATATTTGAACCGCATGCCTTGCAGCTTCAAATGCTTCATCAAATCCCAGTAATAATGAGAGAAGCTCCTCCACTTTAGATGCCTCTCCCAACAGTTCAACAACACAAGCCTACACAGCTGCACATGGTATGTTTTTATACTGGTGTTTAATGACATAAGCCTAATCTTATTCCTCTTCTTAATGTACATGAATTTTAACTTATCAAGACTTTTGCTAATAACAAACAGCAAATTGGATATTACTGCTCTTAAAATTTATCAAAATATGCAATCCTGGAGCAGAAACATGTTTGGATTTGGTTGGTGGTAAAGGTAAAAACATTTCTTAGAGCCTTTATCAACAGTTTATTTTTATTCTTAGTCAACAGCAGGTTGCTTTTAGGTTTGAAAAGAGAAGAGTTGTGTTATTGTTAAGTTCTTTTAAATGTGTCTAAAAGTAACAGATCACTTTCACTTAACTTTTTCACCTTTGAGTTTAGTTGTTAAAATTCCTTGGTACACAGAGCTAAATTATCCTTGGTTCTTACAATTATTGACCCAGTGTTGTAGCCAGAATTGAGTTAATTGACTGTTAGACAAACACATAGGCCGGCTTTTACTCATAGAGCCTGGAGGGTCTAAAGTTGTCTGTCGGATGTATTGTAGAACTGTGCTAGAAAACGTTAAGTTAGAAGTTGCATCTGTAATGTACAAACATCCCAGCTCACACAGTTATAAGATTTTTAGTACTATTTTTTGTCTTCATTGAGTAAATTTACTTTTGATACTATAATATTTTAAATTGCATGTTTAACAGCATGATGAGTCCAGGGCATGTTTTTATAAAATATATTTTCAAACTTCTGTGGCTTGAATTCTGCACTGAACTATTATGTCTTGGAATTTTCATCTTTTCTTTAGATTGTTTTTTTAGCATTGCAGTTTTTTTTACACAGAATTACAGTAACAGCATTAAATCCAAGAATTGCATTTTCTCATGATTGCTAGAACATGAGACATAACAAATTATAATTGTTATAATTTTGTTAAAGATGAATCCTAAATGTAATTTTATACCTATAACAAATTATCAAATATTTGTTTTGTAGTTAAATTGAATTTAAGTTTTACCTCTTTATAAATCATTATCTTATTTATTATTGTATGTTGCATGTTAGGAGCCACTGCAATGGTTGAAGATGTTGAAGTAGCACAGATTACAACAACCTGTACAGCAGAGTTAAGCAGCATGATAGGAGTTCATTCAATTCTTGGACAGGGCAGTTATGAGGGCCTAAACACAGATAAATCAGATGATCACACAGGTTATTATTTTAGGCATAATAAAAACAATTTTTAATTTTGAAATTTAAAGTTCTTTAAGGTATAGTTAATATAATTTTATGTTTAAAAGCTTAAATAAGTTGTTATTTATTATCTGTGCCCAACTTAATTTCAGGTTCTCGATCACCCTCTCCGTCTTCTATACGATCAAAATCAGGCAGCCGTACACCCTCCCCCACAACCATGTTGATATCTGCAGATAATCATAAAGACAGTCCAACCCCAGACAGAGATTCATTGCATCTTGATATCTCTGGACCTGAAGACAGTAATGTGAACAGAGGTAAGTTGTTTGCTGCTGTATAGAGAGCATGCAATTGTCAACTCGCTGTCTATATCAGTACATTTGTAATTCAAACTTTGTAATTTTTCTCTTTTAGGATTAGATGTCTCTGTGGATTCTTTAGATGAGTTAAAAAGTATAATGGCAGGTGGTAAAGTGCCTGGGTGGATGCCAGATGTGGCTGTAGTCTTATGGCAGCGGATGCTAGGATGTTTAGGAGATGTCAATAAAATAGAAGACCCAGAAATACATGCAATAGTTTTTGATGCATTAGCTGAGCTTTTAGACACATTGTGTAGGGTAAGGATGAATACTTAATAATTTTTTTATATACAGGATAAACTTATTTTAAAGGTGGCAAGTTTTTATATTGACCTTCTTCATCTCAATTTTTAAAATGTTCATGTTCAGATGAGTGACAACCTAGGAGTAACGCAAGACAACATGTCATCCCCACCACCACCTGAACTTATTCCACCTTTACATTTTTTTTCATCCTGGCTGTTTGAGGTAAACTTTTCAAATGCTAATTATATAATGAAAATACTAATTTGCAATTACCTGCCTCTTCTGTACCACAGACAGATTTTGCCAAAGCAATATATTTTTAATAGATGATAATGACAACAAGTACAAAATAATTAAACAACCAAGGTCTGATGGCTGCATGTCAATGCTAGGGTTTACAGCATTCAATGTATTTAAATAATAAAACAATTCTAGAAAGACTCCAACAACCTAATAAATAAGTTAAAGGTTGAAGTATTATAGACTAATACAAAACCAAAGTGCACTAATGCACACAAAGTTGAAGTATTATAGACTAATACAATCAAAGTGCAAAGTCAGATTAACACTGGTCATTCAGGTGGGAAAATCTATTTAAATCATGGAGGTGGAGAAGATGTTGGTGCAGTCTGTTGTTGTCAGAGTGATGATGGTGATTGTTGATATTCTTAAAGCTTACAAATATAACTTTTCCAATATATTATCTCTAGTGTCTGAATTTAAATAACAAATACAAGAAAGGAAAGCTTATGGCTTACCAGCTAATATGTCAGTCTTTGCTCCGACGCCATGAAGTCATGCCATCTCAGCAGCTTTTATCACAGTTTTATCTAGTTTTACATGCAGGGCTGGTCTCTTCTGATCAAGTAAGAAATACAATTTTATTCAAATTTACTATAAACTAGCTCCTTTGCATTTCGTTCATATAATCTAAAACTGTTTTTTCTTGACCAGGATATTGTGAATGTTCTAGTCAGAGACTGTGGCCCCAAGTTTTTTTCACTATCATTACCTGGTTCACTGTTGCTCACCCTTGACTTTATTAAAGCTGCTGGCAGCATCATCTCAGCTGTAGATTATAAGGAGGTGAGAATTTTTTAAGATAACTTCCTGGTTGGTTGAATTTGGTTCTGTTGTGTAGTGGTTTTTTTATTTTTTTTATTATACTTTTATGTGATTTATACCATATATTTTTCAGGATTGCCTTTTTATGGTAGTTTATTTGTACTTCACAGCCACCTCGTTCAGAGGCAGTAACAGTATTAGGATCTCTTTTGTGCTATCCTCATCATTTACAAGAGATTCCAGCATTAGAACCTGAGACTATGAGTACAGTCAGTATTTTATCTGCAGACCTGAAAGATTTAGTCCTGGACTATTTACTGAAGGCAGGCAAAAGAGAGCCAGCTGGTCTGGCAAGGTACTTTATTTGTTGTGTATCATTGAACATTCTTAAAAATAATTAACAAAAAAAAACAATAGAACAAATCATCACCCCTCACAATATAAAAGTATTTATATAAATTTAGGCTGTCAATATTTTTTTTTAATCAAAACCTCATTTTGAAAATGCAAATACATTTTAAAAGTTTTTTTTTCTTTATTTAAGATGTGTGGCTGTGAGTGGCATTGCAATATTTTTATATGGAGAACTAACACATGGAACAATGCACCCCAAAATGAAAGAAGCAATTAATGTATTACTAGGAGCACTAATGGTAAGATTGATTTTCAAAATTCTTTAAGTAGATTTGATAATGATTTAATTGCTTCTGCTAATAGGTGTTATGTATAGGAGATAGGATAGTTGGGCTGTTGTGTTGTGAATAATGATAATCTGTTAACAAAAATGTTTATAATTTTTCCCCAGTGTGCTAACAAAAAGGTAGCAAAAGTAGCCACAGACATGCTGTTACTGCTTTGTGATCATGTAGACAAGCTGCTTGATTATCATCCACATATGCCCAAGAAAATCACAGAGGTAAGGCTCAGGATATATTTGTGGTGTAAAATAGCAGTTTGAAGGTAGGCATCTGGCAAAATATCCCAGATTTTAAAAAAAACAACATTTTTTAAAATCCAATACTAAATATTGAGCATGATACTATTATTTTTGTTAATGAGGGTAGGATGATAGTTTTTTTACTTCTTAAAATAAATAAAGAACTTTTGTCCTACAGGCTATTGCATCAACAGTATCATCTCTTATACCATCTCATGGTGCCAATATAAATTCTGATGAAGAGAAAAGGGTATGTTTATCTTTAAAACTATTAAATAATTATTAAATTCTTTGTACTGTTCCATTTATTCCATCATATGCTTTTTGTAAATTTAACTAGTTTTTATAAATTAAGGAAAAAGTTTTGTTCTAACCACAAGCATTTACTTTAACTTTTTCTATGTTTATTTGTATATTCCAGTTGATTGTCTCCATGATGTTTTGTATGGTAGAGTGGTGCTTGAAAATGCCAGTAGCACTCCTTATGGAGACAACAGAAAGTGATAAAAGTTGCATTTATAAAGTTTTTAGGGTTTGTACTTTTTGTATTGTTTTAATTTTTTAAAAAATCTATATTTTAACTAAAGAAAATCTTAGAAAAAACATTTTTAAAAAAGTTGAAAACTTGAAATGTTCATTACTTTTTCCATTGCTTTAATATTTGTTTATAGGTTCTTCATTCAGCAGTCACTGGACATAGTTCTTCATCTTTAACTAGAGTAAGCAAATCTCTATCAGATTTTCTGTCTGATTCTGATTTTATCAATATATGGGAACCACAGAGTGGCTCAGCACACCGACCTTTCAGTGCTGAAACTTCATTATCAGATCCATTGACAGAGACAGGGAGGTCCCAGCAGGCCGAGCTGGTCAGAAAACCTGAGACAGACATTATCAAATTGGCAGCTAGAGCTGTAAGTCACAACCCATTCTTTTTAAAAAATATTTTCCATTTATTTTTTATCCCTCACCCAATAAATCGTGCTTCAATATATTTACAGTTGATGACTCACCTTGTCAATCACATGTCTCATTTTCCCATGGGTTCCGGAGCTGCAAGGCTTCACACCACTGTTCAAGAACACCATGATTTGCCTGAATATGTGGAGGAGGACTTAAAGCCAGACATTTTCACTGCACCCAACGTGCAGGTAATGTACAAATGTGATGCTAAGTTTTCTTGTATTGATTGTGTGTTAGTACTATGTAGCCTTTTATATAATCTTTTTTTTATAGCCACTATACTGTTTTTTTATTTCAGTTTTTTGTGTTGAATCATCGCTGCCTTATATCATTCATCGAACTTCCTGCAGTGGTGAGTAAATAGAATGGCTACTATACATTTGTTTGTGTAACTGTTAACTGAACTTCATACTAATACAAATTCACGCTGCCACCTTCTTTATAATATAATGTGGTTGTGGCTAATAGTTAAATTATCAATAAAAAACTTAATCTATTCTCACAAAAACTAGCTTTGATGTTTAAACGTACAATAAAATCAGGATGCCCCAGGCGGAGGTGTAACAGCAGGACTAATGACCGCACGCACAGTGTGCCGTATTATTGTCAGAGACTTGTGTGGGAAATACTGCTGGGAGAACTCTGTTTTGTACAGCCCTCCTTGGTGCACCAAAGGATCATCACGACACAGTAAGATAAGGTTTAGAACATGAAGGATATATGTCTGCACACAAATTGATCCAACCATTGTTGACTGATTGAAATATTTTATAGATGCTCAAACTCTGCTGGGTCTAGCCACAGGAGCTGAGTTGGAACCCTTACTGATTCAAGAGGACAATGATGTTCAGAGAACCGAGGCTCTTGTTGAATACAAAGCCAGCAAATTTCCTCACTATGAGGCTGTTGGAGTAGATGGGGACAATTTGGATATGGTACATACACTATTTTTCTTCACCTCATTTTGTTTTATGATGTCCATTTTACAAGTAAATATAGAATTAAAATAAAAAAGAGCTCTACAGGTGATGTTTTTTTTTTAGATGCTTGCACACATTGGATTGACCAGTCCTGAATGCCTGCTCAGACCAGGACAGCCTTTGAACATAGCAGCTCGCCTGCCAGAAGATTTGACAGAGTCAGCTGAAGCCAGCCTGATCAAATTGATCCAACAGCAAACACAGGTGGAACATGAGCATAGACATGCACATAAAATGGATATAAGGTATATTTTTATACTCATTCATTTAATTCATTGGGTTTTGTTTCATTAGTATGTTGTGTTTTTTTTTAAAAAGCATAACACTATGATTTTAGTTTTTACTGTCATTTGATGAAACAGAATTATACTTGAGTAAAACTAAAAAATAATTTTAAATCCTTGTCCACACCATCACTAAACAGCTGTTAAATTATATTCAGGTTTTAGAATGATTTCTGTTAAATTCTAATGGTCTGAAAACAGCTTTAGTAATTATAACCAAAAAACGCATCAGTGTTATTCATAAAGGATTGTAAAATCTTGTTCATAATAATTAATTTCAAATGATCTTTATGTTTGTTATGGAAGATAACTTTGAATCTAAATACAATCAGTCTGTTTGTCATAAATTTGTTGACAAAAGCTATTATGTTGTGTTCAAACTGGTAAAATAACGGTTACATTTCAAGCAAACTACTTTGAAATAAATTTGGTATTTTAATTACTGTAACATTTTATTCTTAATGCTTACGAAGACATAAAAGGAAAAGGGATTCCGAACAGTAAGTTATATGACACTATCCAAGCTTCATAATGAACGGGTGTTCTCCATTTATCACAAGTGTTCATTCTGTATTTAAACACAGTCCAGTTTTTTTTCTCTGGAACGTGAATACATTTTGTATCCATCTATTATTCACCCATTAGTAAACAATTTTCGCCATTGAAAAAAAGGATTGAGTCATATATAAAAGCAAGGAAAAATAATTATAAATCTTATAAATATAAACAACTTACCAGATTTTGAGACATGCACATTTTTGACAAATTTGTTTGTTGTATTATTTTAATTTATATTCCAATTATTGCAGCTATTGAAAATAATTCATTTTTTTTTTTTAACAAAATAAATTAAGCAATGATTATGATAGTATTATAGTTGCTCTTGACAATTTGTAACCCTTTTTCTAATGATTGCTGTGAAACATGGAGATAACTGAAATAAAAAATAGAAAATAAATTGAACTTTAAATCAACTAGCTGCTACCTTACTACTTAAATGTATTCTATTTCTAGCTTGCGGCTTTAATGTTTACATTATGTATCTTCAGCAGTTTTGTTTTTATCATGAACTACATTCTTTTGCTGGGTAATTTGATTAGACCTGCAGTTAAAAAAAAATATTATTTTCCAAGATTATTTTGAAAGCATTGAGTTTAATAACCAAGTGTATATAAATGGGCTATATCATCCATTTACAATGTCATCAATGGAATTTTATACCCCTCCACTCATCACACACACATCCACAAGCACCTGAGAATTAAGAGCCCCCCTCTAACACATGTCCAAAGAACTTTTTGTCAGACCATCTGTTAGGATAGGTGTAATAAATGTATGACCCCCACTGCTTTCATAAAATAAGATTTATTTATAATTTTATACTCTCTGTAATGTTTTATTGTGGGATTAAGTTTATTTTGTTGCCCTGAATTTTAATGCATATTCAAATTATTTCAGAAATGAAAAATTGATTTTTAGCATCTTACAAAAAAAATAATTAGGTTTCCTACTATATTCTTTTAACTAGAAAAAATGTATTACTTTTTTGTTTTCTAGAACTGCAACATTTCTACCTAAAATTAAGCTTTTGAAACAAAATTACTAGATCTATGTAGTATTTTTTTATTTGTATGTACTGCACTTAACAAAACTTGAGTAAAAAGAAATAATTTTTCTAGAAATACATTTTCGTATTATTTTACAGAATTCATACATCATAACATTCGTAATTTAAAATTCAAACATGTTAAGTTCCCTTTTCAAACCTGACGGTCTATAGGGCAAATGAAGTAGAGTTCACCTGTTTCTGTGACCTCTGCATATGATGAGACGGAGTGGTCTTAAGGTAGAGAACTGAACTGCTAACCCATTAGTCTCGAGTTCAATCCGGGTTCAAGTCAGTAGACCGTCCCGGAGTCCACCCAACTCTGATAGGTACCTAACTCACGTTAGGGAAAATAAAGCCGGCTGGGCTTATTGCTGACCACACTCTATTCAAAATTCAACCATACTATTCACAATAATCATAAAAGATTACTTAAACAACCTATAAACATTTCTTAGGTCATTATAAAAACATAAGTATTAACATTAAATGTTAGTTGTTAAACAAAACGAGTTATTTTTAATTATTTTTTGTTTAAATCTGTGTAAACTGGGTTTTAAAACCCACATTATAGAAATAAATAAACAATTTCTTTTTTCAAAATACCGAATTTAAGGAGTAAGTTTTTTTTAAAATATCTTACGGAATTATAATTTCAAAAAATCATATCTTTCATTCTTTCATGCTTAAATTATATATTTCATTTTTTTTTAAAAATATTTTATTGTATACAATGTCTAAAGGATTTTCTTAATTAAAAAATAAATTTAGACAGATATGTTTGTTAAAATTTCTTATTCCTGTTTAAAGTATATCTTGTTGAATTAGTAATTGTCCTGATATCATTTTTACTTTTATGTTAAATCAGCTTGAAATGATTTAAATTTCACATTTTAAAACTCCATACATGTATTCACTGTAAGGAGATACAAATTTAGACAAGCAAAATGTACCTAACCTCTGTTAACTTATTCTGCAGCATGGTGGCACCTCCTGAAATGCCAGCTGAAAGCCAAGATCCAGTTTCCCCATTTCAAATGTGTAGGCTTCTTTTAGATCAACTGGGGTTGTTGTCTTGGGAAAAGAGGTAAGTTGTACCCCAACTTTAATTGACATTAAGTCACTTGCTAAAAGTATGACAATTCAAAGCAATGTATTTTGATGTTTTGGCTTAAATTGTTTCTAATTTATTTTTTCTAGACAAGTTTCTAATGCCAGTTGATATTTTGAAAGAATTTTTGCTTGTTAACATAATTTGCATTTCAATTAAAATGTTTTTTAATTTTGCTAGGTGTCATTTTGATTTGTTAAAAAAAAATGATAAAGTCCTGAGGGAATTAAAAAATTTGGATGCACAAAAATGGTAAGTTTAAATCTCTGATATTTCTTATCACACAGATGTCTCAGATTTGTTACTTTTTCAACTGAAGTGTTGTCATGAAACTAAATTTTGTTTTTCATTAATTTTTTTTTGTCTAGCCGAGAAACCCATAAAATAGCTGTGATATATATAGCCCAAGGACAAGAGGATAAAAACTCCATTTTGTCCAATAATACTGCAAGCTGTGCCTTTGAAAATTTTGTTGCTGGTCTTGGATGGGAGGTTAGTCTTTTAACAATAATGCTTTTCATTTACTCATTTAAAATAGATATATCCATTGTATTGTTCATTAGCATGAAAATGTTTATGTGTGTATAATGTTTTCTTTAGATTGAACTGGAAACACACCAAGGATTCATGGGGGGTCTTCAGCAAAACCGAACAACAGGCAGCACTGCCCCATACTGGGCCAATTCAACATGTGAAGTCATCTTTCATGTGTCGACTCGGATTCCCAGCATGGGAAGTGACTGGCATATCAAGGTCAGATACACTCCTAGTCAATTTCTCTGTATCTAAAATATATTAACTTGTATGTCAACACTGACTTTTTTTTGTTGAACTATAGCACAAGTAAATTATGTTTGTCCAGAATTGAAATAAATTTTGCTGTTTCAGATGCGGCATCTTGGCAATGATGAAATTCATATAGTTTGGTCAGAACATAGTAGAGACTACAGGAGAGGGATCATTCCCACAGAATTTGGTGACATAGTCATTATCATATATCCCCTGGCTTCAGGCCTTTACAGAATCCAGATTGACAGGAAACCAGAGGTTTGTTTGCTTGCTTTTGCATTGATCATTATTTCAGTCAGCCATTTTAAACTTTGACATTCACGATTTGTTACATTTGAATGGAAAAAAACAGGTACCGTTTTTTGGTCCTTTATTTGATGGAGCCATTGTTGACCACCATGTTCTGTCTGGGCTTGTGCGGGCTACTGCTATAAATGCCAGCCGACTGAAGCGCTCACTGATGCCCCTTTATCACTCATTGTATCCTTTCTTCAAACTATTAAAGGATAGATTAGTGAAATCTACTCAGTATAACATTCTAGCACTTTAAAAACATTGTGACCTTAACCAAGAATCAGTTATGAAGAAAGAGCCAAATGTCTTGAGACTATCATCCAGCAGCACACAGAACATACAATGTTTGAAGACTTTGCTGAAAATGTCTTTGCTCCTGTGTTGCCAGCTAATGCTGCAAGTAAGTGAATTTAGTTAACATTAATCATTATTTAAATAAAAGAGTTCTTCCCAATGAATCTCTACCTCACTCATATAGCTGCTCCATCCCATCTCCAGCTTTTCTTGCATGCTTGCTTTACCATGTTACAGCTTTTATATGAAATCTACCATCAGTCACTTGTGACAATATATGCATATTCATCCAAATCAGACAGAAATCACATTCAAATTAAGCATTGTTGAAAAAACAGTTTGAAATATGTTACATGGTTTTCTGGAAAACGCTTGTTGCAAAATTTTTCTTTATACTGATGTTTTATTTAAAATCCTTTCAGCCTTAATGTGTCTTATGAGTTGGGCTTTGTTTGTGGTGCAGCAAGCAGTGAAAGTTTTTTTAGTTATCTTATGCTATTGGATTTTCCAGAGTAAAAAAATGTTCACTGTACAGATATAACAAAACATATGTAGACTTACCATGACTTTTATCATGTTAACTAAGCTGCATTAGTGTATTAGCCTCTTGTTCATTTTGGAGACTTTTTAATGGGGTTAAAATAAATTAAATATTTGGTGTTTATTTTACTACATACACCTTTGTATTTTTGGTCCTCTTCCACTAAGGCTGAAAGGGATAAATTTGTGTTAGGTGCTGCACCCTATGTAACTGTTCACTAACTCTCTGACCATCCCTGCAGTTGTTGACGTGACACTCCCCTCTGAATCCAGTAGCAGCAGCTTGAATGAGATCCTGCAGGGACAAGTGGAGCAGACCTCATCCCAGATGTCACCCAACACATCCAGGCAGAGAGGTAGGAAACCTCAGTCTGCTCTCTGGCAAAAGGGCCTTGATAACCTTGTCTTTATCTAACCACTACACTCTCCACAGGGAAGAAGTTTCATCACTCAATCATCTGCTTATTTGTTGCTGTAACCATATGTAAATACACTCATGCTATCTTATTTCATGCTTTCTTTTGAGCTTATACTGTATGAGCAAGTTTATTCTTGATATTATTGTGAGAACTGCAAATATTGATGATAAAACGTATTCTCTCATCATCTATTATTGTCCATTTGCCTTTGTTAGAATTATATCCAGTGCTGTGCTAGTTTGTTTCTAGATGCCTGGAATGTTGGAGTGACATAGCAATACAGATTTGAATGCTTGATTCTTAATAAGCTTTTATTACAATTCTACAGAGTGACAACAACCGTTTATTTTTGTTACATTCAAGTTTAGAACAAATTGATCATGGTTTTTAATTGATAACCACTTTATACTTTCAGTCATATGGCTATTTTGAGTAGGTAGTTGGTATTTGTATCAAATTTGTTAACCAAATGTTTTAACGAGAGAAAAGGCAAGCACTGACATCTGGTTTGGACACCAGGTTTGGGCTGCTAGTGTACAGCAGACAATGTCAGTGTCTGTCTAACCTCTTTTCTTTTCTATAATTTTTCTTCGTTTGTTTGTTTTTAATTAATTTTAACCATTTTCTAGAATCAATTTAATGTTTTAAAAAGACATTTACATTTTTTTTGGTATTTACCTGTAATGCAATGCAGTTTTTTATTATTAGCAGTTAAGGAATACTTATATAACCACTGATTAATTTTTATTAAGTTTACAAGGCCTACATTTAAATGCATTTGATAGTCACACTTAAAATATTCAAATATTTTATTTATTTGTGCAATTGTAAAAATAATTTGTATCTTATGGAAAATTTGTACTAATTTTCATTTAAACAGTGTTAATTATTGTTTTTAATCATTAGTATTTGATCTGTTTTATGAAAAACATAGACAGTTTTTAAAAGTTATTTTATTGTTAAATTTTACCATAATGTTCAGATATTTCGGACCAGATTATCTATATTTTGTTAAACATTGCATTTACCTCTTAACATAGCATTTGTTTTCTCCTGACCAGAGATGGTCAATTCAAATTGTTTAATCAAAACAAGTAAAATCAAAAGTAAGACTTGGCTTCCTACTGACAAAACAAAAGATTAAAACCAGAGGCAGCTTGATTTGATTGTAGACACTCTATGTTATGTGAGAGAAGCAAGTGTGTTTTTCTGTGTTGATGATCCTAGTCTAATGAATGGTTGTAGCCAGAAGATTTCTGCTCAATAAAAAGCCATAAAAACATTTCTTCACTTCCTATTATACTAGTGTTTTCCTGTATTTCATCTGGTTTGTAATCTTTTATGTTGTTTTCCTCCTTTGGTTAACCTTTCCTTTGGTGGTGTGAAGATTTTGATGAGCACATGTATCAGCCAAGGCTAAATCAGCCAGTGTCTGGTGTTTGTGTTATTTCTAACAGCCATGTGTCCAAGCTTGACAGGTCATTGCATGGTTAGGTTATACCAGGCTGATTGCATAGTGTGTTAGACAGCATGGTTGTAGGTGCTTTCTTAAAGGGGGTTCCTATAACACTGACAAGCACTAGTTGCTTCGTACTCTGATTTTTTTAACACTAGACAAACCTGACCTTTGAATCTATTTGATATTACACAAACTATTTCTTTTGTGAGTTTTTTTCTGGACATTATAATTATATTAATTTTTATTTAGGTACATACAACATGAACTTACCTGTACACCATTTATTCCAACCAAAGCTCTATTGACACTTGGCTGGCTAAATAAGATACATTTTATATTTCGAGTATCAAATAATACTGGATTTGTTTTCAATATTTTTCCTTTCTTCTGTTGTCCTACAATTATCTAGGGAGTTTGCATCATCACACTGCTCCAGGTGCCATATTTTGGCCCACAGGATTTCGGAAGCAGCAGCGAGCCATCAGCAGTGACTTTGATACCTTGTAGTATACATTACAAAAAATATTAAATGTTGGCGTCTGATGTAGGTTCCAAGCCTGTAGTAGACTCTGTGGCTTCTTCAAGTTATCTACCAGGAGAGGACATTGCTGCCAGAGTGTCACATCTGACATGAGTTTGTCTTAACCATAGTTGATCAGTAAAGGTGCCAATAGTTAACTTGTAGAATTACCTCATCTGTGACAATTTTACTATACCATTACTTCATCTGTCTGCTCTAGAATGTTTTTGGTTTAAATTATAAAATGCATACACATCAAATGCATCCATATACAAATAAAAGGTGTTGTTAAAAAATTCAACACTTAAGACTAAAAAAGAAAGTAAAAATTGTCAAGTAGGAACTCTTTTTGTGTGTGTGACCAGCACAGGCCTACATGGTAGATGAACTTGAAGATAGCCATAGATTAGGCATGTTTGAGTATTGTTTTTGCCATTGTTTCCTATTTTACTTCAGTTTTGTTTCTGCTCCTTAAAAATTGAGTTTTTCAGATGTGCATTGTTGGGTTCTTGTTTCTGCTTTCTTTGATTTAATCAACCATTTTACCACTGACCATTTTCAATGACTGTAAGCTCCTGGTGTAGTTGTCAATATAGCATTGAAAATGGACATTCTCAGTGACTGGTTATCATTTGTGGCTGCTGTATTTGTTTGATTGCATTACCATATGATTTAGCTTTATCCATCTGGTTGATTGTTTTCTTTTGTCACTTCTAATTCTAATCTTCATACAGTTTTTAAATGTTTTTTTACAAACAATTATTAGAGTGAACTTATATCAAAAGCATTTTACTGAACATTTGGCATGGGATACTCTGAACAAAAAGACTGATGCAATATTTGATGACATGATTGAAATTAAAGTACATTTGTTTAAAACTAACCAAATTTGGAAGGCGCAACAATTATTACATTACACTAACCTGTCTTAACTTAGATCATCTCAGAGTTGTAATGCACACACTTATTTATGTTTGACTTGATTTTGCATTCTTTGAATTATTTACCTTTTGTTGCCACTACAACTCTTTCTTTTATTATTATTTATTTTCTACTGCACATTCTTGTTACATTTTATTTTGCTCAATGAAATGTTTCCCTTCGACCCCCAATTGCTTGCTATGCATCATCCCAAAATTTATCATGACATGAGTGACTCAAGTTAATTAATACAAGACTTAATATAGGTTAATTTCAAATGTTATTCTGCCTGCTGTAGAACTGATAGCATTTTACAAAGTTTCTAACTTGTAGCTACTCATATATTGATCTGTTACTGTATCCTGTTCTCATATACTGATCTATTACTGTAGCCTATTCTCATATACTGATCTATTACTGTAGCCTGTTTTCTACTTATATGCTGATCTACTACTGTAGCCTGTTCTCATATACTGTTCTATTACTGTAGCCTGTTTTCTACTTATATGCTGATCTACTACTGTAGCCTGTTCTCATATACTGTTCTATTACTGTAGTCTGTTTTCTTGACTTGCAGGAAAACTCCGCCTCCCCAGTGTTGGTATGTTGCCTCCTTATACACTGTCTGATCCCACTCTCTACAAACCTTAGCTCCACATTAGTATGGCTCTCTCACCACTGACTATCTGCATGAGAAATGTCTATTTAAACATGTCTGGGATCTGGTCTGCCTGGCTGCTACATAGCTCTGGAGTTAATGTATCTAACAATGTAGGCTACACACAGTACTAGCTTTTAAAAGTCATATCTGAGCACACACTGTTTCTTGATTCATACACCAAGTCTCAACTTTTATTTGTGTAAGAAAGATCAGATTGGAGCAATACTTTCATCCCATCACTCACCCAACATCGTTAGTGTTACTTCATGTCATGTATCATATGAACATACAAACAAACCTGGAAGAAATGTTTTCACATCTAATGGATAAAATATTTAAAAATCTACTATTGCACATTTTGCATTATTTAGATCGTCGTAACTAGTTTCCATTTTCTATATTGCTAAAATTGTCCACAAGTACAAATATTGACCTTGCTCATCATTACCCTGTTAGCCTATCCTCCCTGATATGGCAGTTCTAGTATAAGCTGTTGGGGCGTCCACAAATCTAGTGACTTCCATTGATTCAATTATTTATTCTGATGAGGTGCAGGCCTCCTAGATCACAAAGAGAATTCCTCTCAAACTATTAGCCATGTCCTACATATGAGTATGTCTAATTTTCCTAACTAATGCTACTACTGTTGGGTCATGCAATGATCAATGTGTTCACATCCAACCTTCTCCACAGGGGTAGCCCATGCTGTTTCTAGTTTAATCTTTCACCACAAAGTGGGTGGGGATCACCCGTTGTATTTAACACCCCACCAAAAGATGACACCAGCACCACCATCTAGAGACCACTTTCCAGTGCACTATCCTATTAAAAAAGTTAGCCCTGCTCGAGATACGGAGCACAATTCCAGAGCTCCCAAGAAGGATCTCAAACTGTCAAAAAAGTATACATAGCTTCATTTTTTTTATTCACCCTGCTTTGGTCCAGTCTCAATTTTCTAGCCAGTTTTCTTACAAATTTGTATTTTTCACTTGTTTCAAGACGGGGAAATTGTGTAACTTAAGAACACACGGCAAGACTAACATATTTAACAAGTTTTTTTTGTGCATGCCTTTAATGTAATACAGTCGAGCTTTCTAAACTAGAACCAGCCATAAACAGCCATAGCTTACCCAACCTGCTTCAGACACTCCCTCTCTGCTATGTCCTGCTTCTCTCAAGTCTCCAGACCATGTCAAGGGTGTGATTCATGTATTGAAGATAATAAAAAGGTATCAGATGGGTTTTAGCACATAGCTGGAACTTGTTGGTCAGCCGTGTATTCACTTTTCATTAGTACTAGGTGGTCAGCAGCTGTAAGTCATTTTTACAGGTTGATTTTTTAATATTATAAGTCAAAAGATCCCATTTTTTTTTCTTTCTTTTATTTTGGCATTAAAATGAAAACACTAACTTAGCAGTAGAGTTAGAAGTAGCAATGAGTCTAGTGAAAGCTCTCTCTGCTTGGTACTAAACTTGTTGTGTGAGGACCATTGTCAGATAACTTGTTTGTAACTGACACTAAAAGATGGTGGACATGGTATTTTACACTTGTGCATGCATGTTTTGTATATCATCTACTTTTGGTGATGATGTATTTTGTTCTACTCCCTACACAAGCACCAATCTGTGGTACCGTTTTTTTATTGCATTTCTGTGAGTAAAGAAAGCACAACCTTTAAGGAACCATACAGCGTTCATAATTATTGTTAAAGAAAATTCTAAAGTACTATTTAAAAAGAATTGTTGTTGTCCAGCAAATGATTACTATATATTGTAAGAAAAGCACCTGAGTAAAATTGCTTTAGTTGTTTCCAATTTTTCCACTCCTATTGCCTCCATCAATGGACTGACTCACCACTAGACCTGAGGTAAGTCCTGTCACCTGCTTCACTGTTCTAACCTCTGGATATTGACATATGTCAACTAGGCTAGGCTTGTCTTTAACCCCATACTGTCTGAGACACAGACTTGATGAAATGTGCACATGTTGTCATCTGTGTAGCTTGTTGTAACACATGCTTGCTGTCTGATCAACTTTTACCTTATTATTTGATGCATTTTGATGTTCACTTTGTGCTGGTCAGATCACCCGTGTTGATCTGATCATTTATTTCTTGTATCTGCATGTTTCCCATATTATCTTGTCTACAAGTCATCTTGCATGACTGTAAGCTTTTTAATTCTTTTCGTCAAATTTTGTTTTCATTTTTCTTGTTCATACTATTGCATCTATGTAAACTTTTCATTGATTTCAACTTTTTCATTAGATTAAAAGTCTTTAACTTCACTATAGCTATTAAAGTTTAGAAAACTAGTGGGGATAGGGGATATTTCATATAGTAGAAACCATGTAGTTTTATTTCTACGTTTTGGTCTGATGATAGGAAAATAAGTGAGAAATACTTCAAGTGATTTATTTTGTTGACATTAGTAGTTAATCTGTTCCTTCTTTGCTTTCAGCAAGTGACTCAGCATTACTAGAAGTACCAGCGGCCTCAGAGAATAGATTCCAGAGGACAGCCAGGCGCTTGTCCATCAGAGCTAGAAGATCTTCAGGCTCTAAGAGTTCCCTGTCTCCAAGCCCTACCATTGGTTCTGGCTTCATATTGCCTGAGAGTCCACAGTCTAGGAATGGCAAGAGGGTCATGAGTGCCGCCCTGCCTGTACCTGCCAACAACAACAATGATGTTGTTGACAGTTCCAAGTCCAAAACCAGCAAGAAGGAAGCAGAAAACAGTCCAAAAACTAGGAAAGGGAAATCTCATTCAGAGAGCCCCAAGTCCAAACATAAAAAATAATTGGAGGATCAGTGCCTACAGTGTGTATATATACATTCTTAAATTATTAAGCAATTATTTGGTTTAATGACATTGTCAATTATTTCTTGGAATATGTATTTTATATAACACATATCCTGTGCAGAACAACCAGTTTTCTTTGGTGAATACATTTTTTTAAGTTTGTTATTGTTTAATAATTACAAAGTTTTGTAAAAACAAAGAATTTTTGTTTTTTTTATAATGAATAAATAAACATGAAAATTAAATGCAAAGTATTCACCAAAGTACAGATAATCAAGTTTTACTTTAAAAAACAGGGGATATTGGGCTAGTAGTACATACCCATTAGTGAAGTTAAAGAGAGCATTAGATTTGTACAGTATAAATTACAAGCAATACTCAAAGACCATGTATATTTTACTTTAAATACTGCAGCTGCATTTTAAATGTTTTAACATTTTAGAAAACAGCAATATACATTGTATCAGTGAATTGTTCATTTCTACTGATTAGTATATACATGAGTCTGTCAACTTGGTAAGTTTACTTTGTAAAATATTTTAGTTAGAGCCTCCACCAGGATATGAGTGGCATCTCTTAGAACATTGCTATTTAAAGCTCTGCTTGTGTTTATTTCAATAGTGAATATCATTATAGAATCTGACCCATGGTCTATTAGCTATGGCTAATTTACTGCAGACTGGGTCACTTTGGATTTACCTAACATCTTTTGGACCAACATTTTTTCTCAAGCAGTTTTTATATATTTTTTTACCCAATTGTTGTAGCCAGAGTTTTTCTAAAGAAGAGAATCCATTGTTTTTAAAAGTACACAGCAGGTCAGTTCAGTGATGACAGGGAGAAACTATCTTGTCTAATTTTACAAGACACTATAGATAACTTAGGCTGAAACAAACATTTGTGAAGCTGTCAAAAAAGTATTTGCTCCTACTCCCTGTTCATAACTTTTAGAGGTGCAAAATGACTAGATCCTGGTGAAGGTTCACATTTTGTTAACTAGTGATGTATTCTATTTTTTTATTTATAAACTAGTTATTGTTTGGTTTATGATTTATATGTAACCTTTTTAAACCAGAGCTAGCTATGTATTATATCAAGTCATGGCCGTATATGGAAGTGCAATGAATAGTACACTCAGGTAGATATTTATAGATATTATTTGTTGAGTTTTCTGGCTACTCCCTACCTCAGTGGTAGCAGTTTTTGTTCTACTGACATGGACTCATTGGATGTGATGCTCTAGATTTTACTTTATCAAGTACATTTAAACCCATGGCTATTGTTAATATAATAGGGTTTAGAAATAAGCTTTACACATTTTTCTAATGCTGTGAATCTTAGTAACTTTTGTTATGGGAGGAAGTCATGGGCTTATTAGGCAAATATCTTCATGTTATGTAATGTCTCAACTTGTTTTTTTAGTTGATGATGTAAATGGAATGAATTAGTGAACTACACTCTGAGATTTGGCTCATACAGAAATAGAACATCAATTGAAAGGGAAAAAATGGAACATTTTATATTTACAATTTCAGGGTCCAAATCAACTAATTTTTTTTCATTTCAATTGTAAATAGTTTCTTGGGCATTGCATTTTCTTTTTTGGAACTGTTTAACATTCGCCAAGCTGATTAATTTTGATCTGTCATAGGCAGTGTTGATGGTCAACTTAGTTGGTCATGGAATGGACATAGTGGATGGCCAACCTAGGTTGGTTGTGGACATCGTGGATGGTCAACCTGGGTTGGTGATGGACATCGTGGATGGTCAACCTGGGTTGGTCATGGATATTGTGGATTGTCAACCTGGTTGGTAGTGCTAACCTTTGAAGATGATAGTGAAATTGACAGCTATGTTGTAGTTGAAAGTCTTGTTAGTTAACATTTCAGTTGCTCACCATCTAATTTAAACATGGGAATTAGTTTGCTTGACCGCATCACATGGGTTGGTTATAAATTAACCAATAGAGCATTTACTTTGAATATATATTCGCTTGTACTTGAATCTAGTGTAGCCGAAATCATGAGTGCTTGTATATTTAGTGTGGATGATCTATTTATTTTGATCTTGGTATGGAGCAGGTTGTGTTGTACATTGTTTTGTTGTTGAGTGTATCAACTCCAAATACTGTGGTCATCTTTGTATTATATCAAACTCTATATGATCAATATTGTATTATATCAAACTATACGATCAATATGGCTGCTGTTGATTAAGCAGGAATTGGGTGAATTATTTATCTACCAATAAACAAGTGTTCATCCTCTTCACAATCTTTGCTCTTGTGGTTTCTGTTAGATGACTAGTAGTAGGAGCTTATGTATTTACATTGAAGTAAAACAAATGTTTAAATAACATTCCTTTATTGAAGCTGGATGAGGCATGAACAAAATTGAGTTATCATCTTCTTTCACATAATGGACATTGACCAGCCTCTAGTATCTATTGACCAGCCCACCCACTTCTCTACAATATCCACTGGATGCCTGAGGTAGTGGCATCTGATAGGTGGGAGAGTTGGAGTCCGAATGGTGGGAAGGGAGGGGATGTTGGATTCAAAATGATGTGGCTGGTAAAGAGTAAATGTGTAGTAGGTAACGTGTGCTATTAATATCAACCCATTAAAACCTATATTAAAATTTAGACCAAGTATGATACATGTCCGAATCCCAATTAAAACCAGTTTTACTGGTAGAACGTTTGGCAAAAAATATTAAACTCGGTCATGTCATCCCTAATTAATGTTTTGAATGTGTCTCCACTAATGAGATAATTATTTTCTAGCAGTTATCTCCCCTCGTCACCATGTTTATTTTTATCATGTAAAAACATGACATCGAAGTTATCAGAAGGTCAGCCTGCAAGAGTTAAAAACACGGTTACGTAATCAGAAGGTCAGCCCGCAAGAGTTAAAAACACGGTGACGTAATCAGGTCAACCCGCAAGAGTTAAAAACACGGTGGCGTAGTAATCAGAAGGTCAGCCTGCAAGAGTTAAAAACACGGTGACGTAATCAGAAGGTCAGCCTGCAAGAGTTAAAAACACGGTGACGTAATCAGAAGGTCAGCCCGCAAGAGTTAAAAACACGGTGACGTAATCAGGTCAACCCGCAAGAGTTAAAAACACGGTGGCGTAGTAATCAGAAGGTCAGCCTGCAAGAGTTAAAAACACGTAATCAGGTCAGTCTGCAAGAGTTAAAAACACATTTTAGAATTTTAGTTCTCAGAGACCTGCGAGAGATTAAGCGTCATTTCATTAATGGCATGAATTTGTCAGCCTGCAATTAGTGCAATATTTGTGTCCCACCACTCCCTGTATGTCTATGTCCGTGTGTACAGTGACTGACCATTCCCCCTATACTGGTGTTTTATGTCTATATGTAATAACAATAAATGTCAGCTAGTGAATCCTTTCACGTTTTTAAATAGGCCAACATCTCAAATTAATATACCCGGGCTAACAGACCCTCCTGACTTTCTTTAAGCATGGAGTTATATAGTTTTATAAGTGTCGCCCCCCGGAAAATGTAATCCCTCTCTCACCTGATGTTCTTATTTCCTTTAAGTCCTCCCACCCCCCTCCCCCACCGACACAAATGTGTAATATGATTACATAGCGCCGACCCCTCCATTGTTTCCCCTTTCTACCAGGTAAACACACAGGTAGGGGCAGACAAGTGATTGGCTTCGATCCGCCAGGTTCTCACCGCCAGGTAAGAGCGCTACGTTACCAGACACGGAACAGACAACCGGCCCGCTTGCTCTACTCTACCTGCACATCATAGGGGACCCAAACATTAGCAGGGACCCAACAATATCAGGGACCTCCCGGACATAATACCAAGGACCACCCGGACATTTTACCAGGGACCCGAACTCAAGAAAATTAACCAAATCCCGATCTCTGCATGACAGGTATTTTAATTATCAATTATTTCCTTTTTAAAATCATACTATAGGTTTTGTTTTATTAAAACTCAGTTACTAGAACTTTACCTACATTTTTTACTTTCTCGTATACTGAGTATAGAGAAAGTATTGTAATCGTGCACAAAAATCACATGAAATTTTGACAGTTTCCACCGTTTTACTTCTCAGTACTTCATCATAAACGGAGTGTAGCGGACTTATTTTAATCGGGCAAAAATTCTAAATCCAGATTTATTAAAAATTTCGGCGTTTTACGCGTAATCGAGTCGGAAAAACTGGACTTTGCAATTCTGTCCGTGTGTGTGAATGTGTCTGTAAACACGATAACTTGAGTACCGTTGCAGCTATGTTGATGAAATTTCATAATTAAGTATAATATCAAATTTGTAGATACGTATCAACTTTTCAGCGATTTCCGGTAACCGGAAGTGGAACTTTTTCTACTTTCAATTTTTCGAAAGCCTATAACTTGAGTACTATTTCACATAGATACATGAATTTTCACATATAAGTAAAAGATCTAATTCTCTACGTTCTTTCAAATTTTGAGTAACTGCCGTTGACCGGAAGTAGTAATTTAGGCTATTTCCGATTTCTCAAAAAACGCATGTTAATTTATAAAGTACTAATAATATCCCGCACTATTATGCATATTTTGTTTGGCGTTCACTTAGTGTGCAATTCTTTTTTCTACGAGATTCTACTCTATTATAAAAAGTTTAAGTAATAAAAAATGGATTAAATATCATGTCCTTATCACGAGGTGCCATCCCCCGTAGTGTTATATATTAATATAAGAATATTCGAGAAAGTTTAGGGGAGACCACTCCCGCTTTATTTATTTTTGTTTTTGGATAGGCGCACTTTTAGTTTTTCAAAAGCCTATAAACTGAGTACTGTTTCAGATAGATAACGAAACTTCACATATAAATAATTTTGAGTAATTTCCGTTGACCGGAAGTAGTTATTTACGCTGTTTCCGATTTCTCAAAAAATAAACTGGTAGTGATCTCCCCTAAACTTTCTCGAATATTCTTATATAAAACAACAGGGGATGGTAACTGGGGATATAGTTATGATTTTTAATCCATTTTAAATACTGAAACTTTTAAAAATAGAATAGAATCTCAGTAAAAAACAATTGCGCACCAAGCGAACGCCTAATAAAGGTGTGTATAATGGTGCGCAATAGTATTAGTACTTTAAAAATTAACATTAGTTTTTTGAGAAATCGGAAGTAGCGTAAATTACTACTTCCAGTCAACGGAAATTACTCAAAATTTAACAGAAGGTAGAGAATTAGATCTTTTACTTACATGTGAAATTTCATTTATCTATCTGAAATAGTACTCAAGTTATAGGCTTTTGAAAAATTCAAAGTAGAAAAAGTACCACTTCCGGTTGTCGGAAATCGCTCAAAAGTTGATACGGATCTACGATTTTAATATAATACTTATATATGAAATTTCATCAACCTAGCTGTAACGGTACTCAAGTTATCGTGTTTACACACGGACAGACACACACACAGACAGACACACACACACACAGACATACGGACAAGATTGCAAAATTATGTTTTTCCGTATCAGTGAGGTGTAAAACGTCGAGATTTGTAAAAATCTCGATTTTTTTTTTTGCACGATTACAATACTTTCTCTATACTACGTATATACGAGAAAGTAAAAAGGAAAGTGAATTTATAAAGTACTGATAATATTCCGCACTACTATACACATATTGTTTGCCATTCACTCCCGGTTTATTTTAAACATCAATTTCTTTCTAAAATATTTCCTAAGGTCGGTTGACATTGAGTATATTAATTTCTATTAACAATTTACAAATAATCTCATAGAGATCGCAAAATAACAGCTACCGTTTGGTTTTAAACATGACTTTTTCAAATGCACTAGTGTGTTTCGTCATACCATCTGACACCTCACCCCCCCCCCCCCCCCCCCCCACTTCCCCAACCTTACCCTGAGCCTCCCACGCGCCACTCATCATACACTCTCCCTGGGTCGTGTGACCTCTGAACTAAATCTAAATGCTTGCGGCTAGCCAGAAGTTACAGAAAATAATTTCACAGTGAAGAGAAATTAATTCTTGAGAGTTATATCGTCCATCGTTTTTATTCAGCTAACCGCGGGTAAGTTATCAATCTAGCTGTCCCATAATCTCCTATAAATCAAATTGCCTTTTGTTTTTCTACACCTGTTTATCCCCCTTTGTTGTATCGACTCCAGTTATACCCCTTTGGTATTTCATCACATACCAATGCCGTCTGAAGCTGTCTCGCTATTGACCGAAACCCACCGATGTCAAGGCTAGATTCGCCATGAAAACTTCTCGCCTAGAGCCGAGGTTTTCTTGAATGCTCGTTAATTGGTTCAAGCCCCGTCAAGCACTGGGCCATAAATAAAGCCCAACAGCCTTCAGACGGACGTAACCCTGATATTTACTGCTGGAACTGTCAGGGAGTTTTTATCAAGAGATTCGGTACCCTTGTGTTCAATAAACCCGAAAACAACCAGCCCTCCCCACCCCACAAAACTTGTTTACAATCCCATGATGCAGCCCGACGTCGGTTTGAGTGCTTGTGGGTTAAGTTTTAGATTCTCAGACTTACTTGCAATGTCGTCACATTTTCCCTAACTCCGACATTCAACTAAAAACGTCACTAATTGACTTGTATCCGCACATTTGACTAAAGACGTCACTGGTTGACCTGTATCCGCACATTTAACTAAAGACGTCACTGGTTGACCTGTATCCGCACATTTAACTAAAGACGTCACTGGTTGACCTGTATCCGCACATTCAACTAAAAACGTCACTAATTGACTTGTATCCGCACATTTGACTAAAGACGTCACTGGTTGATCTGTATCCGCACATTTGACTATATTTAACTATATACGCTACTAATTGACTTGTATCCTTCCTTTAACTAAAGACGTCACTAATTGACCTGTATCCTCTCATTTAACAATAGACGTCACTCACTAATTGACCGCACAATGTGCCCGCATAAAAGACGTCACTAATTGACTTGTGTCCGCACATTCAGCTATCTCAACAAAATTTTACCATACGAAACATTTGTTTTGAAACATAATAGCAGAGGTTCCCTCCCCTGTTTACTGTCATTAAAAAACTCAACTCCCATAACATTACGGTCACGTAGCGAGAAGGCACGTAGTCAAGTTGACTTTGTCATTTAATACCTTTTCACTACTTGCTGGCTTTGGCGAAGTTGGTCATGTGACATTTAGATTCTACTTGTGTTATTTCAGGCATCAACTCTTGATTTAGACGTTATTTACAAGATCAATACATTTGATTGCCGTACAGCAAATCTTGACGTTTGAGTGGAGCTAGACAACACCAAACATGTCCAAGTCCAGCCTCTTCTCCGAGAAAATACGAAGTGACCTGGGGTCATCTACGAGGCTGAAGCTGGGCAGGTTCAGGCTGAAGATGAAGATGTTGACCAACTTGGGAGCATCCACCACCGTCAGCCAGCCCACCCCGTATGTCGCGTACGAAAACACATACAAGCTGGCTCCTGACCTCGACAAGAGATTTTCTTGTCACAGCGCCGAAGAGGTGAGCGTTGATTCTCTCCCTTCGGGTGGTGCATCTATTCGAGTCTTGTAATGTTTGAGGTTATAAATCAGATCCTTACAGTTGGTTGTGTTTAACCTTAACTTGACAAACGTAATGAAGATTTTAAACGTCATCTTTATCAACCTATCAATTTAAAACAGTACTTCTCTCGCAATGTTTCTTCCAGACTTTTTGTGTCCGAGGAGGGAGGGGGGCGGATTAACATTTCGGGGGGGGGGGGGGGAGCGGACACTGGTATTTTCTATATAAATTATATTTCGTTCGGGGGGAGGGGAGGCAGTAGACTTTCTTCGGTAGATGCCCCCCCCCCATTCGAACAGATGCCTAAAAGAAACTGTTCTCATGTGAAATGTGGCAATGATGATTCCTGAGATTTAGGTTGACCCTTCATTTAGGTTGTCCCCTAATTGAGGTAGACCGTTCATTTAGGTTGTCCCCTAATTGAGGTTGACCCTTCATTTAGGGTGTCCCCTAATTAAGGTCGACCCTTCATTTAGGTTGTCCCCTAATTAAGGTTATCCCCTAATTAAGGTTGACCCTTCATTTAGGTTGTCCCCTAATTAAGGTTGACCCTTCATTTAGGTTGTCCCCTAATTAAGGTTGTCCCCTAATTAAGGTTGTCCCCTAATTAAGGTTGTCCCTTCATTTAGGTTGTCCCATAATTAAGGTTATCCCCTAATTAAGGTTGACCCTTCAGTTGTCCCCTGTTTGATGTTGGCCCATGAGTTACCCCTCAAGTGTATATAACTGAGTAGATTACTGTAAGACTTCTCTAGGTCTAATCGGAATGAAGAATGACTTTTTCACTCCAAACGTTTAAAAAATAAAAGTCGTGGAAATTCTGGTGGTAAGTTTATCTTGGCCACGGTCAAATGTTCAATGTGCGGTACCACCTGTACACGTGATCTTCTGCAGGTGATCAGGGGCGTGTTCCAGCATTACCTGCACGGCAAGCGGTACGATGCCAAGGTCTTCCCTCGCCTCATCAAGACCCTCACAGAGCTCATTAGAGACAGGGTCAAGATGCAAGGACTGGACAGGTAGGTGGATGTGTAGGTGGATCTATGGGAGGTAGGTGGATGTATAGGTGGATCTATGGGAGGTAGGTGGGTGTATAGGTGGATCTATGGGAGGTAGGTGGGTGTATAGGTGGATCTAAGGGAGGTAGGTGGATGTATAGGTGGATCTATGGGAGGTAGGTGGATGTGTAGGTGGATTTCAGGGAGGTAGGTGGATGTATAGGTGGATCTAAGGGAGGTAGGTGGGTGTATAGGTGGATCTATGGGAGGTAGGTGGGTGTATAGGTGGATCTCAGGGAGGTAGGTGGATGTGAGGGAGGTAGGTGGATGTGTAGGTGGATGTCAGGGAGGTAGGTGGATGTATAGATGGATCTATGGAAGGTAGGTGGATGTATAGGTGGATCTATGGGAGGTAGGTGGATGTATAGGTGGATGTCAGGGAGGTAGGTGGATGTTTAGGTGGATGTATAGGTGGATCTAAGGGAGGTAGGTGGATGTATAGGTGGATGTATAGGTGGATGTGTAGGTGGATGTGTAGGTGGATGTATAGGTGGATGTATAGGTGGATCTATGGAAGGTAGGTGGATGTATAGGCGGATCTATGGGGGGTAGGTGGATGTATAGGCGGATCTATGGGGGGTAGGTGGATGTATAGGTGGATCTATGGAAGGTAGGTGGATGTATAGGCGGATCTAAGGGAGGTAGGTGGATGTGAGGGAGGTAGGTGGATGTATAGTTGGATCTAAAGGAGGTAGGTGGATGTATAGGTGGATCTAAAGGAGGTAGGTGGATGTATAGGTGGATCTAAGATATAATGGTGGATTTTGAGGTAGGTAGGTAGATTTATAGGTGGATGTAAGTTCAATGGATGTATAGATGGATGGAAGGCAGGTAAGTGGATGTATTGATGGATGTAAGGGACGTAGGTGGATGTACTGATAGATGTAAGGAAGGTGGATGTCAGGTAAAGGATATAAAGTAGGCGGATATAAAGGAGATAGACCTGTGTATGTTAATGTAACCCACTGTGGCAATATAACAATTTATTATTAGATAACCACCGCAAACTTTAATCAAACGTAATTATCGATCTACCACCCAAAAAAAAAAAAAGAAAGACAACAGAATTCTTATCACGTATTTTGCATTAAATTTTCTCTTTCTTCCATTTTGGATGAGAACTATCAGTAGAAAAATCTTGACTTGAGCACTCATACATAATAAAACACTTGTCTGCAGGTACAAAATTCTGGCCATTGTAACAATCGTGGAGAACAAGGATCAGGGTGTACAACTGGCAAGTCGGGCTTTATGGAACCACCAGCTGGACAACTACGCCTCGCTGACATACAAAGGGCCAGATTTTGTCGCCGTGGGCTGTGTGTATGCCGTGTACCAGGACTAGAGGGTGTGACGTCACAGGGAAGTTCTCGTCCCTTTGGAAGTGGTTCACCCTAACAGTGGACATGTGTATCAATAGGCTTATAATTAGTCCAGTGAAAGGGGCGATAACTTATTGTTTCGCTATGACGTGCGAGTATCAGCCTAGCGCAACTGGCTGTTTAAACCAAAGACAAGTTGTTGAAACTATGGCCATGATTTGTTATCTGTGTGAAACTGGTGAGTGAATGTGTAAAACTGGTGAGTGAATGTGTGAAACTGGTGAGTGCAGAGGCGTAGCGAGGGGGGGAGGTGGTCGGGGGTACGGACCGCACCGGGTGACACCATTTAGGGGGGGGGGGGTGACACCAAGGCAAAAATAGCAAAATATATAGAGAAAACTTGAGGAGTGCAAATCCAAAGTTTGAGGGGGGTGCAAATCGAAAATTTGAAAGTTTGTCCCCGGGAAGGGTCGCCTCTGGGGGGAGGGGGGAGTGTTGTCACCCGGTGACACCCGACCTCGCTACGCATATGGGTGAGTGAATGTGGGAAAAGCTAGGATGAAAATGAAATGAGAATGTGACGGCTAGAATTTTAATTAGAATAACATTGTAGGCCATATTTAAGAGTAATTTTAAACATAAAATAACAGGGTAAGATATAACTTGAAGCATGTTTATGTAAAATGGAAATTGACAAAGATGATCTTTCTTATACTGGGAATTAAAAATATTGAATCATATGGTCTTTAAAGTTTTTTGTTGTTTTTTAATCTAACAAATACATTCTTTTTCATAGAGGTCTATACTGAATTTTAACTCTCTCTTTCTCTCTCTTTCTCACTCTTCTTTTCTTGCCTCTGCTAAAGTCAGACATGTAAGTTACAGCGCCAATTTGCCTTGCCATGTTCGTTTAGGATTAGCCTAAAGTTTTCATCATCGGCATTGAGAGGATTAATGCAGATTTACAATAGGTCTAGACTAGTAATTCTTCATTCTGCCATGTAGCCAACTTTCATTCATAGATAACGGTTTACTTGTACATAATATAATTTGTCTAATTTCATTTGGTCTTTTCTCTCTCCATCCCCACACACGCACACACACACCGTTGTAAATGGGAATACAATCGATCGAACCAAGCCGTGGAAAATATTTTTTAACACTTTATTGTGGCGGACTCCTTGAAAGATATGGCTGAACCAAATAGGGAGCACAAAATCCGAACTTTAGGTTAGTTGCTAATACCGTTTTTTTTTAAAAATATGTCGTTAGCCTTTATATTTTCCGATTGAAATGTCAATATAATGTAATGTTAATAGAATTGTCTCCCTTAGTCAATAGTGAGCATTGTTGACGTTGTCGACTGTAGCCTCGCCTCAAGAAAAATATGAAGAAAATCAAAATGAACCCAAGTTTTTTGGGCGACATCCATGTATGGGGGGGGGGGGGGAAATTAAATACACCCAGCAAAAATAATGTGTGAATACTTATACACATGCGTATACACATACACAAGTATATGGAATAGTTATATATATATATATATATATATATATATATATATATATATATATATATATATATATATATATATATATATATATATATATATATATATATGTAAAAAAATTACGGGGGGGGGGGGGTGACACCCGATCTCGCTACGCCACTGCTTCTTTGTATCACTGACACAGATTTCGCGCGATATATTATTCATAATAGCTCATTTATACCCAATTCTCAATGTAAAAAGTATGTTGGACATTAAAATAAAATCAGAATTTAAGTTCTTTGAATTTTGTAACGGTAATAATAATTCCAACTCTATTGACTTATACTCATACTGTTGTTCGTTTTTACTACCAATCATGTCACTCTTGCTCGCCTTCTCGGCTGATTTCTAGCCTGTCTGCCTTGGCCTTCCTTTTCCACTGGAAACACATTTCATTGTCAGCATGTAGGTTGGTTTTTTTATACATCTGGTGACATGAAAAATAGTGTCAATAGCGATACGTTGCGCTACTGTCTTCATTGTGGGACCTCGGTCAAGACAGTCACTATGGAAACAGTAGCGCAACTAAAAAAAAATAATTTAGGCTCCTACATGCACCCAGAGTTTCTTCCAGGCATCTCTTCGGGGGGGGGGGGGGGGCGAAATTTTTTTACCGCCCCCCCCCCCCGAACGAACTGAAATTTATATAATTTATATAGAAAATATATACTTTTAACAGTGTCCGTCTCCCCCAAGAAAGTCTACCGCCCCCCAAAATTTTCAAGTGCCCCCCCCCGGAGAAAAAAAGTCTTCAAGAAACACTGCATGCACCTCCCCCCCCCCCCCACTCATATATTCTACGTTACATTCTAAACCCCATTGGCTCACCATCACCATTAACCAACTCACGCACCTAGCGCTTGATATTATATATGGATTTAGATCAAGCCATACGATTTTCACTTTTTCGGGCTAAACGAGAAGTCAACCTCAATTACATAAAAAAAAATAATGTACATTTTTTGGTGTTTTTAGTCTTATATAATTCACATACTAATGATTAAAAAATTTAATAACATAAAGAATTATTTTAAAAAAAAGTCTTGTCTTCATTGTGTTGTGAATTATATTCGTCACACAAATTCTATATGTAAATTCATCAGCTCACTATTCCAGTGATCCTTAACTTGGGTTCGATCGAACTCCATCCAGGGGTTCAGACACAATGAGTCAATCGCAAGGCTTCGGCGGAGGTCAAGATACTCACCCTGCTTAAATGATTCGCGATCAGATTTAGTCAGTGCGGACGATAGAACTTTTTACGAAGGGTTCGTCGAATTCGCTTATGAAACTGGTGGGGTTCAGTATCCCCAAAAAGGTTTGGAACCAATGATCTATTCACTACTGGGTGAAGGGGGGAGGGTCTGTGAAACGAACTTGAAAGAGGCAACAAAGCGCCCATATACGTCAGCATCAGTTCTGTCGAATTTGCGATGGTCGCTATTAGTAGCATTAGTATTAGTATGACACCGAACCGTTCAAGGTAGATAACTCAAATATACACGTTTATTTCCACGTTTCTAGTCAAAGTCAAAGGGAAAACGAATCTAAATTTAATTTATAGCATAAACACATAATTTTTTAGATTGCAGTGTTGCAACGAAGAATCAAGATCTAGATCTAGATTCTAGATATCAGATCGCTAGATTTACGTGTTGATCAAGTTTTGGTTTATTTTTCCGACATTTTATTTATTAACTTGCTTTCTCTGTCTAGATCGAAACGCCCGAGCGAAATTTCGGACACTTCTAACTGACAGATTCAGTTCAAAGTTGGCACGTGGGTCAAGACATGAAGACAATGCAATATGACATTAAATTTGACTTAATTGGATGTCTAATTAATTTTTTATAAATTAATTACAATTTTGTCCATATCCAACTATTCCGCACTATTATACGCGCTTTGTCATGTTCATTTGGCGCGCAATGGTTTTTAGTCATGCAACTCTATTGTAAATTTAAAAAAATTAAAGTACTGAAAAAAAAATCATAAAAAAAAACGTTTTAATAACAAGCTTTTATGTAATAATGCACTAAAAAGTAGAAAATAAGTTATACACTACTATTTAAAAAAAATATACAGAAATGCGTTGGTCTCTTCCTAAATATTAGTAAAGTTATCCAATAGATAATAAAGTGACCCACGCTTTTCTTTATAGTTTTTTAAATAATAATTTATTTTCTACTTTTTAGTGCATTATTACATAAAAGCTGGTAATTAAAACGTTTTTATGATTTTTTCAAATAAATTTATAACCCTTGGCAATTAGAGAAGCCAAAACACTAAAATGTAGGATCAGAATCAGATCTTACCAAAACAAATCTTGTTTAAAAGAAAAGTAATAATTTTCAAGGTTGTAAATGTAAACAGACTAGCCTAAGTAAATAAATAAAAGCAAGTGGTTGATAACCTGTTACATTACGTAGATTCTAGGCTTTGAAGTTGATAATCCAATCATTAAAAAACGACATTCAAACAGGTGAGCACTAAGTTTAGTTAAAGACTTAAAGTAATCACTACAAGTCACAAGTACATTGTACAACACTAGCTACTACTGAGTAGCTAGCTAGATATTGACTAGAATCTAGAATCTAGATCTAGTACTAGAATCTAGTAGTACTAGATCTAGTAGTAGTAAGAGTAAGTAGTAACTAGGCCTCTAAATAAAAAATATTAAATAGGCCTAACTATTTATTTACTATTTAGATGAGAGAGAAAAAAATATAGTAACTATTTACTATTTAACAAAATTATAAATAACAACCACTGTTTCACTTTGTGAAATTTAAATTACTTAGGCCTAACTACTTACTAGATATCTACTTACTTTAACTTTTTTAAAGTTAAAGTTGTTAACTAAACTTAACTTAAAGTTAAAGTGTTTTATTTTTAAATGTTTTTTTTTTAATTTTTTAAAGCCACACACTGTACCTAGAGTCTAGTGACTACGTACAGTAACAGTACACTTCAGTACAGAGGCGTAGCGACCCCTCCCGGCGCCCGGGGCGAACTTTCAGTTTGGCGCCCCCCATATATATATATATATATATATATATATATATATATATATATATATATATATATATATATATATATATATATATATATATATATATATGCGTGTGTGTTTGTGTGTGCGACAGTCTGGAAAAAAAATTAACAATTACGCTGATTGTCGTTCCCTAAAACTTCACTTGACGCCAATTAATTTCCCCTTAAGATGCCCAAACGAATAAAGAGTAGAAAATCAAAAGAGCTTAGAACAGTGGGCTCCATCGAACCCGAGAGGTTCGGTAATTCAGTCTCAGTGCTTCCGCGGAGGTCAAGACACACACCCGACTCATAGGATTCACGATCGGATTTTCTCATTGTGGACGATACAACTATTAAGGAGTGTTCAGTGATTGCGCATATAAAACGGGTGGGTTTCGGTACTCCAAAAAGTTAAGAACCACTGCTTTAGAGTGCATTTTGTAGAAGGTGCAAGCCTTATTTGGTCTACTTTTGGTCGTATCTTTAGAACAATTTCGATAATAGTAGGCCAATATTGCAATTTTGAATTATCAGTTAGGTTGAACAAAGTAATAATCAGTACAATATACTAATTTTCTTCTCTCTTAACATTTTGGCAAAGAGTGTCGCTTCCCATCCACCCGCTCCGACAGTCTGCTAACTCTTTTTTATGTTACACAATCTTAAAATACGCTTTAGTTCAATGGGTTTCTTTTCTAGGCGATATCGGTTTATTCCTTAATCCGGTGTGAATTTTTCCGATTTTAGTCTTCGAAAAAGCGCCCCCCTCCCCATCTAGGAAAGCTGGAAAGCGGTTTTTCCGGTCACTGTTTCTTAAAGATATACGTTTTACAGTTACACAACCAAGGTAGAAAACAGTTAAATCAGTATGTAAAGGCTCTCAGCCGTTACATTTCTTTATTTTAACTGTTTATAATTCAAAACTGCAGCTAAAAATGAGCTTTTAATTTTTTTTTCTACCCCTTTTGGCGCCCCCCCTAGGGTCGGCGCCCGGGGCGGCCGCCCTCCCCGCCCTCCCCTAGCTACGCCTCTGCTTCAGTACAGTACTCAATCTCATGAGTACTCGGTAAAACTTTAGTTTAGCGTCGTTAATTCGGCCAAAATTAGTAATGTGGGAGAGAAAGAATGAATGAATGAATATGCCTTTAAATAATAATTAATAATATGAGTAGGCCTAGGCCTATATTTTCTTTTGAAAGTACAAAAACAATTGTATTAAAACTTTTCAGTAATAAATAGAGACTAGCGATGTTTTTACCAGATGCAACGAAGCTCATTTACTATTTACTTTAGACTTTAGCAGCCATCTTAAGTTTTTTCGGTAAAATTCGAGTTTGAGATTCAGGGGAAACCACTCTAATTTACAGATGGCAGCTGTTTATGTAGCAAATCTTGCTCATAAACACTGCTGTTTAAAGTTTACTTTACTCTAACTTATGGTACTACATAGTATTGTAACATTTTCACTGCCACCAAATGTACTGTTTTCACTGCCTGAAAATGTAATGTTCTTGCTTCTCTTCTGTTTCTCAGTCACAGACGATAAAAAATGATGAACACCTTGCTCTCTAGCGCTTACCTGTGAAAATTTCCCCTGCTTTTGTGCTAACCTACCCCAAATAACTCTATATAAAAACTTAACGCGATCTCCTAAAATTCTAATAAAGTTATCATCTGAAACCACAGACAATTCCCTTTAGAATGATGCAAATTATATCAAACATCAATAAGTTGTACTTAAACAAAAATACATCAAACATGCAAGTAACATAAAAATATCATCTAATTAAAGTAGATTTCCATAATATGGGCTTGCTCCTAACTAACACTAAGATATTCTAATTAAAGATCTAGCTTGGCCTAATAGTTCATCCAATTTTTATGCTATATAAACAATTATTTATTAAGATACACATTTTTCTTCTTGCCCTACTAAGCACTATTGTCTGATTCCTAACAAATTCACTACAGTTGCACTAAGTCAATAAGTACAATGTAAGTAAAGTTACGTAAAGTAGCTTGATTAGCAAGTTAGTAATTCAAACTAGAATCTAACCTAGGCTAGGCTAAATTAAATATATTCCTTTTGTTTTATAAAGTGTTTTTCAGTAAATCAACAGTAGTTTTTAAAGAGCAGAGTTAAAAAGTAAAATAAAAAACTAGAATATGAATATAAAAATATTTCTAAATTTCCAGTCAGTTGAATGTGGTTGTAGTTAATAGTATTCAGATATCTGCTGTAACTTCTGGATTAAATCATTAAAAAATAATTGCTATATAAAAAGTTTTATTTAAATCTGTTTAGATCTAATCTATATCTATAACGATTTTTACATTTTGATATAACTTTCAATAGTAATAATACATTTTTCCTTTTGTTCCAGGCCTGATTTTGTAAAAGTATTGCACAAAGTCAGTATAAACATTAGTGAACATTAAAGCATGGCAATTACAGAATATTTATCAACACTAGGAGACAACCCTTACTTTGGGGCAGGAGCTGGGCTTTTTGGTATAGGCCTACTGGCAGCAGTTGGACGGAGAGGTCTTCAAGTTGGAGCTGTTGTTTTTCGACGCCATTTTATGATTACAATGGAGGTGACTAGTCGTGATAAAAGTTACCATTGGCTATTGCAGTGGATCACGAAGTATGGAACCCACACCCAGCATCTGAGTGTAGACACAGAGTTTCATCAGTCAGCTGCTGGCCAGATCAAGACCAGGTTTCATTTTGTACCCAGCCCTGGCAACCATTATTTCTGGCACAAAAAAAATTTAATTATAGTTGAGAGGAACAGAGATAATAAAATGGTGGATATTTTTGAGACAGTGACGTTAACAGCTTTTGGAAGAAATAGAGAGATGTTTATGAATATCCTTGAGGAGGCGCGAGGGTTAGCTCTTTTAAGTTCTGAAGGAAATACAGTAATGTACACTGTAGCAGGTGCTGAATGGAGGCCTTTAGGATACCCTAGAAGAAAAAGGCCATTGGACTCAGTTGTTTTAGATTATGGTGTTTCACAACGCATTTCTGATGATATTCATGAGTTCATCAACAATCCCAAGTGGTATTTAAAACGAGGTATCCCCTATCGCAGAGGATATTTACTCTATGGCCCACCTGGTTGTGGAAAAAGTAGCTATATAATGGCATTAGCGGGTAAATTATTCTGCTTTTTAATATTACTTTTTTATACTCACTATGCATATTAGTAAATTCTGCAGTAGTTATAAATTGCGAATTAATAGTTTGTTTGCAGCTTATGAAATGATTTAGATTGAATTAAAGATATTTTTGGTTATATAGTTTTTCTTTGTCTTATGAGCATGCTTTAGTGAAATATTTATTTTTTCACATCGTTAAGCATTGTTTCAGGTTCAATTGATTACAGTATTTGCGTGTTGAATCTGAGTGATAAGGGAATGTCTGATGATCGTCTAACTCATCTTTTAACAAACGCCCCCGAGCAGAGTATTATACTTCTAGAAGATGTTGACGCAGCCTTTGTTAGCAGAGATACGAATAAAGAAAGTTAGTATGGTATTGTTTAATTATTTATCACAAGCTGCATAGCCTGTTACATGACAGGCAAATATTTGTTTTAAAATGTTTGTTTTGTAAGCTTCCTAGTTGTCTAAGTCAGTTCCTTGGATAAAGTTAATGGAAACAAGATGAAACGAAAATATGAACAAATATTTCATTCAAATTGAGTACCATTCATTCAATTGTAGCATTAAAAACCTGTTGATCTATCTTAGTTGATTATTTATGTCAAATTTCAAACAGACAGACATACTTAGCCAATCATAATATTAACTGCACTATGCAACAAAAGCGGCTCTCTCATCGTGTCCATCCCGACCTTATTTTACCCCAACTTTATACGCAAACACTCGACCACCACCTCTTAAAAAATGTACACCATGTTGTAAAGTTATACATGACATTTTCTAAATCCACTCAGATGACAGGCATGGTTTAAACATCAATAATCATGTAGATCTTTTTCTTAATATTGTCATTCCATGTTGATCCTTAAAATGTTATCCTTGTGCCTCTTTTAAGACAATATAAATTTTAAAGACTAGTAATTTGAGAAACTAACGATGCAAATAAATGTGGGCTATTTCCCTTTAACCAATATAATTTAGTCTAGTAATCAGAGTATTTACATTAAATATGGCATTTAAGCAGATTAATTAACATTTAAACAATCTATTAATTTCTTAAAATGTAAAATACAACGTTCAAATTTAAAATGTAATACAATTTTTAGACATTGGTATCATAGAAACAAGTCTAAAACAAAAATTTATTCTAAATATTTTTCAGTAAGGGAAGAAATAAGCCAATTATTAGATAAGATTATTGTTTTATTATTATGTGTTAATCTTAAAGCTAGTCTGGTATTTTTATTAATCCTATGTATAGATTATTTGAATAGGCTTTATTCATACTAAAGATGCATCCTTCTGTGTACTATTTATGGTGAAAAATGTAAATCTTGAAATGACTTGTTATCCTCAGATGCAATAGCCTATCAGGGAATGGGCAGGCTAACTCTCTCTGGTCTGCTGAATGCATTAGATGGTGTTGCTTCCACTGAGGCGAGGATACTTTTTATGACAACAAATTATATTGACAGGTAATGATTGTTGACTTTTTACTAAAGACTTTGTACTGTGGTTCTCTTCTAGCTCCTGGAGGTATGAGGGTGTTGTACTTATATGGAAAAGTTACAATCTAGGTTAAAGAATACTTTAAGCCACAACCTAATAGCAGTCCAGAAACCTCTTACTGGTTAAGTTTTATTCAAAAGAAAAACAAAAGGTCATTTTGTTTATGTCAGACTTTGATCTGCAGGCTTTTTAAAATGTATACATTTTTAAAATGTGCAGTTAGAATGTAATAAGAAAAAATCCTTACAAAATACCCTCAACAAATTTTGTCCATAGACCCATGAAAAATGTTAAGAGATATTTCTGTTATTTTGTTTTGGTGTATTTCTTTAAAAGGAAGCATTTTTTTGTAGGAACTTTCTGTTATTTTATTTTCACTAAAACATGTAAAGGTAACTAATAAAATAGTTTTTGTTATGATTCAAATTAAATTTGTATTTTAAAACACATTTTTTGTTTACTAGGTTGGATAAAGCGTTAATTCGACCAGGCAGGGTAGACCTAAAAGAAAAGATTGGCTTTGCTACTGAATACCAACTTGAACAGATGTTTAGGCGATTCTATCCAGAAGAACCAGAGCACAGAGCGCAAGAATTCTCTAGTAAAGTTTTTTCTGTCAGCCAATCTATATCAGCAGCTCAAGTGCAAGGATTTTTTATGCTTTACAAAAACAGTCCTGACCTTATGATGACCCATGTTGAAGACATAGTTCATTTGTAGTTTACAGAGATCAAGTTGTTGTATATGTATATGCCATATTTTACAATTTTTGTAAATACATGATATGTAACAGTCAAATTTGTTTTTTCATTTATCTGTTTTGCATACTCTAAATACCTTATTCATCATAGTAGCTCTTTATAAAAATAGAACCAATTATTTTTCAATAAATTAGCTGTTTAAAACAAGTAAATAAAATTACTTAAACAGTACAGACATGTGTTTGAAAAAAGAGAAAAAAATAAGAAGTTTGTTTTTACTGCAAGTAAAGAACTAGTGGCATACAATTTTAAATAAATGTTATAGATAGTCAAGAATATTAATTCTAGTTAAATAGGACCACATACTTTTGAAACCTGACTAAGGCTTGTCTTCCTAGCAGTGACCTAAAAATAGTGTCCTACATTTAAGATTTAAGCTAGTAACACTAATTTAATAGCTCAGCAGAACTATGTTGACCTTAGTCTTTATTCAGAACTTCGAGTTGAACGTAACAGAACGTTACTGAAGAAAATATAGGTGTATTATTTTCAAATAATAAAAAGCGGCTAGATTATAATGGATTCAACACTGCTTTCTGAGACCACCAATTGTTTTTAATTTTTATTGTAAACGATATACATTTTAACAGTTAATTTCCAAAAAGAAACCATAGCAACCATATATTAAAATAATCAATGGGTCATAACTCTAGCCAAATTGAACCTTTAAAAGTATTTACATTGTTACGTCCCTTCGACATAAACCTTGTTTAGATAAATCAATAATTTAAAAGTTCTTAGTAGGAAAAAAAACTATATATTTGTATTTATGTATATATACATGCATTGTGCATACAAGATGGCTTATTTGATCTAGGTTATTAGTCGCTTACTAGTTATTGAAATCAACCATTCTGATGTTTAACAGTCTAAGGTACGTAACTATGTAATTATTTTGTTTCTAAAGTTTGTTTAGAGTTGTAACCCCTTAAATAAAAAGAGACTTGTTAGTTTAATGTTGTTGAATCAAAAGTTAATAAAAAGTAGTAGATAATGTTTATTTTTATTACCATTTTACGTCATCGATTTACATTAATTTATACTTCTTTTAACATTCTTTTAAAAGGTTAATTAAAAATCTTTAGGGCCTACATTAAAACATTACAATGGAGGCGAGCTTGAATCTCTTTGAATATGATCCTAGTTAGTCCTAGATCTAGATGTAGTAAATATCCTGACAAATAATTCTTAAGTAATGTACAATGTTATTATTGTTATTATTAAATTGTTTCAAATAGAAAATATGTTGTAATGAAGATAATTGTATGCATGTAATTGTAACGAATATAAATAATTAAATCATACTTTAATTAAATTAATTTAGAAATAAGATTTCCAAATTACATTTCAAACGCGGGGATAAAGAAAACAAAGTGTGTTACTCTAAATATAGTTGTTGCCCAGCGAATCTTTTACTGGGCCAAGGACCTATTTATATCTAGACTAGATGTATATAATTATTACACACAAACCTTTTAATATAAATTTAGGAGTTATCTACCTTATATTTTTAGAAAAAGAAATTGGTCATATAAATGGCGGATATTTGTTTTTGTGTAGACTGTTCTGGGTAACATTTTGGAATGGATTACATTAAAAAGTCTATTCAAAGTATTGGAAAGGGCTTCTTCAATGGCCTTTTTGAGAGATCTATCAGAGTTTATATCCAGAAGCATTTAGGCGAATTTTTGTTGGATAAATTAACTACAGATCAAGTTGATATCGGACTCGATGGAGGATCCCTAGCTGGCCTCTTTCTGAATGCTGAGGTAAACAGCTGTGCGATGTAAACAAAAACAATAAACAAAGAACCAGTAGGCTAACATTTATTCCATTGACTTAGTTTGATTTGAAATATTGATGTTTAATTTTCCTAATCCAATATCTGATATACAGTATGCTAAATAAAAATAAACACATGAAATTCTCGCTGTATCTTCATTATGATAATCTTCACTAAAAAAATCTTGACTTGTCTTGGGACTGGGCTGACTGGGTAGCCTATTTAATTTTATTTAAAATATTAAAATATTTAGACTTGTAGTAAAAGCATAAAAAGAAACTTTAAGAAAGGCCTATTAAATTAATTTATTATTTATAAATTATTAATATTAGCCTAATACATATGATGGGATGTATGTTAACTGTTAACTTACTACTACTTACTACTTAACATTGTTAAGTAAGTACTAAGTAGTATTAGTAGTAGATGAAGTAATATACTTAATACTAACCTAGAAGCCCTAATAAAGTAATATATATTAGTATTATTATGCTTTAAATTTTAGACCTAATTAATAGTAATTAGGCCTATAGCCTACCTACATTATTTTAATATTTAGTATTTTTGGCCTAGATATTTTAAACTTAACCAAGCAAAATAATATCCTGGCCTATGTAATAGGTAATTAATTATAATTATATAATTATTATTCTAAGGCCTAATAATTTTTTATACCAGACTAGTGTATTAATTTTATTATAAGTAAAATAATAGTACGATGAGGATTGACAGGATGGCTTTTTAAATATGATTAAGGTATATGATTTCATCAAATAACATTTCCTTTTCTAAATTATAGTAAACGAGCCGACCCGCGTATCATATGCTGCTATTTAGTTGTTTTATTTTCTACATTTTAGTAATTAATAATTTATGAATTTGACAATACCAATGCTGCCAGTGAAAATATTTGCTTTAAAACACTATCCTTTCACCCAACCCCTACCCTACACCCCCCCCCCCCCATGAAAGCAGCCTCCTCTTAGTTACCTCCCCTAAGTTTCAAATAGTTTCAAACTAAATTATCTGCCCCTAATAGCCGTCACTAAACCTGGCTCTACGATTGTAAACATTTAGCGTGAACCACAGCTCACCAGACCATGTGGGGTGGGGGTTGTAGGGATATGCCTAGAGAGGAAGAGAGGGGGCTGATAGGCACACTTACAGCTTGGTGTTTTCTATGGCTCTACGAAGAGAATTATATATATAGATACAATCGATTTGAGCTGCTAAAATATATGCTGGTAAACTGAACAAAATGTTACAGTCTGTTACTACATTATGATTGAATAATATTTATATTAGATTTGATTATAAAGCCAGATATACACTGATATTGCGTTTTTAAAAAAAACAAACTAGTTTCTTTATATTGTAGTTTCAATAATGGTAAAAGACAAAAGCTCCCCTCCCTTAAATTACCCTTTGACACCCCCCCCCCCCCCCCCCCAACATTATCCCCCATGAGAAATCATATTATTCATCACTGGCAGATTAAGTAAACTGCATTCTATATTATGCTAGACATAGGCAGACAAAAAATGAAATAAATTGTATTTCATACTGTCTCTATCATCTCCCATGAAAACACCATCAAATTTATAAAAAAATGGATGCTTCAAGTGAATTTTGGGAAGGGAACTTTAAATGGACCCATGGCTATTAAATAATATCCACCTATACCAGCAAATAGTTTAATGTGTAGGTTATGATTTGACCCATGGGTATAATATTTCTAAAAGCATTCGTACATTTTTAATATTGCTTCCCAGAAATAACTTAAAATTATTTCTTTTAACAAACATAATAGTAAAAAAAACATAAATTTACTTAAATTTTCCCATATCCATAGATAATGTCATCAATATTTCAAAGTGCCAACAAATTATCCTAATGTTTTTTTCTATTCATTAGGCCATCAATGAAAGACTAGAAGGTTACAATGTTCCATTTACTCTGGTTGAGGGGTATATAGATATTCTACACATGAAAATACCATGGAAAGAGATTTCAACAGAATCTATAATTGTGGAGGTGGAAGGGCTTATGCTGGTCATCAAGCTTAAAGAAAATGAAATTGGTTAGTGTATTGGGTATTCTTATTTTTTACAAGCTTTTATTTAACTTGATTCATCATCATTAATGCCTCGTCCTTCATGAGTTAATCATGCTATCACAATAATTATATTTTATTAATATTTTTAGTTTCTTCTTCTTTTTGTTGCATGTTTAAAAGCCTGCTATTCCTTGTATAATTATAATACTAGAGGAATTCCTGTTCAAAATTTAAATTTTTATCATACTTAATTTTCTTTTCTTCACAAGATGATGGGATGGACATGAAATCAATGTTTGAAAGTATGACAGCTTCAATGGTGGCAGAAGTGATGAAAGCAGATGTGGCTGCTGCTGACATTCACAAAATCTCAGAAGCCGGGAAAGGAGTTTCTCCCTTTGAAAGCATTGAACTCATGTCTGAGTTCATTTCATCCAGTAAGTCAGCCATTTTCAAACTAGGAGGCATGCCTCCCTTAATAGGCATCTGCACAACTGCTTCTAGTGGAGGCACATGAAGATTTACAGACATTTTTGTAATCAAAATTATTTTATTTTTAATAATTTATTTAAAAGCTAAATTGCCTATTTTAAAACGTTTACAGCCAGTTTATTGTAATGTTAATATCAACCGATGAATTTTAATATAGATAAATTATATTGCTAAGTAAATAGATTTATGCAACCATTATTCTTTGAAGTGTTTTATGAGCTTAATTAAATATTCGTTTTTTCTGAGTTACTTCCCTTATACAAATTTAAGATATTTAAGAGAGCCAATCTGTAACTGTTCTTAAAAGTCATTAAAATACAGAGAAATTGAATAAAAGTTGTATAAAAATGCAGATGATTGTTTATTATTTTGCAAAAGATAAATATTAAAATACTTGTGTAAAGTAAAATATTTCTTAAAGTTTAGTTCTAAACTTAAAAACCATTAGCTGATTGTAATAATTAATTTTTAAACATGCTAAAGGTCAATTTTGTAATTATTCAACAATGAGCTTACAACAGTTATTTATCTAAAATTACAAAAAAAACATGTATAAAGCCCAGTAGAAGACCCATTTTATCCTGAGGTTAACTGTGGATTGATATAAAAATACACAAAGAAGATACTGGCTGCACTTGTTAATCCCCTCCTTTGTGCACCAACTCAATGTTTTATTGTTGCCTCATCAGTTTCCTTATGTTTTATGAGTAAAGTAAGGTACGGTTAGGAGAGGAGCTAAAATCAGGTTCTTAATGGTAGCTGCTGCAGTTGATGTATGTTATTTTTCCTAAAAATATTAAACTCAAATTCACAAGTGTCCTAGCTTGTATTTTCTTTCCCCTCCAGTCACATCTAGAATCCAAATAAAAATGACAAATGTTATCATCAAAACGGACAAGTCTCCTGGTGTATGTGTTGAGCTTTTGATTGAGCGGCTGGAGTACTACGACAAGGACACGTTGACAGGCAGGGAGAAGCAGCCTAACCTGCCATCTGCGCCCAAGGGTTTCTCCACTAAGCTTGTAGAAATCTCTAAAGTCACCTTAAGTCTGGAGGAAGTTTGGAGCAGGCCAAATACACCTAAACCACTTGATCCCATCCAGCAGTCTTCAGTGGTAATCTTACACATTTTTCAGTTAAATTAAAAATATAATGATTAAACAAATTTCTACAAGAAAAAAAGTAGTTTAGCATTAAATCCATTAAGATATTTCACTGCTGCATTGAAGTAATTTAACATTTGTATTAAAGTCATATTTAATTTTATTGTATTCTGTTGTATTCTATTTTCATTTGTTAATTTTTAAGAATGTTTCCTTCTCTTAACAAAGGCATTTGATTTGGCCATGAGTTCCCCGCCAACATCTGGCAACTACATGCAGAGCTCATGCATGACTCAGTCCATCTACCCAGGCATGTCGCATGAAGAAATGGAGAGCCTGACAGACAGCCCCGAGCCTGAGACAGGAGGCTGTATCCCTATTGTTTCCATGGACAAGTCTCAGACAGTCACCATCATCATCAAAAACGAAGACCAGCTGCCTGGTCCTGCTGTAAGGACAACCCCTTTTATATCACACTGTATACATCACACTATACATCAGATGGTCCTCATGTAAGGACAACCCCTTTTATATCACACACTATACATCAGCTGGTCCTGTTGTAAGGACAACCCCTTTTATATCACACACTATACATCAGATGGTCCTGTTGTAAGGACAAACCCTTTTATATCACACACTATACATCAGATGGTACTCATGTAAGGACAACCCCTTTTATATCACACACTATACATCAGCTGGTCCTCATGTAAGGACAACCCCTTTTATATCACACTGTATACATCAGCTGGTCCTGTTGTAAGGACAACCCCTTTTATATCACACACTATACATCAGATGGTACTGCTGTATGGACAACCCCTTTTATATCACACACTATACATCAGCTGGTTCTGTACAACCCCTTTTATATCACACACTATACATCAGCTGGTCCTGTTGTAAGGACAACCCCTTTTATATCACTCACTATACATCAGCTGGTACTGCTGTAAGGACAACCCCTTTCATATCACTCACTATACATCAGATGGTCCTGATGTAAGGACAACCCCTTTTATATCACACATTATACATCAGCAGGTCCTGAAACATGGACAACCAATGATATTTAAAAAGTGTTCATGTGTTTATGTCCCCTTAAGTTGTCAAACTTCTGACATTGTCTGTGTACAGGTGGATGTGTCCTGGAATTTGGAAAGTTTTCATGTGTTCATGTCCCCTAAACTTATCAGTCTTCTTACACAACTGCTCGGCACTACAGGTAAGTTCTTGTGGAAATATGTTTTACCAGTTGTTGCTAGCAATAGTGTAACCATTTAGTTGTGCCTAGACATAATAAGAAATTAAACGTTAACCTATTGTAATTATATGTTAAATGTGCAGCAACAGCCCATACACTGATTCATATCATTGTTTCATAACACATTGTCACCAATGCTGACCTTCTTCTACCTGTTAGGTCACAAGAAAGCACCAAAGCCTGTTCCCATGACCTCTGAAGACTTTTTGGTTTGTGACAGACTTAGAGAAGCAGATGATTCCATACACAGAAACAGTGCCTTTGACAGCATCCCTGACCTCACTATAGAAAAACATCTGGAGATGATGCGAGGAGGTATTGGATTCTGTTTTAATTTTTTTAAGCAATTGAAAAAAAATAAAATCAAGAATTGTTTTTTGTATGTTAGTTAATTGAATTATTTGTTATTCCTTCTATTTTATTTATAAGAAAATTGTACTAAGCGCACATTTGCTTTCAGAGAGTGTTTTCTCAGAAGACATGTTCTTCTCCGCATATCCATCAGCTAGTAAGAGCTCAGCTTGTATAGATATTGGTGATAGTTCCTCAGTGAGTACATTCACTGCAGACTCTACATATAGCACCACAAATGGTGAGTAAGACATTGGTGATAGTTCCTCAGCACCACATATCAGCAAAGTTGGAGCTGTTTTAAATGAGTCCATGTTTAAAAATATATTAAATTCTGGTTCAGGTTTTTAAATTTCTTTATCAACTTAAAATTCAACGTGTTCACTTTGACATATTGTACTTCATTGACATTTTATTAAATTGTAAACCAATTTTTTTTTCTATTTCAGTCAGTGACTATTCCCATGCAAAAAAAAGCAAATGTAAGTTCTTTAAATTTGATTGAGCTGTTTAGTCATTTTATTTGAGAAACTCATTCTAAAATATTTACTCTGTACAGTTGGTTAGCTAGCGTGTAAATTACCTACCTCATTTTTAAAAGCCCTTTTGTAACATTTATATTATGTGATCCTCCCCCCTCAGCTACAGAAAGAAGCAACAGCAGGGGCTGGGACGACCACTCCGTAGAGACCCAGAACATCAGTCTAACCCTGCCCTTCTTTACTGTCACTCTCCTGCTGGAAGATCCAGAACCATGTCCAGTCGTCTCTATGGCATCTTTTTCATCCCCCCCGGCAACTAGCGTCACCAGCCTGTCTTCCTCGTTCCCACCTAAATCTGGCGTTCCTAAAGGAGACAAGTCTTTCACTCCATCCAGCCTGCCCAAGTCTTTCATCACCAGCCAGTTCCACCCACGGCCTGACCCTGCAGCTAGTCTCAGCTATTCACAGTCATCTTTCAAGACTGCGTGTACACATTATGACAGTGATGACGATGATGACGAGGAGTTTCATGACAGCGGTGAGTTTTTCACCTCCTCTGTGGACGCACCAACACCCAAGCTAAGCCGTGGTAGGGCCCAGTGTCCAGCATCAAAGGAAGATGTCCCCAAGAATCACCTTCAAAAGGTTGCCAAAGATTTATTTGATGGGATGTCAAAGCTAGACTCTAGGGTATCACTGCACAAACTGAGAGACAGTGTTGCTTCCATTTTACCCTTGGATCATCTTGGGTAAGCTTTTTTATTGTTCATAAATTACACATTAATTTTAAGGGTTAGCTTGTCGCCCCTCCTGGGACATAGGGGCTGTCTTTTTAAAAATCCTTTGTTCCTTCTTCATTTTTACTTTCTCGTATATACGAAGTATAGAGAAAGTCTTGTAATCTTGCAAAAAAAAAAATCGAGATTTTTACAAATCTCGACGTTTTACATCTCACTGATACGGAAAAACATAATTTTGCAATCTTGTCCGTATGTCTGTGTGTCTGTCTGTGTGTGTGTGTGTAAACACGATAACTTGAGTACCGTTACAGCTAGGTTGATGAAATTTCATATATAAGTATTTTATCAAAATCGTAGATCCGTATCAACTTTTGAGCGATTTTCCGATAACCGGAAGTGGTAATTTTCCTACTTTGAAATTTTCAAAAGCCTATAACTTGAGTACTATTTCAGATAGATAAACGAAATTTCACATGTAAGTAAAAGATCTAATTCTCTACCTTCTGTTAAATTTTGAGTCATTTCCGTTGACCGGAAGTAGTAATTTACGCTACTTCCGATTTCTCAAAAAACTAATGTAAATTTTTAAAGTACTAATAATATTGAGCACTATTATGCACTTTTTTATTTAGCGTTCACTTGGTGTGCAATTCTTTTGTCTACGAGATTTCATTCTATTTTTAAAACTTTAAGTATTTAAAATGGATTAAAAATCATGTCTATAGCCCGAGTTCCCATCCCCAGTTATTTTTTATAAAAATATTCAAGAAAGTTTAGGGGAGATCACTCCCGGTTTATTGTTCCATGTATTGTTATGAAATCAATTTTTGTTTTAAAATCCTTTGTTTCTTCTTCATTTCAGTCTTCTGGCCAAACCAGTCCATGCAAGTTTGGTCCAAGAAAAAAAATCTTCAGAAAGCAAGCACAGGGTGAAAGTCACTTTTGGGAAACTTGAAGTGATAGAATGTTTATTTGACTGTGTCAGTAAACCCAGTGACTTTGCTAAAACTGCTCTACCAAAACTGCCCCAATATTCTGTGGTAAGTTCTTTTTTTTTCATCATTAATTGTTAATTCAATAATTTTAGGATATTTGTATTATCTTTATGTGTTCCCCATTGGTAAAAAAAAATTTGCATGCTTCAGTTGTACTTTATGTTCAGAAAGTTTTTTTTTTTAAATTTAATTATACAAAAATAAGCTGAATAAACCTCTTTGTAACATATTACTTTAAAAACTTCTTAAATCTAAATTAAAAAAAAAAAAAAATGAAATTAATTATTTACGATTAATTATATTGAATATTTTAAACATGATTCTTACTTTAGTAACTCTTTACATATTTCATAAATATGTATAATACAAGTTATCATTTAATCATGTAAAAATACCATATGCCTTATAAGCTGATGGTTTTTATTTATTTTAAAAACTTTTTATTGAAATCCTATAACAGATTTATGATGAAAAACGTTGTTCAACACAATGTATATAGGTCTCTCTCTCTCTCTATATATATATATACCTAATGTAAATTATGTATTTTTCGAGCCTTGTTCCTTGGTTCTTTATCTCAAAATCTTTTGATAACAAAATAAATGTGTGAGATAGTTTTTCACTCTCTTTAGAATGGTAACATGTTCCCCAAAGCAACTTTTGTTTCACATGCCTAGAGCAGTGAGCTGTGTAGGCTGCCTTACACTTATACAGGGGACAATATTTCTGTAGAAATATATTAAGGATTTGGGAGAAGGGTAAACAGTTTCTGTAAAATGTATCGTTTTAACACTTGGTAATTGTAAGTTTCTACTATTGAAGTTAAAACACACAGAAAATTAGACTATTCAAAACTTAAGGTTTTGGTATTTCTTTGTTATTAATTGATTTCATTTTACAGTTTAGGCTTTGGTTTTTAAAAAGTCATTTTTTTATTGAAAAAGGAATAACACAAACAACTGTTCTAAAATAATTATTTTAATATGTCATACAATTTATAAATGTTTCTCTTAAAACTTAAAAAGTATAAAATGGGGATAACCTAGAATAATTCTGAGAAAATTTTTTGTTCTGACTGCTAATTATGCATCTTATAAGTGAAATAAAAAAATAACCTAGTCTAGTTTCACTAGGAATTTAAAGAGAAATAGTTTTGAAAAAGAGAAACTACTATTCTTAAAAGTTTATTCATTGATTCAGATTTTCCCTTAAAAACTTTTTGTATGTATGAGGTATAAAAAATAACAAAAACATTTTTAAAATTCTACTTTGGTTAAGGCATATTATAAAAATGAATCTCTAATTTCATGAGAATTGCATAATTGTATTTATTGCAGAAGGTTTTAAATAAAAATGTTATAAATAGCAGATGATATGAGATAAATAGAAAACTTTGTAAAGATTGAATACCTGAATAAATATGCATAAAATTTCTTTTAAAATTGTCACAACAAAATAACCAACTTACAGATATTTGATACATTTGGAAAGTCTACAAAAACATGGCATAAATGCATTTATTTCATGGAATGTTGACTAAACTAAGTCGTATGTTACATCTGGAATGTTTTGAAGTATGACTTGTAAAAAAAGATCTTTGTACAATAATTTAACCAGTTCTGGGATATGTACATCCAACTACTACAATAGTTTCATAAATCGAGGCACACATTTAAAAAACATTCTGTAAATAACAAAAATTAGTTATAACTATCGTTATGACTTCTAAAAATAAGTTTTGCATTGACACTTAGGCCACTTAAAGCGTATAATTACAATTTAAATGAAGGCACGAATGTATTCATTGGACTTTTAAAATTTGTTTGCAAATGTTAAAATCTATATTTCTTTACCTTCTGAATTGATAAATCCTATAAAATATCCAAAATGTTTTTTTTTATTAGGAGCAAACAGGCAGGCCCAATTTATTCATTAATTCATTCAGCAGTTTTATTTACAATTTAAAATATTTACAAGATTTTTAGTTGTATTAGAATTAAGTCAGATCTTTGCTAAATTTGATTAAGTATATATATAGCACACTATTGAACATGGTTGACACTTGTTATTCACTGGACATGATGTGAACTAGTTTAAACCTTTCCTTTTAAACTCAGAGCCTACTTGTATTTTTGAGCATCATATGTATAAATAGATATCTAAAACAAATGAACAGTATTCATCATTATTTCTTTAACAATGGAATGTAGGCAACACGTCAAAACGTCAAAACGTGTCCCAGCATGTTTTCTCCATCTTTTGATAGTCTGTTTAACAGAAACAAATAAGTAATAGTTCAGCCTTTTGGTCAGTTTTTAGAGATTGCATATTTTTTTGGCCTTTGGCTTGGACATCAGGCACCTGAGGTCTACAGATGTTTAATAAGCTGGTGGGGGGGGGGGACAAGGCCCTCCTATACACCTGTTTAAACACAGTGCTACAGTAGTGGCCCAAGTCATTCTGACAACTGTTGTGTACATTTCTTCGCGTGACTCCATCTTGTGTAATATTTTCTTATCTGACGTAGCCTGCAGGAAGTAACCCAGTCACTGATCACAGATCTACATCTACACTGTAACTTCTCTGGACGTGCTAAGTCGTGGCTTTGTATCGTCATGCTGGAAGCCCATGTTGTCCACGCCCTGTATGTGTAGACTTGGTGAAGCTGGGCCCGTCTGCCCCTTGGGTCTATTTAATTCTATGTATGATGGCGGCCGTGCGCCAGGGGCACTTTTTTTGTTGTTGAGGTCGTTTTGCTTCAGCTTCTCTGGCGACCGTGGGCCCGTGTCTATCTCATTATAGTGGTCCCCCTTGAAGCCCATGTTGTAGTAGGCCTCGGGCTTGGCCCTGGGTGGCTCGGGCAAGACGCCGCGGCGGTCGTTCTCGTAGAAAGACTGGTTGGAGGACGAGGTGCTGCCGTGTTTGGCGCTGCTGTCCGAGTACAAGATCTGGGCTCGGCCCACCCGCCCGCCGGTCTGACCATCGCTGATAGCCACCACCTTCATCCCTTCCTTGTGTTCTGGTTCGCCCTCACGCTTCTTGCCCCTGACGAACGTGTGAGTCTCTCGGCCCATGGACGGCAACTCTGACTTCGAGAATATTCGAGGCTGTTCGGGGTGGGAGGGTGCCTCGGCTTTTTTGGGCACTTTGCGGATGAAGACTAAAACAACGATGGCTATAATAATGGCCAGTAAGATGACCCCACCAATGACGGCGCCTACTATGATGCCGACCTCCTGTGAAGTTAGTCCGTTTTGTTGGCCGGCAGCGCCCGTCGTGTCCTGTAACGTTTTAATGTTATCACATTCAACGATAGTGTGCCGCTTGAGGAAGACGGCGTACACACACACATGGTGGACCGTGTTGGGCGTGAGGTTGGTGAAGACATAGGGCTGGCTGTTGGAACGGTTCACATTGGTCACAGCACCGGACTCTGACTCTAGTTGGAGCATGTAGTTGAGCAGATCTTTGTTGTCCGACAAAGTCCAATTCAGTGTGATGTTTCTCTCACCCGCCCCCAGCCGTATGGTCAGCGTGGGCGTCAGATAGTTATCAGTACACGCCGGCTCTGTGTAGGGACCAGGACAAAAGTCTGTCAGGGTTTTGTTGGAGAGCGGCATGTTGTCTGCACATTTCGCCGCGGTGGGAAATACGATTGTGTTATTCTTGAGTCGCTCCCACAACCACCGTATGGCGCAGTTACACTGTAGCGGCGAGTCTAGGATGATGTTCAGTGGAAAACTTGTGTAGCCATTGAACAAACAAGACGGCAGAGTGGTGATGGGGTTGCCGGCAATGTTTAAAACTTTGAGCGAGTTTCGTGGACCAACAAGCATGTCGGGGGTCAGTGAGGATATTCTGTTAGAGCTTATGTCCAGCTGAATTAGTGCGGCCAGTTCCTCCAATGCAAAGCTTGGTATAGTGCTGAGTTTTGTTGCTGAGAGGCTGAGAACAGTCAGCTGTGTGAGGTCAGTAATAGCTGACCACAGCGTGTCCGGGTTGACGGTTTGACCGGACAGGTACAACTCCTTTAATGTAGAAGACAAGTTACTTAAGTGTGGAACGGTTAAAATTTCTTGAGTTCCTATGTCTTGTTTGGAAAGATCTAAAACTTGAAGCGTTGTTATCCCATCAAAAGCATTCACGTGAATGGAATGAATCTGGTTCATTGAAAGATTCAAAGTCTGTAGTGTGGTAGCTATAGCTGCAACACTTTTGGCGCCAAGAGTTGAGATTTTGTTGTTGTTTAAATACAGCTTGAGAGATTGTTGGTTACCTAGCTGAGACAAGTTGGGCAGTGTTTGGAGGTTTTCATTGTGCGACATGTCCAACTCTTTGAGCACAGTTAAATCTTTTAGCCCTGCCAGTGTCAGACTATTAGACGGAATCAGAGTATTACCAGACAGGTTTAGTTTGATCAGAGTGTCGCCAATGCCCTTAAAGCAATCGTTATCTAAAGTGTGTATAAAATTATAACTTAAGTCTATCTCCTGTATGGCGGCAAGGTTCGCAAATGCTGATTGAGTTACCTTGCCTACATTGTGACAGTTTGAGAAAGTTAACTTTTTTAATTTGGATAAAGCTGGCGAGTGGAGCACGTCAACGGGGAGACCTACAATATTCTGGTTGCTGATAATCAGATTTAACAACTCAGTTGGCCCATGGAATGGGTCGTCATCAATAGATGTTAGACCCCAGTTATCGAGTGTAAGATATTTTAATTTGGGAAAAGACACAAAGTAACTATCTGTGTTTAGTAAATGTAATATCCCATAATTCCTCAGTACAAGTTCCTCCAAGTTGACTAGCACCTTTAGGGCATCTATTGGTACTACTGATGTTTTGTTTCCATCCAAATACAATATTGTCAAGTCTACAACCAATCCTTGAAATGCATTCGAATGGACACTGCCTATAGGGTTTCCTCTTAAATCTATCCCTTTGATCCTGAGTCCATGAAAAGCATCGGATCCCAACGCGGTGAAGCTGTTGTTGTTGAGTCGCATCTCCTGTATCAAGGTCGTGAAGGGCGCGGTCAGACTGGGCAGGGCGGTCAGTCCTCTGCTAGAGCAGTCCACAACCGGACCCTCATAGCACTGGCACCGTGGAAACACATCACTGCAGTCCTGCGAGTTGACCACTGTGACGGGCGAGAGCAGGACCACAACACAGAGCAGGCTGATACACGTGCTTGACGCCATCTTGATCCGTTCGCTGAAATTTATGAGGGACATTTTAAAACTTGACTTTAAAATATTACTCTAGTTTTCACTATACTCAAACGAGTACTTTCTTTAGACATTTCAATTCGATTCATTGATGCCTGAACCGATACAATCAAGTGGAAAAGTTCTCGATATCTAAATTGAAGTTCTAATACAAAAACTGACGTGTTTACTTATCCCATACAGTTATTTAACATTACTATAGACCAGCACCCCTTATATTATAGGCCTATTACATTTCTAGATCTAAAACAAAATGATATACAACACCTTGGCGTTGTCACGAGAGACCCGTTCTTTTCTCTTTAGAAATTAGAACATGCATTCATTGAAGGCTGTTACGGTAGTATCACTAATCAGAGGCGGCTTGCTGGTGTTTTTAAAATAATTATAGTTCAAAGATTAAAACGAATACAGTTGTACATCAAATGGGTGTGGTAGGGTCAGATCTCATGTGTCATTCACAGAACACACACGTGTACAATCAGCTAGTACTAACATCAAAAACAGCTGTTCAAGTTTTTATACTTCAATTCACTGTGACCTTATTATGTATTCTTCACTTTATCGGAAACATTTTCCGGCTAGTTTTACTTCCATTAAAGCATTTCCCCCGCCCCCTGTATGATAATTTGTTAAAACATTACATCAACACTCGCGGCCTTTAAGCAATTAGAAAGACTTTATCGGCTGGCGGTTTGCTTGGGTTTTTTTAACACACTATGGGCTCGTGACCAGATATGGAATGATTAGAATCTAGCACTAATTCAATATGTAGCACATGTTGGATACACTGGATGTAACAAATGTGGTAGCACTGGATGTAACAAGTGTGGCAGCACTGGATGTAACAAGTGTGGTAGCACTGGGTGTAACAAGTGTGGTAGCACTGGGTGTTGTGGTAGCACTGGATGTAACAAGTGTGGTAGCACTGGATGTAACAAGTGTGGTAGCACTGGGTGTAACAAGTGTGGTAGCACTGGATGTAACAAGTCTGGTAGCACTGGGTGTAACAAGTGTGGTAGCACTGGGTGTTGTGGTAGCACTGGATGTAACAAGTGTGGTAGCACTGGGTGTTGTGGTAGCACTGGATGTAACAAGTGTGGTAGCACTGGATGTAACAAGTGTGGTAGCACTGGGTGTTGTGGTAGCACTGGGTGTAACAAGTGTGGTAGCACTGGATGTACTAAGTGTGGTAGCACTGGGTGTAACAAGTGTGGTAGCACTGGGTGTAACAAGTGTGGTAGCACTGGGTGTAACAAGTCTGGTAGCACTGGATGTAACAAGTGTGGTAGCACTGGGTGTAACAAGTGTGGTAGCACTGGGTGTAACAAGTGTGGTAGCACTGGGTGTAACAAGTGTGTAACAAGTGTGGTAGCACTGGGTGTAACGAGTGTGGTAGCACTGGATGTAACAAGTGTGGTAGCACTGGGTGTAACGAGTGTGGTAGCACTGGATGTACCAAGTGTGGTAGCACTGGGTGTAACAAGTGTGGTAGCACTGGGTGTAACAAGTGTGGTAGCACTGGGTGTAACAAGTGTGGTAGCACTGGGTGTAACAAGTGTGGTAGCACTGGGTGTAACAAGTGTGGTAGCACTGGGTGTAACAAGTGTGGTAGGACTGGGTGTAACAAGTGTGGTAGCACTGGGTGTAACAAGTGTGGTAGCACTGGGTGTAACAAGTGTGTAACAAGTGTGGTAGCACTGGATGTAACAAGTGTGGTAGCACTGGGTGTAACAAGTGTGGTAGCACTGGGTGTAACAAGTGTGGTAGCACTGGGTGTAACAAGTGTGGTAGCACTGGGTGTAACAAGTGTGGTAGCACTGGGTGTAACAAGTGTGGTAGGACTGGGTGTAACAAGTGTGGTAGCACTGGGTGTAACAAGTGTGGTAGCACTGGGTGTAACAAGTGTGGTAGGACTGGGTGTAACAAGTGTGGTAGCACTGGGTGTAACAAGTGTGGTAGCACTGGATGTAACAAGTGTGGTAGCACTGGGTGTAACAAGTGTGGTAGCACTGGGTGTAACAAGTGTGGTAGCACTGGGTGTAACAAGTGTGGTAGCACTGGGTGTTGTGGTAGCACTGGGTGTTGTGGTAGCACTGGATGTAACAAGTCTGGTAGCACTGGGTGTTGTGGTAGCACTGGGTGTTGTGGTAGCACTGGATGTAACAAGTGTGGTAGCACTGGGTGTTGTGGTAGCACTGGATGTAACAAGTGTGGTAGCACTGGGTGTTGTGGTAGCACTGGATGTAACAAGTGTGGTAGCACTGGGTGTTGTGGTAGCACTGGGTGTAACAAGTGTGGTAGCACTGGATGTAACAAGTCTGGTAGCACTGGGTGTAACAAGTGTGGTAGCACTGGGTGTTGTGGTAGCACTGGATGTAACAAGTGTGGTAGCACTGGGTGTTGTGGTAGCACTGGATGTAACAAGTGTGGTAGCACTGGATGTAACAAGTGTGGTAGCACTGGGTGTTGTGGTAGCACTGGGTGTAACAAGTGTGGTAGCACTGGGTGTAACAAGTGTGGTAGCACTGGGTGTAACAAGTGTGGTAGCACTGGATGTAACAAGTGTGGTAGCACTGGGTGTAACAAGTGTGGTAGCACTGGGTGTAACAAGTGTGGTAGCACTGGGTGTAACAAGTGTGGTAGCACTGGGTGTAACAAGTGTGGTAGCACTGGGTGTAACAAGTGTGGTAGCACTGGGTGTAACAAGTCTGGTAGCACTGGATGTAACAAGTGTGGTAGCACTGGGTGTAACAAGTGTGGTAGCACTGGGTGTAACAAGTGTGGTAGCACTGGGTGTAACAAGTGTGGTAGCACTGGGTGTAACAAGTGTGGTAGCACTGGGTGTAACAAGTGTGGTAGCACTGGGTGTAACAAGTGTGGTAGCACTGGGTGTAACAAGTGTGGTAGCACTGGGTGTAACAAGTGTGGTAGCACTGGGTGTAACAAGTCTGGTAGCACTGGATGTAACAAGTGTGGTAGCACTGGGTGTAACAAGTGTGGTAGCACTGGGTGTAACAAGTGTGGTAGCACTGGGTGTAACAAGTGTGGTAGCACTGGGTGTAACAAGTGTGGTAGCACTGGGTGTAACAAGTGTGGTAGCACTGGGTGTAACGAGTGTGGTAGCACTGGGTGTAACGAGTGTGGTAGCACTGGATGTAACAAGTGTGGTAGCACTGGGTGTAACAAGTGTGGTAGCACTGGATGTAACAAGTGTGGTAGCACTGGGTGTAACAAGTGTGGTAGCACTGGATGTAACAAGTGTGGTAGCACTGGGTGTAACAAGGTAGCACTGGATGTAACAAGTGTGGTAGCACTGGGTGTAACAAGTGTGGTAGCACTGGGTGTAACAAGTGTGGTAGCACTGGATGTAACAAGTGTGGTAGCACTGGGTGTAACAAGTGTGGTAGCACTGGGTGTAACAAGTGTGGTAGCACTGGGTGTAACAAGTGTGGTAGCACTGGATGTAACAAGTGTGGTAGCACTGGGTGTAACAAGTGTGGTAGCACTGGGTGTAACAAGTGTGGTAGCACTGGATGTAACAAGTGTGGTAGCACTGGGTGTTGTGGTAGCACTGGGTGTTGTGGTAGCACTGGATGTAACAAGTCTGGTAGCACTGGGTGTTGTGGTAGCACTGGGTGTTGTGGTAGCACTGGATGTAACAAGTGTGGTAGCACTGGGTGTTGTGGTAGCACTGGATGTAACAAGTGTGGTAGCACTGGGTGTTGTGGTATCACTGGGTGTTGTGGTAGCACTGGATGTAACAAGTCTGGTAGCACTGGGTGTAACAAGTGTGGTAGCACTGGGTGTTGTGGTAGCACTGGGTGTTGTGGTAGCACTGGATGTAACAAGTGTGGTAGCACTGGGTGTTGTGGTAGCACTGGATGTAACAAGTGTGGTAGCACTGGGTGTAACAAGTGTGGTAGCACTGGATGTAACACGTGTGGTAGCACTGGGTGTAACAAGTGTGGTAGCACTGGGTGTAACAAGTGTGGTAGCACTGGGTGTAACAAGTGTGGTAGCACTGGATGTAACAAGTGTGGTAGCACTGGGTGTAACAAGTGTGTCACAAGTGTGGTAGCACTGGGTGTAACAAGTGTGGTAGCACTGGGTGTTGTGGTAGCACTGGGTGTAACAAGTGTGGTAGCACTGGGTGTAACAAGTGTGGTAGCACTGGGTGTAACAAGTGTGGTAGCACTGGGTGTAACAAGTGTGGTAGCACTGGGTGTAACAAGTGTGGTAGCACTGGGTGTAACAAGTGTGGTAGCACTGGGTGTAACAAGTGTGGTAGCACTTGGTGAAACAAGTGTGGTAGGACTGGGTGTAACGAGTGTGGTAGCACTGGGTGTAACAAGTGTGGTAGCACTGGGTGTAACAAGTGTGTAACAAGTGTGGTAGCACTGGGTGTAACAAGTGTGGTAGCACTGGGTGTAACAAGTGTGGTAGCACTGGGTGTAACAAGTGTGGTAGCACTGGGTGTAACAAGTGTGGTAGCACTGGGTGTAACAAGTGTGGTAGCACTGGGTGTAACAAGTGTGGTAGCACTGGGTGTAACAAGTGTGGTAGCACTGGATGTAACAAGTGTGGTAGCACTGGGTGTAACAAGTGTGGTAGCACTGGGTGTAACAAGTGTGGTAGCACTGGGTGTAACAAGTGTGGTAGCACTGGGTGTAACAAGTGTGGTAGCACTGGGTGTAACGAGTGTGGTAGCACTGGGTGTAACGAGTGTGGTAGCACTGGATGTAACAAGTGTGGTAGCACTGGGTGTAACAAGTGTGGTAGCACTGGATGTAACAAGTGTGGTAGCACTGGGTGTAACAAGTGTGGTAGCACTGGGTGTAACAAGTGTGGTAGCACTGGGTGTAACAAGTGTGGTAGCACTGGGTGTAACAAGTGTGGTAGCACTGGGTGTAACGAGTGTGGTAGCACTGGGTGTAACGAGTGTGGTAGCACTGGATGTAACAAGTGTGGTAGCACTGGGTGTAACAAGTGTGGTAGCACTGGATGTAACAAGTGTGGTAGCACTGGGTGTAACAAGTGTGGTAGCACTGGATGTAACAAGTGTGGTAGCACTGGGTGTAACAAGTGTGGTAGCACTGGGTGTAACAAGTGTGGTAGCACTGGGTGTAACAAGTGTGGTAGCACTGGGTGTAACAAGTGTGGTAGCACTGGGTGTAACAAGTGTGGTAGCACTTGGTGAAACAAGTGTGGTAGGACTGGGTGTAACGAGTGTGGTAGCACTGGGTGTAACAAGTGTGGTAGCACTGGGTGTAACAAGTGTGTAACAAGTGTGGTAGCACTGGGTGTAACAAGTGTGGTAGCACTGGGTGTAACAAGTGTGGTAGCACTGGGTGTAACAAGTGTGGTAGCACTGGGTGTAACAAGTGTGGTAGCACTGGGTGTAACAAGTGTGGTAGCACTGGGTGTAACAAGTGTGGTAGCACTGGATGTAACAAATGTGGTAGCACTGGGTGTAACAAGTGTGGTAGGACTGGGTGTAACAAGTGTGGTAGCACTGGGTGTAACAAGTGTGGTAGCACTGGGTGTACCACCTCACTGGGTGTAACGAGTGTGGTAGCACTGGGTGTAATCTAAATAGGTGAATGTTAAATCCTAGTGAAAACGTTATTGTACGTTAGATTCAAATAGCTTTAGTTTTGATGTTTCCGAGATAAGGACGAGCCGAATTGTCTTAGAACTAAGCCGCGCCAAGCTTGCCTTACTGCTTTATTCAAATATTCATGAAGCCATGAAGAACGGTCTAATTATAGCCTACACATGAGAGTGTTTATGGTTGAATGGGGACAGGTAAAGTCGTGTGTGTACAGTCGTGGCTTATGTGTGTACAGTCGTGGCTTATGTGTGTACAGTCGTGGCTTAAGTGTACAGTCGTGGCTTATGTGTGTACAGTCGTGGCTTATGTGTGTACAGTCGTGGCCTATATGTGTACTTTTGTAGATTGCACAACTCAGCCGTGTCTTCCTGTGGGTAGGGACAGTCTTCCTGTGGGTAGGGACTAGACAATAAGCTTCTAACCAGCTATGTATCTAGGTAGATAAATGACCATGCTCTAACTAATCACTCAAATCCCTTCAAATGCCTTCATAAACTCACCTGCCCCATGGACATTAAGGTTCGAAGGCGTACTTTTAATTAGACAATGTCGATACCATACCACTGTCAGACCAAATGACCAGAGCTAGACAGGTAAATGAGAGTCAGCCAGAAAACGTTTTTTTTTATTAGATGGTCAACAAGATTACTATTTAAGACGTACAATTGGTTAACAACGTTCGTCGCCATCACAAGGGAACTCTTGTTAAATTATGTTAGGCTTGTACCAGTCGAATGTGTTGACTCCCACGGTGCTAACTGTGAACGCCAATCACTGATTAGAATCAATACTAAGCCTAGCGCTTGAGCTACACTACTAAAGGTAGACCCTACATATGCTACTGTGTACGACTTGACACACAAAACAACTCAGAAAAAGTTGGCCCAATTAACATGAATTTAGTTAAAATTTAGAAATTTGTATATTTTTTATTGACCATTTATCTAACACGATGACCCTTTTTGAAGGAGCGGTTTCTTTCGAAATTAACAGGTGTATTTCCGATTAAAAGGCAAGAATATCTAATGTATACGTTATATAAAGTAATTTAAAATTGGAAGATTACTGTGTTCAATAACACTAGGTGAGATAAATCGATCAGTCATGTGAGATTGGAGGGGGGGGGGGTGTGGCACTAAATATTTACAAACCGTACAGACAAGACGGACAGGGCATACATTACTACGTTAGTGTGTCTTTTATGACGGAATGTTAGATCGGGTGAACTGCAAAGTTATTTAGTCATGGTTGATGTCTAGTACATACAGTCGGGCCTAGTCCTACAACTGTTATTATAAAAGGTGTTATAACATATAATAGGGATACGTGTTTAATTTTAATTATGCCTAGTACTAGTTCTTCATATAATAAATATTAATGCCTATAGGTACAAACTATATAAAACATACTTTTTTAAGACGCAGATGAAGTAGGCTACTTAAATCTTTACACTTTGTTATTGTGTAGTTAAAAGTTAAATCTTATTGAATTTGAAAAAGCTAGACGTATTACCTGTCTGTCTTATTTTAGCATATGCTTCAGTCTATGATCTATGCATGCAGGAAGGAGGGAGTCTTTAATTTCAAATGACATGGGGAATCCATCTACCTGACGGTAGGTTTACAGGTGTGGCCTCCGGTAAGAGCCTCGTTTGGTCGCCTTTTGTTGTTTTTCCGCGTATGTCTTGTATTCCTGCCACTATATCCGAGAGTGTAGGCCTATCCGGTTATACTCCAGTCCTAGGGTTGCAACAACACGAGACCACTCGTTTGTTTACCCGGGTGTAGCCCAGAGTTATCTAACCTTGGCTGGTGATAGCAGCCTTGTGCAATTGTCCACGTTACCTGCTGTCTACTTACGAATTAAAAAAAAAAAAATTCTATGTAAAAATGTGAAGACAAGCGTCTTGTTGAATGTTCAGTCATTGCTTGCCCGTCCTGGGCTTGTAGAAGTAAACACAGCGAGCACACAACTAAACAACATGAGTCACGGCCAGATTCACAAGAATGTTGTCGTCTGCTTCACCTGGCCAGTGACACTGACCTAGCGTTTTGATTGGCTGCCGTGTCCCACCTACGACGAGCCCTACCGAGAGAGAGAGAGAAAAAAAGCTGCCCGCTGCTACCGTTTGCTAACCTAGTTGATACGAGCGCACCGTGTCCCCAGCGTACAGCACCTTGTTGATCGGCCCTTTACTGGCGTGTAGTGACAGGTAGCTAAGGGCTTACGGTCTAAAACACGTAGTCTTGTGAAAGGTGCTTGTTTGTAGGCTACTGACACAGCTGGGCCTAATACGTTTTTCCGAAAGACTGTTAAATAACTTCCTTCTAGAATAATTAAACCTGTCATTTTTCTTTTCATAAATATTGACCTCTATTCGATTCTAATTTTTTATCTAAAGATCTGCGCTACTTCATTCAACTATTAGCATGTCATCGTCGTCCCCCCCCCCCCCCAAAACCCTTCGTAAAAATAGTCTATTGTTTGGTTGTCACACCCGAAGGTTTATCACAGAAAATGGCGTGATGTATTCTTAGTCAAACCAAGAAACAAGCAATTCAATTTATTTCAGGGAAACTTTATTATTACAAAATAAACTTATTAGCCTACAGAAATTAAATATTCAAAATAGCAAAACCGTATCTACGTTGTAATTTCGGAGTTGTAATTTTAAAAGCGTGGACAGAAATCTGAAGGAGTTGTAAACAAGGTTGGGAGAGGTGTAAAAAAAAAATCCGACGTATTGTAAACAAGACTTATTCATTGATCAGCGCGTAGTAAACCTACAAATGGGAACACACGGGCACGCTCTTATCTTCGTATTGAAATATATTTTTATCGCAAATGACGTCATATATATATGGGACTCAGACTATTGTGTGGGGTGGAAGGGGGGGGGGGGTGGTCCTTAAGGAATGTAACGTAGTCTGTGTATTTTATTTTGTTTGAGTAGAAAATTATGAAAAATGTTTTTTAGGTTATAGTTACGTGTGTGTGTGGGAGGGGGGGGGGGGGGGGGAGTGCAGACATTTTGTGACGTCATTTTAGATTGGTGGTGGGCACACGTTTTGGGTTCACTTGTCCACCACACTTATAGGGGGGGGGGGGGGGGGGGCGGGGGGGCTTTCGGACATCTTTTTATAATTGACGGAGGTGAGTAGGTTTGCAAAAAGTGCGACGTCAAACTTATTTTATTTTTTTATTTTATTTGTAAACATCTTAATTAAAAAAATATATTTTTGTATTTTTAAAATAAAATGCAAATGGTGATCGGATGGTGTAGGCTGAAGTGGGACGTCATTTTAAGGTGGTCTAACTTTTGCTTCTTGTGACGGGGGGGGGGATCGTCAAGTGAGTATGACGTCATGAATTGATTACATTCCCTTTTGTCTAAAATCCGCGTGATCCAGAGTAAAATAATCTGATTTTATATTCAAACACAGATCATGAGCATCCATGTGGTGTTAGCCTTATTCATTAGAAATGTAAATGAGAAGGGCCGAGGCTGTGTAAATAGTGCATGTAATGTTGTAAGGATGTCGGGGGATGTTGGGGTAGGACACGGTTGGATGACATCGAGACACACAGTCACATGACTTGGGTCTCAGGCATGTTGGACACAGTTGGATGACATCGAGACCACACAGTCACATGACTTGGGTCTCAGACAGGTTGGAACATGTCTTTGTACGTCTCTAGATCAGAGTTTCTTCCAGGCATCTCTTCGGGGGGGCGAAGCCCCCCCCCGAAAATTTTTTACCGCCCCCCCCGAACGAAATGAAATTTATATAATTTATATAGAAAATATATACTTTTAACAGTGTCCGCCCCCCCGAAGAAAGTCTACCGCCCCCCCGAACATTTCGAGTGCCCCCCCGGAGAAAAAAGTCTGGAAGAAACACTGCTCTAGATGAACCAGTCAATCTATACGTAAAAACAATTTGTGCAACTGGTGTTAATCGTAGGTTATAGAGTTTCTATCAGGCATTTCTCTGCCCCCATCCATTTCGAGCCCCCCCCCCCCTGTGTGCAATACAAAAGAAAGCTTAATTTATAAACAAAATATATACTTTATTCAGCTGACACCCCCTTACTTACTTGGATGATCAAACTGAATTCCGTTTTTTCGACCAGTATTCAAGGCTTTTATTTACTTTTATAAATTGTTGCCTCAAATGCAAAAAGTCCTCTAAAAACTAAATTATCTAACACTTTTAAAATTGTATTTTAATTTATATTGTTTTTTTTTAAAATATGCATTGGTATTCTTTTTGAAATTAAAACAAGTTAATTAAAAAGTCTAGTGACATTTAAGCGCAATTTCCTAATGTTATCTAAAAATAGCTCTGTCGTAGCGTAAATCAATAGCAGGGTTAGTAAAAACCATTGGTTAGAGTTACATGACTAAAAACCATTGCGCGCCTAGCTACTGAACGTGATGACGCAGCCATTGAACGTGATGGCGCAGCTGTTGAACGTGATGACGCGTGTGGTGTGGTTGGATAAAAATGCCTACTAATTCGGTCCAAATTTTAATTAATTCAAAAAATGTTTTATGACCGAACGAAAGGATATTTTTGAAAACTTTCTTCGGCAATATTGTTCTAAATTATAGCAGGAATCGATTGGTACATGTTTCAAGTCGCTAAGTGGTCTGGTTGCCGAGATATGGGCCAAAAACTGCATTTTTTCGAGTTTTTTTTGGCTTTTCCGGGAAATCCATGAAAGAAACCCGGAATTTTTATGGCCTATGTTCATCATCGTAACTTGCTTAACATAATTGCTTTTGGAACTAGTCCTCAATATTGCTTCGTTGAGGAGGAGATACGACTTAAAGCTGCGGACACACATTCATCCATTCATCCATCCAGAAATGACGGGTTAATAAACGCAATTCTCCAGAATGGAAATTGCGCTTAAAAAAAAAGGTCTTCTTAAAGACACGTTGATAGGGCATTTTCACTATTGTTTGAGCCTTCGTATTTTTTCATGACCACGTGACCACCACATGAGGCAACCACGAGCCATGTTAGATGGTTACACGAGACAACCACGAACCATGTTTATAGATGGTTACATGAGACAACCACGAACCACGTTTATAGAAGGTTACATTTGCGATAAAGCCTATGATGTCATGCACCCAAGTAGGGCCTAAATAAATAAGCTGCTTATCTCACGGTCAGACACAAAACTGCTAGGGTTGGTGGGCAGTGTTCCCTCTAAGAAGCGCGGTTGCGCGGCCGCGCAGTAGTTTTGAGCTGCCGCGCAGTAATTTTGTAAAATAAATATATCCTTGTATAAGATTTTTAGAACAGCGCGCACAGAAAATACAAGTTGCACACAAACTTGTCCCCCTTAGAGGGAACATTGTTGGTGGGGGCGATAAGTTAGTCTACAGGAAGACTAGCTGGCCTAGGCTAAAACAAGGGAGGTGGGATGATTAGGTATGACAGTGTACATAAGGGATAGGTTTTGTGATAAGCTGTCAATTCATATGGGGGGTGGGGGGCTATAACGTGGACATGTCTGTTGTAATAACTTGTTGTTTCAGATACAATTTCCTTACACGGTGTTTCCCATTGACTTAACTTTGATTTAGAAAACCCTAAATCCGGCAACGCTTATAGTGTGGTAACCTCCCAGAAATAGAAGTTACGATTCATGACCCTAACCTCCCAGAAATAGAAGGTAGATATCATGACTGTAGTATAAACTAATAAACTCCCCAGAAATACCAGGTAGAATTCATGAATGACAGCCGAAGTGTATCCGAAAGTTTTCTCATTGCTCAATGAATCGTCCCTCACGCCCAATCTAAGAACAGGAAACGGCTTAGAGAGACAACACGTAAACATGAGGTTTTCTTTTAACGGCCAAGAAAACAAGGACGTCTGACTTGTGCGTATCAAGGGGATTCTACCAGGATACTATGGACATTGGGGGAGGGGGGGGGGGGGGGGAGGGGAGGACGTGACACCTCCGTACATGTTGAAATACGGGCTGCTGGAGCTTACACGCTAGTCATAACATCAACATTAGTCACGCTTAGCGTTAGTCACACTCTACCTGTCCTGTCGATCTAATTTTAGGCGAGAACTTTTTTAGTCTGACCTTGGGCGGACTACGGCCAAGACGCCGACATATCTTTGTGGGTTATCGAGGTGTTTAGGGAAGGTCTGATTGCGTGGACAAATGCATGTTAATGAACGTCATGCTCCTTTGTTTGAATTTCCCACAATCTTGGCTACACAATGTGTGTGTGTGTGAGAGTGATCAGCTCTGGTGGGGTGGACATTGCTATCCTACCTGTGTGTGTGTGTGAGTGTGATCAGCTCTGGTGGGGTGGACATTGCTATCCTACCTGTGTGTGTGTGTGAGTGATCAGCTCTGGTGGGGTGGACATTGCTATCCTACCTGTGTGTGTGTGTGTGTGTGAGTGATCAGCTCTGGTGGGGTGGACATTGCTATCCTACCTGTGTGTGTGTGTGTGTGTGATCAGCTCTGGTGGGGTGGACATTGCTATCCTACCTGTGTGTGTGTGTGAGTGATCAGCTCTGGTGGGGTGGACATTGCTATCCTACCTGTGTGTGTGTGTGAGTGATCAGCTCTGGTGGGGTGGACATTGCTATCCTATCGTTTTAATGTTGGTACCTTCTGGTAACACTCTTTCTTCTCCTTAATCCCCCCATCTCATAACCCATTCAACTGGGCCCAATATAATAACTGTCAGCAGAACTTCCGCGTCCCGTCATCATCCCAAGCTCTTCCAATCGCTATGCTGTGAATCACGTTTGGTCTTCCATTCTTTTTGTTTCGCATAGCATAGACAATTTATATAGTTTCTCACTATTTCTTTGGTCGTGCTGTTTCTTCAATATACGATTTAGCTTTTAGAACTGTATCTGGCATTAAGACATACATCTTTTATTTTTAAATATTTTAATGTATTCTTCTAAAGTCTCTGTCTGTGACTGTAGTGTTGGCTATCTTTTCCCCGATAAATACATTACTCCACTTTTGTTAGTTGGCTGTTTCCTACCCTAGTACTAATAGGGTAGGAGTAGGTTTAATAATGCAGGTCATGTCATAGTTTACTTGGAACCCTCCGCACTAGGTTAGGAGGTTTTAGGCTATTCCCCGACGTCAGATAGCCACAGTCTATTTACCTCTTTGTTAGGCCGATGGTCTGATTTAAACCGCGAAAAACATCTCTGGCCAATTGGACCAAACGGGGAATTCCCGCATTTTCCCACATTGGTAGGGAAGAGGGCGGTGCACGATAAAAACAACATTCGTTATTGATTTTGTTTAACTTATGCCATGGGAGAGGGGGTGATAATAAGTGTAACTATCTCGCAAAAAATTATCTGACAACGTCCAACATAGGCTATGAAAACCTGGTTAATCGTCTTGTGCTTGAGGTAGACAGGCTCCAGATATGTAACTAAACAGAGTGTTGATGGGCCGGCTAGCTGACTTTCTAAAACCACTTGACAAAATAAGCTACGATTTATAGCAGTTTGGGCTAGCTGGCTTTCTAAAACCACTTGACGAAATAAGCTACCAGTTATAGCAGCATGATAAAATAATACAGGTTTATGACGCGGCATGATAAACTCATACAGGTTTATGACACGACATGATAAACTCATACAGGTTTATGACGCAGCATGATAAACTAATATAGGTTCATGATGCGGCATGATAAACTAATACAGGTTCATGACGCGGCATGATAAACTAATACAGGTTTATGATGAGGTACGGTAATCTCTTACAGGTTTATGACGCGGCATGATAAACTCATACAGGTTCATGACACGGCTTGATAAACTAATACAGGTTTATGACGCAGCATGATAAACTAATACAGGTTTATGACGCGGCATGATAAACTAATACAGGTTTATGATGCGGCATGATAAACTAATACAGGTTTATGACGTGGCATGATAAAATAATACAGGTTTATGACGCGGCATGATAAACTAATACAGGTTTATGACGCGGCATGATAAACTAATACAGGTTTATGACGTGGCATGATAAAATAATACAGGTTTATGACACAGCATGATAAACTAATACAGGTTTATGATGCAGCATGATAAACTAATACAGGTTTATGACGCAGCATGATAAACTAATACAGGTTTATGACTCAGCATGATAAACTAATACAGGTTTATGACGTGGCATGATAAAATAATACAGGTTTATGACACGGCATGATAAACTAATACAGGTTTATGACGCGGCATGATAAACTAATACAGGTTTATGACCTGGCATGATAAAATAATACAGGTTTATGACACAGCATGATAAACTAATACAGGTTTATGATGCAGCATGATAAACTAATACAGGTTTATGACGTGGCATGATAAAATAATACAGGTTTATGACACAGCATGATAAACTAATACAGGTTTATGATGCAGCATGATAAACTAATACAGGTTTATGACGTGGCATGATAAAATAATACAGGTTTATGACGCAGCATGATAAACTAATACAGGTTTATGACGCAGCATGATAAACTAATACAGGTTTATGACGCGGCATGATAAACTCATACAGGTTTATAACATGGCATGATAAACTAATACAGGTTTATGACGCGGCATGATAAACTCATACAGGTTTATAACATGGCATGATAAACTCATACAGGTTTATAACACAGCATGATAAACTAATACAGGTTTATGATGCAGCATGATAAACTAATAGAAGTTTATGACGCAGCATGATAAACTAATACAGGTTTATAACGCGGCATGATAAACTAATACAGGTTTATGACGCGGCATGATAAACTAATACAGGTTTATAACATGGCATGATAAACTAATAGAAGTTTATGGACAGAGCTACTGTAGGGACATGACACTCTTGTCAGAATGTAGGGTCAAAGGTCAGGTCAAACCACTGTACAGGAACAAACTTCAATAACCAATGTAAACCCTTTTTTTTTGTCGTCTAAATATCACTGCACTAATATTGTAGGCTAGAATACTCTCATCGTGGGGGTTTAATTTTGTGTGGTAAGAGAAGTCAGGCTAACACACTGACCACACTTTTCTCAATGTTTATTTATACTAACACAGCCCAGCCGAGAGGTGAAAGGTCAGAAAGCGGCACACTTTATAGAGGTATAATTACATTGCTTACACAAACCCAGCTTATTTACAGCTTCTGTTATAAGCATAACACATACTTTTTGCTCCTTCTTTTGAATTTTCTTTTTATATATTACAGAAAGTAGGCCTTGAAATAAGTGGGGTTTTATTACCTCCCCTTTATGTTTCTTATACAGTTAAACACATTTAAGGTTCATTATGGCACTCTGGTCAAGTGGTCAGCCAACCTTTTTTTTTTTAATGTCCTCAAATGTACACAAGGCTACATAAATGTTAGTAACTCCTCCCCTATACAAGATGCAACCTTTTTAATCAATGCACTAGATGCTGAGTTGTTTTAAACCAACTACTAGTTAGACATATTTTATGTCCCTTTTTTTTTGTTAAAGGACATTGTATTAAATGAATTATAATTACATTTTTCATAATTTGATAAAAATTAATTGATAAAATTAATAAAGTAATCTTTAATCAGAGTCAGTCAGAGTTTTTTTTTTCACTCCTAATAGTGCTTTCATTGATGTTATTGTTATTATTAATTGTTGCTTGTATCATCTTCAATACAGAAATTTAACATTAAGAAATTTTAATGATGCTCTCAACGTTAGAAAGGCAAGAACAAATTTTTGTTTAAATCAAGGGACATAACCAAAATAATAGAAACAAGATTCCCTGCTATGTATGTCTCTTTGCAGTCATATTAATCAAAATATTGACAAAATTCTATACAAGTTCCTTTTGTGATTTAAAAATAAAATAATGATTAGACACATTCAAACATTGTTTACTTAAATAATTCCACCTTGATGACTCACCATGTTGAATATTTCCCTACATTAAACCTACTGTTCTCAAACTCTCAGTAAATGCATCTTGTTTTTTTTACCAAGTTACGTACACACCTCTTACCTCTTATAGGAAGTTAGTCTTTGGTACTCATATAATAATGACACGATATAAACTTTGACCAAAATGTAAACTTTATGAAGATTTGTTTTACATTGCTGTTGCCACAATGATCATTGATGATATGTTCCAGTCAGATCAGCAACCCCTCATGTTGCAGCTAGGTCACCCACCCCTCATTTTCCATCACCCACCCCTCATGTTCTATCACCCACCTCTCATGTTCCAGTCAGATCACCCACCCCTCAGACCTTTGTGTGTTAGTATTTTTAAATAATTTAGACATTACAAGTGGATTAAAGTAATATCCTTTCTAGCACCAAGTAAGATACAAGTATAAATAGCATATACTTTACCACTTTTACACCAGTATAAAAAGCCTGTCCCCATACTTGATATACTTTGCCACTTTACACAACAAAATTTATCACGCATGCCACATTTAATTGCCTAATTCTGTATATAACAATTTGATATGAAATGATTCAAATATAGTTTTACTCAGAGAAATCTAAACATCTACAACACTGATTGTAATCATCACATATTTGACTGAATATTGCTCTGTGACTGTTCGCTGTTTAGTTGGCATGCTTGATATTCTATTTTACAATAAAACCACACATCTCTCAGATGAGGTTCTCAAACCTTTGTTTTAACTAGCCGTCAGCTCTAACATAATTTATCTTATCAATTTTTTAAAGGAGTAGCTCATTTTATTTTGTCTGAAGCTAATTTTTTTTCTTTTATTAGACTGCATTCATTATAGCTTATGGAATCAGAAACTAAACCTTTCAATCTTTTCATATATTTTTTTTTTAGGTTTTTAGTGCCAAAAAATGATACCTTTTTATTTCATTTTTTTTCTATAAAAATTGTTATTCAAATGTTTTCAAGATTTGTTACATTTATATAAAGACTGAATTTTTTTTTAACCAAAACTTAAAAGTAAAATACACTAACTTAGGTAAGTGTGTGATGATAAGCATTTGACAAAAATAATTGTAGTTGTGTTAAAATTATATTTTATGTCAAATTTTAAAATTTGATTCCTTATATGATTAATTTAAAGTTATTTATTATCTGTAAGACTTTATATTGCTTTTTTTACACTAAGACTAGGTGATGATAACACACACAAAACATTAAAACATTTGAGATAAAATTCATCAATGTTAATTGTGATTTTTTTATTTTTCTCATATTTTATTTGTTTTAATATTTTTCTTATTTTTTTATTTTTATAGTTGCTGGCCTTTGATGTGAATGGACTTTCAGATTCTCCTGCACCGTATGACCCGTCAACATTGTTTAACATTGATAAGCCTAAACTACCTCAGTCTGCACTCACTGTAACACTTGATTCCATTCAGGTAAATACACTTGCTCCATTGTCTTAAACTTCAGGTAAATACACTAGCTACATTGTCTTAAACTTCAGGTAAATACCCTAGCTACATTGTCTTAAACTTCAGGTAAATACCCTAGCTACATTGTCTTAAACTTCAGGTAAATACACTAGCTACATTGTCTTAAACTTCAGGTAAATACACTAGCTCCATTGTCTTAAACTTCAGGTAAATACACTAGCTACATTGTCTTAAACTTCAGGTAAATACACTAGCTACATTGTCTTAAACTTCAGGTAAATACACTAGCTCCATTGTCTTAAACTTCAGGTAAATATTGTCTCCTTAGTTTTTGTTACATTGTAAGAGAGAAAAAAATGTTTTCTCAAGCATTAAGTCATTGTATATGAGACATTGCCTCCTGGCATAGTTTTCTTTTGTTAGCCTAAAACCAACAAGAACCTGCATGTTCTTTGTAGGTTCTTGTATTATCAGAAACTTTACATCTTTGGGGATGTATACATTGTAAAGATACATAAAGATTATTTTAATTTGTGTTGTTTTATTTTGTACAGACAAAAAGACACCAAAGAGAGAGCCCAGGGATTCGGCTGATGTTTGATTTCAATAAAATGGCATCAGAAGTGGATGTGACCATCATTGACAGACTGACTAACCTGATTCACTACGACAACAGAAAGGGAAGCGCTACCAATGTAGGAACTCACTTAATGGACACCAATGGCCATGTTGGGGTTTGTACCTACCATTGTTTGGTTGACCTACATGAATGATCAGAATTTTTTAAAATTATCAATTTCATAAATATTTTTGTTTAAATTATATTGTTGTTTTATATATATATCAAAGAATTATATGTGTTTTCTAAATTTTTTAAAAATTTTCTCACTTTTTAAAAATACATTTTTATTTTTTATTAAAGATATTTGGTTGGTGTTGATTTTTTGTAAACAATTCTTATTTAAAGCTATAGGATTGAAAGTGAAACAAATATCTATGTAATGTAACTGTTGAACTAATTTTAGATTGATGATGCAATCAGAGATGAACAAGCTGGCAATAAGTTCAACTTAGAGATCAGAGCTAAGGCTGTACAGGCAACATTCAGAGTCAGGTTTGTACACAATGTATTGCTTGGTTTGTGTACAGGCAACATTCAGAGTCAGGTTGATACATATTGTATTTCATAGTTTGTGTACAGGCAACATTCAGAGTCAGGTTGGTACACATTGTATTTCTTGGTTTGTGTACAGGCAACATTCAGAGTGAGGTTGGTACACATTGTATTTCTTGGTTTGTGTACAGGCAACATTCAGAGTGAGGTTGGTACACATTGTATTTCATGGTTTGTGTACAGGCAACATTCAGAGTGAGGTTGGTACACATTGTATTTCATGGTTTGTGTACAGGCAATGGTCAGAGTCAGGTTGGTACACATTGTATTTCTTGGTTTGTGTACAGGCAATGGTCAGAGTCAGGTTGGTACATATTGTATTTCTTGGTTTGTGTACAGGCAACATTCAGAGTCAGGTTGGTACACATTGTATTTCTTGGTTTGTGTACAGGCAATGGTCAGAGTCAGGTTGGTACACATTGTATTTCATAGTTTGTGTACAGTCAACATTCAGAGTCAGGTTGGTACACATTGTATTTCATAGTTTGTGTACAGGCAACATTCAGAGTCAGGTTGGTACACATTGTATTTCTTGGTTTGTGTACAGGCAATGGTCAGAGTCAGGTTGGTACATATTGTATTTCTTAGTTTGTGTACAGGCAATGGTCAGAGTTAGGATTGCACAGATCAATGTAGGCTTGTATGTTACCAGTGACAGTATTAAATAAAATGATATTTTTGTGTATAGTAACTTATGTAAACACATGACCATTGCCAGATTTCCTGACCTATTAAACTAATGTAAACACATGACCATTGCCAGATTTCCTGTCCCTGACCTATTAAACTAATGTAAACACATGACCATTGCCAGATTTCCTGTCCCTGACCTATTAAACTAATGTAAACACATGACCATTGCCAGATTTCCTGTCCCTGACCTATTAAACTAATGTAAACACATGACCATTGCCAGATTTCCTGACCTATTAAAATAATGTAAACACATGACCATTGCCAGATTTCCTGTCCCTGACCTATTAAACTAATGTAAACACATGACCATTGCCAGATTTCCTGACCTATTAAACTAATGTAAACACATGACCATTGCCAGATTTCCTGACCTATTAAAATAATGTAAACACATGACCATTGCCAGATTTCCTGACCTATTAAACTAATGTAAACACATGACCATTGCCAGATTTCCTGTCCCTGACTTGCGTGTGGACCGACCAACACACAGCAGAGAGTGGTGGAGAAGAAATCTTCATAAAGAAATTTTGCTGCTGGAAATGGAGTCACCTGATGCCAGCTCCAACTTAAAGCAGGACGAACCATTGCAGCTGGAGCTCCAGGTCTTTAAAATCAGTGGTAGGTTGACATTCAGGGGATGTGTCTTTGATAAACTATGAAGATCTGTAACTCTTTAAGTCAAGAGGCGTAACTCTACTAAAAACTGCATTAAAGCCTATTAAAAACTGCATGAACTTTTGTTTTTTTTAAAACTGATGTGGCTTGTAATCTACAAGTCCCTCTAGTTTAACATGTTGTTATATGTTTTTACTGCGCATTGCGAAAAATGGCATCCTTTTTTAAATGAATAAAATCTGAAGATGTGACCTAAAACTACCAAATTAAGTTCTAAAAAAGGTTACTGTTTTGTGAAGGTTACTGTTTTGTGAAGGAAATAAAAACTAAGAAGAACCTTCAGATATCAAAACAGTGTGGCTGGCTGCACCTGTAGCAGTTCAACAAATAAACTGTACTGGTCATGTTATACTTTTACTTGACAGCTTATTTACAAGAGGATATCAACAAAGATCCCATTTTGTTTGGTGAAGTGACTGTAGATGACCCTAAAGCAACTCCTTATGAGGGAACCTTCAACTGGCCACGGTGAGACCTTTTAGGCCACTCTAAAGTTTCAATAACAAAGAATCTGAGAATCGTTAAGAATAAATGTTCTTGTTTTTTTTTTAATGTTTTTAATCTTGAATAGATCAAAACAGTTATATTTAAAGTACATATCTCAAAAAAATTATTCTTTACAATTCTTAAAGAAACATTAGTTATAATTTGTCAAGGAATAATTTGTAATGTTTTCTTATTGATACACAAAATGTAATGAAAGTCTTTTGTTTAACTGCTCAATTGTGTGTCAATGAACTCTCCCGGTCAGAATTGTCATCAATGTCAGCCACAAGGCCAACTCTGTGCTAGAAGCTGAGGAGGAATCTGATGCGTCTGCTACCAGCATGGACAACTACATGGAGCCTGGCCTGCTAAAGAAAGAATCTGGGCCATTCAGTAAAAAGAAAAGTCTTTATGCCAGGGATGATTTGTCTTTCAATGAGAGTGTTCCAGTTAATGATGAGGTAAGGGTTTATGTTAATGGTGAGGTAGGGTGGGGTTTATGTTAATGGTGAGGTAGGGTGGGGGTTTATGTTAATTGTGAGGTAGGGTGGGGGTTTATGTTAATTGTGAGGTAGGGTGGGGGTTTATGTTAATGGTGAGGTAGGGTGGGGTTTATGTTAATGGTGAGGTAGGGTGGGGGTTTATGTTAATGGTGAGGTAGGGTGGGGGTTTATGTTAATGCTGAGGTAGGGTGGGGGTTTATGTTAATGCTGAGGTAGGGTGGGGGTTTATGTTAATGGTGAGGTAGGGTGGGGGTTTATGTTAATGGTGAGGTAGGGTGGGGGTTTATGTTAATGGTGAGGTAGGGTGGGGGTTTATGTTAATGATGAGGTAGGGTGGGGGTTTATGTTAATGGTGAGGTAGGGTGGGGGTTTATGTTAATGGTGAGGTAGGGTGGGGGTTTATGTTAATGGTGAGGTAGGGTGGGGTTTATGTTAATGTTGAGGTAGGGTGGGGGTTTATGTTAATGCTGAGGTAGGGTGGGGGTTTATGTTAATGGTGAGGTAGGGTGGGGGTTTATGTTAATGGTGAGGTAGGGTGGGGTTTATGTTAATGGTGAGGTAGGGTGGGGGTTTATGTTAATGGTGAGGTAGGGTGGGGGTTTATGTTAATGGTGAGGTAGGGTGGGGTTTATGTTAATGGTGAGGTAGGGTGGGGGTTTATGTTAATGGTGAGGTAGGGTGGGGGTTTATGTTAATGGTGAGGTAGGGTGGGGTTTATGTTAATGGTGAGGTAGGGTGGGGGTTTATGTTAATGGTGAGGTAGGGTGGGGGTTTATGTTAATGGTGAGGTAGGATGGGGATTTATGCTAATGGTGAGGTAGGGTGGGGGTTTATGTTAATGGTGAGGTTGGGTGGGGGTTTATGTTAATGGTGAGGTAGGGGTTTATGTTAATGGTGAGGTAGGGTGGGGGTTTATGTTAATGGTGAGGTAGGGTGGGGGTTTATGTTAATGGTGAGGTAGGGTGGGGGTTTATGTTAATGTTGAGGTTGGGTGGGGGTTTATGTTAATGGTGAGGTAGGGTGGGGGTTTATGTTAATGGTGAGGTAGGGTGGGGGTTTATGTTAATGGTGAGGTAGGGTGGGGGTTTATGTTAATGCTGAGGTAGGGTGGGGGTTTATGTTAATGGTGAGGTAGGGTGGGGGTTTATGTTAATGGTGAGGTAGGGTGGGGGTTTATGTTAATGCTGAGGTAGGGTGGGGGTTTATGTTAATGGTGAGGTTGGGGGTTAAATTAATGATTAGGTAAAGGGCTTAATTAATATTGAGTAAAGTATTTAAGTTAATTTTGAAGTTGAAGGTGTTATGTAAATGGTGAGCTTATGTTAATGGCGATGTAGGGGTGGATTAAGTTAATTATGAGGTAAAGGTTAAGTCAGTGGTTAGGTAAGGTGAGGTCAAGTTAATTGTGAGGTAGGAAAGTTTGGGTCAAAGATGAAGTCAGGGGAGGGGTTCATGCTAATGATGTGGTAAGGAGTGTTTAAGATACCTTGATGAGAAAACTTGTGTGACCTTGTGCAGATGGTGATGCCAGGAGACACAGCAGAACTGAGACAGTTCCGGGATGAATGTCTGGCCCGCACATGTTTGTCTGTTGACATCACTGTTCCATCTGTGACTGCATTTATACACAGTAGAGAGTTCCTTGAGCTGCTCTATAACAGGTGGGTAACAGTTGCTCTATAACAGGTGGGTAACAGTTGCTCTATAACAGGTGGGTAACAGTTGCTCTATAACAGGTGGGTAACAGTTGCTCTATAACAGGTGGGTAACAGTTGCTCTATAACAGGTGGGTAACAGTTGCTCTATAACAGGTGGGTAACAGCTTCTCTATAACAGGTGGGTAACAGTTGCTCTATAACAGGTGGGTAACAGTTGCTCTATAACAGGTGGGAAACAGTTGCTCTATAACAGGATGGGTAACCTGTGTACCAACCAGATGTTTGATAGTGTGTAGCACTAGAGAGATTAGCTGTGAACCCTATTTTCCTGGTTTATCCCCCAGATTCAACAATGACCTTCTGATGTGGGAGCCCCAGCCCCCCAGAACACATTCCTACATGAACACCATGATCCCCTCCAACACAAACCTGGGCGTCCTACACATGCTGCAGAACCAGGGGGGAGAAATGAGTGCAGGTTGCTCTCCCTTTTACAACTTATTGTTTCATTCATTTCATAATGCCCAGTTCTATGACTGGATTTACATTCAATCTTTTATTCTTGTGTCACTGACCAGATGATGAGGACCCGTCTGACTCAGATGATGATGGCTCTATGCACTACTCCATCCATGACCACAAGGCCAACAATAAAGCTACAAAAATTGTATCTCCCAAACTCCTCAACAAAATGTGTTTCTCACTGAGTATAGGCAATGGCAAACTGCTGGCTGTGATACCTCATGTTGTAAGTCCTAGTCTCAGCCTTGTCTGATTTCTGTGATGTTGTTTATTGGCTGTGTTGTTGGTTGTGATGGATGTTGTCTATTGGCTGTGTTGTTGGTTGTGATGTTGTAAGTCCTAGTCTCAGCCTTGTTTGATTTCTATGATGTGGTTTATTGGCTGTGTTGTTGGTTGTGATGTTGTAAGTCCTAGTCTCAGCCTTGTCTGATTTCTGTGCTGTTGTCTACATGTGCAAGATGAAATATTTGTTGTTTTTCTTTTACCCTAGGACATGGAATCTAATCCTGACTTGCACGGAGAAGTGTTGATAACACTAAAGGATGGATTACTTTTTTCTGTCAATGAACATGGTGGTGACCCTGACCTTAAGTATTTGTGTTTGCAGACTAACAGGGCCCAACTTTACCATAATGGTAGGAACCATACATTTGTTTTTTTGTTAATTACTTTTGTATTCTACATATGTAATTTCATTTACTTTTGCTACTTAATTGAGAAGCTAAAAACTAAACTGTTAAAAATGTTGTGATTCAGTTTAATAAAGTTAAAAACAAATTTTTCCCCCAGCTCACGTGACCCTACCTGTAAAACCTGGATCACTTGACCTGATCAGGGACAAAATACCTGACCACCTCAAGTCTAAAATTTACCGCTCTGATCGATGGGTGTCAGATAAATCTCAAGGTCGTGCAGGGTGGGGTGCTGATAGCCCAGACATGGTTACTTTGGTCGTCAAAACAAAGATGGACACTCTGAACAATGTCAAGGTTATCCTATTGTTTGTGCTAGCATCTGACTTTTTACACATCTTACCCTATGATACTTAGACTGACACTACTTAGATTATATGTACAATATTTGATTTCTTTAAGCTGCCCCTTACAGCTTATAACTACCAACTACCTTTTTTCGTTCGCAGTTTAGTAAGCATTTTAATTTATTATTTTTTAACTTTATTTTAAGAAAACAGTTTCAATTAACTTCTTTTGTTTTTCTTTATAATGCTACTAAATTTAAACTATGATATATTCAAACAGACATGACCCAATATGTCAAATATTTATTTTACTTTGTGTTTTGTATTTTAGAACTTTACACTGGCCTTAAGAGTAGATGGAGCCACACTTCGCCATGAAATGCACAGAACAGGTGAAAGCTGGATCTCACAGGTAAATTGTCTTTAAAACCTCCACCTGTACCTGCCTAACATCACAGGTAAATTGTCTTCAAAACCTCCTCCACCTGTACCTGCCTAACATCACAGGTAAATTGTCTTTAAAACCTCCTCCACCTGTACCTGCCTAACATCACAGGTAAAGTGTCTTTAAAACCTCCTCCACCTGTACCTGCCTAACATCACAGGTAAATTGTCTTTAAAACCTCCTCCACCTGTACCTGCCTAACATCACAGGTAAAGTGTCTTTAAAACCTCCTCCACCTGTACCTGCCTAACATCACAGGTAAAGTGTCTTTAAAACCCCCCTCACATCTACCTGCCTAACATCACAGGTAAAGTGTCTTTAAAACCTCCTCCACCTGTACCTGCCTAACATCACAGGTAAATTGCCTTTAAAACCTCCTCCACCTGTACCTGCCTAACATCACAGGTAAAGTGTCTTTAAAACCTCCTCCACCTGTACCTGCCTAACATCACAGGTAAAGTGTCTTTAAAACCTCCACCTGTACCTGCCTAACATCACAGGTAAAGTGTCTTTAAAACCTCCACCTGTACCTGCCTAACATCACAGGTAAAGTGTCTTTAAAACCCCCCTCACATCTACCTGCCCATCATGAGCCATGGTTCACCTGGACTGTGCCTGAATTTGGCCCAAACTTTCTTTCTTCCAGCTGATTGACCTGTTTGATCTGAAAGATTTAAACTTTCTTTCTTCCAGCTGATTGACCTGTTTGATCTGAAAGATTTCCCAATCTTGGGCTACACAATGCCTAAAGTGATGACAGAGATTCACCTTCAAATAGATCATTGTTGTGTGGACTATAGGTACTTTGACTTTGTTGAAAGATAATTGTTCACTTTTTGTTACTATGTTTAGTTGTTTGATCACTAATGGCTCTACTAGTTCCCCTTATAAAAAACACTAGTTTTTGTTATTTTTCTCCATTACTTCCCCTTAGGCCATTGAACCTCTCAGTATGGACATTCCTCACTGTGGAACACTTCAGCATTTGCAGTAACATAATAGCTGAGTCAGCATTCTCGCAGATCAGGCTTCTATTGGACGACTCAGCTTTGTTTATTTCTAAAAGATGTAACAGAGAAGTGAATTTGCTCAGAGGTAACTTGTTTAGTTTTTAAAATTTATACCAAGAACTATTTCAAACTCTTTTGCTTTGTAAAAGTAATTTCAACTGGTTAAATTTTATTTTTAGATTATGTATGTGTGGCTGAAGTAGATCAGTTCAAAATTTGGCTGCAGTTTTGTTATGACAAATCAGGGAAGCAGGTTTGTGCTGTTTGTTTATTTCTCTTAAAAAACTCAAATAAAAAAAAATATTCAAATTACCCTGCATGTGACACCCTTTGAGTAAAGTAAACAAACTAAATGTTGTGCAGAGAACTCCCAAGTCAGACCTGAGGTTTATGGTGAATGAGCTGAACCTGCACACATGTGCTGACTCTACCACAGCCCTGCTGGAGCTCATACAGTACATTGTCAATGATGGGGACATGGTGGAGAAAAATGATCAAGGGGACGTCACTCCAACTGCAACAGAGGAAGCTCCTCAGTTTATATCTGTAAGTGCTTTTTAGTGTCCACAAATTGCAGGTTTGCTTCAGAGCTACTTTAATTAAATGGATGAGTTCTTTTAGATGGTGTTAATTAGATTAATGTCTGCTGCAGGATGAAGATCATGGAGACAGTAAAATACCATCACCTGTGTTGCCATCAATAACACCAGAACAGGAAGCATCTGTCAAGTCTGCCCTTGAGGATGCTATGATTGATTGCCCAGAACCAATTAGTAAGTTCCAAAATTTAGTTTCATTTATTTGGCAAAACTGTCATTTAGTTATTTTTATATTTTAAAATATCTTAATTTTAAAAATATAATTTCTATACATCTTTATTACATAAGATACTGATAAAGTGCTTTGACTGAATAAAAAGTCCTTTCTATTTCCCTACAACAGAGCACAAGCCAACCCCAACAAAGCACAGTCAAGGGCAGATGACTCGGGTGTTTTTCCAATGTGATAACCCAAAACAAGTTTCTCTGCTGACAAATGAGTTTGAGAACGCCATGCACATAACAGTATCAGACAGCTCTGATTCCAACACGCCTGATGAAGATGGGGGCATGGGGGACACAGAGGATTTTGAGATTGTTGATTGTAATTTTAGGGAAGTCACAGTAAGTTCATAATTATGGGGGGTGGGGGTTAATTTTATAAGTAATTTAAATGTCAAAAATAACTTCCTTAGATTTTATCAGTAAATTTTTTGTCTTTATTATATAGATAATTAAAATATGTAAATTGAAATATAAAATCATCAATGATTACCATCACCAGAATATAAAAGGAAGCCATGAGGTTCATTTGTTGACACAGCAACCAATAGAAGTGAATGAAAACTTCATTAGAAAACCCACAAGCAGCTATGACCACTTGAAGGCCCCTGATAGGTTCCCTGAGCCAGAATACCAGTACACACTGAGGGAGATGTCTGTGGTCTGGCACATCTATGGTGGCAGTGATTTTTCTCCCCCACGGCGGGGATCAAGTAGTGGTAAGATTTTATTTGAAACATTTTTGATCAAGTCAAATTGTGCTGCAGAAAAATGTTTTTAGCCAAAAATGTATTTTGCTAGCAGGAGTATTTCAATTTTTCCCACGTTTTCTTTAACTTGCTTTCTCTGTTTGTTTATTTGTCTTTCCAATCAAATCTTGCGATCGAAATTTCTGGCACTTCCCAGTTAGCTAGCGCGCTGAAATTTTCAGGGAAGCTTTCTTTTGGATGACCATAGAATATGCAATTGTTATTATTACTAAATTGATCAATGGAAACATTTTATTGAGCATTTTAGACCGCTATATAATCTATATATATAATTCTCCTCTGCGAGCCATTAGAAAAAAAACCAGCGACGCGTAGCTCGCGCGCAGTGAAGCGAACGATTCCAAGACGCGACAGGCTTAGGGGCAGATAATTTAGTTTGAACCGACTTAAAACTTACAGGAGGTAGGCCAGTTTGGGGGAGACGATATGGTCGAGTGGTTGGGCACACGATTGCTATCCCACTCGACACGGGTTCAAATCTATGTGTTCTAGTCAGTAACGTATTCACACAACGTGTTTTTTACGAGTTGTCTTTTTACGAGTTGTCTTTTTACGAGTTGTCTTCGTTTACCCAAAAAAAGTGAAAAGATAAAATCGATAGCAAGATTTTAATGCAAACAAACAGACAAAGACTAAAAAGTAGAAAATAATAATCATTAAAAAAGTTTTAAAAAACCCACGTTTTCTGATTGAACTAAAAAGTAGAAAATAAACGCTATACATCACAATAATGCAAGCGATCACTCTACTATAAGCGATCAAAAACGTGGGGCGCCGTGATTTTCTTACAGTTTCTAATACTGTTGACTCTCTACAAGCTCCCTAATAAAAGTCAATAGTATTATCTAATCAATAGTAATATAACTTTTACTTCGGCGCCCCACGTTTTTCATCGCTTATAGTAGAGTGATCGCTTGCATTATTGTGATGTATAGCGTTTATTTTCTACTTTTTAGTTCAATCAGAAAACGTGGGTTTTTTTAAACTTTTTTAATGATTATTATTTAAATTTTAAACTTTTGAGATCAAACTTTTTAATGACAATTATTTTCAAGTGATAGTAAAAACTTTTGTACATTTTTTTACAAGCTTTTATTTAACTCACTTCCTCGTCAGTCTGTCTAGACGGAAACGCAGGAGTGAAAATTCGGACAGTTCTACTTGACCGATACGATTCACACTTGGCACGTGGGTCAAGACATGAAGACAATGCAATCTGAAACTAAATTTGACTTAATTGGATGCCTAATTAATTTTTTATGAATTAATAAAAATTTGGACCGAATTAGTAGGCATGTCTAGCCAACCACACCACACGCGTCATCACCTTCAATAGCTGCACCATCACGTAATGGCTGCGTTCAAAAACCATTGCGCGCCTACTGAACGTGATGTGCAGTAGGCGCACAATGGTTTTTAGTCATGTATCTATTAAAAATAAAACATGTAAAGTACTGAAAAAAAAAATTCATAAAAAACGTTTTAATAACAAGCTTTTATGTAACAATGCACTAAAAAGTAGAAAATAAATTATAGACTACTATTTAAATAACTATAAAGAAAAGCGTGGGTGTCTTCCTTCACATTAGTAAAGGTATCCAACAGATACTAAAGTGACCCACGCTTTTCTTTATAGTTATTTAAATAGTAGTCTATAATTTATTTTCTACTTTTTAGTGCATTGTTACATAAAAGCTTGTTATTAAAACGTTTTTTATGAATTTTTTTTGTTTTTCTTTGCAGAACGTCCAAATTTAGCCAGAGGACTTCAGAGGTAAATAGATCACAGGCAGACATTTTTTGCTGCTTAAATTTGTTTTGGTAATGAAATAAGAGACAGTGTATGTTATTTGTAAATCATAAAATGTCCACAAATTTTTTCCAGTAGTCCCAGAGACCAGAGAAAATTTGATGGTTCAGGTAGAACTAGGAGGCACAGCTGGCGACACAGGGGGGGAGACTGGAGGGACTTCAATATACTCATGGAGCTTGAGTTAAATAAGGTCTGACACTGTTTCTAAAAGCTTGTCACTGCTAGAATGTCTAGTTAGTTTTTTGAAGTTCTAATATGACATTGTTTCTAACAACAGATTAGGTTCAGGTACGATGTCTACCCCAGCAATACCAAACAGGCCTCACGATTTAAGTTACTGGTGAATAGCTTTGAGGTTCGAGATCGGATCAAATCTTCAGAGGTCAACAAATTCCTGGTCAAGCTTGTTGATAAGGAACACCCTGAACAATCATCTGCCTATATGGTTAGTTTCTTACAGCAGACATGTGTTTAGCTGATATGTGCTTTAGATCTACTTTTATTGGTTATTTTATTCAAAGCTAAACTTCAACATAAACTATATAAACTTTACATTTTAGCAGTTTTTTTTTTTTAATTAAAAAAAATCTGTTTTAAAATATAATGAAATTGTAATGCTATAAATAATTCATTCATCAAAATCATGTAGCTGCCAAATATTTAAAATACACTCTCATTTTTTTCTTTTGACAGCTCATGTTTTCTGGAGTTTTTACTAGACCAGAGTACCTGCCTAGCAGAACTGAATGTGAGGTCAAGGCCTTCTGTCTACCAATCAAACTTAATATTGATCAGGCATGTTTTGTTTATACTTTAGCTTTTAATTATTTAGTGTTTACTCATTAAACTACAATTCCACTTACAAATTTGTACACACTTTTACCTCCGTAGGTTTCTCTGAATTTCTTGTGGAAGTTTGTATCCCAAGTATCAGACCCTGACACTGCCAAGTCTGATGTTGGCAGTGTTGGTGGGAGATCGTCTCCCCTTGGAGGTCACTCTTCACCTTCCAGCTCCAGCCCCCGTAACTCTGTTTCCAATCTAGACCCAATCATGCGCATCGGCATACCATCTACCAATGAGTCCAGCTTGGATGAAACAGAGTTGTTAATGAAGTTTGAAGACTACAGTAATCAGCAAAGCTTATACTTACAGGTAAATTGCATTAAAGTAATTGTGTTATTTAATCAATTTTTCTTTATTTGACTTCAAATTTTTTAAACTACCAAGTAAAACATAAATTACTCTAATAAAGATTTTCTTTTACTTCAGGCAAGACTAAATGAGAATGACAACTTGGAGCTTCCCCATGAAGACCTGCCAGTGTTCATCAAGTATACAACTTTTACTTTCTTGGTTTAGTACAGTGTACATAGCTTTCTATTTACATTGATACTATTTAAAATTTTCTTTTCCATTGTTTTAGGTCTTTCATTTTAATATCAGACATCACAATAAAACTTGACTACCGCGGCAAAAGATGTGACATGGATAGTGTAAGTCTCACATTTTGAAAGATTTGTACGTTCAGTTATGCTTTTTAAAATACTTGGTTTGCATTAGAAATTAATATCAGTAATAATGTATGCATTGTATAAATTGATATTCTCTATACAAAACTGTATCAACATGTTTCAAACAGGGAGTGGTTGGAATGATGCTGGGTGTGGCTTCATTGACTGGATCTGTTGTCAAGCTGAAACGTATCAACTGTCAGAAAGGGTTGGTATAGTTTGCCATCATTCAGCTTAGTTGAATTTACTTTACAATATCATAATGTATTGATTCTTGTGTTAATGCTCAAAGAAGAAGGAAAAAAAAATGTCAGTAAACATTGGTTGGACATTGGTATAAACTTCATCTTTCAGACAGTTATAAACTATTTGATAAATCCTGGAACATAAATAATCCCACTAGTTACTTTGTTTAACTTGGAATAGTAAATATTTAAACTTAAATCAAGAAGAGTTCTAGTGTCCTGTGTTATTTTAAAAACAGAATTCTGGGCTGGGATAAGCTGTTGATGTATGCCTATAATGAGTGGTTGACTGACATAAAGACCAACCAGATTCACTCCATCCTAAAAGGTGTTGGCAGCTTGTCCATTGTGTTCCAGATTGGTAAGTAAAACATGTTCTCTGCTCCCATCTGCTAGTTTGGAAAAATTCATTTTAAAAGCCATGTGTTGGGATAGGACACAGATTCACTTCAAGTGAACAAGTATTTAGTATTGTATGACTAATTAATTTCACTTTTCATATTTGCTTGCTTCAAGTTTCAGTCATTTTATCAAACAAAATATAAGTGGTATGTGTATCCATGTGGTAAAATGTTAATGTATAAATATATTTAGATCATAACAAAGAGATGCATCTTATTTCTTGTATAGTACAAGGTGTGACAGACCTGATACGTTTACCCATTGAGCAATATCAGAAGGATCGGAGAATTATACGAGGATTACAGAGGGGAGCTAACTCCTTTACACTGAACACGGTCATGGCAATTCTGGAACTCACCAACAAAGTTGTTGGATCAATTCAAGTAATTTTATTTTATTTGTTTAGGGAAGTGTGAGACTCAATAAACTTGTGCAAAATAGATGGGCTTGATTTGATTTATTTTTGTTTTATTCAGGCTATTTTATGGTCAGTCATTTTATGTTGATCAATTCCTTAGTACTGTGCAGAGTTGGGGTATGATATGATGTCACCAGGGCCGAGTGTAAGGAGGCGTAAGATGTTGAAACAGCGACGCCAGCCACGGACAACAGCAGAAGGGGCCAAAGCTGCTTTTGCTTTGGTGACTGAGGTAAGAACATGTGATCTGTGAAGGTCACCAAGTTATATGTTGAGCTGGGTCTACTAACTATGAAAGTGGATCTTAACTTAAAGATAGAGTCAAATACACTATCAGTATCAATAAAAGTGTAACATCTAACTGAATGTCCTGTTGAGTCTAAATATGTTATCTTGATGATCTAATTCTATTTAAAAATTAGCTGACACCTCATACACTTCTATGTTCTCTTGATGATCTATGTCTATCCACATACTCTTCCGCAGGGTGTCAGAGAATCAGCTTCCAATCTATCTGCCATTGTCAGTGAAGAAAGTGCCCACAAAGGTTATGTTGGTGCTGTTGGCGGTGCCCTGAGGAATGCCACCCCTGAATGCCTGTTCAAGCCATTAGCTCTGCTGGCAGAGGCAGGAACCAACATAGTACAGGGAGTCAGAAACGAGGTGGATCCAAGTAAAATGAAGGAGGAGGAGGATCGCTGGAAGTAGATTCAAAGCACCTACTGGGTTTTGAATTGTTTTTAAGCACTGCTAGTTAAAATAATTAATAAATAATCAAAGAATTCATTCAATAATACAAAAAGACAGTTGTAAATAAATTATGAATTATCATCTGTGTTTCTATTTGGATTGAGGAATTTAATAAATGAATTTTACAACTAAAAATCAGTAAACATCAGAATTACATATTGTCTGCTTGTAAAATCATTAAAAACCCTTAATTATCTTCTTATCTCTTTAGTTGATTATAGTTTTAAACGACCACATTATCAAAATTCCTTGCAAAGTAATATTTCCAATTGTATTTTGTTTTTAACATAATTTTACTTCAGGTTTTAAATTTAATATGTAAAAACGTAAATCCATTTTGATACATCAGAATTATGTTGTGGTCTAGTTTGTTTTGTTCCTTTTAACAATGTATATTTTTAGTGTGCTTGTTATAGTCAGTTGTTGATTAACTACAAATTCTGATATCAATGAACACTTGTTTTCAAATTGTAGCAGTAAGCATTTTTTTAATCCTTAAGTTCATTCAATTATTGTTGGTAAATTTGCAATGAAATACCATCAAAACCTGCATATATAAAATGTATTTTTATCCAAGTATATTCTTATGTAAAAATAGAATTGCAGCACTTGTATAATTTTGTCATTGACTTAGAGCTGTACTTGATTAATTTGTTCATGAATGTCATCTAAATGTTAAAAGTCACTTGGTTGGTTCTTAAAATATCTGAAATACTTTTTTATGGTATGTACACTGAAGTCAACACAGCTTGAGATTTATAATGTCAGATAAATATTATGTGTATTATAAATGTGTACATATTATTGAAATTTTATTTTTTGTGATTGTTTGTGTAATTTTTAAGCTGTATTGCATTTTATTCATGATTATACTGTAGGATTTGACTTTGTGTCAATTTTTTGGTTCATTTTGTTAAACCAAGGTAAGATGAATTTTGGTATTTATCAGATTCGTCAGCTAATTTTGTGACAAACGTGTTTGAAAAAAAAAGGGATGTGATATGTTTTCAGCTAAATTTTGCTGTTCAGATTGTGCAGTTAATATTTTGCCTGTGTTTGATTTAAATATATTCTGGTGTGCTATGGTCAAAGAAAGCTTTGTAGCATTTAAAATAATATTCAAACTACAAAAAGTTAATTATAGGTAATCCTGAAATTCTTTGGACTTGATATTCTAAATAAACCATACTACTATTTTTTTTAAAAATAGATATTTACGATGATTTATTTTATTTATATATTTTCTTTTCTGTATCTTACAAATAATACAGTTTAAATGCAGTTTTATTAGAAGTGAAATATTCTCTCAGATTTAATTTGTGATATTATATTCATAAAGAAAGAAACCGGTGCCTCAATCTAGCCAAAAATACATTAGGTAAAAGATGACAAAAATGGATTAGTAATAAATAATTGTTAGCAGTTGTTTTTAACTGTCTGTAAATAATCCGTTGGTTTTGATCAGTTTTATTGACTTTTGCCTTTGGTTGATTGAGATAATTTTTTTAACTTTGAAAACAATTTTATTTTCATGTTTTTTTAGTGAATGTTTGTTATTATAGATACTCAAAATAGTTGTTTCTAACAAAAGCACAGCATAACCAACATTCACTTAGTACAATGCCCAATTGTATCTTACTAGATCACCTGAAATTGTTTTAAAAGGTAATGTACTTCTGCTAAATGTCCTCAAGTTCAAGGCTCTCATCATGTGTAATCATTATGAAATTGATGAATTACTTGAAATGTAAACTAAATAACTCAAGATATTATTTATCCATTTTTGTTTAAATCACATTTTTTATTTTGTTAAAATAATGCATAAACTTTTCTTTTTCAATTCTCTTTATGTCTAGTCAGATATTCAACATTTACACACAGAATGGTAACTATATTAACATTAGCATCTGCTTACTTTATGGTTGTGTTTTAACTCCAAGGTAAATACATATTTAAAAAAAAACACCACCTTGGGAATGGAAAAAAACATGGCTTATAATCTAAGCTATTTGTATTTACTAATGGAATTGTGAGTGGCTGAAACCTTTGTTTAGAAATGACTGTTATGTTATGAAAACATACTTTCTTTAATCATATAGTGCCACTGGTATAGTTGACTTTTAGTGACAGTTCATGACTAGTTTGCTGTATCTTGTTTGTTTACATTTCAGTTCAACTTTTGGATGAAATCAATGCTGAAATTATGATCTGTTCAAGTAAAATTTCTAGCACAATCTCTGCTCTGCTGTACAATATTTTAATGCTATAAACAATTTGATGTCCATCAAATTGAGATCACATTTATGTATGTGTGTGAAATTTCAACTTTAGAAGTTCTGGTTTTATCATTTTGTTTTAATCTTGCAATAACAATGTGACAATAATTGTCAAGACAATTTTGTGTTTTGTGTCAGGGACATGAGCTGTCAAAGATGATTTTTGTACATGCATTAACAATATCATTCATGTCAGTTGGATGTAAGTGTGAATCTTTATTTTTTGAAAGACTAGCTTGGGTAGATGTTGTGTGCTAAAATGTCTGCTAATTGTAATGGTTAAACAGAATGCCTCATTACTTCCTTCTCTATCTTATCAGCTATTTGTGATTGTGTCTGCTCTACTCAATAAAAAAACATTTAGCAAAACAAATTTAAAATAATTCACCTATATTATCTTACACAATTTGTTTTATGTGGGGTTGCTTATAACAAAATCAAAATGTTGAGGGGGGTCAAAATAAATGGGATTATTCATTACAATTTTGTATGAACAAATGTTTTTAAAAAAATAGCCTAAAATTGCATTTTAAAAAGTAAAACAGGAATTATTGGTTTTACTTTTAATCTCCTTCAGTTTAAACACTTGTACACATAAATGAATTTAAAAAATTAACCAGGAAAATAAAGTAAATAATCATACATTTAAATTTTTTTTTAAACCATCAACATTTTTAGGATAGCTATTTTTAATTTTCCTTTCAACAGTCACTGTTAAATAATTAATACCAAATGCAGAAAGTTAATAATTGAAATGAGTTATATAATTAATAATTCATGATGTATTCTTAAGATTCCCACATAACATTGTCATTCAGTTTTTATATAGAAACATTTAAGCTCTTAAGATAAGATAAAAATCTCCTATTTCAACTAAGAATCCTAAGATGAAATGATTGAGCCATCAGTGAGCCAGGTATCAACATAGAGAGTCCACACCCCACCACCAGTGGCCAGGTATCACCAGAGGGAGTCCACACCCCAGCCCAAATCTTTGTACATGTTGTACCTGCTGGCAGGTTTGACCCACTTGTCTGTGGTCTCCACTATACTGTTCCCAGCCTTCCAGCCAATCAACTGAGCATGAGTCTGAGGCATCAATGACTTTGGCTTTTGACTGAATAAAAAAAAGGATTGGTTTCTCTACTATGTTTCAGTCACCCGATGTAACTTAAACTGTACATGTAAATAAAACTGTTGGTGAAAGACTAACCTTTGAGTTGCGGAGAGAGGCCACAAATGAGCAAAGTCTGCAGCAGTGACTCGCACTGTTGATGAGGGTAAAGGCTTAAGTCTACCCTGGTCCAGCTTCAAATTCATCTGAAATAGGAGATGAGTTTTAAGAGAAAATGTCATAGCCACCATAAGTTCTGATACATTTCTTTTTGATTAAGGTTTGCTAAGTGACAGAAAGTGGAAACCCTCACAATAATTTTTTTACTAGTAGATTTATAAAATTTATGAAGAAGTAACTTTTAACATTTTAGTAGCCTACGGCCCTTGACAAATATAGTTTAGTAGAATATACAGCTACATAGATATTATCTCATTTTACCGTATTGTCTTTCTTTGTCTAAAATTTAGCTGAAAATTGCTTTTTTTCCAGCTATAAATGGAATATTTTTAGTGCATTTTCCACAATCACTTACTTCATGATAAATGGGCATGATAAAACCACACCTGTTTGGCCATATTTTATAACGTATTGTGTTTTCTTTGTTGATCATCTCTTTCCTAGAATAAAATTTCATGGATTAGGCCCACAACACAAAAATGTTAGGAAATATGACTGCATCCAACATTAGGCCCACAAAACTGCATCCAACATAAGGCCCATAACATAACTGCATCCAACATAAGGCCCACAAAACTGCATCCAACATAAGGCCCATAACATAACTGCATCCAACATTAGGCCCACAAAACTGCATCCAACATAAGGCCCATAACATAACTGCATCCAACATAAGGCCCACAAAACTGCATCCAACATAAGGCCCATAACATAACTGCATCCAACATAAGGCCCACAAAACTCCATCCAACATTAGGCCCACAACACAAAACTGCATCCAACATAAGGCCCACAAAACTGCATCCAACATTAGGCCCACAAAGAGATGTCTGGAAGATTCTCTGATTTCAACCAGGCTCACTGACTTTCTCTCAAAATATTTCAACCATTCTCCCTATATACTATATTTCTCTCACGACATTTCATCCACGTTCATTGTTAATATATTTCTCGAATCTTAAGATTTCATTATGCTCCATGTATGCTATGCAACCCACCCTCGTAAGAAATAGAAAAAATACATTACATAGCGCCCCCCTTCCCCTGTTGGCCTTGTGGTTTTCTTAATTCTATCTTTAGTAGTCTAGACTGAATAGATCTATCTATAGCAGTGGCGTAGGCAGGGGGGGTTAGGGGGGTCATAACCCCCCAATAGACCCCTCGGTATATATAAAAAGTATGAGGGGGGGGGTGCAAATCGAAAGTTTGAAGGGGGGGGGTGCAAATCGAAAGTTTGAGGGGGGGGTGCAAATCGAAAGTTTGTCCCCGGGTAAAAATTGGAACCCCCCCCTTGAGACGATCCTGGCTACGCCACTGATCTATAGTCTATAGTAATCTATACCTTTGCTACTACGGGTAACGCTATCAGGGCAGTGTACGAAAATTAAATGTGATACGGTCCCGCCAAGGGACGTAACATGTCTAGGGGAAGGAATCACCTGATTATTATTATTTTTTTTTTTAGACTGTAGGGCCTACCTAATGTTTTACAAAATAGGCCTATTCAACGACACTTTCTCATTATTAAATGATAGACTCACGTAGACCATAGCTTTCTAGAAAGGCTACACACTACACATCTTTTAAGTACGGACAGCCTTTCTAATGTTGACGATAGGCTAACAGTTTCACTAACAGATCTATATCTAGGACCTAATTAATATATCAAGATATAACCTATTGCCAGTATAAAGAAAAGAACTCACGAAAATCTCATCTTTGCAACATAATTGATGTATTCTTTATCTTGGCCAGCGTCGGTCGCCATTCCGTAGGTTCCACGATTTCTAAACTTGATACTAGATCTAGAATCTACTTGAAATGTGTCTCGTAATGCTTAAATGTGTCAAATTGTGCGACTATGCACTTTAACGGAAATATCCTATAAAGCTCAAGTAAAGTGTCACCACAAAAAGAGTGGATTTTTGTCATTCAGTCAGTAGCGACCCTTCCCGGCGCCCGGGGAAAAACTTTCACCCCCCCCCCCCTCAAACTTTTGATTTGCATCCCCACCCCCTCAAACTTTCGATTTGCAACCCCCTCAAACTTTCGATTACTTTTTCCAACCCATTTTGGCGCCCCCTAAGGTCGGCGCCCAGGGACATGTCCCCCCCCCCCCCCATCGCTACGCCTCTGCATTCAGTTCCACCAACCAACCCCCTCCACCCAATTTTAAAATAAACCTGTTTTCACCATAGCTAAATTGCACGCAAGACACAGTGCCAAACCAAATTTAAAATAGTCGCTGACTTGTACCACATGCGAGTTTTCATCCGTTTATTTTTGTGTCCTGCGCTTCGGCTATGAACCTGGTAGTCCAGTGTCAAAGTAGAGCTCGGTCGGACAACCAAGAAACTTTTAAAAACAATTAATAGGGTTATGAATACTAATACTATGACTAAGGCTGGTAGTTATTGCAAGTAGCAACTACAAACATCTGGTCAGTCCTAGCTACTACAGTAAAGATTGGTAGTTTTAATACTAGCAGTAGCAAGCATTTGGTTAAAGTAGGCCTACTACAATAAAGATTGGTAGAGTTTTATACAGAAGCAGTAGATGGCACTTGGCAATTTTGCTTAAAAATTATTTCAAAACAACACAAAGAGTATCTGAACAGGTTAAATGTCAATTTATTTAAGAATGCAAAACATTAAACAATGAAGTAACAATCATGGGTAGATCTTAAAATTTTCCATAAGGGTCACCAAACCAGCACCCATTGGACAGCTATTTAATCTAAAAACATACTAGTCAGTAACTATAGTTAACTATTAGTTACAAATATTCTCGCAGTCATGTCTGTTCAAGTAAGTAAAGTGATAGTGTTTGAAGTGCTGAATAAAATTTAAGTTGAAATAATAAGCTCAACATTTAGACTTTCACAAGTCAACCATTTGAGACATCAAAAAAAATAATACAAAACATGCTTTATTTACCAAGATGATAACAATGCAGATGTGAGAGTAAAAGAATTTGTATGAAGAATAAGAAAATACCACCACCTCGCTGACACACTCATTAGCCAATTTCTCTAGTATTAAGTACCTCAATCATACTTCTTTGTATGGCTATATAGACACTTATAATTTTTGTACCAAACATTCAGTTCCATAAATGCAATATAACATACAAAAAGAATAACAGCCAACACCAATTTATTTACAGATTTTATATACTAGAGCTTGCCATTCTTTCAACATATGAAGTCATCCACTGTCATTTGATTTCATCCTCTTGAAAAAGTACTTAAAATAAATAAAATGAATATTCAAGAAAAATTATTGCGTGGCTTTAGTTTTCTTTCTTCCTCGAGCAGCTTTTTTATCTTTCTTTTTAAGTCCATCCATGTTTGCCTTCAAAAGATTGCCATATGCCTGAAAATAAAATTGGACAAGTCTTAAGAAAGGCATGGATGTGTAAATGTTTTTATAAAACATCTTTTGGTCTTCATGTGAAAGAAACTATCTATAAAACGAAGTTCAGAAACAACAGAAAGAAGAGAAATTGATTCAGATGAAAGTAGATAAAATTAAATTTAAAAATTTAAACGTGTTAAAGAGTTCATATGAATATAAAATTAAAGATAGCAACATATTAATAGCCAAATTGTTAAATAAGTATATAACTTTACATACCATCTGAAACTTTGTTACATCTTTGTGATTAATCTAAAAAAAATACACAATAATTTTGTTTAAAATTTACATAAAATGTGTCTGAGATTTTTAAATGTGAAGAATTTAATTAGGCCCAGATGAAATTTAACTTACAACTGTTGTAATTTTTTTGTTTCCCAAAGCAGCTCTGACTAAACATTTATATTCATTTGGTTCGGGCAGGTTTCCATTTCTTGGCTTAGGTTTGGTACGGCCATCATCTGTCAAAATTTTTTTCAAACATGTAGTTTTTGTAATGTTTATACATAAAGCTTTCAGATAATAATTTACTATCAAATCTGGAGGCATATTTAAATTTTTAATAGCATAAATAGAATATTAAAAAGTACTTACATCTCTTCAATGTCATAGTGACAGATCCTGTATTTTTTCCCTTAAGAAATAGTTTTGTCAACTCAGTAAGGAACTGAAAAAAATAAAGACAAAATTAAAAAAGAAGAATTAGGCCCAAGTTGTTTAGTAATGCTAATGAGAGTAACACTTCTTCACTATTCTTACTTGATGTTGCAAAATATAAGCAGCTCACTACATTTTAAATTATTTCATAATTTTCCTATGGCATTGCAAAGTACGTTGAATATAAGTTAACAAGACGCCAAACTACTTGCAAAAAATCCATTTTTCTTAATGAATAAAATGCTTTCCTGGCATAGCTTGATCGATCAGCCATTTTTATAAAGTCTCATGTTTGGTATAAAAATATTAATTAGATTCAACAAGATCAGTAAAGTACTCATTCATCATAGTTAGAACCCACCCCCACACTTTTTTTCTGACCAAGACCAAAACCATACACCAATCCCTAGCCATTATTTGGAGTCAGAAGTCATTTCTGATCTGCTGCACGGACTACGGAATAAAATATACTAAAATTAGCAATAGTTTTGTTTCTACTGGAGTGGAAGTTAACTAAATAAATATGCATATGACTTCCTAATGTAAATCAATGCAAACCTTATTCCCAACTCTAGTCCCCACCCAGCAAAAAAAATTTTTTTTAGCCCCCTATATATATATTATATGTATATATATAAACTGTCTCACAAAATGTAATTATTTAAACCATTTCCTAATTTATTTCATTGCAATGTATATCCATCATGAGACAACAAATCACACCAAAATATGTTTTAAGCCATTTAGTTAAAAAATATTTACAAAATTATTTAAATGAGCTCAATGGGCACCCCTATTAGACTTGTTAAAGAGGAGCGATAAGTCAAGGAAGAGCTTTGCCTATCACTATAGCTATGAAACAGTATGTGTTAGTTACTGTACACAGCTGTAGTAGATCTTGTGTTGTTTTTTTTACAAAACCACTTGTAAATCAAGGTGCTTAAATATATTGTTTTTTGTCGGATTTTGGACCCCAAAAACAGCCAGCCCCATCCCCCTCAAGCATTGACATTGTGTGGTCTGGCGGTTTGGTAGTTCTGCCCCTTGTCCTACTGTAAGCCTAACCTAAATTTAGTAATTTGTATCCATAAAATTGACGAGATTACAATACTGCTAATAACCTATTTTCTGAAGAGTCCAATATTAAGTATTATTAAACATCTGGATAGTATTAGTATACTGAACTGTATGTATCTAGTCTAGTGTATAGCCTACAATAAATACTCATACTGTATTTACAACAGACAGAACAATTAACTTACTTAGGCTGTCCTTTGCCTTTAGCCTAACTAAACAATCCAGATACTGGTAGATACAGAAATAAATAGATACAGACAACAGACAGATTTATCTAGAATCTATTTCGGATGCTTTTAGTTTTGGATACCGATGTCCCATAACATAATAGTAGACTCTTCCATAAAATAGGTGTGTTGGGTTGTTAGTAGTATTGTAATCTCGCCTATTTTATGGTTAGAAATTAGGGTTAGGCGAATGGTAGGACTAGGGTTGCGTTTGCATTGAGTTAATCAAGTTAATGATTGACATTAGCCAGAAATTCTAGTTAGGCCGGCTAACTACCACAGTAAAAACACCCCCTTTTTAAAGAAGATTCTGTTAAAGTGTTATCAGATACTGGTATAAAAGTTCTCCCTCATTTCAATTATAATTTTTTATTAATATTCTATAACCGTGATAACAACAAAGCCTCCCCCCCCCTTTCAATTATTTTTATTAAGTTACAAGTCTAGACTAGACTAGTATTAAGTAAACTCAAACAACTGTTCTTTTTCGTACCGCATCATTTTCTAGCAGCATTCTTAATACTTTTAATAGCCACCAAGGCTTCCTGATAACAAGTAAACTATTGTTTGTAGTACAAAAACTACGTCTACGTATAGATCTAATCTAGATCTATATGTAGTTTTAAGGTGATTGTCTTTTTTTTAAAAGCAGTAACTCGACTTCGATGTAAGCAATAATGCCCAGTAGATTTGTCCAGCTGCTTGGTGAAATCAAGTAGTCTACAAATAATGTATACAATTTAGTTGCGTTTCAAAAAACAGCAGCGCTTTCGCAATTTCCCGAAATAGATTCCACTTTTAAGGTTATTACAGCCGAAATTTATTTCTTAAAGAATTAAATTATACAATTATTAGTTTACTTTATCTATATTTATTTTTATTATTTATGTCTATTGAATATTTATATTGAGTTTTTAAATGAATGCAATGCACATATTAAATTTATTATTTATATTGTGTTTTTGTACTGCTGGATGCATTGTCAATAATGTATTGTGGGTATTGCTAAGGTAAACTAAGATGGCGCACAGTCGGTATAAATACGATTAGAATAGTTATTTACGATGTTAAAGCTAACCTTATTAAATATTATAGCCAGATCTAGTATTTAAATTAATCTCAATATCGTACTTTGAATATCTCAGGTAAGTAGGACAAAAATGACTTCTGATTAGCTATTACTATTACTTGACTATAAAATTTTTGGTAATCTATCGTTTTGGGTACGTAATACGTAAAATCGCCCGCGACTAGTAATGTGAAAAACAGGTGACTCCTTACATTTGAATAATTATTTCACATTTTGAGGAGGATTTATGTTTTGAAAAATACAAAAATGTTTCCTTGTTTCATTTATGTACCTGTTTTTAAACAATTGAATGGACACCAGCGAGAAAAGTCTCAAAGGTATTTGAGAGGTGTATAAATTCATTTAAAAATCATGCACAGCGTAGTTACAATTAATATGGTTATAAAATCCTGTCTATCCGGTTTTTTTCGGACTTTACTAAAGATTGGATGTATTTGATGTTTATAATATTTTCGGTAACTAAATAAAAATAAAAAAAAAAGCAAAAACAATTTGGTTTTCACGTGTAATGGCGACATAAACAATGGCATCCTGCTATTGGATAGGCCGCCATTGATTTTATTGTACACATTGCAAGCTAAAAATAGAAAACTAGGTCATGGGGTTTTAAATTTGCATTGTTATTTAAAAACTTGATCTGCAAAGTTTTGTAAACAAATAGTTATCGATCACTAAGTTACTGTACAGCCAATCAATATTTGTCTTACGAAAGTGAAACATCCGGTTATAACTTAGGCTTGATGAAAATAAATAGAAATGTAGCCTTAAACTCAACAAATTATTTTCAAGTTCTCTGGATTTGCAACTTTTATAGCATTTATTCTAAAAATATAAAATTTCTAAATTAATTTTAGGCTTATGTTTTTATTTTTTATTTTTTTTTTACGGTCTAAATCTAAAAAGCACGTTTTTATTCCATATCAACAACATTGGGGACGGAATCTCGTCAACTCGCTCGCCTCCATTAAAACTTTTCAGTAATAAATGAACACCAGCGATGTTTCCAACAGATGCAACCATGCTCATTTACTATAGCAGCCATCTTGTTAAAGTTTTTTTTAAAGACTTATAGCGCCAGATTCAGGCGGAAGTCACTCTATTTTACAAATGGCTGCTGTTTATATAGCAAATCTTGCTTGCAGACACTGCTGTTTAAAGTTAATTTCTGGCCTATATTAATATATTTAGCCATTGATTTAGGTTTATTATTCATTTATCTATAATATTTGACACAAACATATCACAATATACTTCTATTACAGCCTTGACAATGAGGTAACGTTTTCGTACATTAATAGCCGCGGGCGATTTTACGTACCCAAAACGATAGATTACCAAATTTTTAATTTAATGCTAACTTTAAAAAAAAAAGTCTTTCGACTCTTACTCTTTATTTATAATATTTAAATTAATATTTATTTGGTTAGTTAGTTAAGTTTAGTCTTAGTTTAGAGTTTAGGCCTAGTTTAAAAAAAAAACTTTACTACCTAAATTAATGTCTTAATTACTTAATTTTCAATACTTTGGTCGTTTAGGCCTAAAATTTTATTTTTTTAAAATCATAAATTAAAAATTTTTATTGGTCTAATTCTAGATTAATATAATCAACGAGCCGACCCGCGGCGTATTATACGCCGCTATTTAGCCTAGTTGTTTTATTTTATACTTTTCAGTAATTTATAATTTGTGAATTCGACAGTACCAATGCTGCCACTGAAAATATTTGCTTTAAAACACTACCCCCCCCCCCTTTCCCCTAACCCCTACCCTACACCCCCCCCCCGTGAAAGCAGCCTCCTCTTAGTTATCTCCTGTACGTTTAAAATCGTTTCAAACTAAATTATCTGCCCCTAATAGCCGTCAACAAACTCTATGATTTGTAAACATTTATTGTGACCACAACTCACCAGATCATGTGGGGTGGTAGTGATAGTGATAGAGAGAAAGAGAGGGGACTGTAAGGCGCGCTTGCAGCTTGTTTTCTAGCGTCTCCCAGAAGAGAATTATATATATAGATAATTTAGGCCTACTTAATATAGTATTAGTAGTTTTTAATTTTAATAGGCCCCACTACTCAGCAATGATTAGTATTAAAATTTAAACGAAAAATGATGCAAAATTAAAATTTGTTTTAAATAAATTTCAAATTAGTAGGCCCTATAAAATTGTTGACCCTTTTGAATGGCAGAATACTTGAGAATACCATACCTAGTTTCTCTATCTTTAGACAGACTACTAATACTATACAGACTACTATGGACTTGTAGAGGCCTATAGTTAGATGTTGTAGATGCTGATTTCTACATTGTACTTTAAGTTATTTTAGTTTTTAACATTTAGATTTTAGACCTTATCATGGCAGCTCTATAGTATAGACATTTATATCAAGAATAATCTAGATTTAATCCTAGGTCTCTAAGCTATACCAGTTAAACTCATTAAAGTAAAAATAAATGTCATATGTATTTAATTTTGGCTCATTAACTCTTTAAACCAGTGGCCCCGCTTCATTAGTCCAAGTCTTAAATAATAAATATCCATTCCACGAGATAGCGATAAAGTGACATTAGACACCTTACCCCAGATCGGCAGTCCGTACATAAAATTGCGATATTACAAAAGTATGTAACTGGTTTTATTCAACTTGTGGTAAGTTCCTGTCATGGCTGTGCCCCATGAACCAAATTGTTTGTTATGTTCATCATTTAAATTTTATGATGGAAAGATAATTTTAAAATTCCAAAACCAGCATTTTACCTATGTCTACATACACATGTCTTAAAGAAATATCAACCTACATAAACGACCAGATTATTATGAAGAAATATTGGCAATAATTCATGTTTAAATGTTCATTGAAATAATAAAATTAAACTTGTTGTTATATTTGTAATTTTTTTTTTTATTGAGAGTCTTTTGTGTGTATATTTAACTCAGGGGAATGGGGATTTTAGGATCAGGAGCAAATGGTTCAAAGGGTTAAGTCTTAAATACTATATAATTTATAATATATATTCTAATATTCTAATAATAATGAATATAAAATTATCAATAATAATAACTGCAATTTACCAATGGTATTGTTTGTCTATACTTATAAATTTATTTTTCTACTTTAAATAGCAATATAAACATAAAGTGATATTTTTCTACTTTATAACTTTTTAGGCTACTGTTTTTCTGAACTATTTTTAAAATGGCTGATGTTAGGGAGGATTCCAATGTTCACAACAAAAGCCAGTACTCAGAATCAATAGTTTTAAACCAAGATTTTGCAGATATCTCAACACTTGAACAAGACTTACTTAGCCAAAGTCATGTTTCAAAGGCTATGTCAGTTCAACACAGTATAATTACATCAGTAGCTGATTTAGAGTCTGCTACAGAAAAGTCATCAAAAATAGTCATCAAAGACCCAGGATATCTTCAAGCAAAATTAAGAGAGAGACTTTATGATAAACCAGAGAATTCTGGAGTTATGCAATATGTTCGAATGCAGAATTTAAGAAAAAGGCCATTTTCAGGGGTAAGAACTTTTCTTTCTGTTTTGATTAAATAAAGCTGTAAACTTTAACAGTAAAGAGATGCATTTCTTATGATCAAAATACTAAAGTGCTATGTGGTGTTCTTACACAAAGGGTAATAATTACACTTTGAATATATAAGGTTTTAAATAATTGGAAGTAATTTAATGTCTGTTAAATATTTTACATTTATTTTTTGTCATACCTATGTGTACATATTGAGATAAGATTATATAACTTTGATTTTACATTTTAATATTTGAGTGATCCACATTCATTCAATTTTTAACCAAGCATATGTACCATGATCTTTAAAGAAATATTAGAACAAAATGATAAATAAATTTGAAAATATATGCATTAAGGTATTTTGTTTATCTTATTAGTAAACTATTGTTTTGTTTTTCAGAATGTCAAAGAAATACAAGTTTCAAATTCAGTGAAGAGAATAGCTGTTTTAGAGCCATTAGATACTACTATTCCTAAACTAAGCTATTTTGCTTTACATAGACACAAGGAATCATCTACAGGACATAAGAAAAAAGAACAATTGGCTCTTTCTAACATGTATGTGAATTGATTGAATTGATAACATTCATGTAAATGAAATGTAGAGCACACAATCCTAAATGAGAAGATCTTTAATTCACATGAAAAGTTAAAAATTTTGCATAGAAATACTATACCATAGTTCAACTTATGACTTATAAAGGAACATAGTTTATTGATTTTTTTCCAAAGAATTTAGACAATATTTACTTTTATCTACAGCATTTATTGTAATGTTTTTTAGATGTTTGATACAAGCAGTAAAAAATCCACTTTATTTAATAGTTTGACTAGAAAAAGACCTAACCAGCTGGACCCTTTGGATACCCCCAGAGACTTAGAAAACATCACAGGTCTGGTTATTTCTTATGTTTTGTGATAGATCTTTAAAGAAAACTTTCTGTAAATGTTGCAAACATTTTAAAACAATTATTTTACAATAGAATTAATTTATTAAAAACATTTTTGTATAAAGAGGATAGTTTGCATACAATTATTATATTTTTATTATGAAGTTTTATGCTCTATTGCTTATAGATTATGAACTTAAAAATAATAAAGCAGTTATGACCAACGCACACTACCCTGCAAGCCAGTCTGCGGGTATTATAAACACTGTAGATCTGAGAACAAGCAGATCTAAATCAAAGCCTAAGTATTATGACAGTGGGATATGTGTTGCTGATGAAGCAGAACTAGAAATCAACGTTGGTCATGATGAGGATGATGAAAATGGTGAGGATGAGGAAAATGAGTTAGAAAATAGAGCCTTCTCTGAGACACCTGGCTTCAATAAACAGGTAGACATCATCTTTTTATTTGCAAAAATGGTGCATGACAGTTGTAATCTTCCTTAACCTATTTTAAGTAAATAGATATCTGCTCACACATTATGTTTAATATAGTTTAACTTTTGTGTTAGAAGACAAAGAAATCATACTTCAAACAAAAACTTGCATACTTAATGTGATGGTTACTTAATACTATTAAAGAATCAGAATATGTTTGCTTATTGTCCTTGTAATTTCAGTGTTTTGTTGTTTTAATTATTATTTTTTTGTAAATTAAAGATCCAATTTGCATCTACATCACACAAAAATTTGGATGATAATACACCTAACAAGCCAACAGAAAGATCTAAGAGTGCTGGCCTGGATATGAGAAGGTCGTTTGATAACAAAGTTTACAAAAGTGCCATCAAATCTAAATCTACATCTCATGTTTCATATAAGCCTGACCCCAACAAAGTTTTGTCCTACTTGAAAAAAAACAAGTATGATGATAAAGGTGAGATGTTTTTGCAGAATGTTTAAAACATAATATGTAAGATTCTTTAGACTGCAACAGTGACATTCAGTTTTATTAAACAGCTATTAATTGTTGATTTTTAAAAAAATGTTTGCATTTGTTTATGAGTATATCAAACATTTTAAAACCCCTTTTATGCAAAGGTCCATAAGATTTTATAAAATTATCAAAATAATGGATCTAAGTTAGAATAAAGCTCTTTGAGCTGTAATTTATTTAACTAATTCTAGTATTGGACATAATAGAGTGAGCTATAACCATTGAATATGTTACTTAATAAACATCACTTTTATAATCAATGTAGTTCCAGAAGTTACGAATGCTTATGACCAGTTGATTCTAATGAGAAAACAGCTGGGGTGGGTCACTGATATACCAAGGCATGGACCAGGTACACGAGAGGCAATGGAAAAGATAAAAGATTTTCCAGAAATAGAACAAGTAAGCTGATATTTAAAGTTAAAATATTATAACTGTTTTACTATTTTTAGAAAACCTTTTAGCTGATATGAATTAGTTTTTACTTAACTGATATTTTCCATAAAATGATGATTTAGGGTACAGACAAAATCAAAGAAGACAATGGCACATTTTTTTACTGCCTTCCATCCAATCATCAAGACCCTCGAGCACGGTATAACCCATATGACCTGCAGATTGTCTCTGCTAACACAGCAAGGTCCAACAATATGTATTTTACCATTAGTGCTTCATACGTCTCTATGGTAAGTAGCTCTGAGCATGTATAGTTTACTTAGTGCTTTTAATAAAGGGGTTTATTTTTTAGAAATAAGTAACTTATTAGTAAAATATCTGCAATTAACCTGCTTAGACTTTTTATCATCAAAGGTGTTGCTTTCATATTTATTTTATGTACGTAAACTCACATTTATATTTCATGTATGTCAGATAATGATTATATTTCAAGAATCTATAATCACATTTATATTTCAGTGTTATGAAACTGATGATGCCATGAATGAGTCAAATGCCACACCTGTTTTATGGTGGCTGTGGGAAAGACGACTGTTTTTTATGGTTTTTCATTTCCCAGTTTTTGTAAAATTTAGGTAGTTTATTGTTCTTATTTATTCCTTTAATAGCAAAAATATTTTAATGTGTACTACTACTAATTATTATTTTATTCTTCATTGATTTTACAATATAAAAAAAGATTACAAGTACAAACTGTTTGTCAATAAACTAGAAGTGAATATATTTTTGACATACCATTGTTTTTGAAAGGTTATGGAAGGCTTTTAAAAACTGGAGGAAAGCTATTCTGAGACAGAAGAATAAAGTTCAACAGTAAGTTTGACATTTTTTAGGATGAATTCTTATCCCATTATGTTTATAATTTAAATTAATGTTTCAAATATGATAGTTTTTTAGTGGAAAATAATTGTTTGATTTAAAAGATTTTTTTAACTTGAAATTAACAATGTTAAAATTATTTTGATAATATTCTATAGGGAGAAACTCTACAGATCTCTGTTCATTGCAAACGAAGTACTCCAAGGGTGTCTTATACATGTCAGAAGTTTATGTGAGAGTGCGAGGACACTGGTTAAAGATGGAGATCTCAGCACTATCATCTCTTTTGTTGACCTTGACCCTTCAGTGACTTTCAGTCTCCAAGATTTTGAAAGTCGCCAGAAAAAACGATGTGACAAAGCATTACAGCAGCTTCTAGCACTAAGGGGAAACATCATAGAAATTGTGTGGGAATCTTGTGCAGTGAGTTGAACATTTACAAGGATTTTGTTTGTTTACTAGTTCATGCGTTACCAAATGAAATTTGATTTCCAATGACTTTGTTTATTACTTTCTTCTGTAGACAGTTGCAGAAATGGAAGGAATTACACAGGGAATAAGAGATGATTTAACAGCAGTTAAAAAAGTCAGCATAACATATCAGCATCACAAACCTAAGCAAAGACAATCTGCTTTAAAGAGAAATAAGTCAGACAAAACTCAAGAAGAAAAAAGTATGAACATTTTTTATTTAATATTTCTATTTTAATTGCAAAACTTTGTTTAATTTGTTACTTTAAAATATAAAAATGTTATGCCTTTAATGTTTTAAAAATAAACTTGAAATCTTATTATGTTGCATTAAAACTTTCAGAAAATAGACCATTGTATGCAGAAATAGCTGAATGGCGCAAAATTTTAGCTCGCTTGTCTTGTTTCTTGCGATGTGTTGACTACATTTTGCAAGAGCTGTTGAGGTTCTTGGTTTTCTCCGCTGCTGAAAAACTTCTTAATGTGATAAAAACTTCCTACCATTCTCAAGATGGAGAGGATTATGAAGACTATGATGATGGGGTAAGTTTATATGGCTTGAAATTAAGAAAATTCAAGTTTTTTAGAAAAAACTTTTGATAAATATTTGTGGGTTTTTGTGACTCCTGCTGAAGTATGGGCCACCAGCTACAGCTCCCCAGAGCTTCTGTCTGGGTCATTCTCTCTAGCTCAGTTACTTGTGTGACCTATCTTGATGGAGACTGCCTCAAGTTGTTGTCAATAGATGTTTTGGCACAGCCTCTTCCATTTTAAATGTACCATGATTATGTATTCTTAATTATGAATACAACAGAAAATTAACTAAAATTAATTTTATTTTTGTGTCAAGAATTTTGTTTGCATAGTTCAACATAAAATAATTTTATTGTATTAATTCTGGACTTGTAATTCAGGGAAGCAGTGATAGATCAGTTAGCCCTGCATCACCCTACAGGTATAATATAATTTCTGTCTTTTAAAAGTTGCAAGCATTTTTTTCCATTCTATTTATATGAATATTTAGAGAAATTTTTGAAAACAATAACTCTTGTGTAGTAAAGGTTCAAATAAGTCCTTATTACCTCCTCTAGAGAATCCAAGCCCACTCATTTCACAGTCAGCATGAGGGTCCAGTCACACTATAAGGAGAAAGTCAAGAAGAAAGAAGGTCCAGAGCCATATGTCATTCCCAGATATGACTTTAACAAAGTGGAAGAAGTCAAAAAACCACCTGACATTGATGAGGTATAGGGCACTACCTTTTTTTTCTCAATCAAAATGTTAAAGAACTATTTCAATTTTAAATACATTTTTATTTCTTATTAGGAGTTCCATTTAATAAAAGGTTATTGTACTTACATAGGCTTAAAATAGTTTTTGTTAGGTATATGTACATGCTTAAAGAAACATATAAATGCTTTGGAATAAATCTTTGGTTACATTATGTTTTTGCAATTAATGTGAACTATTTGATTATAAATAATTAGAGTAAAATAATTCTCTGTGTTTGTTGTTTATTACACAAATAATTTTTATAGAATAGGTATTAATATATGTTTATAATAGAAAATATGTTCCTTTATTTAATTATTAATTCTTGTTTTTAACTCAATTGAAATTTTTTTACAAAATCTCTTTCATCAATATATAGTTTTTACTTAAAAATCTTAATTTTTTTTCAGGTATTGGAGGAGATTCGCAGAAGAGATATTGTGGAAGAAGTAATCAGCCCATTATTTTTTATTAATCTGGTTTTAAATGTCCCAGTTGCAACAACACAGACTCATTCTCCCTCACACGGAGATAAGAAAAACAAACCCTCTAAAGTCAAATGGTCACTGGAAGGGGATCAGACAAATTCTGCTGAAATTTTATCAGGTTAATTTTTTATGGTATTTATGAAAGCCTATGTCATACAACAGAAATTAATTTTAATGCAATGCATGTTTTTTTTTAAATTAAATCTTTTATGCTTTAATTTTTGTTTTGTTTTTTCAATGATGAAACCAAATTACTAAATTAAATTCAGTATTTGTTATAATTAACCCATTGTTACTATTAACACCATCAGATTCAGACTCAGAAACAGAGAGTGAATATGAGACTGGGGATTCTGAAAGTGAGGATGAAGATTTATCAGATGATCAGACCAAAGATATCAGGGAGGACAAATATGCTTACCCTGCAAAAAACAAGGAGTAGGGCACATTTTATAAATATTTTTTTTACTGTACTCTTTGTTCAGACACAGTAGAGCTTACTCATTCAGAACATACTGTATGTAGTTTACTCATTCAGAACATACTGTATGTAGTTTACTCATTCAGAACATACTGTATGAAGTTTACTCATTCAGAACATACTGTATGTAGTTTATTCATTCAGAACATACTGTATGTAGTTTACTCATTCAGAACATACTGTATGTAGTTTATTCATTCAGAACATACTGTATGTAGTTTATTCATTCAGAACATACTGTATGTAGTCTACTCATTCAGAACATACTGTATGTAGTTTACTCATTCAGAACATACTGTATGTAGTTTACTCATTCAGAACATACTGTATGTAGTTTACTCATTCAGAACATACTGTATGTAGTTCACTCATTCAGAACATACTGTATGTAGTTTACTCATTCAGAACATACTGTATGTAGTTTACTCATTCAGAACATACTGTATGTAGTTTACTCATTCAGAACATACTGTATGTAGTTTACTCATTCAGAACATACTGTATGTAGTTTATTCATTCAGAACATATTGTATGTAGTTTATTCATTCAGAACATACTGTATGTAGTCTACTCATTCAGAACATACTGTATGTAGTTTACTCATTCAGAACATACTGTATGTAGTTTACTCATTCAGAACATATTGTATGTAGTTTACTCATTCAGAACATACTGTATGTAGTTTACTCATTCAGAACATACTGTATGTAGTTTACTCATTCAGAACATATTGTATGTAGTTTACTCATTCAGAACATACTGTATGTAGTTTACTCATTCAGAACATACTGTATGTAGTTTACTCATTTAGAGCTGACATTATTTAAACAAGAAAAAAATTAGTTTTGTGCAGACTTAGACACCACATGGTAAAGAAATGAGATAATATTTTAATAGAATAAAAGTGTGCTAATTTTAAAACAAGGTAACTAGGTCTTACATATAATTAATTTAATTATAAAAAGTATTTAGAGAAAAAAAAAATATCAATAAAAAAGCAAGGAGAAAAAGGGTGTCTTAAAAATCACTTATTTCTTGTTATAGGGAAGCAGCACGCAGCCGCAAGTCCACCGTTAGCCTGTCTCCCAGTGCTGCAGATTTTAGGTCCAGTCTCCAGTCAATTGTTTGCTACTTTGAGGATACTGTCAGTAAGTTCCCTCTGTTAACATGTTTTTCAACCTTTGGCATTCAATCAATCAGTCATGCCATTCGGGTCTTTTTTTTGGTCATAACTTTCCACCATTTGTCTTGGTCCTCTGCTTTTCTGAGTAGTTCTGAAATGGGCAGCACAGTCCAATCCATCCAGGGCATTTTATGTGATGTGTCTAGGGCTAAGTGTTGTGTTGTGGTGCCCATCCCTCTCCATGCCTGACCACAGCTGGATGCCTCCATCTAGGTGGTTTCCCTTAGTCCAGAAGTTTTTCTAGGAACTTTTGCGTCCTGGCCCGTGACCTTTACTGGAAGGTCATGTGCCCAGTGATGCCATGTAAGCATCACCCCCTCACATGAGTTGCTGTTAGCTGAGGCAGTTTACAGAGTTATGGCACTTGCAGCCACAAGTGTGAGCTTTAGGGGATAGATGAAGCCCAGAAGGAGGCTGTTCACATTATCTAAATATAATTGTGTTAGAGGGCATGTTGCAAAATGTAATTTTTTTTTAAATTATGTTTTGTTATTGAAACTGTCTATTAAAGCCTAACCTTATGAACGATCAGTTCAGGTAACTCCAATGCTGAGAGAACCCAAACTGGCAGTTTTTTACTCCCCACCAAAGCATGATCTCAAGCTCAAGTTTGATGAGGAGGAATCTGAAGATAAACAAGAGCAGCAGCATGCATGGCCCAACCTTGACCTTATATTGAGGGAAGACCCAGAGTATCAAAAACTACTTGCTGGGATGTTTAGCTACTTAGATCTTGAGATGGAACTCTTGCAGCAGTTTTCTGAAGTAAATCTTAACTAACATTGTGTTTGTATTGTACTTGTTTACAATAGACACATTTCTTGTAAAAATAAAAAAAAAGATTTATGGGAGATAATTTATTTATTACCTCCCTTGATTTTACTCACCTGCTTCTTTTAAATATGATAACTGATTACCTTTGTTTATTTTTAGAACTATGAGACCTACTGTCAGATGGTGGATCAGTCAAGGAAAATGCATGTGGAAGAAGCTATTGCCAAAAATCCTTGGACTGCTGATGAGTTTAATCAAGTATTAGGAACCCATACAGAAATGGTAGGGAACACATAAAAAATTGTTTTATTTTCTATTAGGAACATGTACAGTATTTTTATAGGAATTTATACATAAAAGGTAAAAAAATAAAAAGATTCAACAGAGACTCATAACAATGTAAATAAGAACAGTTAGTTTTGTAGTATGTACACATACATTAAGAAATCTTACTTGTATATTTTATGTTTTTTATGATAACAGATCCGTCGCATGGGTAAAATGGTTGTTTCACATCGTATAGCCATGGTCCAACTGCAGGGAGAGGCATTTAAAGAATCCTGTTTGCCATTTCCCCAAGCTGTGGTGAACGCTGTCAACAAATGCTTGCCAATCATTGCCAACAAACACAATGATGATCTCATCTCCATCATCAAGGTAAAAAATTATCCATGATTGCTGTCCAATTAGTTTAAAATTTTGCTACATATGATATAACTAACTATAAACCTGCTGGTTAATTTCATTATTGTGTTCTTATATTTAAATTAGGATGTAACCTTTGGAATTTTCTTTAAAAAAAAAAACTTTATGATCAAATTTTTATCTCTTATCACTTCATTAGATTTCTTAAAATGAAAGATAATCTTCAATAAGATAGCTGTGAAAATAACTTTTTGTATTTCTGTATTTTTATATTCATGAAGAGTAACTTCAGTTTTAAAAATCACATCATGTTAATTTTTTGTTATGTCTGCTCCCCTCCATAGGGTGCATCCAAGCGCTTAGACAAGACAATAGTTTCAGTGGAGGAGTTTGTGGATCACTTGTCATTTTTAGGGCGCATGTCCACAGAGTTGCCTGCTCTTGAGAAAGAATATGATGTAGTTAACAAAATGTTTACCATTGCTAAATCTTACCAAATCTACATCAAGCCCGAAGAAATGGCTCTGTACCAAACCCTTGCACCTAGCTTTCAACATTTAAAGGTAAAATAGAAGATCAATAATTTAACCAATATTCACAAATAATAATTAAGCTAATTCACAAATATCTATGATAAAAAAAACAAGTATTAAAATATTCAATAACTAGCTTTCTTCTCAGCCCAAATTCCCTACACCAAAGACATCATAATTAAACTTTGACTTGCTGCTTGTGATTTATTTGAAATAACACTGAGCTGACATTTTTCTCTCTAGACAACCATCTTGTTCTGTGAAGCTAAAAAAGATGACAACATCAGGAAATTCTCATCTCAACTGGAAACTTTGATCAACGACATCCGAGCTGCCCTGATGGACCTGAAGACTCGAGTCCACGACCCAGAGCTCCTGCACATTGACACACACCCCCTCTCAGCTCTGGAGACCACACGCTTCCTGCAGGAGGAAGTGAAAGTTTTGTCACTCAAGGCGCGCAGCTATGCCAGTTACCAGGAACGTTTTGGCTCATCCATGTCTAAACAGAGGAAAAATTATTATGGAGAGTATGTGTTAAAACTTTTTTTAATTGTTAAAAAACTGCCTGTAAGGTGATATTAGATAAAAATTGCCTTGAATCTGGTGAACTTTTGAAATTTAGAGCATGTTTTACATGTGAACTTTAAACAAATTAAAGGTTAAAAAACTGATGAAAACTTGCATCAGATAGTTTTTTATTGGTTCAATACAACTATTTCTCTTGAAAACATTTGTTCCTGCTAAATCATATTGAAATATTTGAAATCTGCCCATAATTGCCCAAAATTCAATACAATTTTGCACTGCGCTAGTAATATTATTAGTTATCGAAAAATAGACTATAATTATGCTAGCTTAAAATTATTAGATTCTTAATAAAATAAATTAAAAAGAATAAAAAATATCATGGATGTTTCCTAAAGAAAAATCCAAATAATATTCCTGTTTGTTTCCAGTTTGATATTTACGGAGAAGAAATCAGAAACCAGTGTTCAGCATATATTCATGTTTTTTTTCCAGTTTGCTATTAACAGAGAAGAAATCAGAAACCAGTTTTCAGCCTATATTCATGTTTTTTCCAGTTTGCTATTAACAGAGAAGAAATCAGAAACCAACGATATATTCATGTTTTTTCCAGTTTGCTATTAACAGAGAAGAAATTAGAAACCAGTGTTCAGCCTATATTCATGTTTTTTTCCAGTTTGCTATTAACAGAGAAAAAATCAGAAACCAGTTTTCAGCCTATATTCATGTTTTTTCCAGTTTGCTATTAACAGAGAAGAAATCAGAAACCAACGATATATTCATGTTTTTTCCAGTTTGCTATTAACAGAGAAGAAATTAGAAACCAGTGTTCAGCCTATATTCATGTTTTTTTCCAGTTTGCTATTAACAGAGAAAAAATCAGAAACCAGTTTTCAGCCTATATTCATGTTTTTTCCAGTTTGCTATTAACAGAGAAGAAATCAGAAACCAGTGTTCAGGATATATTCATGTTTTTTCCAGTTTGCTATTAACAGAGAAGAAATTAGAAACCAGTGTTCAGCCTATATTCATGTTTTTTCCAGTTTGCTATTAACAGAGAAGAAATCAGAAACCAGTGTTCAGGATATCCAAGCAGAACTGAGTGAGATAGAACGAGATCTCACGTTACGTGCTTTGCTCTGGGAGTCACTGGAAGAATGGGAAAAACTTGTTGAGGAGTGGAAGGGTACCCCATTTGACTCCATCAATGTGGAGGCCTTACAGAAGAGTGTCAACAAGTTTACACAAACTGTTTACATGTTAGAGAAAGGTCAGTTGTAACATCAGCACTGAGTTTTGCAAAATCTAGAGATGCAGTTCTAATTGAATCCGTTTTTCAAATTGATTTGTTTTAAATATTTAAAATAAAATGTTATGATCTTATTTATGCTGTAATGATTTAAAAGACTTGACGTTTTTGTTGAACACCAGGCCTCCCACACAACCAAGTTGTCCCCAGGCTGAAAGACAGAGTCCTGGACTTCAAACAAGGCATGCCAGTCATCACTGCTCTCCGTAACCCTGCACTGCGACCTCGACACTGGGAAGAGATACAGCGGGTGATCAACAAGACAATAAGCAGGGACAAGAACTTCACTCTGGGCAACTTGATTGACATGAATGCAAGTTGTCTTTTTTTTTATCCTTTCCAAACATACAACATTGCTTGTATTTTTACATTTATTTCTAGAATGTATTTGATGTTAATGTAGAACTAATGAGATTTTGATTTGTTTAACAGATCTTCAAGTATAAAGAAAAGATTCAGGAAATAGCAACCACAGCAAGTAATGAAGCAACACTTGAATTGATGTTGCAGAAGGTGGCCAGATTTTTATTTTTTTAAACTTTAAATTTTTATTTTTTTTCTTAAAACTTTTTCAAATATTTACTTTTTTATTGTTCTTAACTCACTTAAGTTATTACAAATGTATTTAAATTATATTAGCAACCACAATAGCAACCACGGCAAGTAATGAACCAACACTTGAATTGATGTTGCAGAAGGTGGCCAGATTTTTATTTTTTTAACTTTAAAGTTTTTTTTTTCTTAAAACGTTTTCAAATATTTACTTTCTTATTGTTCTTAACTCACTTAAGTTATTACAGATGTATTTAAATTATATTATTGTATTAGTAATTTATAATATAAAGTTGATAATTAATTTAGCATCTAGTACTTGAATGAAGATATGATTTTTAAATGCAGGTGATTGACCTGTGGATGAGCACAGATTTCCGTTTGGTGCCGCATGTTGGGAGAGACACCCTGGTCATTTATGGAGCAGACGACATCATGGCACAACTTGAAGAGAGTCAGGTCACAGTGGGCACCATCAGAGGCTCCAGATACATTGGTCCTATTAAGGTTTCAGTCTGCTTTATTTATAGTTATAGAACCATCAGAGGCTCCAGATACATTGGTCCTATTAAGGTTTCAGTCTGCTTTATTTATAGTTGTAGAACCATCAGAGGCTCCAGATACATTGGTCCTATTAAGGTTTTAGTCTGCTTTATTTATAGTTGTAGAACCATCAGAGGCTCCAGATACATTGGTCCTACTAAGGTTACAGTCTGCTTTATTTATAGTTGTAGAACCATTATATGCTCCAGATACATTGGTCCTATTAAGGTTTCAGTCTGCTTTATTTATAGTTGTAGAACCATCAGAGGCTCCAGATACATTGGTCCTATTAAGGTTTCAGTCTGCTTTATTTATAGTTGTAGAACCATCAGAGGCTCCAGATACATTGGTGCTATTAAGGTTTTAGTCTGCTTTATTTATAGTTGTAGAACCATCAGAGGCTCCAGATACATCGGTCCTATTAAGGTTTCAGTCTGCTTTATTTATAGTTGTAGAACCATCAGAGGCTCCAGATACATTGGTCCTATTAAGGTTTCAGTCTGCTTTATTTATAGTTGTAGAACCATCAGAGGCTCCAGATACATCGGTCCTATTAAGGTTTCAGTCTGCTTTATTTATAGTTGTAGAACCATCAGAGGCTCCAGATACATTGGTCCTATTAAGGTTTCAGTCTGCTTTATTTATAGTTGTAGAACCATCAGAGGCTCCAGATACATTGGTCCTATTAAGGTTTCAGTCTGCTTTATTTATAGTTGTAGAACCATCAGAGTCTACATTGGTCCTATTAAGGTTTTAGTCTGTTTTATTTATAGTTGTAGAACCATCAGAGGCTCCAGATACATTGGTCCTATTAAGGTTTCAGTCTGCTTTATTTATAGTCGTAGAACCATCAGAGGCTCCAGATACATTGGTCCTATTAAGGTTTCAGTCTGTTTTATTTATAGTTGTAGAACCATCAGAGGCTCCAGATACATTGGTCCTATTAAGGTTTCAGTCTGCTTTATTTATAGTTGTAGAACCATCAGAGGCTCCAGATACATTGGTCCTATTAAGGTTTCAGTCTGCTTTATTTATAGTTGTAGAATGGAAATTAGCAAAAATTTTGTAAAGTTTTGTTTTAGAAAATGTACCCAATAGACTTATGAAAAACTGATTCATGTTTTTGTTTAACTCTCTCTGTGTTCAGGCTCAGGTTGAAGAATGGGAACGTAAGCTGCAAGTTTTCTCCCGTACACTGGATGAGTGGTTAACTTGTCAGAGGAACTGGCTATATTTAGAACAAATTTTCAGCACTCAAGACATTCAACGGTGATAATTGCAATTGTTTTCTGATTTAAAAGCAACAGTTTATGCTCTGTTATAAATTAAAGATATTTTTAAAAGCCAAAGGTGTTTGTCCCAGAACCATGACAAAACATTACAAAATGTTCCTGTAGGCAACTCCCAGCAGAGTACAAGCTGTTTATGACAGTGGACAAAGCCTGGAAAGACATCATGAGAAGAACAGAAGACCGTCCCAATGCCCTCAAGTCAGCCATCACCCCTGGGACACTGGACACACTACAGATGTGTAACGCTAATTTAGATAAAGTCCAAAGATGTCTAGAGGTAAAACTCTTCTTGTGCTGTTCTTTGTTAATTTTTAAAAGTTTAGAATCACATAAAATTTGCAGCAAGCATTTTTTCCCCATAAATTCCAGTATTGACTTAGTTGAAACATCAAGAATATTTTTCAGTTCACTACAACTTTAGTCTGAGAAAAAAGGTTTCTCTTTGTTGCTAAGTGAATACTTTGTTTTTAATACATTCAAAAGTTTGTAAAACACTTAAGATGTTTTGAAAAATGTATTTCTTTCAGGATTACCTAGAAACTAAGCGGTTCGTTTTCCCAAGGTTTTACTTCCTTAGTAATGACGAACTCTTGGATATTCTGGCTCAGTCTAAGGATCCCAATGCTGTACAGGTAAGCAGAAACTTTGATTTAATAAATTAAACGTCTAAAATCAATCAATTGGGGACTAACAACTTTAAAAACTAAACAATGTTTGCTACCCTTTTCAAATATTTTAACAGCCTCATCAAGAAAAACTTAACAATATTTGCTACCTTTTTAAAATATTTCAACAGCCCCACCTCGGCAAATGTTTTGGCAACATAAAACAGTTGGACATTCAGTTTTTGCCTCGCCAGCCCCCAACTGTTAAATCCATCATCTCTTTTGAAAGGGAAACAATATCTATGCCCAGGTAAAACACTAATTTGTTGTTTTTATTTTTGTTTAGCAGAAACATTTTAGTTCCAATAATTTTTAGATGAACTGCCAACTACACAATAAGTTTACACAAATCTTTTGAACTACTAAATCTGTTACTGTTGTCACTTGTACAGGAATGTAAGAGCAAGAGGTGCAGTAGAACAGTGGCTGGGTATTGTTGAGGCTGGCATGTTTGAAACGGTCAAGAAGTAAATCACCTTTTTTTAGATCTTTTCAGTTAAAGGTCTTCCAATAAGGATTCTAACAACCTTTTCAATCGTTTTTATCATTTTATTGTAAAAAGTCTTAAATATTTCATGAATTTTCAGTTTAGTATAAAACTTTGTTTTCTTTAACTTCTATAAAGGCACTTGAAAATTGGATTGTCTGCATGGCAAACTTCCACTTTAAAGGACTGGGTTCTAAAACACCCTGGACAAGTAGTTCTTACAGTAGTAAGCTCATCAGATTTTCCAAGATATATTATTTTAGTTTTTTTTAATTGTTTGAAATAGCAAAAAAATTACAATCCAAGAATTGTTAGTTACATTTTTTATTAATGATTTTTCTAAAATTAACTCTACACAGATGCAGATCATATTCAACAAAGATGTCACAAAATCTTTGGACTCTGCTGATTCTAGAGTAGCTTTGGTATCAACTCAGGAAAACATGGTTGACCTGCTAAACCAGCTGGCAAGTTTTACATATGCCAGTTTGCATGGCTACCAGAGAATGAGCATAGAAGCTCTTCTAACAATAACAGTCCACAACAGAGATATCATTATAGATATGATACAGAAGAGAGTCAGAAAAAAAGAGGATTTTGAATGGAAAAGGTACTAATTAAAAATTAAAGAAAAAATTTAGAATCAAATTTTTTTGTTTTCAAATTGTGAAATAATTTCTTTTCTTAATGTATCCTAAATTTGTGTGTGTGCAGACAACTCCGTTACGAGTGGGATGAAACAAGCAACAACTGCCAAGTGTTACAGAGCAATGCTCACTTTCAATACGGCTATGAATACCTGGGGTGCTCCACTCGTCTGGTCATCACACCCCTGACTGACAGGTGTTACCTGACACTGACAGGGGCCCTGCACCTGCATCTGGGTGGATCCCCTGCAGGGCCGGCAGGCACAGGGAAGACAGAAACAGTCAAAGATTTAGCCAAGGTGATTGGGCTCTTTAAATAGAGATGATTTAATTATCAGGTATGCTTTAATAGTTTGTTAGATTCACATTTCTGTATGTTTTAATCTGTTTTATTTTTGACAGGCTCTAGGAAAACAGTGTGTTGTCTTCAATTGCTCTGAAGGGCTGGACTATAAGGTGAGTTATGTGTGAGATGTTACTTTGAAAAATTGATAAAAGATTACTGCGCTCTACTAGCTTAACAAGTTAAAACAAAATTAAGGAAATGAGATATTTATTTAATATTTATTTGAGAATAAAATGTTTTGTTTCTAAATTTAGATGTTACTAAATTTAGATGTTACTAAATATAGATGCTGGGCAAGTTTTTTTCTGGTCTGGCCCAGTCTGGTTCCTGGTGCTGTTTTGATGAGTTTAACCGCATTGACGTGGAGGTGTTGTCTGTGGTGGCCATGCAGATCCACACCATCAAGTCTGCTAAAGACGCTCATGTGCCCAGATTTATATTTGAAGGCAGGGACATCAAGCTCAACCCAACTTGTGGCTACTTCATCACCATGAACCCAACGTAAGGCTCCTTATGTTTTATGTCTGGTTGTTTTTGTGTTGTCATGTTTTCTGTCAAGTAATTTTTTTTGTTGTCATATTTTCTGTCAAGTAATTTTTTGTTTGTCATGTTTTCTGTCAGTTTTTTTTGTTTGGTCATGTTTTCTGTCTGGTTTAATTTTGTTTTCCGTCATGTTTTTGACAGTGTTCATCATTTAATGTCACATTTATTTTTTCAAATGTTTGCTGCCATGTTTTAATTAAATGTAGGCTTGATTTTTTTTGTGACATATTTTCTTACTCCATCAAAGTTTTTTGCTGAAGAATGCCCATAACAATTGCAAATGATTGAAACATGCAGGTATGCTGGGCGTGTGGAGCTCCCTGACAACCTGAAGTACCTGTTCAGACCAGTGGCCATGATGGTGCCAGACTACACCCTGATTGCTGAGATCATGCTGTTCTCTGAAGGCTTTACGGCAGCCAAGTCCCTGTCCCAGAAGATAGTCAACCTGTACCAGCTGGCCAGCAAGCAGCTCTCCCAGCAGGACCACTACGACTTTGGTATGAGAGCCATCAAGTCAGTGCTGGTCATGGCAGGCCATGGCAGGAGACACGTCCTGCAGCTGTGAGTAGTCAAATAGTGACAGCTGTTGTAGTGAGTAAAGTCTAATGGTAGAAATAGTGACTGGTGTTGTAGTGAGTAAAATGTGTTGGTAGAAATAGTGACAGCTGTTGTTGTAGTGAGTAAAGTCTGATGGTAGAAATAGTGACAGCTGTTGTTGTATTGAGTAAAGTCTGATGGTAGAAATAGTGACAGCTGTTGTTGTAGTTAGTAAAGTCTGCTGGTAGAAATAGTGACAGGTGTTGTAGTGAGTAAAGTCTGATGGTAGAAATAGTGACAGCTGTGGTTGTATTGAGTAAAGTCTGATGGTAGAAATAGTGACAGCTGTTGTTGTATTGAGTAAAGTCTGATGGTAGTAATCGTGTCAGGTCTTGCAGTTGTGAATAAAAGTTTTATGATATAAACAATTTTCAATTTTTCAATGTTGTTAAAAGTTTGATTACTAAAATTTAAACAGTGAAAACAGATCACAAGATTAAATATCCCATTTTTACAATTCTGCTTTTGAATACGTTTCTATTGCAAGGAAGTTTTATACTATCCTTTTTTTGTTCTGCACACTTTCAATCAATTTATACTTATTAAAATAAGTGGGTTTTTAATTGCTTAAATGATATCATGTAACTGATTATTGATGGTTCATTTTTCAGCAATATTTGCTTCTAATTAACCTAAACTTTATTCAATTTAAATCTTTGTTCAGAGACCTACAAAATAGCAAGAAGATCACAGAAGAAGATGAGTCATTTATTCTCATTCATTCCTTGCGAGATGCCAACATGCCCAAGTTTTTAGCTGAGGATGTTCCACTTTTTGAAAGCATTCTTGATGATTTGTTTCCTGGAGTTATTCCTCCTGCTAAAGATAATGGAACCCTTGAGGTAAACAATTTATCAAATTTCAAAATGGAAAAAACAATCAATGGTGTGTATTTGAAACATATTATTAACTTTTTAAACAAATTTTTTTGTAAACTGTTTGTTTATACAAATATGCTTAGTTGATTATTAAAATTCCATTATGATGGAAAAATAATATTTTATTTGTGAAAAATTTTTTGAGGTAGGCAGCCCTGAAATTACGAATTGTAGTTAGCAACTAGTTTTTCTTTATCATTAATTTTGTTTATTTTATGTTTATTTTATGCAATTCCTTGCTTAATTTGGTGTGTTGTACAAATTGTAGAAAGCTATCAGCATGTCCATCAGAGACCTGTCCCTCCAACCCTGGCCCAACCAGACGGAGAAGGTCAAGCAGCTGTACAACCAGATTATGGTCCGTCATGGCGTCATGCTGGTTGGTCCAACAGGGGGAGGTAAAACGTCTGTGAGGAACATCCTGCAGAAGGCTCTGGTGCTGCTGCCCATGCTGCAAGCACAGGCCAGCGACCAAACACACAGAGATGTCAACACGAAGAGGCAAAGTGTTTTCTATGTAAGTCTTCCCACTTTACATTGGGATTTTTTGCATGCATACTTGTTTCAAATATATAAAATAAATTAGCAATTATTGTATTAGGTTATTGGTTAATTTACTAATAAAAACAACAGTAAATCAAATTTAATAGATCATGTAGGTAGCAGTAGGAATATATTTGGGTTTTTTTTAAAAATGGATATTTGAATTGATAATAATAAACAAATGTGTATTAAAAAAATTGACTGATTGTTTGCAACTTTCAGGCTAACAAAGGTAAGAAAGGACACGTGGAAACATTCACAGTGAACCCAAAGTGTGTCACACTTGGTGAGTTGTATGGAGAAACTGACCCCAACACATTTGAGTGGTCAGATGGGCTTATAGCAAACGCCACACGCCAGTTTTCAAAAGAACTGTCCATCCCTATAGAGAATATAGATGAGGAGATGATGAGGGCCAATGAAAACCCTCCAGCTGGTCCTTTGTCTGAGAAGGCAGTCACCACCTTGCTCTCTACTCAGGTAATTCCAACAAGAAGTGTTTTTTGTGTTGGTTTGTTGTGAGATATTTTTGTGTGGGATTTGGTGTGAAGTGGGTTTTTTGTGTGGGATTTGGTGTGAAGTGGGTTTTTTGTGTGAGTTGTTTTGTGTGTAGTGTTGGATGAAGTGTTTGTATGAAGTGTATTATGGGAAAAGTGTTTAGTTTGAAGCATTATGCACTGCAACAATAGGTGTTATTTAAATTCATTTTTTGTATTTCTCATTTTAAGAGCATTATTGAAAAATACTTCTAAAAAACTTATGCATTATTTTTTATAAGTATTAACATTTCACTATATACATTCCAATGGTTTACAAGTGTCTTAATTCTTGTTTGGAAAAATAATAGCACGGCCCGGCAAAATCAAGTGGAAAACAAAAGAAAGAGAGAGAATCTGCAACTCCAGAGGATGGAGAGAAGGAGGTTGAGAAAGATGACGAGGAGGGTAAGGAAGGAAACAGCAGCATCACCAACTGGAGGTGGCTGATCCTTGATGGCCCAGTGGACACGCTGTGGGTGGAGAACCTGAACACAGTGCTGGACGATTCCAAGGTAACATACACATACATTTTTACATAATCATTTACATACACATTGACACATTACATACATATTTACATACACATTGACACATTTATATACACATTGATAAGTTTACAGACACATTTACACACATCTTCACAACATTAAAACACAGTATTGGACAATTTCAAGGTAACACTACACATTTACATGCACATTGACATGTTTATATACACATTTACATGCCCATTTACACACATTTACACACATCTTCACAACATTAGAACAGTGCTGTATAATTCCAAGGTAACACTACTCATTAATACCCGTCTTCACAACATTAATTTGAAAAAGTAATTTTTTTTTTAAAATGTAATTTCATTGACCTTAAGGACCATTGAATGTTCTGTTTGAACTTTATAACTAAATTAAAATTCGACCACACTTGTTAATTAAAGTTTGACCACTTTAAAAGGTCCTGTGTTTGGCTAGCGGAGAAAGAATTTCCTTAACTCCAGGCATGAGACTGCTCTTTGAGGTGGACAATCTTTCTAAAGCCAGCCCCGCCACAGTCAGCCGCTGTGCTATGGTTTATATGGTAAACTCTACTGTTTCTTCTCTGTTGTTTATATGGTAAACTCTACTGTTTCTTCTCTGTTGTTTATATGGCAAACTCTGCAGTTTCTTCTCTGTTGTTTATTTGGTAAACTCTACTGTTTCTTCTCTGATGTTTATATGGTAAACTCTGCAGTTTCTTCTCTGTTGTTTATATGGTAAACTCTACTGTTTCTTCTCTGTTGTTTGTATGGTAAACTCTACTGTTTCTTCTCTGTTGTTTATATGGTAAACTCTATAAACTCTACTGTTTCTTCTCTGTTGTTTATATGGTAAACTCTACTGTTTCTTCTGTTGTTTATATGGTAAACTCTACTGTTTCTTCTCTGTTGTTTATATGGTAAACTCTACTGTTTCTTCTCTGTTGTTTATATGGTAAACTCTATAAACTCTACTGTTTCTTCTCTGTTGTTTATATGGTAAACTCTACTGTTTCTTCTCTGTTGTTTATATGGTAAACTCTACTGTTTCTTCTCTGTTGTTTATATGGTAAACTCTATAAACTCTACTGTTTCTTCTCTGTTGTTTATATGGTAAATTCTACTGTATCTTCTCTGTTGTTTATATGGTAAACTCTACTGTTTCTTCTCTGTTGTTTATATGGTAAACTCTATAAACTCTACTGTTTCTTCTCTGTTGTTTATATGGTAAATTCTACTGTTTCTTCTCTGTTGTTTATATGGTAAACTCTACTGTTTCTTCTCTGTTGTTTATATGGTAAACTACTGTTTCTTCTCTGATTTAAGGCTATGGTTTATATAGTTATATTTTCTAATTAGATTTCATTTGGTCTAAATTTAAAGCTATACTTATTTACATTAAAATATGTGTAAAAGAAAATGTGTATAAAAACATTGGATACATGTGGTTGCTGCAATTGATTTGATACAAAAATTTTAACTGCAGGACCCAGTAGATCTAGGATGGAGACCTTCTGTTAAAACATGGCTGAATCATTTACCTAGAGATTTTCCTGAATCTGGAAAAAATTTCCTGCTCGCACTTTTTGATTCAAGCATTGACAAGGGTCTTAACTTTCTTCACAAATATAAAGAACACCAAGCAGTTGAGGCCCCTGACCTCAGCATTATTGGAACACTGTGTCATATTTTGTCAGCATACTTTGATTTCTTTGCTTCTCATGGGGGTTTTGGAGCTCAAGGTACTTTATAATTATATAAGAAATATCTCTAACAAGATATTTAATTTTTTTCTCCGGTAACTATTTAAAAACTGTTTGTTAATATTTTTTACATTAATGTTAAAGAGTGGGTGGATTCTTTTTTTTAAATTATTAATGGATGTATTTAGATGAGAAAGAAAAAGATGGCTCCCTGCAAGTCCAGAATGCTGATGATGATTTATCTAGTCCCATGTCATCTCGGGCTGGGGCTGGGAGTGGAGGGTCCAAACTCAAGCGGCGTCAAACAAAAAGACAAGTGAAGATGAAAGAGGAATTTGATATAGCAGACACTCTTCAAATCAAAAGTGCCAAAGGGTAGGCAGACTTGGTTTAACCTATTAATTTCATCAACACAATTTTATGTTAATAATTTGTTAAAACACATTTATGATTCACAAATTAGCCACAGAGCATTCATTATAAATAGAACCATCTAATATCTGATTTGTGTTTTATAAGCTGAGACACTTAAGCTATCAAATTATTTCTTTTCTTTGGTCTTTCTCTGGGAACATTTGTTTCATATATATGTGTACAAAAATAGCATGGGGCTGCTTTTTCCAGACCTCACTCTGAAAATGCCCCTTGCTCTTCATCCCAAGGTCATCTGTATGAGTTTGCAAAATCCTGAAATGCTGTTTGTTGGCATCTGGCCTTATATAGTTTTAATTAATGCCACCTCTTTGTATTTGTAAATCATACTTGAGTGAAATCAATACAACTAAAGCTTTAAAAAAATTTAGTAAGTCCAGTAAATAATTTTCCTAAATTTTCCTCAAATACTAACATTATAGATCAGAAAGAAAGATAGTTTACTTGCTAATTTTGCTCAAATACTAACATTATAGATCAGAAAGAAAGATAGTTTACTTGCTAATTTTGCTCAAATACTAACACCCCAGACCAGAAAGAAAAATGTTTTACTTGGAGAGGAACCCAAACCAGCTGAACAACCTGCTGGGAAAACTCTTTGTGTTCGCCTACACCTGGAGCATTGGGGGTGTGCTCAAGAGGAGAGAATTCATGGATGAAGATGACAGCAGCATCAAGAGAGCGGGGGCTATGGTGGAGAGGGTTGATATCAATAATGAGTTTGATAACTTCGCAAGAGAACTTTTTGATGTGGAGCCCCCACTAGGTAGAACCTTTATTGTTAAATGTCTAATGTTATAATGGCCAGATTTAAAAAAAATATTTTTGTAAAAAATATTACTTCCACTATAAATAAATAATTTGGCAGTTTCTATAAAGTAATTATATAAGTATACACATGCCCATATATGTATATGTTTGTATATATTTAACCAATCAAAACATTTCTTTTATTCCCTGCAGGAGTGAGGCTCCCTGCTGGTAACCGCAGCATCTATGGCTACTTTGTTGACACAGAGAGCGGATCTTTTGTACCCTGGGATCTTCTCATTCCAAATACTAAATCTTTGATTGAAAAGGGTGCAGTCATAACCATAGGTGACATTTTTCTTCATAGCTTAATTGTAAAGCTAATGTTCTATACAGGTATTTAAAAATCTTTATAGACAAATTTTGTTTTTTCTCATTGGTTTATATTTTAAAATTGCTTATACATCTTTAGGTGAGACGCTGGGTGTTGTATCTGACAAGAAGAAAAATGAACTAAAAGAAGCCGAAATAATTCCTACAGTGGATATTGTGAGGTTTACTTTCCTAACCAGTTTGTTGTTGCTCAACAAACATCCTGTTCTTCTGACTGGTAAGTTTTTAATGTCATTGCTGATTGTTGTTAGATAAAGCTGGTATGAACTTAGTAACATTTTAAGATGTGAGAATGCTCAAGTGATTTGAGCTGTCCTATTCTATAGGTGATTCTGGAGTTGGAAAAACTGCCATAATAAACCACATGCTGAAAGAGTTAGAAAAAGAGGGAGGAACATCGATGGAAAAATCCAGCTCTATTTTGGGATCTGTCTTACAGTACTCAGAGAAACAATCCAGTTTACTTGAAAATATCAGCAGTCTGACAAGCTTCCAGCCTGAGGCAGAGGACAAAACTATTGACATTTTTCTTGGGCGTGAGTATCCTCCCCTTGTGTCATTTTCTTGACGGAGGCAAGCTCGTAGGAAGCACTAAATATTACAGTTCATTGACAAAATATTTAAACCTTTCAGCCAATGGCAAGCAAGTAGGAATCATAAGTACCATAATACAGTTACAGTGTCAAAATATTTAAATATTTCATGATAATTTCTTTAATTTCCAGCCAAAGGCAAGCAAGTAGGAATCATTAGTACCATGATACAGTTCAGTGCTCAGACCAACTCTAAAAGACTACAAGCTCAAATCATGCTCAAGCTTATCAAGAAAAGCAGGACTTCAATGGGTGCACCAAAAGGCAGAAAGGTTGGTTTCAAATGTCAATCCACATTGTGGTGTTTATGTTATTGAACCACATGTGGTTTTAGTGACATAGCTATACATACAGAATAATTAATACAAGTTGGTGTGGAAATTTGTGTAGTTTTGTGTTTAAACATTTTTATAAAGTCTAACAAAAAACTTTGTGCAGGTAATAGTTTTTGTGGATGACCTAAACATGCCAGCACCTGAGGAATATGGGGCACAACCTCCACTGGAACTGTTGAGACAGTTCTTAGAAATGGGAGGATTTTACGACACCAAAAAGATGGTTTGGAAGGTAAGGGGCTCAGTGTAAATGAACTAAGTGGTGAGGACTGGGTGGTATAGAGATCTAGTGTAACCAGTTTTCTGATAGAAAAATCATGTTTTGTTTTAAGTCCCCTGGAATTTGCCTAAGTCTACAGACCTGCTTTGTGTCTAGCACATATCAGGAAAATGAAAGGGGCCCTAGAAACTAGTGAGACGGTATTTGATTGAAAGTGTTAAACTTTTCTTTGTCCATTGAGCTGTGTCATTATAACTAGGCATGTACTAATGTACATGTCTAGATGTCATTATACAGATCAATATTTTCTCTGATAACCTTTATTTTAAATACAGCTCAGCTATATTAAAAAATATATAGTACATAAGCTTGATTTGTTTTACAGGATATTTTAGATGTGACTTAAATTTTAATTTGCTTTACAGGATATATTAGATGTGATCTTAGTGGCCGCCTGTGGCCCACCGGGCGGTGGAAGGAACCCAACCACTCCCAGACTTCTTAAACACTTCAGGTCAGAGGTTAAATATTATTTTTTTATATTTTCAGGTGATCACATTTCGTACACAAATAATTGTTCTCTCAGACTGTTTTAAAACTGTTATCAGATTATAAATATTTTAGAATGTGTATGTTAGAAACTTTAAAAATGAAATTTTTTTCCCCTTCTAGTTTATTTGCCCTGCCACAGCCATCCACCAAATCACTGCAGCACATTTATCAAGTACAACTTGGGCGCTTTCTACAAGAAGGAGAGTTCATGCCAGAAGTAGTTGATTGCTTATTTCCCCTGGTGTCAACTAGTATTGCTCTATACTACAACATGTGTGCAGTAATGCTCCCCACTCCAACCAAATCTCACTACACATTTAACATAAGAGATCTCTCAAAGGTCAGTTGCTCCATGGGAATACAAAACTTTCTTAAAGGTTTACTAAACATAAAACCAATTTACTTTTGATTTGTCAAAAAATATATTAATTATGTCTTCTAAATTGCTTGTATAAGAATTATGAATATATTTTGTTTATTATAGTTTTAGATTAGTTTTCAGGATGATAAAGTAGAAAAATTTGAGATTCTTCTATTATTTTATTGAATACAAATAATGAGAAAAATTCAACTTTTGTTTACTGTATTTAATTTGATAGGCAAACTAATTTCAGGTGATCATCGTAAGGTGAGAAATATCAAGTGTAAAATAATTTGTATATGAACTTTAATGAAGCTTTTCTACTTATCACTTAGAAATGATTACTTTCATTTTGTTTATGGAATATACTATCTTTTTTAAAAAAAGTTTTATAATTTACTCTTCTAATTTCCATTTTAATAATTGTTTTTGACATTTTTGCAAACAATGCATTGTAAAGATTTTTTTTTGCTACTCTGTTTTGAAAATTTTTATATTGTTCCATGCAGAAATTATGTGTAAATTTTTAAAATTTCTATGTTGTTCAGCACATTTGATTATTGTTCGTCTGGTGCATGTTTTGTTCTTAATACAAAATGTTTTGTTATTAACATAATCAATTTTTTATATGTTCTGTTTGCATCTAAATTTGATTGGCAGGGTGGGTAGAGACAGCTGCTGTTGGTACTAGTGATAATGTGATCTGTATAGAGTTTAATGAGTTCATGCAAAAATATTGTTTAAAATTTGAGGGGGGGGGGGGGGGGGGGGGAAAGAGGAGGAAAGAGAAGATATTATTTCAAGGGGAGATAACAAACGACTTATTTTGCAATGTTTTGAATTGAAAAAAAATCAGTAAAATAAATAAATATTTTAAAAATAAAAAAAACAATTATAAACTTAGTTTTTTTTTTTACTTTACTAACACCAGGTAATACAGGGTATGCTACAAGCACATTCCTCTGTTATTATGGGGAAGGAGAATTGTGCTCAACTGTTAGCTCATGAAGCTACACGTGTCTTCCATGATCGCCTCATCAACCATGAGGACAGAGAAGTTTTTTTCCAAATACTTGCAGACAACTTGCATGACTATTTTAAAGTAAGTTTGAGAGTTCTTCATAATAAGCATCTGTATAATGATGCATTTTCTTTTATTGAATAATGATCGATAAATAAAAAACTTTAATTAGAATAGAAATGTTGAGTTTGAACTTTTTATTTGAAGGTGAGATGGACGCCACAGAAACTAATGGAAGAGTCTGTTTTATTTGGTGACTTTTTTGAGATGAGTGAGCATGGCTCTGTCCACAAGGTGTATAGACCTCTGGCAGACAAGAACAAGATTGTCCGTGTGTTGGAGGAGTATCACATGAGGCTCAGCATGGGAGATGTTGTAAGTTTTTGTTTACTTCTTGTATGAGGCTCAGCATGTGAGATGTTGTAAGTTTTTGTTTGTGTGTTGTATGAGGCTCAGTATGTGAGATGTTGTAAGTTTTTGTTTATTTATTGTATGAGGCTCAGCATGGGAGATGTTGTAAGTTTTTGTTTATTTATTGTATGAGGCTCAGCATGGGAGATGTTGTAAGTTTTTGTTTATTTATTGTATGAGGCTCAGCATGGGAGATGTTGTAAGTTTTTGTTTGTGTGTTGTATGAGGCTCAGCATGGGAGATGTTGTAAGTTGTGGTTTACTGGCCATATGAGGCTCAGCATGGGAGATGTTGTAAGTTTTTGTTTATTTGTTGTATGAGGCTCAGTATGGGAGATGTTGTAAGTTTTTGTTTACTTCTTGTATGAGGCTCAGCATGGGAGATGTTGTAAGTTGTTTTTTTACTGGTCATATGAGGCTCGGTATGGGAGATGTTGTAAGTTTTTCTTTGTTGTATGAGGCTCAGTATGGGAGATGTTGTAAGTTTTTGTTTGTGTGTTGTATGAGGCTCAGTATGGGAGATGTTGTAAGTTTTTCTTTGTTGTATGAGGCTCAGCATGGGAGATGTTGTAAGTTTTTGTTTATTTGTTTGGTGTATGAGGCTCAGCATGGGAGATGTTGTAAGTTTTTGTTTATTTGTTTGTTGTATGAGGCTCAGCATGGGAGATGTTGTAAGTTTTTGTTTATTTGTTGTATGAGGCTCAGTATGGGAGTTGTTGTAAGTTTTTGTTTATTTGTTGTATGAGGCTCAGTATGGGAGATGTTGTAAGTTTTTGTTTACTTCTTGTATGAGGCTCAGCATGGGAGATGTTGTAAGTTGTTTTTTTACTGGTCATATGAGGCTCGGTATGGGAGATGTTGTAAGTTTTTGTTTATTTGTTGTATGCGGTTCAGTATGGGAGATGTTGTAAGTTTACTGGTTACATATTAACTTTCATAATTGTGCAGATGGACCAGCTTGTGTTCTTCAAGGATGCTGTTGAGCATGTGGTGAGGGCAGCCAGAGTCTTCAGACAACCTGGTGGACATCTTCTGCTGGTGAGTCTTGTCATTCATCTGTATCTGCTGGTCATTGGCTGTAACATCTTGACATGTGTATCTGCTATGTTGTGTCTTTAATATTTTAGCATTCAATTAAAAAAAATGTATATATATATATATATATATATATATATATATATATATATATATATATATATATATATATATATATATATATATATATATATATATATATATATATATATATATATGAGTGTGTGTATGTGTATGTGTGTGTAGTAACTATTAATAAGTTTGATGAACAGATATAGTTTATCTTACCCCCATGCTCCTTAAAATTTCACTTCAGTTTATTGTTGGTGAGTTTATTTAGTGGTGAGTTGAGTTCTCTACCCATGTCTCTGTATTTGGATAGCTTGATATTTTTACAAGACGTTTATGCTGTTTAGAAATTCTACAATTCTTCAGTGTTTCTCTTTTAACCTTTTACCACATTGTTGTGTTCTGATTAAAGCTTTGTGTCATAACATCCATTGTACTTGTAATTGTCCTGTGGTTCCTACCATTCTGTCTATATCAATGCTAGTTGATCCACAAAACCACAGCTGATATTTACACTACTGCTATGTCTTGTGTTTCTTACCATTCTGTCTACATCAATGCTAGTTGATCCATCTAACCTCATCTGATATTTCCACCACTGCTATGTCTTGTGTTTCTTACCATTATGTCTATATCAATGCTAGTTGATCCATCTAACCTCTTCTAATATTTCCACCACTGCCATGTTGTAGGTGGGTCTGGATGGGACGGGCAAGTCCACCATTGTCCACCTGGCCAGCTACATCAGCCACTGTGAACTCTTCAGACTCAAGCTCCACAACCAGTACGGCATGACGGAGTTCAGGGATGATTTAAAAACATTGTTCATGAAGGCAGGGGTCAAAGGTGTTCCATCTGTTTTCTTGTTGACTGACGCTGACATTGTGAAGGTAATTTATAAAACTGACGTCATTATTTTTATGTAGGGTCAAGTGTTGTTGTCTAGATGTTTTAATCACTATAATTTTATCATGCACATGGATTTGTCAAAATGTTCAATAATGTAAACAAATCTTATTTTTAAAATTTCTAATGCTTTTTTTAGGAATCTTTCCTTGAGGACATCAACTGTATTCTAAATTCCGGAGAAGTTCCAGATCTGTTTGACAACGAGGAGCTGGATGGAATCACGATGGAGTTGAAGGCCGCAGCCACTGAGGCGGGGGTCCCAGACACCAGGCCATCAGTCTATGCTTTTTTTGTACAGCAGATCAGGCAGAAGCTGCATGTGGTCCTCACCATGAGTCCAGCTGGTGAGTTGAGCTTAATTGAGCTTAAGTTATTTGAGTATCACTGCTGGTAAGTTGAGCTTAATTGAGCTTAAGTTATTTGAGTTTATCATTGTGAGAGTCCTGCTTGTGAGGTGAGCTTAATTGAGCTTAATGTATTTGAGTTTATCACCTTGAGAGTCTTGCTGGTGATTTGAGCTTAATTGAGCTTAAGTTATTTTGGTTTATCACTGTGAGAGTACTGCTAGTGGGCTGAGTTTCCTTAGCCTTCTCTAGGTGGTAAGTTATCTGTAGCCTATTTTTAAAATTAATTTTTATCAGAAAAATCTTTGTTATATCTAGCTGTATATTTTAATAGAGAAAATACAGCTCTTTAATCAGAAATTAAAATATTGTTGTTATTGTAAATTGTAAGTTCAGAAAATTGCCAGATCTATTATAACATAACACAATGATTGGTTGGTCCAAAAACTAATTCAATTATGTAATTGTGTTTAGCTAATAGTTTCCACCCCATACATACTTTTGTTTCCCAGCCTGTGGGTGTTATGACTTATTTGTGCCCCTTGTATTCTAGTTTCTCATCCTGTGGGTGTTATGACTTATTTGAGCCCCTTGTATTCCAGTTTCCCAGCCTGTGGTTGTTATGACTTATTTGAGCCCCTTGTATTCCAGGGGAAAAGTTTCGCCAGCGCTGCAGGATGAACCCTGCTCTGATCAACTGCTGCACCATAGACTGGTTTGATGACTGGTCCGATGAGGCCATGCTCAGTGTTGCCAGGGTTTTCTTTGCCAACACTGAGTTCATTGCCAATGAGATCCACTACAACATTGAGGTAAAAGTTAGCTTTTATGCCTGTCACATGTCTGTTTCCCTCCATTCTGATTGGTCTAAAATGTTTATTTTAAAAATACAAGTTATTGTTTAATATAAAAGGACAAGAAATGAATTTAAAATTATCTTAAAGCTTTTTAAAAATGAAAGTAACAACAATTTATTTTTAGCTTTAATTAAACTTATGTTGAATGAACAGGAGCTAAAAGAGAGAGCTTCACACATATGTGTTGGAATTCATAAGAGTGTGGCAGAGACTAGCATCAAATTTTGGGAGGAGACTCGCCGCAGATACTACTCAACCCCAAGTTCGTACATGGAACTTATACGTCTGTACTCACGTATGTTGAAGGATAACAAGCAGGAGTTTATGAATAACAGGTAGGATTCATCATGAGTTACATAATTTGATTATATGAGTTAGTTCAGAGAGTTTATTAAAAAGTCTGATAATTTTCTTTTAGTTTGAAGAGTGTACAATGTAGTCCAAAATATTTTACTGTCAATAGAGATCTAGAATATAGTACATAATATTTATTGTCCATTGAGAACTAGAATATAGTACATAACATTACTGTCTATAGAGACCTAAATAATATTACTGTCTGTAGAGACCTAGAATATAGTACATAATATTTATTGTCCATTGAGAACTAGAATATAGTACATAATATTTATTGTCCATTGAGAACTAGAATATAGTACATAATATTTATTGTCCATTGAGAACTAGAATATAGTACATAATATTTATTGTCCATTGAGAACTAGAATATAGTACATAATATTTATTGTCCATTGAGAACTAGAATATAGTACATAATATTTATTGTCCATTGAGAACTAGAATATAGTACATAATATTACTGTCTATACAGACTTAAATAATATTACTGTCTATAGAGACCTAGAATATAGTACATGTAATTACTGTCCATAGAGACCTAGAATATAGTACATAATATTACTGTCCATAGAGACCGCCTCCAAACTGGTCTAACAACATTAACCAATGCCTACTCCATGGTTGGAGCCATGCAAGAGGAGCTGGTGTCTCTAGGGCCAATCATACTTGCTAAAGCCAAGGTAAATACAAAACCTGCATTCTAAACAACATTTCAAAATAGCCAGATATGTTCGACCATTTAAAAAATATAATTTTTCCATTCAGGACACAGAAAATCTGCTGCAGCAGTTGGAAGAGGACAGGCTGGCAGCTAAAGAGGTGCAGGACATTGTCTCACAGGAAGAGAGCATCATGGCTAAGGAGATGCAGATAGTTCAAGATTACGCTGATGTATGTTGTTTTACTCATACACTTCACTGTGGTGTCAATATTCTAACAATCATCTTGGATAGATGAGAAATTCAATTACCATATCCATTAAAAATCTTTATAATGCGTTCATACTACTTACTTCAGTCCTAAAATGTTTTTATTTTGAACTTACCTTTTAAATTTATCAAATTGCATTATTATGATATCTTTTTAATTTTCTATTTTAAAAATTCAATTTTTATTGGCCTGAAGTAATTTTCAGGAAAATACTACAAGATAAAACTAAGTCCTAATCTGATTTTGTTGTTTCTTACAGGAATGTGAATCTAATTTTGTTATTTTATCCAGGAATGTGAATCTAATTTTGTTATTTTATCCAGGAATGTGAATCTAATTTTGTTATTTCCCACAGGAATTTGAATCTAATTTTGTTATTTTATCCAGGAATGTGAATCTAATTTTGTTATTTTATCCAGGAATGTGAATCTAATTTTGTTATTTCCCACAGGAATGTGAATCTAATTTTGTTATTTTATCCAGGAATGAGAATCTGATTTTGTTATTTCCTACAGAAATGTGAATCTGATTTTGTTATTTCCTACAGGAATGTGAATCTGATCTGGCTGCAGTCCTACCTGTCCTAAAAGATGCTGTGGATTCCTTGGAAACTTTGGACAAGGCATCAATCTCTGAGATTAGGTATGTTACCTGCCTGATTATTGAATAACACCACATTAGATGTTGTATTTTAGGGTGTACACAAAGCCTTCCATGTTACATATTTACAACTCTATCCTTTCAAGGTGTACACAAAGCCCCCCCCATGTTACATATTTACAACTCTATCCTTTCAGGGTGTACACAAAGCCTCTCATGTTACATATTTACAACTCTATCCTTTCAGGGTGTACACAAAGCCTCCCATGTACATATTTACAACTCTATCCTTTCAGGGTGTACGCAAAGCCTCCCATGTTACATATTTACAACTCTATCCTTTCAGGGTGTACACAAAGCCTCTCATGTTACATATTTACAACTCTATCCTTTCAGGGTGTACACAAAGCCTCCCATGGTACATATTTACAACTCTATCCTTTCACAAAGCCTCCCATGTTACATATTTACAACTCTATCCTTTCAGGGTGTACGCAAAGCCTCCCATGTTACATATTTACAACTCTATCCTTTCAGGGTGTACACAAAGCCTCTCATGTTACATATTTACAACTCTATCCTTTCAGGGTGTACACAAAGCCTCCCATGGTACATATTTACAACTCTATCCTTTAACAAAGCCTCCCATGTTACATATTTACAACTGTATCCTTTCAGGGTGTACACAAAGCCTCCCATGTTACATATTTACAACTGTATCCTTTCAGGGTGTACACAAAGCCTCCCCAGCTTGTGTCCACAGTGATAGCCGCTGTGTGTGTCTTGTTCCAGAAGAAAACAGACTGGGCCACAGGAAAACTTTTTCTTGGAGACCCACAGTTCCTCAAGATGCTCCTTAGCTATGACAGAAACAATCAGCCTGAAAAGGTAACACCCCCCCCCCCCCCCAGCTTGACAGAAACATCTAGCCTGTAAAGGCAACCTGATAGAAACACCCTTCCCTCCTATGTGTGATACATAATTTATGCTCACATTTTCCCTCACAAATATGGAATAGAATACTAAACAAATGATTAGCCTGTCATAAAAATATTAGACAGAGCAAAATGTTAATTCTCAAAACATTCTTTTCTCCCTTTATTTCATTAATAGCACTACCTATCCTGATTATTGTTACGTAAACATATATAGGGCCTATTTATAAAAAACATCTGTCAGATATTTACTTGTGTGTATTCAAAGTTTGTAGAGAAAGCGGTCATGCAAACTAGGCAGTAGGGTATACCATTGGCTTAATTTAGCTTACTGGTGAGCATTGCAGAAAACAAAATGCATAGCCAGCTAAATTTTGCTGTTTTCATTTTAATTTCCCATTGAATACATACAACCCTATTTTTAGGTTTTTATCAAGTTAAAAAAGTTTACCAAAGATCCAAACTTCAACCCTGAAGCAGTGGGAAAAGTTTCTTTAGCTTGTAAATGTATCTGTAGATGGGTACTGGCTATTGACAACTACAACACTGTCTACAAGGTAATTGAGTGATGATTTCACATGCTTGTATGTTTTTTTGCTATCTTTCAAAATCCAGTTGTAAACACTAAGACATTATTTAATCCAACTAGTTATAACATGCATTAGTAGGGTGTGTGTGAGGTAAGCATGATCATAAATAAATTATTTGACCCTTCAAAACATAATTTGGTCATGCATGAGAGTCAATCAGGCAGGTCAAGTAGAGCTCGTCTATTTTTTGGCTATGTACTCAAGTCTAATGTCTAGTAAACTTCTAGAATCAGATGAAGCATGACAATATTAAGACAAACCTCAGCCTTTAAACTTCTGCCCTTAGCGCCTGTCGTAGTATTTAAGCTCCACCACATTATCCCATTGAATCAAGAATTTGTAAAAGTTGTTTGGCTACCTTTCAGATGGTAAAACCTAAACAAAGACGTGTACAAGATGCAAGAGAAGCTTTAAAACTTGCCCAGGAAAGTTTGACTAAAAAACAATCCAGCTTAAAACAGGTAGCCGCTATATGGTTTTGTTAAGATGAACTTATTTAATTTTGAGTTTGAGTGATGTTTAAGTTAAAGTTGTTTTTAAAATTCATAGAGCCAAGAATTGGCTGAGCTAAAATTGAAATATTTTTCTAATGTGTTTATTGTTGGTCAGATTCTAATGTGTCTATTGTTGGTCAGATTCTAATGTGTCTATAGTTGGTCATATTCTAATGTGTCTATTGTTGGTCAGATTCTAATGTGTCTTTTGTTGGTCAGATTCTAATGTGTCTATTGTTGGTCAGATTCTAATGTTTCTATTGTTGGTCAGATTCTAATGTTTCTATTGTTGGTCAGATTCTAATGTTTCTATTGTTGGTCAGATTCTAATGTTTCTATTATTGGTCAGATTCTAATGTTTCTATTGTTGGTCAGATTCTAATGTTTCTATTGTTGGTCAGATTCTAATGTTTCTATTATTGGTCAGATTCTAATGTTTCTATTGTTGGTCAGATTCTAATGTTTCTATTATTGGTCAGATTCTAATGTGTCTATTGTTGGTCAGATTCTAATGTTTCTATTGTTGGTCAGATTCTAATGTGTCTATTGTTGGTCAGATTCTAATGTTTCTATTATTGGGCAGATTCTAATGTTTCTATTGTTGGTCAGATTCTAATGTTTCTATTATTGGTCAGATTCTAATGTGTCTATTGTTGGTCAGATTCTAATGTGGCTATAGTTGGTCAGATTCTAATGTGTCTTTTGTTGGTCAGATTCTAATGTGTCTATTGTTGGTCAGATTCTAATGTTTCTATTGTTGGTCAGATTCTAATGTTTCTATTGTTGGTCAGATTCTAATGTTTCTATTGTTGGTCAGATTCTAATGTTTCTATTGTTGGTCAGATTCTAATGTGTCTATTGTTGGTCAGATTCTAATGTTTCTATTATTGGGCAGATTCTAATGTTTCTATTGTTGGTCAGATTCTAATGTTTCTATTATTGGTCAGATTCTAATGTGTCTATTGTTGGTCAGATTCTAATGTGGCTATAGTTGGTCAGATTCTAATGTGTCTTTTGTTGGTCAGATTCTAATGTGTCTATTGTTGGTCAGATTCTAATGTTTCTATTGTTGGTCAGATTCTAATGTTTCTATTGTTGGTCAGATTCTAATGTTTCTATTGTTGGTCAGATTCTAATGTTTCTATTATTGGTCAGATTCTAATGTGTCTATTGTTGGTCAGATTCTAATGTTTCTATTGTTGGTCAGATTCTAATGTGTCTATTGTTGGTCAGATTCTAATGTTTCTATTATTGGGCAGATTCTAATGTTTCTATTGTTGGTCAGATTCTAATGTTTCTATTATTGGTCAGATTCTAATGTGTCTATTGTTGGTCAGATTCTAATGTGGCTATAGTTGGTCAGATTCTAATGTGTCTTTTGTTGGTCAGATTCTAATGTGTCTATTGTTGGTCAGATTCTAATGTTTCTATTGTTGGTCAGATTCTAATGTTTCTATTGTTGGTCAGATTCTAATGTTTCTATTGTTGGTCAGATTCTAATGTTTCTATTGTTGGTCAGATTCTAATGTGGCTATAGTTGGTCAGATTCTAATGTGTCTTTTGTTGGTCAGATTCTAATGTGTCTATTGTTGGTCAGATTCTAATGTTTCTATTGTTGGTCAGATTCTAATGTTTCTATTGTTGGTCAGATTCTAATGTTTCTATTGTTGGTCAGATTCTAATGTTTCTATTGTTGGTCAGATTCTAATGTTTCTATTGTTGGTCAGATTCTAATGTTTCTATTGTTGGTCAGATTCTAATGTTTCTATTATTGGGCAGATTCTAATGTTTCTATTGTTGGTCAGATTCTAATGTTTCTATTATTGGTCAGATTCTAATGTGTCTATTGTTGGTCAGATTCTAATGTGTCTATTGTTGGTCAGATTCTAATGTGGCTATTGTTGGTCAGATTCTAATATGATTATTGTTGGTCAGATTCTAATGTGTCTATTGTGGTCAGATTCTAATGTTTCTATTGTTGGTCAGATTCTAATGTTTCTATTGTTGGTCAGATTCTAATGTGTCTATTGTTGGTCAGATTCTAATGTGTCTTTTGTTGGTCAGATTCTAATGTGTCTATTGTTGGTCAGATTCTAATGTGTCTATTGTTGGTCAGATTCTAATGTGTCTATTGTTGGTCAGATTCTAATGTGTCTATTGTTGGTCAGATTCTAATGTGTCTATTGTTGGTCAGATTCTAATGTTTCTATTGTTGGTCAGATTCTAATGTGTCTATTGTTGGTCAGATTCTAATGTGTCTATTGTTGGTCAGATTCTAATGTGTCTATTGTTGGTCAGATTCTAATGTGTCTATTGTTGGTCAGATTCTAATGTGTCTATTGTTGGTCAGATTCTAATGTTTCTATTGTTGGTCAGATTCTAATGTGTCTATTGTTGGTCAGATTCTAATGTGTCTATTGTTGGTCAGATTCTAATGTGTCTATTGTTGGTCAGATTCTAATGTGTCTATTGTTGGTCAGATTCTAATGTGTCTATTGTGGTCAGATCCAAGCACACCTGGAGATGATTCAGCTCCAGTACCAAGACAGTGTTGACCAGAGGGAGGCCTTGAAGGAGAGACAGAGGATCACTGGGCTGAGAATAGAAAGGGCTTCTATTCTAGTCTCAGCTCTGGCTGATGAGGAGGTAATGCAATAATAGAAAGGGCTTCTATTCTAGTCTCAGCTCTGGCTGATGAGGAGGTAAAGTGATAAGACAATAGAAAGGGCATCTATTCTAGCTAGACTCTGCTTTGGCTTATAAGATAATGCAATAGCTTAATAGAAAGGGCATCTTTTTTAGTCAGCTGAAATGGAGGTAATGCGATTTGTCCCTCAGCATGACTTGTAACAAATTGGCAAATTTGACATACAATAAACTTTAATTCTAATACTTCCACTAGTTGCTAATAAATAAAATAAATTGAAATGAAATAAAATTTTTGAAAGGTCCGTTGGGGTCAGTCAGTCAAGGTCCTGGACACAAAACTAGAAGGAATTGTGGGAGACACGCTGGTGGCCGCAGCATCTGTAGCATATTTGGGAGCTTTCACCAGCCACTACAGACAGCTGCTGGTGGAAGACTGGATCAACATGTGTAAGGACAAGGACATCCCAATCTCTACAGAATTTGATATTGTCAAAAATATGGCTGATGCAAATCAGGTTGGCTATATTTTTCATGTGCTATTTGAAAAAAAAATTTTATAGGCCAATATATTTATAATTAAAATCATCTAATTATAGTAAGTTATAAAACAAAATCTGTATTGTTTTTACTTTTGCTGGTAAAACAATTCAACAAAGCAAAAATCTCTTATATTTTTAAAAAAAATACAGCTATTGTTTACAAAAGAAAACTATTTACCCTGATTAGGTCATGAAATGGTACAACACTGGTCTCCCTAAAGATAAGCTCTCTACAGAGAACGCCACTTTTGTAAGTCGAGCAAGAAAATGGCCACTGTTTATTGATCCCCAAGGACAAGCAGTGAGGTGATGGTCAAATTATTATCTCTTGTGTTGGACTTGTGTTAATTAAATATGCAGTTGATATTTGTTCCTACACTGTTATTATAAATAGGATAAATTAAATATTAATTATGTAAAAAATTCAGTTAATTCTAGATTATTATTTCCATGATGATGCAGATGGATCAGGGAATTAGAAAAATCACGACTGAAGATAGTAGCAGGCACTGACCTAAATATTATCCGCACCATTGAAACTGCCATTAAAGTTGGAGACCCAGTTCTGCTATCCGTAAGTTTGTTTCAAAAATAACTTTCTCTGCTGATGTTTTAAAAAATGATTTTGTTATTACATTGTGGTACTGTATATTCCAATCAACCACATGACCACCATCGTCTGCAGGATGTAGCAGAAGAACTTGATCCAGCTCTCAGGCCCGTACTGCTGCAGGAAACATACCACAAAGGGGGACAACTTGTCATCAAAATTGGTGATGTGGAAATTGAGTACAATCAAAACTTCAGGTACTGAAATATGTTCAAATATGACTTCACTAATCACTGTGGGTTCACTTTTTGCACTATCCTTTAAACTTTGTTTATTACAGACTTTACCTGGCAACATCTTTAGCTAACCCACACTTTCTACCTGCCATTTACCTGCAAGTCAACGTCATCAACTTTACTGTTACTTTTGATGGCCTTCAGGAACAGCTACTCTCAGTTGTTGTAACTCAGGTAAAGTAGTCAGCCAATTGTAGGGAATTGTATGAAGTAAAAATTATCTGTTTTGTTTTGAACATCCAATTCTGAGTTAAGATTTTACTTTGAACCTCAACAGGAAAGACCATTGCTAGAGAAACAGAGAACACAACTCCTTGAGAGTATAGCCAACGACAGACAAACACTGAGAGACTTAGAGGACAAGTCACTTTCTATGCTTCAAAGCACAGAAGGTTTCTGGAGTTCACTTTTTACAAAACTTTAAAGGATTCTCAAATTTAACATAAATTGGTTATTTCTTTGAATTTTGTAAATCTTTATCACGTAACAGTGAATTATGATTTCCACTAGGCCACATTCTTGATGACCAGGATTTGGTTGTAACATTGCAACAGAGTAAAGCAAAGTCTCAAGAAATTTACAAAAGAGTTGCCCAGTCTGAGGAGACGGAACAAAAATTAAATGCTGCACGTAAAAGATACTTACCGGTAATGTATTCTTGAATCTCTATGGAAACCCTCAATGTTTAAAATTCATTTCATGTTGATGTCTTTTTAAAAACTTTTGGTCTTCAATTTTTTTTCTTATCTGGCAGGTGGCAACGCGTGGTGCTGTGATCTACTTTGTTGTAGCTGAGCTGGCCAACATTGATGTTATGTACCAATATTCTTTAACTTGGTTCCAGTCCATGTTTTCCACCTGTATTACTGAAAGTACAAACTCATCCATAAGTTTTGCCAGTGGTGTTTTAAGGCCTTCAAGTGCAAAAAACATCAAATCGATGCATAATCTCCTTGATGAGGAAGGTAAAAACTACATGAGTGGGTTTTGTTTACAATCCAACTTTCCTACTTAAAATCAGGTTGATCATTTCATAGAATCTGCACCTAGTGTAGTTTTTTTGTAAACAAGTTCTTTTTATTATCACTTTTCTTCCAGAAAATAAATTGAATTTATATAATTTATTATGATTCTTAAGAACATGTGAAATGAAAATGAAAGTAATAAGGATAATTGAAACTTTTCCCATCTAATTTCTTCTTTTTCCAGTTAAAAGTTTAATCACCTTAAATCTGGTGTAATAAACATCATAACCATTGAATTAGTAATAAATCTTTTAAAATTTGTTTCCTTTACTATATGAAACCAATTATTTCATTGGTCAGGAAATGAAGTAGTTGACCCATTGAATGAAATGGACAGTCCACAAGATCTGATGGAGCATTTATCCAGCATGATAGAGAGTCTAACACACAGCATCTACAGGATTGTCTCTGTTGGTCTCTTCACCAATCATCAGCTCATATTTTCATTTATGCTTTGCTCAAGCATACTGCGGGTAACAATCCAATGTTTCCCTAGCTTTAGTGAAAAGTTTTTAGAAATTCAAAAAGATTGTGTGCTAATTAAAAAAAATTAATTTATGAAACCACTGACCTGGACATGAAATAATTTTTTAGAATGAATTTTCAGCTGCATGAAACTTTCATCTCTGAGTAGCCAGTTTAGTTAAGACTTATTGATTTTAAAACTGTTTGTACTACTATCTATAGTTATGCCTGAAAAGTCTGGTGGGTTTTTTTTTAATAATGTTTTATCCTAAGGAATTTTTTAGAATGTGAAAAACATTTATTAGCCTCCTTGTTAATTATTAATCTAATAATTAAATTATGTAGTATTTCATGGTTTAAAATCGTTTTATTTTAACTTCTGAAAATGTATTCTATATAGGCAAACTCCAGAAAGGAAAATGCTATGAACTCAACTAAAATAATACATGAAAATGAATGGCTAACATTTTTGTATGGTAATGTTGCAGCCATACTTAAAGCAAAAGGTAAATAAATTTTCACTTCCATTTTTAAATGTTTTAATACTTTCATTAATATTTTCATTTTTTAAAATTCAAAATTTAAACTGAAAATCTGGTAAATGTTGGCTTAATTACAATAGTTTTAAATTAATTAAGCTTGTTCTGTTTTTTAGATGAACCAGAAGTGGATAAAGAGACAGAAGATTCTGTTGAGTCCTCACAAACAGGTTCTGAAGCTTCAGACAGCAGAAAGGGGAGCAAAACACACTCAGGCATTCAGAAAAAATTTTATCCAGACTGGATAGGAGAAACTATATGGAGACAGTGCCAGTTTATAGAAGCAACAATTCCAAACTTTGAGCATCTTTGTGCTAGCCTCACCAGCTGCCCAGAACAATGGGAAGAATTTAAAAACTCAGATGATGTTTTTCATTTAATTGGCCAACCTTTTGAATCAGGTTGCTACTGCTGAATGGTCCTCTACTTTCTAGTTCTTACACAAACTTATTATTATTTTACAAATTTTGAATCACTGAAAATATTTGTTAAAAGTGATTTACCTTCCATTTTTTAGTTGCTGCTACAAAAGAGAAAGCTGTAGTTTTTCACTGGGAGAAACTGACCAAATTTCAACAGCTACTCCTTATCAAGACTCTTCGTTTAGAAGTTCTTCACACATCTATTGCCCTGTTTATTAAAGATCAGCTCGGATCAAAATATATCACAACTGGAACATTTGATTTACGAGAGGTTTACCAAGAATCTAAAGCAAAGTCTCCTCTTATTTTTATTCTATCTCCAGGTAGGTGCAGGAAAGGGGGCTAATTCTACAGTCTAGAATTTTAAGTAAATTATTTTTACTTTAAAATAATTTTCATTATTTAATTAATAACTAATATTTTTTATTTTGTTTACATTATAGTATGTTTTTAAAAAATCAGATTCTGACTAGAAACCAATTTAATAAAAACATTGCAAAACTAATTACTTGTAACAATTTTTGCTATTAAAACCTCAGCTATTTGTCATGTGTGAGCTTCTTTTGGTACTTGAATGTATCTTTTTATAACCCTCCCATGTAACCATTTTCTCTATGTATGTTACCCTCTTTATGTACCTACCCCATTTGATGTGTTTGAACCAACATTTATTTAAAATAGTTTTAATGAATGTGTTCTAAGTAATATTGTGTTTTTCTCTCTCAAATATAGTGATAATTATTTAGCAACATATTTCTATCTTATTACAATGCAAATAATTATTCACTAAGTTTTTTATATGAACAAAGCATTTAGAAAAGTTCTAAAAATAAAAGTCTTATAATCAAAACCTAGTACATTATAACATTTATTAAACTGACAATTGAAACTTCTATTGTTCAACATAGTTTCAGGTAGGTATGATTAAATGTGATTAAATTACTTATGTTTTAACTGACTCTGTATGTCAGTTTTCATGCAAATTTTGCTTCAAGGTATAAATTTACATATTTCTTAGAAGTGTTGCTAACAGATACTAATATTCTACTATCATTTTTTAATATTCTAGGTGAAGGTAAGAAAATAATGAAGGTTTTTTTTTTTAAACTTTTTTCAAATTTTCACTATTCACAGACATTTATATGAAAATAAAACAGGTTAAAGCTAATTTTTTTTTATAATTTTTAAACAATTTTGTTTTTATTTACCTTATATATGCAATTAAAATGTTCTTTGTTTTTGCTGTATACCAATAATTATTAGCTCTTTTAATTTTTTGAAATCACTTCATCTTTTTACATATTCTATTTTAAAAAACTTTTTTTAATCTTTGCTTACATGTTTTATAGGTCTATAATAAGTCTGACTTATTTGAATTTAACATTTATCACTATTGCAAAATCAAATGTAAATTTATTTTTTATAGGAGAATGCAAATGCACAAGCACTTCATAAAATAATAAGCATGCCTTTTGTGAAAGCAAAATATATTTTATTTTTGTGTAATTATCACTTTTTAACATATGATATGAACAAATCAAGAAATTGATAGTAGCAATTATTTTAAAAGTAAGACATTTTACATGAAGTATTTCTGTGCAAAGACTACAGACTACAGACTACTATTATAGCTACAGACTGATATTAGGATTTAGCATCCAAAGCTAGTTAAAGCTTTATTTGCTTTTGATTCTTTATTTTGCACATACAAATAACATTAGCAAATGGGCACTTCTTATTTAAATCCTCTGCAAACATCATATTTTTAACCATAAAAGCACATTATTATCTATGATGCAATCAATAAAATGATACAAAATATACCTTAGGTCAACGGCTAAATTACAGGCCTTTGTTTTAGGCTTGTGTTAGATATTATGATGGAATTAAACTATATTTTAAAATAATCCACTTTTTAATTACTTTAAAAATCACAATACTTTTTGTTACTTTTAAATATCACAGCTATATAATGTAGGCCTACATTGTTTCATTCTAAAATGTTTTAGAAACTTTGGCATTAAAAATGTAACTTTTAAATGTTGCCTTTGTGTAAGTTAAACTTTAATAAGATGTTAAAAAATATTTCTCCTGTATTTGATAATGTTTTACCTTTTTTTTTACCTTAAAATTAATGCATCCAATCATACCTAGTTACAAAAATATGTTCCTGTAATTGTGTAGTCTAATATTCTATATTATTATATTGATATTTAAAACATTTTAAGCACTATAAAGCTTACTGTGTAATTGTAATGTATGTGGCAGGCTGTGATCCATCATCTCAATTGCTGAGGTTTGCAAAAGAGCTAAGAGGGAGCACTCTTCATCTTGATATGATCTCCCTTGGAAGAGGCCAAGGTCCAAAAGCTGAAGAGCTCATATCTAAAGCTCAAATATTGAAAGGCAGATGGGTATTTTTACAAAACTGTCATCTTGCAGCCTCATGGATGCCTAAACTTCAAGCCATTGTTGAAAAGTAAGTTTTGACATTTCATCTTCTTGAATAGCATTAATGTTCAAAAGTTCAAAATGTATTGTTGAAAATGAAAATAACTATATAAAATACCCTATTTCATGAGGTGTCATTAATTTTTCAATGATGTATAATTAACTCTCCTTTGTAGGGCCTATATATTTTTTAATATTTTGAAGATATAATTGGTAAATCATTGCAACAATTTTTAAGCTTATATGATGTCTTTTGTTTAACGCTTCAATACATTCTTTAAATTAATAGATTTAATCAACCAAGTGAGGATAACCTTGACCCCCAGTTCAGACTTTGGTTAAGCTCAAGGCCTGATACTGCTTTTCCTATCTCAATACTACAGCACGGAATCAAAGTGAGATATTAGTTAAAGGGATCCTCAAAAAATAGATGTTTATTATAAGTTACTTGATCCCTCTTTTTTTTTGCATGTCTCAAAAGGTCATGATATGACTCTCTAAAATGTTATACTTCAGCCCCAGTCATTAAAATAATGTCCTTTAATACAAAAACAGTAATAAAGTTCATAGATCATATTGTTAACAATAACTTTTAAATCATTTTTTAAAAATATAATGAGGTGCAAAGAAGATTTTATTTACCTAAAGTCAAATATTTCTCCTCTAATTTTTTATTTGTTATTATTTCACTCTAGATGACCATTGAGGCACCACAAGGGTTAAAGGCAAATCTTTTAAGAACATTTGGAAGTTCTGGTGCTGGAGTCGTCTCAGAGAATTTGTATAACACTGGCTCCAGTAAACAAGGATGGCGGCCATTGCTGTATGGTCTTTGTCTTTTTAACAGTGTTATCCATGAAAGGAAGAAATATGGAACTCTAGGATGGAACATTCCATATGAGTTTAATGATTCAGACTTGGAGGTAAAAAAAAAATTTCTAAATAACTAAATCATTTTCTTAAAAATATAATTTCATTTCATAAGACATTTTAAGTTTAAAAAATGGATTGTATTTTTATTTTAAATGAATCAAACATTTCTCCTTCAGGTATCCATTTTAAAACTGCAGATGTTGTTAGAGGAACAGGAGGATGTGCCCTGGGAAGCTTTGAATTACCTCACAGGGGAAGTAACCTATGGAGGGCGTGTAACAGATGACTGGGACCGGCGATGTCTCATTTCACTACTGAGGAAGTTCTACAACATTTCTCTCTTTGAGCCAGGATATAGTTATGATGCTACTCATGTATGTTTCAAAATACTAAAGTTAATATTAGAAGATAGAATTTTGATATATTAAAATGATTTTTACATTATAAAGTGACATATTAAAATGATTTTTACATTATAAACTGACATTAAAATGATTTTACATTACAAACTGACATATTAGAGTGATTTTTACATTACAAACTGATATAATAAAATGATTTATACATTACAAACTAATATATAAAAATGATTTCTACAGATGTATCATCCTGTACCAGAAACTTCCAACTTCACTTCTGTATTTTCATTTATTGAAAACCTCCCCAATTATGACAGCCCAGCCATATTTGGTATGACAGAAAATGCTGAAAAGTCTTGCAGAGAATTTCAGGCTAGTGCTGTAATTAACACAGTGGCCAGTGTCCAGCCTAGAAGAACCTCCACTCTGACTGGGTGAGTTTCTTTCTTCTGTTTCTTTCATTTGTAATCTAAAATTCATATTCAGCTTTTCAAATTTTTTTGTTTCTATATTACTATTATTATTAATGTTATTAACTGCATGTTTGCAATAGAAAACAGAAATGCATTTTTATTTTATTTTATGATACAGGTAAAGTATATCTATAACCTAAGAGATTTGATAACGCTTCAATTTTTCATTCTGTTCAGATCTCAAAAGAGCAGCGATGCAGCTGTTTTAGAGATAGCGCAAGACATATGTAAAAGACTTCCCCGCTGTGTTGAAGATAATTCTCCTTCACCCAACCCTTTGTTGTTGGAGCCACAAAGATCTTTGAAATCTATTCTACAAAAAGATGTGGAGACAAGGGGATTGGATAAAGAAAAACTAAACAGTAAATAGTTTTAGAAGAACAGCCCAGCTATTCATAACCTTAGTCACTGTTTTCAGTATAAATTTATTTTTTATTGTGTACATTAATTTTTTTTTTCAGTCTTGGAAAATTTGACTAGCAGTTTAGCTGGAAATTCTGCCTTGCTGACAATTTTAAGACAAGAAATTGACCGTTTCAATAATTTGCTATCTGTGATACACAACTCATTAAATTTATTGACCCTGGCTGTGAAGGGAGAGATTGTAATGTCAGAACAATTAGAAGAAGCTTATGAAGCTTTGTTAACGCTTCGCATACCAGCTCAGTGGAAGGTAAATATAACTCTTCATCAAAAACATATCAGTCACTATTTTTCTAAAAACTTGTTTGTTCATTAAACTTACTTTTAAAATTTTGTTAGACCTTGTTTTGATTAGAATCAGTTTTTAAAATAAATCAGTAATTAATTTGTTAATTAAAAAATTAAATTTTTTAGAATGCTGCCTACGAGTCCACAAAGTCCCTGTCCTCTTGGGTATCAGATCTACAACAGAGAGTAGAATTTTTTGCTGAGTGGGCAAAATTGCTGTCCTCAACAATTGAAAAGAAATATCGCCAGGCTGTCAGAAATGTGAAAGAAACTGCTGGAGATGTTGATGTTCCTATCATCACTCAACCTGTCACATTTTGGCTGTCTGCTTTCTTCTTCCCTCAAGGTTGTTGTTTGAAAGTTTTATATATTTCATGCAAATAATTTTTAATCAAATCTCAAAAATATGTTTTTAATGTTTCAAATCCTTATTTTGATTTTGTTTTATTAAGTATTATATCCACCAAAATATTTAGATTGCTAATAAATCTCTACAGGTTGTAGTTATATAAGGAAGGAATGTTTGTAATGTTTGATGTAAAAAAAATGTAATGTTATTTAAACAGGTTTTCTAACTGCTGTTCTTCAAAATCATGCCAGAAAGATGGGAATATCTGTTGACTCCTTAACCTTCAATTTTAAAATTGTAAGACCCTCCCCTGAGTTAGATAAAAGTGATGAGCGCTCTTCCTCTGTAGCTTCTAGCATCAAAGAAATATCATTCACAGTAAGTAGTTGGGTAACAATATAAGAGCTTCACTGGAAGATTGTATAATCTCTAACGCCATTGACCTAACATGTAGGCAATTGTCTAAATGACTTAATTCCATCAGGGCACACCACCAGAAGATGGTGTCTTGATATGTGGCCTGTTCATAGACGGAGCAAGGTGGGACACAGAGACCTACACTCTACAAGACTGTCTGACCAACAAAAGATTTTACAGCTTGCCTGATATTCACTTCCAGCCTGCTGAGGTAATTCAAATATTTACAAATGCCTGTATGTTTATACGTTGGTGACAAACATGGACTCAAATCTTCTTCTTTTTCAGACCCGAGAAGTTGTTTCTTCATTGTCTTCTGCTCAGACTAGTGAGCAGACGCCAGAACAGCAGGCTCCAGCCAAGAGCTATGAGTGTCCACTGTACCGGACATCAGCCAGGGCTGGAACTCTCTCATCCACTGGTCACTCAACCAACTTTGTCACCTCCATCACATTACCATCAGAGCAGCCGCCAGATTTTTGGATCCTCAGAGGTGTCGCGATGCTCTGTCAGCTTGACGACTAGCACCCTCTCTAACCAGAATGTCATTGTATTATCACATGGTGCTTGTCATCCTGATGACTAGCACCCTCTATAACCAGCATGTCATTGTGTTATCACATGGTGCTTGTCATCCTGACGACTAGCACCCTCTATAACCAGCATGTCATTGTGTTATCACATGGTGCTTGTCATCCTGACGACTAGCACTCTATAACCAGAATGTCATTGTATTATCACATGGTGCTTGTTAGCCTGACGACTAGCACCCTCTCTAACCAGAATGTCATTGTATTATCACATGGTGCTTACAATTTTTAAGTGGGACCAATACTGTTTAACTTTGTTATATCTGTGACAAAAAAAATCTCTGATGTTAACATAAGTAGAAAATGTATGCCCATGACATCTGATACACATTTCATCTCATATGTTTCTCCTCAGTATTAGAACATAATAAAATTTATTGCTATGCAAATTGCAGATTACAATTATAGAAGTGAAGTGCAATTTTTTATAACTGTTTTTTTTTAAAATTATTGTGATTTTTTGTAAACAAATATATAAGAAACACTATTTTCCTGAACTTAAATGTAAAAATAGGAATAATGTTTAGCAGTTAAGGAAAATATTTTCTAGTGACTTTTTACTATCAGCAAAAAAAAAAAAAAAAGATTTTCAATCACATCATTCTGCCCTCATTTCACTGTGATATTTTCTCTTATAATATTGTATTATTAAACTTTTTGTACATTTTTACATATACAAAGATATATTGTTTCATTGAAACAGTTTATGTCATTTTTATTTCCACTTCACTGTAGATATCCCTTTGTTGATGTCAATCAGTTTTACTGTTAGATATTTTACTGGTTGAAAATGTGTCACAAATGCTTTTTTTTTTACAAATATCAATCTTTCTCAGTATATAGGCCTGTATATATATATATATATATATATATATATAATATATATATATATATATTTAAAACTGTTATTTGTACTTACATATTGTAAACTTATTTAATATACTTTTACCAATAAAATTTTACCATCACATTGTAAGGTAGAAAATATGTTGATGCTGTGAAAAATAACTAAGAAAGGTTTTTACTAGGCAATAATTTAAAAAATAATTTAACAGAAAGTCATTGTTTGAGAAATTGTGTTGACAAACCAAAAATAATCAGACACAAATTCAAAGCTTTTTTATTTACAAATGTTTGAAAAAAATTATAAACATTTTAAGCAGATTGAATATTAAGATTAGTTACAATTATCATTATTAATTAATGCTAACTAAAAACATAACTTAATAGAAAATAATCTTCAGATTTTCATTTTGCCTTATTTAGTGAAATTCTTTAATGACCAACACATTTTTACTACAAATAAGAAAACCAACAGAAAAGGCTACAACCAAATATTAGATCTATATCAAAGTTTATTTTCACATATCAAAAGAACCAACCAGCTGCAACATTTCAAAAGTAAAAGGCTGCCTGTTCAACTCTGTTTTCTTTACAGGTAATCTATTTTTTTTTTTCTATTCCTGGTTCAAATCTATGGATTTATTATTCACACCAAATATACAAAGTTGTTTTTTTTATAATTTAAATGTCATCAAAATAATGAAGTTGTCTAAATAAGCCTGTAAACTAATGCCTTCTATAATATATACAGGTCCTGGGTTTAATACGTGAAAGTTATTAAATGCAAGAAGTCAGTTTTTCAAATCAAATGCCCATGAAGAACAATTTCAATACTTGGCAGATGAAGCTTTACAGATTCAATACATTAAAGCAAACTGCAATGTTAAATGTGTAAGGCAAATCTTAAATGCATGTTAGATCGGAGTTATTAAATTAAGGCTGACAATTAAAATGCCCTTAAAATTAATGCCTTTTAAAATATAAAAACAAAAAATTCAAGGTAAAGCATTCAAAAGATTAATTAAATGCATGTATATGTAATGCTTCTCTAAAAATATATAAATGAATAGGTTCTCCACAAACAAAAATTCCAAAGATTTTTAAAATGGACAAGGTATTGAGATTTTTTCATCAAATATTACTTTAAAATTAAAAAATAAATGTGTGGTTATTTTCTTTCTGTCAAACATTTAAAACAAAACAGCAACCAAATGTTTAATCAAACTACCAATCACTACTACAATAAAGCAATGCCAAGGCAAACAAATTGTTTGCATCAAATGCTAATTAGCAGCTTTGTTCGTCACATTTCTCTCTACTGACGTATCATTTTTGGCCATCTTTTCTGTATAAACAAGCTGGTAATAGTTATACAAACGGTCAGTCCATTCCTTCCAATAATATTCACACAAAGGCAAGTTCATCTGATGAATCTGGGCTGGGCTCCCATCTGGGTAGGCAACCACTATCATACCATTTCTGACAGCACCATTCTAAGTAAAAGAGAAAATTATATATATATATATATATATATATATATATATATATATATATATATATATATATATATATATATATATATATATATATATGTAAAATAAAAATTTAATGAATTTTATTTGTCTCTTCAGCAAAGCAGCATCAGTAAAATGTTGCCTTATGTTTGCTTTTTGTAACATAGTATGTCAGTTGTTTTTAAACATGTTAATATTGAAAAAAGCAATGCAGTAACATTTTAACATTTAAAAACTAAATTCTCTCACCTGTTTTAACAGTACGTCACTAGTATTCACAGCTCCCATATAGGAAACAATTTGTAGTGGATCATCATATGTTTGTTTTAGTGTGGTGCGTGGTTTTTTAGAAGTTTTCCAGTCAATTACACAAAGAAGATCCCTGAGTGAATACAATTTAACATATTAAAATTTAAGTCAGATAGTCCTCTACAGATACATTTAATAAATACATCTGTGTTATTTATATAATTCAGCTTAATTATATAAATGATGTAACATTTTTAATGTGATCAGTAATTTTGCGGTAGCTTCTGTTTATTACTAATATTAAATCATAAACTATTTATATAACATTGGCACTTACTTGTATTGGGCAATGCAATCTAAAACTCCCTTATAATGTAGCAGAGGATGAAGAATATTTGTTTCCAAAGCTTTAACTTCTGATATCAATTTAAAAGCAGTTTGAAGACTTGCCCAATGCCCTTCATTGTCAGCCATGATGTGTAATTCACTTATTGGTTTTCCAGATAGGTAATTTTTTATGTTTTCGTGCAGATTGCAACCTTTCTTGATAATAACTGTCAAAAATTTTCAAATTGTTATAGATACTAGAACATTTATTTGTATTACATATAAATTAATAAAGATTGGTTATTAATTAAATAATGAATTACAATAATTAAAACTTTAGAAAGCTTACCTTCTTGGTGTTTTTTAAATCCTTCCTCTCCAAGTTCAGAAATCATTTTCTCTCGCCAGCGATTCAGATAAAATTTATTGATATCTGGTGAAGTTTTGTTCAAAATAGATTTAACACTTGGTAGATATCGTAAATTTAATTGTTGTACTGCTGATTTGAAGTCACTCAACTTTTGATCACATGACTTACACACTTCACTCTCCTTTGGAAACAAGGGCACTTGAGAGATGACATCAAAAGAACTTGGTGGCTCACAAGGTAGCTGGGACAGCAATGACATAGCCTGATCTTTGATGGTGTTTGAAGTCTGGGGCATCTCTGGAGAGCTGGATGATGAATTACTTGGCTTAGTTTTCTCCTTCACATGTTTTCCATCATTTGTAGACAAATTATTTTTTTTGCTCTTTAATTTAGTTGACTTCAAATCCAAGCCATTTATGACTATTTTGCTACTTTGATCTGTTGAGGATGTTAAATCTAGATTTATGTTATTAGCCTCATGAATTTGATTATCTTCTTTTGATGTGTCAGTCCTAACTGGAATGGTCTTTAACAGCTCAAACTTTTTTGTGAACTCATTTGTTCCAAAATCTGGCACTGGAAGAATTTTTGGTATATCAACTGTATCTCCGAAACAATCTTTTATTACTTTATTGGAGTCTTTAATGATGCCTGTATTCTGAATGTTAGAATCATCAGAATTTTGCAAGACACTTTCTTTATAAACAGTTTTTGAAAACTTTGGAGGCTTGGAAGAGGAGTCATATTCAGTGTGTAGATCCACACATTTATCTTTCACTTGGTTATTTTGACTGGTGGCTGACTCAGTAACCTGATTATAAGATATTCCACTTAATACTTCCATTAGTTCATTCCTTTTAGGATCATTCTTCATGTTCTTCAACTTACCAGATTTGGTACATTTGAGAGTTTCCCCAAATACAATTGCACTCTCTTTCTTCCATTGTATTAAATTTGTAAGATCGTAGCTGTATTTTTTTTTCAGTTCTCTTTTGCTTGAATAAATTTGTTTGATTTGAGAAGTTTTCAGGGCAACTTTTAAGTTTGATCGTAGAAAAGATGCCATTCTCTATATAAACTGAAAAACATAACACATATTAAAGGCTTTAAAAAAAAAAGCCAACTAAATTTCAAACAACAACAATAATGTCCTCATCTATAAATGAACTTTTTAAAACGTTGGTACTTTGAATAAAGTTTAAACACTAGGGCACAATATTGACAGTGTTCTGCATCTATCTAAAGTAATGGTTCCGAAAGTGGGTAATATTATCACTAGGGGGTACTGAGATGGTCCAGGGCAGGGGGTATATAAACTGGTTTCATTGATTTGGGAGGCTGCGAAAGTTTCATAAAGGAACCCCTTGTCATCCTCAGCAGACCAAAAACATTTTGATCACACAAGATGATCTTTAAAAAAAAACATCAATATTTTTAAACATTAAAGAATCAGCAGATTGTTAATAAGGAAAGAAAACCTAAGGCCTTTTTTAAATAATATTTATATTTTGTGAATGCAGAATTGCCAGATTTTTATAACAGTCATAAATCAAATGAGACAATAATTGTTTGGGAAACACTTATCTACAGCTTAATGTCAAGAATAATTAGTTGTTTTTTTTTTTTTTATCAATTACAATAAATTACATGTTTTACTGAATCTAAAAAAGTAAAATAATAGAAAATAGATACAGAGCTTAAAGGTTGATAATCCAAAATTTAATGAAGAGTAATTTGGGGTACTTTCATCTAATAAATAATAAAAGCTTTAATCTACGACCCAAATTATTACAAGGTTTTTATTTTCCAACACCTGTGTGGAAAATCATTTGAGAAGGAGTGAAGTCACAGAAGTTAATGGATTATCATTATGGGATGAAACATCTCATAGACTATCTATATATATCTCTTCATGGAGACCATAGAAAACACCAAGCTGTAAGCATGCCTAGCACCCCCCTCTCTTCCTCTCTAGGCATATCCCTACCACCCCCACCTGGTCTAGTGAGCTGTGGTTCAGGCTAAATGTTTACAATCGTAGACCTGGGTTTAGTGACGGCTATTAGGGGCAGATAAGTTAGTTTGAAACGATTTTAAACTTAGGGGAGGTAACTAAGAGGAGGCTGCTTTCACGGGGGGAGGGAGGGTATGGTTGGGGGAAAGGAGGGGGGGGGGGTGTCGTCCTTAACGACCTACTGATAGTGTTTTAAAGCAAATATTTTCAGTGGCAGCATTGGTACTGTCAAATTCACAAATTATGAATTACTGAAAAGTAGAAAATAAAACAACTAAAACGCGGCATATGATATGCCGCGATTCGGCTCTTATCTAGATCTAATTACTAAAATATTATTATTAAATCTAGCTGCTATACTACCAATTTTAGAAATTTAGATCCAATAGAATAGATCTTCTAGACTCAAGACTAGATTGTGCTCCATTCAATCATTGATCATTGACTAAATTCATTGTCACTAAGTTAAACTTTAATTTAAAACTTAAAGTTTAAAGTAGTCATTGTCATTGTGTGTTGTATTCGTTGGTATTGAAATAAAATAATTTGTACGCAGTCATTTTTTTAAAATTTATCATCTAGAAGTCTAGATTTAGATTTTAGGGTAATCTATCGTTTTGGGTACGTAAAATCGCCCGCGGCTAGTAATGTACGAAAAATTTACCTCATTGTCAAGGCTTTTAAAAGTATATTTTCATATATTTGTGTCAAATATTATAGAAATGAATAATAAACCTAAATCAATAGCTAAGTATATCAATATAGGCAAGAAAATAACTTTTAACAGCAGTGTTTGTGAGCAGGATTTCCTATATAAAAATATACTATATAAACAGCAGCCATTTGTAAAATAGAGTTGCCTTCCCCTGAATCTCCCGCTATAAGTTAACGTAGAAAGAACTTAAACAAGATGGCTGCTATATTAAATGAGCATGGTTGCATCTGTTGGAAACATCGATAGTCTTCATTTATTACTGAAAAGTTTTAATTCAATTGTTTGAAAACAGGTACATAAATGAAACATTTCTGTATTTTTCAAAACATAAATCCTCCTAAAAATGTGAAATAATTATTAAAATTTAAGGAGTCACCTGTTTTTCACATTACTAGATCTAGTCGCGGGCGATTTTACGTACCTAAAACGATAGATTACCGATTTTAGATCTAGTCTAGCTAGAATGCTAGATCTCTGATCTCGAGTTCTAGACCTACATCTAAATTCTAAATCTATTAAACTATTAATCTAGTGTCATCTAGATCTAGACCTAGAAGTAGTAGAAGAGAATCTAATCTAGATCTATACTAGATCTAGAAATTGTCTTAGTCTTTGTTTGAGAATTTATTTTAAACCTGGACCATAAGGAAGAGTTTATGCCTTTCTTTGGGACTGGCGCTGAAAGTTATGATTATAGTTTTAAACATTTGGATCCAACTTTTTGCTTATGATTTGTGTTTTGTAAGTAGGGTAAGTGCATTTCCGCTTTCGTTTTCAGTTGTCAGGAAGGTTAGTGGTTGTACACAGTCAGTACAACGGGTTATTCTCTGTAAGTGTCCGACAAACAGTAACACTGTAACAGTGTCACTGCTGTTTTGCCTAGTGTTAAACTAGAAAAGTATGGGAAATCTCACGATATAGCGTCGGAAATTATCTAGATCTAGTATTGTTTGTTGAGTTTCGGTAACTTAGTTACTACTAGTAGTTACTGTCTCACACTGACTTGTGGTGACGGTGACACAAAACAAAAAATTAAAAGTGTAAACAGTAAACTTGAGTAAACAACATTGTAATTTGTAATGTTTAGGCCACTACAGTAATCTAACTACTTTACTTTACTTACTAACTACTAACTAGTGAAGTGTAAACACTCACTGTATACTAGTGTAAACTTAAGTTAACTAGTGTAAACCATTTTTTATTAGGCCTAGTTGTTTAAAGTCAAGTGCATTAAATTGTTTTAAATCAATTTTAATTGACAGAAAATTACTATTAAATTACTAAAATTAGCAAAAATTAGGCCTAATCAGACTTAATATTATTAATAAAGTGGAGTGTAGTAGGCCGCTAATTTTTTTTTTAAGAAACACAGAAAAAAACCTTGCAGAAGTTTTGTGACAACTAGATCTAGTAAAATAAGACGATTACATTTACTTAAGTTAAAAGGCTGAGTAAGAAGAACTCGAACAATGTTTGTAGCAGCAATAATTTAGCACATAGGCCTACACTTAAACGAATTAGAAGTAGGGCGGGGGGGGGGGGGGGGGCTACAAAATAATTAGCAAAAATAGGCCGCATTTGCTCGGATCTTTCTGCAATACGCCAGACCTTTTCTCTAGGTTGGACGCGATGTAAAAATATATATCAAGTATGCCCGATTTTTTTCGTCTTAGCAATTCAATGTTGATATAGTTTAAGTATTTTATTTCAACACATACCTTAGGTATAAGATCTTATTCTCTTGATTTTCTTAAATTGTTTATATATATATATATATATATATATATATATATATATATATATATATATATATATATATATATATATATATATATATATATATATATATATCTATAATATAAGCGGGCTGTGTCTGTCCTTCCGTCCGTCATCGCTATAGATTTTGGGACTATAAAAGTAAACTACGCACCATGCTGTGCTTTTCAGTGCACCGCAGTGTCTTATTATAAGTAAAAGAGTTGGGTTTGCTTATATAATGACATAGAGCTATTTTATAATTTCCACTGTTTGTACAATTTTGCATAACGTAAAGAGAATATTAAATACACGCACATTGCTAAAACATATTAAGGGGGCGCATCGATGAACTAAGCTTGAAAAATCATGGTCGACCTCGGAAAATTCATTTTTTTTTTTTAAATTTTTTCTATTACTTTAACCACTTATAAACATAATATACTTATCAAATTTACAATAAAATATAGTTTTTACACTTGTTTTTGCATTTGAAGTGGGTGTGTGTGTGTAAAAAAATGTATTTCACCCCGATATACGCCCATCACAACGATGTGTAGCGAGATCTACACACCGTAGTAAGCCTAGCTTACCATATATCAAAATGCGCGGAATTTCGAGGTCAGTCTAGCTAGCCTAAGAACATTGACCTAGTTCTAAATATAGTATTTCAAAACACGCAATGAAAGTGTGCTTCAAAATGGGAAGAGTCATGTATCTATTGGACAATAGATGTCACATGACGCTTCTGTCTAAAAATACCGTGCGCCAAGCTCAATTTTTCTAACTTTTGTCAGGATGTGTCGGCCGTGTCCTAGGAGATGCTATTTTTAGCCGAGCTGTAGATATATTTGCAACAACTTTCACTTTCTACTTTTTGAATTATTTTTCGTTTCTGGAATTTATTTGAAGGTAAATTATGAATTTTTCAATTATTTCTATTCCTTTATCAAAGTATAAACTATAGTTTTATCTTAGATGCCAGATTTTACGTAGATTTTGATGTAGATCTAGTAACTTTATTACGTAAACTAGATCTTAGTCTTAGGCTCTTAGCCTAGCTATCTGTATCAAAGGCTGAATGTAATCAATGTATGCAGATAATGTGCATACCTTTTAGTACGTTGTGATTATTTTTTTAAAACAGCTTATACATTATTATGACTTGTTTTACAGATCTACAATGCCTGCACAAAAGTTGTATGCAAAAAAGGGACAGGCTTCCAGAAAGCAGAAGGCTACATTGAAGTACATTGGCTAAGGCTTGTGCTACCAAGCAGCAAAAATCAGCTCTTGCAGGATCTACTGCAGATCCAGAGGCTGCTGGTTCAAGCACAACTACTGCTGCCACTACATCAACTGCTGCCACTGCATCAATTGCTGCCACTTCACCCACTGCTGCCACTTCACCCACTGCTGCCACTGCATCAATTGCTGCCACTTCACCCACTGCTGCCACTTCACCCACTGCTGCCACTGCATCAATTGCTGCCACTGCATCAACTGCTGCCACTTCACCCACTGCTGCCACTTCACCCACTGCTGCCACTTCACCCACTGCTGCCACTGCATCAACTGCTGCCACTTCACCCACTGCCACTTCACCCACTGCTGCCACTGCATCATCTGCTGCCACTGCATCAACTGCTGCCACTGCATCCACTGCTGCCACTTCACCCACTGCTGCCACTTCACCCACTGCTGCCACTGCATCAATTGCTGCCACTTCACCCACTGCTGCCACTGCATCAACTGCTGCCACTTCACCCACTGCTGCCACTACATCAACTGCTGCCACTTCACCCACTGCTGCCACTGCATCAACTGCTGCCACTGCATCAACTGCTGCCACTGCATCATCTGCTGCCACTGCATCCACTGCTGCCACTTCACCCACTGCTGCCACTTCACCCACTGCTGCCACTTCACCCACTGCTGCCACTGCATCAACTGCTGCCACTGCATCAATTGCTGCCACTTCACCCACTGCTGCCACTTCACCCACTGCTGCCACTGCATCAACTGCTGCCACTTCACCCACTGCTGCCACTGCATCATCTGCTGCCACTGCATCAACTGCTGCCACTGCATCATCTGCTGCCACTTCACCCACTGCTGCCACTGCATCAACTGCTGCCACTGCATCATCTGCTGCCACTGCATCCACTGCTGCCACTACACCCACTGCTGCCACTTCTCCTACTACTGGATATACAACCATCCCCACAGTGGTCAGTGCCTCCAAGAGAAAACTTAGCATGTTTTCTCAATGTGAAGCACCTCAAGCTACTACAGTTGGAGGGCTGGTCATTGTAGACCTGGCTGAAGTAAACGCCCTCTTTTCGGCAGCTCAGTGCAGTACATGTCAAGGGCCCTTGCAACTTATTTTGACTGGACGCAAGGGTCTAGTACATCAACTGCAAGTTAGCTGCAGTGTGCAACTCCATAGCAGCAGGATCAAGCTCCAATATGAGTAGCAGCGACAGGTGTTATGATATCAACAAGAAATTTGTCGCTGCTTTCCTCAACATAGGATTAGGCTATGCTGCTGTGGATAAGTTTTGCAATGCCATGGCCATTGAAGGAATGACAGTCATCATACCGCAATATCCTGAACAAAATATCAATTTCTTCAAAAAATTTCTCCAACGCCAGTCTTGACACAGCTATTGACCTGGTGCGCAAATCTTATGGCGTTGAGATCAGTCAGTGAGTTTAATGGTGGCAGTAAACATCTGGCTGCTTTTATGGATGCCATTGGCTGTTCCTATGCCACTTCTTCTCAAGTCAAAGCAGCAAGGCATGACAAGAGGAGGATTGACAGTGCAGAATGAAAGGCGTCAGTTGAAGTCAAAAGGAGAAGGTCCAGAATGATCTCGCCAGCTCAAAAGCCCAACAGGAGTTTGAGAAGCTGGAGGGAGGGCCTTCATACAGTTCTGGAGCCTTCTAAATTGTTATTTGTTTTAAGCTAAGTTAGTTTTATTAGTGTAAAAACTTTTTTTTTTTTTTTAATTTAAATTTTATATTTCCATCAATATATGTAGTCTTTTTCAAACCCTTTTTACAAAATCAGTTTTTACTTAATTTACTACTAATGATGAAATTATCATCATAAACATGTTGATAAAGCTTTTAAAATAGCTCTTTACATTGTATTTTCAATGAAAAAAGCTTTTTTTTTCCATTTTTGTTACGTTTTTAGCGTTTTCTCAATAACGTATTTTTTTACATTTTTGAACACTCAAAAACATTTTCCTCAAAAACTACTTGTTCAATTTACATGAAATTTCTGCTGAAGCTACATAACACACTGTTGAAAAAACAAGCAGGAGAATAATTGAGCTATCTTCATTACTTTTTTTTATACAAAAATTTTTGCAAACCTTATAGGTTAAAATTAATTAGTCATTAGTAGAAAATTCATAATTAAAAAAGTTTCTGCAAATATGTACATTTTCTTCTATGGATTTTGTCACATGCATGTGGACTATCTAAATCAGTGGTTCCCAACCTTTTTCGAGTGGCGACCCCCTTTTATAAATAGTTAGTGACCCGCGACCCCCATAAAATTAAAAAGCCGTATTTAGTATGGAAATTAATAAGCACTAAAATAAGATTTTCTAGAAGACTTTCAATATGAACTACTCTTGATAACTGTTTTATTTAATACGATGTGTAAAATTGCATGCTATTTACTAAACATTCACTGTTAAGTTTTTGTTAACGCCAACCTATGTCATTATCAACATTCAATTTACTTCTTAATTTTGTTTTTAATCGAAGAATAGTGTTGAAAGGCTATTCTCGAAAAGTCAATCAATTTTACGTTTGGGTATGAATGGTGAATAATACACCAAAATTGTGTGAGCAGTTTTTATCTTAGGCGGAATCATTCTGCAAAATTAAAGAATTCACATTGTAATTCATGCAGATTCTTCTTTCAGCTCAGAGAAATAGCGCCGCAGTTCGTTTTCAAGAGATTCAAGATGCCCAGAAATCGCTTCTTTCAAAATTTTAATTATCTCACAATCAGGTTCATCTACCATAGTGCAGAGTTTCTCAAATGTACAACATTTCCAAGATTTATTTTCTTCGCCAATTTTGCAGCTTTGATAAAAATGCCCCGAGATTATTATGGAAAGTAATAATCCTCGTTCATTTTCCCTGAAGCTTCAGGTTAAGCTTACGTTGATGTTTGAATATATCTGCTAGGTATGATACTCTCTCCAACCACTCTATGTCGTTTTAAGTATACCAAAAGGTCTTGTTTCCTTTGCACTTCCAAGAACAATTTGATTTCAGATTTCAATTCAAAAACACGATTCACAACACTTTGTTTGACAGCCAGCGTACTGTAGTGTAGAAAAGCAGAACCTCGTGATCTATATTAATGTCTTTGCTCCCGACTAAATATAGAGTACGACTGTTACTTGCAATGGAGTCTTGATGACGAGGGCGTACTGGTAAATCATGCAGTGGCTAGTGAGCTAAATCTTTTCTGTTTTCTGAATGCCCAATTTTTACCTAAACCTGGATAGCGCACCATCAGTACAAACCCCCACAGCCGTTTTAACCAACTTTAATCTTCCAGTTTAAAAAAAAAAATGTATTTATTTTCTCCATGCTATTTCACAAAATAGCAACTCTTCTTTGCTATCATCTGAATGAATATAGACAAAGACCAGCAACTGCGAACACGAACTCACGTCTATTGATTTATCAACTTGAAAAGCAAACAATGGTAAACGCTTGATTTCATTAAAAATTTGTTATTTAATATCTACGGACACGTCGGCTACAAGCCGCTGAGTAGTATTATTAGGCAGAGATATTTGTTGCATCTTTACTGCACTGGAATCCCCAAGAATTAACTTCACCATCTTCAACATGCAGCGTTTGGTGAGATTTTCTTCTATTGTGTGTTTTTTTTTTTTGCTTGGCATTTTCTATCGCAACTTCATTTGATGCTTGCGCTAATGCTGTATTTCCTTGGTGAAAACTTCCTGTTCGATCAAGTCTCTGACGTACGTTTGCAACTAGCTTCATGCCGACGAAAGAACACGATATCTTTTTTGGTGTGTTCCGAATGACTCGTCTCAAATGACGTTTTAGTTTTGAAGATTTTATAAACTCGTGACTGAGAACAACTTTGCACAGTAGGCCTACGCTTTGCTTCTTCTCTATTTGAATTCCAGTGATGTTAGTAAAGCAGAACTGCAGATATTCTTCTAAATATTTATGTTTTGTTTCTCATTACTTAGGTTTAGTATACCAGTTGGCGACCCCCCAGAAAGCCCTTGGCGACCCCCAGGGGGGTCGCGACCCCCAGGTTGGGAACCCGTGATCTAAATCCAAAAGTTGGACTTGAAATTATAGATAGTTACTGAGGAAAAGTTTTTTAAAAATTGTATGTAAAAAATGTACATTTTTCCCGCCAAATTTAATCGGCTAACGATTACCATGAAATTTTTTTTACACCAAAGTGTATTAAACATATATACTAATGCCATAAATGAGTTATTTTCTGTAAAATTGTTAAATTGTGCAAAAAATGGTATTTCAATAAAGTTCATGACTGTCCCCCCTTAAAAGGATCAATGTCAAATATCGTTTTCGTTAATATTCCTAGAAAAAGTGGATACATTTTAATAACATAATAACTGTAGGTTAGAAAAATCTAATTAAACTGTTTAGTATTTTTGCCAAGGGAGGTATTTTAAAAATAAATTGAACTCACGCTAAAAATGTGAATGCAGAATCTACATGACGGAATAATTGTTGGAATAATATAATTAGCAAAATGTGAATGCAAATTATGCAAATTATGCAGACGTGTACGAGTACATTATTGTCGGAATATTATAATTAGCATTGATTGATAAAAGTCTATCTTTTATTTATTTTATTCACTGAATGTAATGTTTACTACTTATAATTTTTAATCAACTATTAAGCACTATTATAGACGCGTCATCACGTTCATTGGGTGCGCAATGGTATTAGTTATGAAACTCTATTGTAAATTTTTAAAATTTAAAGTACTGGGGAAAAAAATGCGTGAATCGATAAAGTGATATAATATGGTGGGTAAAACACGGATATTTTAAATACTGCTGGGGGTTTTATAGGAGAGGCGTAGAGAGGGGGGGAACATATGTCCCCGGTTGCCGACCTAAGGGGGCGCCAAAGTGGGTTGGAAAAAAATTGCTGGGGGGGGGGGGGTGGTGGAAATCGAAAGCTTGAGGGAGGTGGGAGGGTGCAAATCGAAAGTTTGAGGGGGGGGGGGATGCAGATCAAAAGTTTGAACGGGGGGGGGGGGGGTTAAACCAAAAGTGGTGCAAATCGAAAGTCTAAGAGGAGGTACAAATCGAAAGTTTGAGGGAGTAGGGTGGAAATTGAAATTTTGAGGGGAGGGGGTGCAAATCGTAAGTTTGAGGGGGGGGTGCAAATCAAAAGTTTTTCCCCGGGCGCCGGAAAGGGTCGCTACGCCTCTGTTATTTTAGTCATTCACTGTGTCAGACGCGTTCGGCGGCGCCCGGAAAGGGCGCGATTTGGCGCTACGGGCTAGACTGTGACCAATATGCCTTTATGATTGCATTTAAATTGTGTTTATGTTATGAGTGTTATGTTTGTTTTTTTCGTTTGTTTGTGTTTTTTTGCGTTCGTTTGTGTTGTGTTTAGTTTTGTTCTGTTCCCAAGTTGGTACATTTAAAAAAGATTTACCGTGGCGGAGCACGGGATGCAGCTAGTATATATATATATATATATATATGTATATATATATATATACACATTACATCTGAAGAATTTATAAACATGCATATTTTTCAGCACAATGGCACTGACCTTTTTCCCCTCATTGTTTCCTGCAGTGTCAAGATTGAGTACAACATGCTGTTTCTTTAGGTAATTTGTACTGTTAGATTTTATGGATTGTAGACACTTTTGTAACTGTTGTAAATACACTGTCTAACAAAATTTGATCTATCTATTTATAGCCTTCCAATCCTTTTTCCTAGTTTTTATTTGCCACTTTTCAATCATTTGTCTACTTTATAAATGTTATTGTATAAGTACAGTGTTTTGTGACATGTGATTTAAATTTTAATATTATCTAACAACACTTTTGAAAACTACATTGTTTAACCTTTAATTTGGTCATCATCATCATTCCTTTGTGGCCCCTGGGGAGCAACGGGCTGCAGCCACACATCTCCATCGGACTCGGTTTTGCAGTTTTGGGCTGCCCCCTTTATCTGTGCCCATGTGAGCCCAGCTGTTTTCGCCTCTTCTTCAACCGTTCTTCTCCATGTCTTCCTTGGCCAGCCCACCCTCCTTTTTCCCTGGGGATTCCAGTCCAAAGCATGTCTTGCGATGTTTTCTTTTTCTTTTCTTAACGTGTGTCTGATCCATCCCCATTTACGGGCCTTAATATCTGCCTCTATTGGCTGTTGCTTTAAAGTTCGCCACAGGTCTTTGTTTGATATTTAATTTGGTACCAAGTTTAATTATCAAAGTTAATCGATAACCTAAAAAATGCACGTTTTTTATTAAATGGCTACTTAGTCATAGCTCTCTTTGTAATGCTCTGTTCTTTTTTTACTTTCTCGTATATACGAAGTATAGAGAAAGTATTGTAATCGTGCAAAAAAAAAAAAATCGAGATTTTTGCAAATCTCGACGTTTTGCATCTCACTGATACGGAAAAACATAATTTTGCAATCTTGTCCGTATGTCTGTCTGTGTGTCTGTCTGTCTGTCTGTCCGTGTGTAAACACGATAACTTGAGTACCGTTACAGCTAGGTTGATGAAATTTCATATATAAGTATTTTATCAAAATCGTAGATCCGTATCAAATTTTTTTTCAAAAGCCTATAACTTGATTACTATTTCAGATAGATAAATGAAATTTCACATGTAAGTAAAAGATCTAATTCTCTACCTTCTGTTAAATTTTGAGTAATTTCCGTTGACTGGAAGTAGTAATTTACGCTACTTCCGATTTCTCAAAAAAATAATGTAAATTTTAAAAGTACTAATAATATTGCGCACTATTATGCGCTTTTTTATTTGGCGTTCACTTGGTGTGCAATTAATTTGTCTACGAGATTTTATTATATTTTTAAAACTTTAAGTATTTAAAATGGATTAAAAATCATGTCTGTAGCCCGAGTTCCCATCCCCTGTTATTTTATATAAGAATATTCGAGAAAGTTTAGGGGAGATCACTCCCGGTTTATTAAACATGTTGTCTTGGCCCAGTTCATAGGTTTAAAAATTTTTTCGTCTGCTAGAGTTTGTCCCATTCAATCAATTTACATAAATTTTTTTTCTTATATTGAATTGTTAATGATGGATAATATTTTGGTTTGAAAGCAGTTATTGTTTTATGTAAAACATCAAAGATTTTATATCATAATTCATATGTTACATGTAATTCTTACCTTATCTTCTGCTCCCCTTTACTCGGCGTGTCTGACAAATAATAATTGAACAACAAACACTAAGCATCACTTGTTTTAATTATATAAATATCAAACCAGATTTAATAAAATAAAACTAATTTAACCATACATTTTTGAAAGGACGACAAAAATTTTTTTTTTTTTGGAAGACGATTACCAAGGCAGCGATTTTTTTAAAATTAGGTCGTGGGACAACATTTTAAGCTTGGCCTAATTTAAGATTTTTTTTTTATGATTTTGATACTTTTTAATTTTTATTGATCACTGAGACCTGAGGTCGGCTTAAAATAAAGTATTTTTATCATTAAATCTAAGCTATCTCACCAGCCAAATGACATTGAGTGGGGATAGCAAACTCCAAATCAAACAACTGCTGCTTTGTTTATTGTTCTTGATTGTTTAAAGGCCATGGAAGCAAATCCAAAAAGAAAACACGTTGATATAGATCAGTGCATGATATAAAATACTTTATTGTGTTGGAGGAAATCACCTTCTAAAATGGAAGGATGTGAAAAAAGGAACTGCTGTACAACAATGAAACAACGCCCATCTTCAGGCGAAAACTTATTTTTAACTGCTGTTTAACCAATACTTGTATCATTACAGTTCATCTCAAAAACTGTATGAAATAAGGAAGATGGCAAGAATGAGAATAGTTGACAACAGTGCTATTGGTAAAGCTGCATCTAATGTTGGTAAACCAGCAAGAGTTATTCATGTTTATAATAAAAGAGAGGTAAAATATCTTCAAACTATGCATATTTTCTATATAAATTCTATCTTGTCTCCCCCCCCCCCCCCAAGAGATGCCTGAGAGAAACTCATGAGTGTACCAGTCATTACCTTTGTCACACAACTTTTACTGGCACTTTGATTTGAAGTTGATGATGTTTGTAAAAAAAGTGAAGTAGAGTTCATCCATTTTTGTGATTTTTTTTTCTTAAGGGGTCATCCATAAATGACGTCACACTCATAGGGGGGAGAGGGGGTCTGTAATTTTGTGACAGTGTGTGATGAGGGGGAGGGGGGGGGGGGGGGGTGTTCAGATGGTGTGACGTCACATTTTTGCATTATAAAAAAGCAATGTATGGAAAGTGAATTTTAGCCGTCAATCGTGTTTTACAAAACGGTTTTAATAAATTGTAATAGGAATTGATCAAAAGACTCTATGTTGACATAGTTCTGACAAGAAGGGATAGTGTGGTCAGCACTATGCTCTGAACCCGGATTTGAACTTGAGACTTTCGGGTTTGCATTCTAGCACTCTACCACTAAGCCATTCCATTCCATGTATAATGTTAATAGCTTATTTCGAAATGTTTTTTTAATTTCAAGTTTTGAAATGTCAATAATTACAATATTTAACGTTTAAAAAAAAAAGAAACTATTTGCTAGTACTTAATGTTGACTTGTTGTACCTGTAACTAGGTGGGCTTGCTTGGAGACAAGGTTCTTGTGACAGTCAAGGGTGAAATGAAGCGTGCCTATATTGTTGGACTAAGGAAGAATCAGGCACCCAATGTACCTCGTATGGACACCAACAATATTGTTTTAGTTGATGACAATGGCAATCCCCTGGGAAATAGAATTATGGTACCCATACCATCCTCACTCAGGGGTAAAAAAGGAGATTTAACCAAAATTTTATCCTTGGCCACAAGATTTGTTTAGTTTTATACTTTCTTTTTTTTTAATCTCAAAATAAAAGATAAATGAAAAAAGTTTTTTGTATGCATTGGACTGTGAGCAGCTGATAGTTGGAAGCTATAGGGTTTGGACAGTGGATAGTTGGTAGCTAGGGTTTGGATAGTGGATAGTTGGTAGCTAGGGTTTGGACAGTGGATAGTTGGTAGCTAGGGTTTGGACAGTGGATAGTTGGTAGCTAGGGTTTGGATAGTGGATAGTTGGTAGCTAGGGTTTGGACAGTGGATAGTTGGTAGCTAGGGTTTGGATAGTGGATAGTTGGTAGCTAGGGTTTGGACAGTGTATAGTTGGTAGCTAGGGTTTGGATAGTGGATAGTTGGTAGCTACAGGGTTTGGACAGTGGATAGTTGGTAGCTAGGGTTTGGATAGTTGGAAGCTAGGGTTTGGATAGTTGGTAGCTAGGGTTTTGACAATGGATAGTTGGTAGCTAGGGTTTGGATAGTGGATAGTTGGAAGCTAGGGTGTGGATAGTTGGTAGCTAGGGTTTGGACAGTGGATAGTTGGAAGCTACAGGGTTTGGATAGTTGGTAGCTAGGGTTTGGACAGTGGATAGTTGGAAGCTAGGGTTTGGACAACGTAGCCATATTTTCTGTATGTGTGTGCATGCGAATTCTGTGAAATTCTGCTTCACCAGCATGCCATCTCAATCCAGCCTCTATAACTATAAATAAAGGCTGGTAAATGCTTGAGAAATAAACTGTATTGTCCTCAAGCTGTTTCTGTGGTCACGTTTAATTTTCATTCTAAATAGGCATTATGGAAAAAAAAATGCAACGGATTTCAATCTCTGTGCGTCCTCCGCACTGCACACGCCTGACATCTGTTGTCGGGGGGGGGGGGAGAAGTTGTCCAATCCTGACTTATGGGACAGTCAGGTTGGTGAGGGAAACTGGTGGTACATTAACCCCTCTCTAACCCGTGCTCTAGACACTAGGGGCCGTCCATGGTGATGTAAAGCACTGGTTCCTTTTCTGAGAAATGACTAGTTTCCAACGAGCGTTTGTTTTCGGGCTGATTTTTTATCGAAGTTTTCAGAATATTATTTGTGTTATTGAACACTTTGTAAAGAAAGCATCGTACGGGCTAAAGAACAAATTTTGAATGAAATCAAGCTTCCACCATTATTCGCTTTTCAAGTTGATGCAATCAGCAGATGTAATTTCGTGCTCGCAGTTGCTTGTCTCCGTAAAACAAAATCATTCAAATGATATCAAAGAAGCGGTTCTATATTGTAGTGAACATAAACTACAATAAAAAGGGAAGATATTATGGAGAAAATAAATACGATTTTTTTTTTAAACTGGAGGTTCAAAACGGGAAAACGTGGGGTTTGTATTTTGGTCAAAAATCGGGATTTGAGAAAAAAGTACAAAAATCTAGCTCCATGATCGAGGGGAACCCACTGCATGACTCACATGTATGCCTTAGCAAAGTTTACAGAACTACAAATTTGATGTAATACTTTCATATGAAATTTCATCAACCTCGCTGTAAGGGTACTCAAGTTATCGTATTCATAGATATACAGATAAGATTGCAAAATTAAGTTTTTCTGACTTAATGACTAGTAAAATGCAGAGATTTTGATAAATCTCGATTTAGAATTTTTGCCCGATTAAAATAAGTCCCCTATCCGTAAATGATTTTGATGAAGTATTGTAAAACGTTGAAAACTCAAAATTTCATGTGATTTGTGTGCACGATTACAAAACTTCTACTATCTATAGGCCTACTCTGTATATGAGAAAGTAAAAATACATTATATGTTGAGATTGACATGAGTTTGGCGTTGTCAGAAATAGTTAATAACACGCAGTTACATCTATCGCGTTAAATCAGTTATCAAACAATTTAAAATAAAAATTATACTAGAAAATCTTAGTTCGGTGTTTATTAATTTCTTTACTAATATTGTCATATTAATAGTGTAGGGGTCATATTAATAGTGTAGGGGTCACTACTCGAAAAAGTTTGGGAACCTGCGATCTATTTTTATCTTGAGCACGCGCACACGACGGCCCCGTTTTCTGTCGTGTGGGCTAGGTCGCTCAGTCAGGTGTACGACGTCAGTCAGAGGTACGGCCTGAGTTGTTCCCGCAGGACACCCATCATACTTTAAATCATAGTTTGTGAGGGTGAGCAATTCATGGCGGTGACATAAAATCAAATGAAGTGAAACATCTAGCATGTCTATACGGGACACTACACTGGCTACACACCGTTGTGTAGAAGAGGAAGGTATAGTCTCTAGAACAAACTTACGGCTACATTTCTTTTAAGCTGACATTTATAAACTGCTTAATATAAGTATTATAAGCACAGAATAAGATGGCGTGGTAGAATGATAGATCGTTCGACTGCCAACCTGAAAGGTTCGGGTCCCTGGTAGAATCGTAGAACGTCCAGAGTCCACCCAACTCTGATGGATTCCTGACCAACCTTAAACAATTAACATGTCGAGGTCACATGAACAGGTAAAGTCTACTTCACCTGCCCCGTAGACCGTCGAGTTCAGAAGGTAATTTCTTTTATAAGCAGACAATTTCGGCAATGCATTTTAACACACTTAACTGTATATCTAGGGCAATCGATACGCATGGCTAACCTGATCCCTTACACCACACCGTATCCAACGCTTACAGCGACGCTAGAAGTGCACAAACACTGTGCTACAACAATGGTGAGTTTTATCTTCCATATTAAGTTGTGTACAGTAAGTTTACATTTACGCAGCAACCAGGTTCGCTGTATTTCGTCATGTTAACATGTACAATAGGCTTGTCAGTAGATCTACACGTAGAGGCAAATAGTTTGCTCGTCTGATTGTGTTACAACTACGTATTTTTAATTTGACTATCTTTACTTCTCCGATCTAAAGGATATGGTATGGACCGGGATTGTAAACATGTTTGTAGACTCGTTGCTGTGTTTTCATGGCTTTACACACGTTGACTAGAGCAGTTGAACAAGGATTATTACAAACGAGCCGACCCGCGGCGTATCACACGCCGGTATCACACGCCGCTATTTAGTTTTATTTTCTACTTTTCATTAATTCATAATTTGTGAATTCGACAGTACCAATGCTGTTACTGAAAATATTTGCTTTAAAACACTGAAACCCTCCTCCCCCCCCCCCCCCCGCGAAAGCAGCCTCCTCTTAGTTACCTCCCATAAGTTTAAAATAGTTTCAAACTAAATTATCTGCCCTTAATAGACGTCACTAAACCCGGCTCTACGATTGTAAACATTTAGCGTGAACCACAGCTCACCAGACCATGTGGGGGTGGTAGGGATATGCCTAGAGAGGAAGAGAGGGGACTGCTAGGCGCGCTTACAGCTTGGTGTTTTCTAACGTCCCCAAGAAGAGAATTATATATATATACGAGCTGACCCGCGACGTATCATACGCCGCTATCTAGTTGTTTTATTTTCTATTTATCAACAATTCATAATTTGTGAATTCGACACTACCCCCACCCCACCCCGCCCAGTGAAAGCAGCCGTTTAAAGACGACAATAAAAATATAAAGCAGAACTTATTATCTCCACTTAGTTTCAAATCGTTTAAAAACTAAATTATCTGCCCCTAATAGCCGTCACTTATTTGAACCGGCTCTACTATTGTAAACATTCGGAGTGAATCACAGCTCACCTGCCGCGTTTTAGTTGTTTTATTTTCTACTTTTCAGTAATTCATAATTTGTGAATTCGACAGTACCAATGCTGCCACTGAAAATATTTGCTTTAAAACACTATAAGTAGGTCGTTAAGGACGATACCCCCCCCCCCTCCCTGTCTTTGAGTAAGACTGCGGGAATGTTATTTTCTAAACATGACTATTGTTCTCATAAATTTCCGCTTGTGAGAATAAATCTGTCAAGCACTTTGCTAAATATTGAGGAAAACTGTCCAAAATAAATACTGAGTTATACCCCGTCAGTTATGGCTTACTAGCAGGGTACAAGTAGAAGATTGTTACAGTTTTGTAGCTTCGTTTTTTCGAATTCATAATACACCAATGTAATATATCCAGTGTTTCTTTTACTTTTTTTCTATATAAATTCTATTTTGTTTAGTGGGGGGGGGGGGGGTTCTTTGCTCACCCCCCTCCACTATGAGAACGATTAAACTGTGGGATTTAAAAACATTAAAATACTTTTTTTTTCCTCGCAACTTGTGTAGAGTAGTCCTACAGTGTTACTGTTGTCCGTACAAGACCAAGTCTTTGCTCTCTAGAATGCTGGGCATGTTATGAGATGTTTCAATTGTCACGGTCCACTTGCCTAAACCAACACGGTGAAATCTTCAATACAAAATAAGGTAGGTGAATTTAAGTTTAACTCATCAGTCCCAAACCGTGCGGCGTCAAAACGGCCAATGACAAAACGGCCCCGTCAAAACGACCCCGACAAAACGACCCCGTCAAAACGACCCCGTCAAATCGGCCCCGTCAAAAGGGCCAGCGACATATGGACCCCGTCATATAGGCTCCCGACAAATAGGCTCCCGTCATTTAGGCTACCGACAAATAGGCTCCCGTTATATAGACTCCCGACAAAAGGGCTCCAGTCAATAAGGCTCCTAACAAATAGGCTCCCGTCATTTTGGCTCCCGACATATAGTCTCCCGTCATTTAGTTTTTTCCACAAAACGGCCCCCGTCATTACGACTCCCGACAAATAGGCTCCCGCCATTTAGTTTCTCCACAAAACGCCCCCCGTCATTACGACTCCCGACAAATAGGCTAGCGTCATTTTGGCTCACGACAAAAAAGGCTCCTGTCAATTTGGCTCCAGACAAAAGGACCACTGACACAGTGGCGTAGCTACCGTAAAGCTAGCGTAAGCAAGGCATGGGGGCCCAAGGCACATAGGGGCCCTTTTACCTCATAAAAAATTAAAACTTTTACAATGGAATTTTAATATTTGTTACATATAATAATTTTAAAAAAGAAAAAGGTTAAAAGTTCCAAAAAGCCCCCCCCCCCCCCCCCCACCGTTTCGGCAGTGGGATTCAGTGTTTGTGGGTCAAACAGAGCCCAATCGTTATAATAACACTACAGGCGATATCACTTTGTCGTGCAAGACATTGAGAGAATCAGCCTATAAATAAACTTTTTAGCAGTAGTAGGCAAGCATAATAATATAGTATAAATACATAATCAGGACATATAAAATACAAAATGTTGCCTTCAGAATATTTTTATATTAAAAAATATCCATCGTAAGTAGAAGTTGATCTCTTCGTTTAACTCCTCTGTAGCCTAACGCAGAGGCGTAGCGAAGGCGAAGCGGGGGGTGCGGACCGCAACGGGGTGACACCATTTAGGGGGGTGACACCAAAGGCAAAAAATTGTAAAATTTATAGAATGAAATGCCATTTTCCAGATCCATTAGTTAAAGTTAAATAGTCTTCTAAGTACAAATCGAAAATTATATCAAGAGGGGGGGTGGGGGGGGGGGGATGTGACACCACGACGTAAACGTAAACTATAAAGAAAACAATGCTACATCCAACTGTATTATAGACAGACTGTAGATAAACATCGTTACTATTAAGTCTGCAGTGATTTAAGCTTAAACACGTACGTGTACCAGTATGTGGCATATATATATAAATTTTAGGCCTATGTAGGCCGACAAACACACACACACACACACACACACATACACACACATATATATATATATATATATATATATATATATATATATATATATATATATATATATATATATATATATATATATATATATGCTTTGTTTCCTGGAAGGGGGTGACAATACGAAGTGCCGCACCGGGTGAGACCCGACCTAGCGACGCCACTGGCCTAACGGCTGACGAAGGGGCCCACTGATAATTTTTGCATAGGGGCCCAAAAATCCTAGCTACGCCACTGCACTGACAATACCGTTTCTGTAGAGACTAAGTCTCCTGGCAAAGCGGTCTCATTGAATATGACACCTGCCAGTGGGACCCCTTCATCAATATTCTTTAGAGTCAGCTTAGCCAACAGTCTTAAGTAATACAACGTATGCATCTCTTGAACGGCAGGTCTTATTTTTATAATAGTTTATCTATTATAAAATATAGTATGTTTTAATTTAAGGGTCATCTATCTATGACATCCATAATTGAGTCGGTTATAGGCTGTTCCAACTCAGTGTGTGGGGAGAAGGGTCCACGCTGTACCTTCCTAACTGCAATATGCTTGTAGGTTATCAAAACAAAATGCTGTTATCATGTTAACATGTATATCATACATTTACACTTCTGTGCTCGCTTTTAAGCAACAGATCTTTTCTGTTGTAAATTAAACATTATCAAAACTTTAGAATTGGTGGAATTTAGCTGTTAAGGGCTCGATTTGTTTGTGAATTAATGTTGGTTCATGAAAAACAATTTCATTCGGGCATTAAAAAGAGGTTATAGTGGTATTGGAGGTAGGACACAATGGTTACTTTTATGCCAATAGTGGTCATATCATTCATTTTTCTGGAGCCAATATGTCGGGAGTCATTTTGTCAAAAGCCAATATGTCGGGAGCCCAATTGCCGGGAGCCAATATGTCGGGAGCCCATTTGTCGGTAGCCAAAATGTCGTGAGCCCATTTGCCGGGAGCCCATTTGTCTTGAGCCCTTATGTCGGGAGCCAATATGTCGGGAGCCGCTTTGTCGGGAGCCAATATGTCCTGAGCCTATTTGTCAGGGGTTAATATGTCGGGAGTCCATTTGTCGGGAGCCTAAATATCGGGGGCCCATTTGTCGGGAGCCTATATGTCGCAAGTCAATATGACGGGAGCCCATTTGACGGGAGCCAATAAGTCGGGGCCCTTTTGACGGGGCTATTTTGACGGGGTCGGTTTGTCGGGAGTCGATTTGACCGGGTCATATTAACGGGGCCGTTTTGACGGGGCCGATTTGTCCCAGGTCGTTTTGACAGGGCACCGTCCCAAACGTGCATCAGCGAAACCATACAATATACAAATAGGCTAATTATCGATCAGCAGTCCCTCCATAAAAATTTAAATTACGGCCTCTAAGGGACCTAAATGGATGTAATTGCATGTTATTAACTATTTCTGTACAAAAAGAAATAACCAAGCTTAGAGTGTTTTGCTTAAAAAAATAATTTGGTTATTTCCCCTTGTCGATAAAAATTTCTGGCATAAAACAAAACCAAAAATGTTATTGTTAGGTGTCATCCATTTATGACGTCCACAATTTTTTTTTATTTTGGACCCCCCGTCCCTCCGTCGTCCTCCCCCCCCCCCCACAAAAATCCACTTATTTCCCTTATAAAAGTCCATACGCGTCCAAAAAAGTCAATTTTTTCGGACCCCCCCCACTTTAAGTGAAGGGGACACTTTTCGAGGCGGGGTGGGGGGTGGGGGTCGGACACTGGTTAAAATATTTATTTTCTATATAAATTATATATTTTAAAATTTCGTCCGGGTGGAATGAGGGGGGGGGGGCATTACCCGCTGAAAAGATGCCTAAAAGAAACTGCACTTAATTAGGCGTCGAGTTAAGGAGGAGGGGTGCTCACTAGCATTTTTGGCATCGATATTTGTTTTATGGTATTCGGGGGGGGGGGGCATCACAATCTATTGTATTACTGAACAGGGGTCATCCATAAATGACGTCACGCTTTTTAAAACGATTTTTACCTCCCCCCTCCCCTCCGTCACACGTCGTCACAAAAAGCCAGACCCCCCCCCCTAAATGACGTCAAACCTCAGCCTACAACCCCCGTCAAAATTGCAGTTGAATTTTTTTAAACATTGATATTTTTCTAAAATCTTGTCTGAACTCTGTCAAAATAGAGTATTTTAATCAATTCCTATTACAATTTATTAAAACAGTTTTCTAAAACGCGAAATAACGTCTAAAATTAGTTTTCTAACATTGCTTTTTTATAATGCAAAAGTTTGACGTCGCACCATCTTAACCCCCCCCCCCTCTTCCTCATCACACACCGTCACAAAATTACGGACCCCCTCCCCCCTACGAGCAGTTTCTAATACTGTTGACTCTCTACAAGCTCCCTAATAAAAGTCAATAGTATTATCTAATCAATAGTAATATAACTTTTACATCTTACATTAACAATGACCGATAAAAAACTTTTATTTCGGCGCCCCACGTTTTTCATCGCTTATAGTAGAGTGATCGCTTGCATTATTGTGATGTATAGCATTTATTTTCTACTTTTTAGTTCAATCAGAAAACGTGGGGTTTTCAAAACTTTTTTAATGATAATTATTTTTATTTTACAGTCACCAAACCTCGTGTTTTCGTCGAAAAATGTAAATAGGCCTATCCTATAAATTAACTAAAATACGAAAGATGTAGTGTGCAAGATGCGCGAAAAACGGGCGGATGAAGTGTTTCTTTAAACTTTTTTCTCCAGTTGTGTGTGTGTGGGGGGGGGGGAGAGGACACTTAAAATTGTATACTTTCTATATAAATTAAATATTTTCTCGTCCGGGGGGGGGGGGGGGGGGTCAATTGACGTGCTTAATTCGGATTGGGGTGGGGGGGGGGGGTTCAAGAGATACCCGAGTAAAAATAATCAGGGCGTAGGGAGGGGGGGGGGGGCAACCTGAATAGGCATAGGAGGCCCAAAATCTTCAAAAACATCGGTGTGTGCTAAAAACATCCACTCGAGGCCTACTTGTAATTGTCTTTAATTTCGTGAATATGCTAACACTAACTCAGGCCTACTCTGAGTCGTTCTCTATATACCTGAAGGGCAACCAGGGCCGGCGCTAACTATAAGGCGAACTAGGCGGTCGCCTAGGGCGCTGTCCGTAGGGAGGGGGCGCCAAAATGGGCTGGGTTGGTTAACCAAATTGAAAGTTTGAGGGGGGGTGCAAATCGAAAGTTAGTCCCCGGGCGGCGCCAGGAAGGGTCGCTACGCCTCTGATAATACGGGGGCACGAAAAAAATTGCGGGGGCGCTTTTAATAAGTTTTGCCTAGGGCGCTAAATAACCTGGCGCCGGCACTGAGGGCAACCGCCCAAAACCGTTTTAGTTTTATGGGGTTTTGGGAAAATTTAGTCTCAGCCTTGCTGAACTATCGGAGTAGCCTCCCTGGAGATATGGGCCCGATTTCGGAAAATGTTTTCTTCCGCTAGTGGTACGCTAAATAGATCTAGATCTAGTCTAGATAGTAAATAGGCTATACGATTTAGAGAGTAGAGAAAATGCCACCTATCCATCATGCGTGTATGTATTAGATTATTAGATGCATGTAAAGTATAAAGGCCTATAATCTAGTAGACTCTATATTCTATATGCAATATAGTTTATACATATGTATTATAGAGGTCTAGTATGGGGTATATTATGAGTATGCTTGTATGAAACGTAACAGTGGCACAGCGAGGTCGGTTGTCACCCGGTGCGGCACTTAATGGTGATACCACCCACCCCCGTAATTTTTTTACTATATATATAAATATATAAATATATATATATATATATATATATATATATATATATATATATATATATATATATATATATATATATATAAGTATGTATGTATAAGTATGTATATACGCATGTGTATATGTATTCACATATATTTTATATGTATTTAATTTTTTTACCTTCCCCCATACATAGATTAACATAAAAGTTATTACGATTCTCAACCAAACTCTTTACCTCATGCATATTTTGCAACGTTGAGTTAATCAAGTTAATGTAACTTCGATCCCCATCCCAAGGCGATTGCTTTAAACTGTGCTCAGATATAATACTAACGATTTTTATCTATAGACGGTGACACATACAGCTTGATGTAGCATGTTTTCTCTATCATTAGCAGGATTATGTCATGGTGTCACCCCCCCCCCTTTTCGGGATTTACAAATTTCCTCTTATATATAGGGGTCGTCCATAAATGACGTCACACTCGTAGGGGGGAGGGGGTCCGGAATTCTGTGACGGTGTGTGATGAGGGGGAGGGGGGGGGTCAGATGGTGCGACGTCACACTTTTGCATCATAAAAAAGCAATGTTAGAAAACGAATTGTAGACGTTATTTCGCGTTTTAGAAAACTGTTTTAATAAATTGTAATATGAATTTATTAAAATACTCTATTTTGATAGAGTTCAGACAAGATTTTGGAAAAATATCGATGTTTAAAAAAAAATTCAACTGCAATTTTGAGGGGGGGGGGGGGTTGTAGGCTAAGGTGTGACGTCATTTTAGGGGCTTTTTGTGACGATGTGTGACGGAGGGGAAGGGGGAGGTAAAAATCGTCAAAAAGCGTGACGTCATTTATGGATGACCCCTTAAAAGACTATTTAACACTCTAATTAATCACTTAATTAAGTGGAATTATCATTTTTCTGTATTTATTTTGCTATTTTTTTGCCTTGGCGTCACCCCCCTATAAATAGTGTCAACCGGTGCGGTCCGCACCCACGCCACCCTCTTCGCTACGCCCCTGTAATATGATAATATATATAAATATATATATATATATATATATATATATATATATATATATATATATATATATATATATAGATCTATATGCCATTATATGCCTATATCTGATTATATCTATCTAAATCTAGAATCAAAGGAAGCGTCTATGCCTATACTTATTAATATATTGTACTGTGACTGTCAACATTCTAAGACACTAAGTAGATCTAGATATAATAGGATTCTAGCCCGACTAAACTAGATCTACTAAGTATAATCTAGTAAAGTAAGTTCTAGTCTAGACTCTAGAATTAGAACTTCAGTGAGCAGTGATACTTCAACATACTTGACACTTGATTTGACCCGTTGTAGCAATGGTTTAATTTGAAATAGATCTAGAATCTAGATCTAGCTAGCTATCTAGATCTAGATATCTAGATCTATCTATTAGGCCTACGAGCCAAATTTGATTTTGAGATACAAGGAACCTGTGATTAGCATGCTGGACAAATGATTGGTTGAAGCTTTTTAATGACATGTCATTGTTCAATGTTTATCTTCGTCTGCAGCATTCTGAAACGTCCTTCAGCGGAAAGAGATGAAAGAGTGTGAGAAAAAGGTAAAGACAAGTGAAGAGAAAAACAGTAACAAAAAGTTTTACAGTAGGATTGAAGTTCAATTCAGTCAGGTTCAGTTTAGTTAGATCTAGACTAGTTCCATTTTTTTATTTTATTGTTTTTTTTGTTAGCGATGAAGTGTAGCGTTAACATTACAATAACAACTTTAACTTAACAGTTAAAGACTAAAGTCAACTTACTTATGGCAGGAAACAGATTGGTACCGCAAAATGCATATTCGGTCTTCGCCGTTCATAAACTTTCTAACCAGACATCGTTCGGGGATTTTGTTTATACTGATAAATAGAGCAAGGTTTTTACAAGCTTCGTTAGCAACATTTTTGTGGAATTCGTTTTTTATGACATTTTGTGCCGCGGCGAAGGATGCGAAGTATGCAAATCTAGACGGAATGGATCTACTTGGAAAGTACGTGTACTGCACTAATAAGGTAAGAAATACTATTTTGTTAAAATAACTATTATTTTTTTATGGATTTTTCATTAGAAATGATTGCTGTAAATTATGAAAGTAAAAAAAAGTATATTTGAATGCGTTTTTTACTTTAATTTGAACAAAATGACTGCCGAAAATTACGACACATCGGCGTCGCTGAAAGCGGGAATTTCAGTTAATTTTTTTACGGATATAAAATTGTATTTTTTTACTCCGAAGCATGTATTTAAATAACAGTTAAGTTAAATCTATTTAATTCTGTAAAATATAATTATTATTTTGCCGTAGATACTTTTTTTTTATTTTTAATGATTTTCTGTCGCGGAAAATCGGTATTCGCACCATGCACGCACACGTATTAAAACTAGACTTATCTTTAAAACACGAGAATCTCGAGTACACTGCGAATAACAAAGTTTTTAAATGTTAGTTTACTTTTGACTTTAAGCCAATTGTTTTAAATCGAAATTAATTGATAATGTAATTATTTCAAAGTAAAAACTTTCCGTCTGAAATTGGCTTCTAACCTTCGCCACTGAACCAGCCTACGCACGACATTCGCGCGAGTCTGTTTCTTCGCAATAGTCTGTATAGTGTCGAGGGCTAATCCTGAAAAGAACCGAGTCCTCACTAATGTAATGTTTATTAAAATTAGGTACAATTGTTGGAACACATGAGAAATAACAAATTTAAATTTCTTCAAATCTATAGCCAAAAGAAAGTAGAACTTTATAACTCTGTAAATTATGAATCGAGTGACGGCTGTCGTGAAAACGGGAGCCATTTTACTCTTTTTTTTAGGGTGACCTACTTTTATTATATAAATTTAAAATTCGAACATTTGATAAGCAGCTGAGTAGCTGAATACGCATGCGATGTGGTTGGCACGTTTTGGGATAGGGATCGAGTACACCGTAGAAATTTTTTTCTTAGAACTACGCGTATTTTTTTTTTTAAATCAAAAGATACTTACATATTAGCTGTGGATTTCAATTTCATTACAGAACTAATCACTAACTTTAGTTTTTAAAAGTGATATTGCTTCTAGATCTAGCGTATTTTCAAAATTACGTAGATTCTAGATCTAGATCGATTTTACTAGACTAACTATTTGACAAACGTGTCAGTAAAATGAGGTCACCGCTTCCAGATTCTTAGGTTTTAATTATGTTTGTCATTTTGATCTATTATAAGTAGCATTAAAATTTCTGCATCTATCATCAACATTGTTTTTATAGGCCAGTTCTAATGATACATTCTGTTCATTACCAATTCTAATGAAATCGTATAAGGCCCTAACTAACACCCTGTTCACTCAAGTTCACTGACACCACACTATTTGAATGAGGCCACAGACAGTCGTAACTTTAAATTAATTTATAAAGTACTAAACAATTATAATTAGCCATGTAAATGCTGCAACTATAATAAAAATTGGCATATAGACATATTTTACTAATAATATTTTTTATATAGATTCTAGACCTTCTATATTTAACTCTGTTATTTTTTTCTTCCCCAGAGTGTTTTTAAAAGCCAGAATTTTGAACATTTTTTGAAAGGGGATAGCGGTCGTTTTTTTTTTCAAGAATAATTATAGAAATAAGCTATAAACTGGTATATTTTGTAAAGTTTGACATAATTACAAATAAATTTATGCCTAAGTGACATTTCTGTGTAATTATATTGTTAATTTTGTGAATTTCGTGGATTTTAGACCTTACTACATTTAGATGTAAAAAAAAAATGTCATTTGAGTGAGTGTGGTTAATCTAAATTTTGAACGTGATGTAAATGTCTAGTGCTATTAATTTTTATATTTTTGAATTCCTCGATTGTTAAGCAACAAAATTGATATATAATATGTCAATATTTGTTACTTTGAAAATTGGCGAAAATCGACCCTAAAAGTAGATGTTTGAGAGTTGAATCTGTTTCCTGCCTTATTCTATTACTTAAAGTTGTGTAATGAGTAAGACTGTCTGTAAGTTGTAACTTGATTTAGAATCTAGATCTAGTTGTAAGTTGTAGATCTAGAAATCTAGATCTAGATTAGACTACTACACGGGTTCCCAACCTGGGGGTCGCGAAGGGCTTCCTGGGGGGTCGCCAACTGGTAGACAAAACCTTAGCAATAAAAAAAAAAACGTAATTATTTAGAAGAATATCTGAAATTCGGCCTTACAAACATTACTGGAAATGGAATAGGAAAGAAACAATGCGTACTGTGCAAAGTTGTTCTCATCAACGAGTCTATGAACTTTGAGATGAGTTATTCGGAACACACCAAAAAGATAGGGAGTTCTTTCGTCGGTATGAAGCTAGTTGCAAACGTCAGAGACTTGATCGAACATGAAGTTTTCACACAGCATTAGTGCAAGCATCATATGAAGTAGCATTAGAAATTGCCAAGCTAAAAAGCTTCTCACACAATAGTAGAAAATCTCATCAAACCCTCAATGTTGAAGATAGTGAAATTAATTTTTGGGGATTTCAGTGCAGTAAAGATGCAACATATATTTCTGTCTAATAATTATATTCAGCGGCTTATAGCATTCATGTCAGTAGATGTTAAAGGACACATTTTAAATGAAATCAAGCTTTTACCATTGTTTGATTTTCGAGTTGATGAATCAACAGCCGTGAGTTCGTGTTCACAGTTGCTTGTCTTGTGAAATATATTCATTCAGATGATAGCAAAGAAATCATGGAGAAAATAAATACGTTTTTTAAAAAAAAAATCTGGATGATTAAAAATGGGAAAACGGCTGTGGGGTTTGTACGGATGGTGCGCCATCTATGTTTGGGTCTTCTTCTTCTTCTTCATTCTTAATTATTAGTGTTGAAGGGGATCGAGATTTATCTGCCAGTGGGTTTGAACTCGAGACTTTGTTCGAATTTATCAACCATGAGCTTTTTGCCGACTCGACCACGCCTCCAACACAATTAAGCGTTACGTGTCAACTGGTTATGCGCCATTGAGGCCATTGACTCCGATTTCAGCCTGCTTTTCTTTTTGGATTTGCTTCCATAGCCTTTGTCCAACCAAGAACAAACTACAAATCAGCAGTTGTTTAATTTTGGAGTTATCTCTCCTAGAAGAGTGGCTGTCCCCAGCTAACGAGCCTCATCTGCCCGAGACTTTTCTGTTTAGCAACCATGAGCTTTACCGACTCGACCACTTCGAACCCCTATGTTTGGGTCAAGATCGGGCTTTTGGAAAACAGCAAAAGATTTAGCTCCCTAACCAAGGGAAATCCATTGCATGATTCACCAGTATGCCCTCGCCAGCAAGACTCTTCCGACTCCATTGCTAACGCTAATGAAAGTCGTAAATTATATTAAATCTGGAGCCCTAAACACCAATCTGTTTAAAGAACTGTGCAAAGACATGAATAAAGATCACGAGGTTATGCCTTTTTACATTACAGTACGCTGTCTACGCTATTATCTCTTTTCATGATTATCAAAGCTGCAAAATTGGCAAAGTTTGCCATGTTTGGTGAGTATGATTGTGAGGTAAATACAAATTTGAAAGAGCAGATTTCTGGGCATCTTGAATCTCTTAGCATCGAACTGCGGCTTTATCCATGAGCTGAAAGAAGAAGAATCTGCATTGACATGTTACCCATCCACTGCTTCCCTTGATGTTGCCAGCATTCCCGGTGAATTCTTGAATTTGCAGAATGATTCCGCGTCAGATGAAAAACTGCTCACCCAACTTTGGTGTAGTATGCAACATTCATACCCAAACGTGAAATTGATTGCCTTTTGAGTTTTAGTTCCTTTTGTGTCTACATATCTTTGCGAGAATAGATTTTCACCACTTCTCCAATTAAAAACAAAAAGAAATAAATTAAATGTTAAGAATGACATGAGGTTGGCGTTAACAAAACCTCAACCGCGAAATGTCGAGGCTATTTAATAGCATGCAGTTTTACTCATCGTATTAAAACAGTTATCAATAATAATTCACATTGAAAGTCTACTAGAAAATCTAATTTTAGTACTGATTAATTTCCTTACTAATTTCGACTTTTTAATTCTATGGGGGTCGCGGGTCGCTTAATTTTTATAAAAGGGGGTCGCCACTAGAAAAAGTTTGGGAACCACTGGACTACTAGATCTAGATCTAAGTGAATAAAGTGAAACTCCTAGATCTACACCTCCACCAGCATGATCTTCTATAAGCTCAGTTAAGTTGAGTTCCAAAGTAAAATAGAATCTACACTATTATCAAAACCAGTTTTATTTCTTTACATCTTAATATGTTTTTATCCAATATTTGTCATTTATAAATCAATTTTCTTCAACAAAAACAACTGGGGTTGGATGGACTAATGGCATTTTAATTAAATTTTTGTATGGAAAATATTTGATATACGTTCAATTTGACCTACCAGCAAGGTTACAGAATGAATTAAATAACTGTTGTATTTTTAAAAAATCTAAATCTATAATTTCTAGATAATCTAATTATCTATTAAAATGTTCTCACCATATCTAGATATTAGCACAGAAGCAAAGTGGCAGTGGACATAGATCTATCAAAGACTGAAGCAGTTGAACAATGTTCATGTGGTCATAAACAGCCTTTCCTCCTAAACTATAAATATGGCAACTGATGGAGTGAGGCAGCGAAGACCTGAAGAAAAGAAAGTCAATAAAAAACCCAGATTGGGTCTTTCTGAATCAGAAGCTATTCAAAAAGCATCTAAAGGGTAATTTTTAAAGTCGCATAGTCTATAGAAATCCAGAGGTCTAGTGTTCTTCTTTCTTCTTCTTCGTTCTTAATTGTATTGTTGGAAGGAATTTCACAATTAAGTATTACGTGTCAACTTGTTATGCGCCATATAGCCTGCTTTTCTTTTTGGATTTGCTTGCATAGCCTTTTTCCAACCAAGAACAATCTACAAGGCAGCAGTTGTTTGAGCTTTACCGACTGGACCACACCAACCCTGTCTAGTGTTCTAACTATTTTGTTCTGAGTAGGTGTCAACTTTTAAATTCTAAACTGTAACATACTGTGTTAGAATTTATTTCTAGATTTCTATGTGATTCTAGTTCGGCCAGGTCAAATAAGTCTAGTAAATCCAGTAGGCTTACTGGACTTAATGAATTGTGTACATTTTATAGATGTAAAACTAAGGCAAAAAATCATTGACATTCATCATCATCATCATCATCTTTTCTCTTTTGTGCTCAGGTCACCTGGGGCCACCACAGAAACCTCTTTCCACTATTGCCAGTCTCTGGTAATTTTCATGTCAGTTCCCCAAGACAGTCCTGCCTTTGTTGGTTGTTTTTCTACAATGCGCCTCCACGTCTCCCTTGGTCTTTCCTGTTTTCTTTTTCCTTGAGGCATCCAGTTATGCGCCATTCCTGTGATGTCATCTATGCTCATCCTTAAAATTTCTCCCATCCAGTGCCATCTCCTTTTTTCAATTATTTATGAAACTGCTTCCATTGCCATTTTTCCTAGTAATCTATGATTGGAGATGGTGTTGGGCCAGAGGATGCCTTTTTGCATGCACTTAGTTTTGAAAGAATCCAGTGATTGGATGTTAGGAGTCTTCTTCATAATTGACAATGTTGCCTAAATATATATTATACAAATGACTTTAAGATTGTCTAATTTAAAACACCAAGGATTGGGCAATAGGCCTGCTATAGCCTACATACAGGCCTAAAATAGTTAACTAAATACATTCTAGGAGCTACTATTTATAGATCTATGAAAGTTAAGCTAATTGTAGTATTTCAACTCTTCAGATATTTTTTCAATGTTTTTCACATATTGATTAATAAAGGCTAAAATTATTGCAAAAGACTATAAATTATGAAATATGTAGTCATGTTTTGTTTTGATATCTAACCCAATGCCTAATTGTGTTACACTTCAAACGAATATTAACGATGCTATTACTTTATAAGGAGCCAACATAGTAGCAGGAATTAAAAATACACAAGTTATGATTTTAGCAGTTTCTTTCAGGATCTCCACCCCACACAGAACACCACAAATCCCCCCCCCCTCCACTGACCTGACAGTAGAAAAAATACATAATTTATGTATAAAATATATACTTTAACCAGTGCCCCCCCCCCCCCCCCAAAACTGTGTGGAAGAAACCATTCTACTGTTATGGTAACTATTTTCTTTTTTCTTTCATATATATTTAGCCTTTCTATTTATTTAATCATTTTTATATATTTCATAATAATTTTTTTTTTGAAGATGGATAACTCATTTTATTGTTGCTTTGATTGGAGTTGTTGTTATTCTTTTGGCTGGTGTTGTCATACTAATACTTCTACCATCACCCATTGAGCCTGTGGAAATTATTGGGTACTTATTTTTATTTATAAAACAGACTAAATGAGAACCTCTCATATAAGCAATAGCTTTTATCATTGTTTGTATTGTTATCTAAGAATGTTTCATCCAATAGCAGCATCAGTTACATTACATTATTTTTTTCTTTAGATTGCCTGAACCACCAGAATTCGTAGGTCCATTGGAGCCCAACAACTTACTGTCGAATGCTGAGCAAGTTTACAGGAATCAGTTATCAGGGCCTGAGTCAGTTGTGGTTGATGGAGGTTGGTTTGACTGTTTTTGTATCACTTCTAATAATAGGTTAGGATTGCTTCTTTTGCTGTTGCCAGGCAGCTTTAGAAAAGTGTTATTATGTTGGAAATAACCATTTTGATAAGTATTTGTTTACTTTATAGTTTTTATTCTGTTTAATGTTACAATGTCAGCTGTAATTAAAACATGCAAAACTGCAGTAATTTTGTACAGAAACATCTCTATGTTTTTAATGGGTAAAATAAAGTATTATTCAGATGAAGTAGAGTTAATCTATTTTATGACCTCTGTACACTAAGGGATATGGTGGTCATGCTCAGCCACAGTCACCTGTACAATTTTAGACTAAGCTGGGTGGGCTTCAGACTGGGACCTGGGAGAGTTTTAGATTAGCTGCCTCACTTATTAAGTTAAACAACTTAAACGATGAGCTTCACAGTGTATGGAAGAATTCTATCATTTCACTTTTAATATTTTATATTGCATATATTTTTAAACTTCATTTTAAAAGATTTTATTTCCAGAGCACATTTATACTGGAACTGCAGATGGCTGGGTCAATCACATATATCAAGGTGTTATACAGAAACTTGTTAGATTTGGAAAAGGTCCCTGTGGTCAGTTTCTTTTTGCTTAAATTATTATTAAATTTAAAATATGTATATTTTATGTGTTATTTAGGGTTATTTCTAGTAAATAGTGATGTTTCTCTACCTAATTACACCTTAACAAAACAAAACAATCAGGGTCTTTTCAATATTTTAAATTGAAAATAAAATTGCAGGTGGTTACGAGAATGAAACAACATGCGGACGACCTCTTGGAATGAGGATGGACAAAAATGGCTTTCTCATTGTAGCTGATGGCTACTATGGCTTATTTAAAGTAAATGTAGCCACAGGTAAGATAAATATTTACATCAGAGGTTCACAAACTTTTAATGCCTACCACACTTTTAAAACAAATGGAACTGCATACATGTGTATCTATATTGTGTGAAAATTATAATGTAATTTTAGGATGACAAAAAGAAGGGCACAAAACAAATCACATTGTTTTTATTTTTGTTACATTTATTTAATGCACAAAATGAAATATTAAAAAGAATTTTTTTTAAAAATGGTAAGGGAAATAACTCTCTGCACCACAACTCACTGGCCACCTACACCAAAACCCACACGAACCCAACCCAAATTCCATTATACAACCCGAACAGCACCAAAACCACACCCCACAACTAACACAACACACATGCCATACCCACACATGAAAACCTACACTCTAAAACTAACACCCCATCATCACACAGCTCAACCCAAATAGAAGTGAATAAAATATAGTATAATGTTGTATGACAATGTAGAATAGTGTATAAATATCATAATTATGTTATGTTTGCAGTTTCTAATGACTGTTTTGGAATATTTAATTTTCATTTGAATTAGATTACCATCAAAAAGCATTGTTCACTCATAATATCCCTAACACATTTTAGCAACTAACACTTTACTGAACAAAGAAAGCTTTCTTTCTTTTCTTTTTTCTGAGTGCAGTTCTTTGAATACATTTGGAAATTGTTTTAATTTAGCTTATCCTAAAGGCACAAAATGCATTTATATATAGCAGTTTTTTTTTCTGCTGTTTTAGATTTATTTAATTCAATTTATAAATCAATTCTGTCAAAAAAAGTATGTAATCTTTTTGTATAAATCAAGTTGGCAAGTAAAGCCTCATCTTTGTTTTCCAAGAATTCTATTGCAGAGTTTAAAAGTGTTAAAAATAATCAAGTCACTTTTTGATAGCCAATAATCTTTTTTAAGAAGCAATAAGCTGTTAAATTATTTAAGAGTCACAGACAAGTATATTTGATTTATAGGAATTGTATTATAAATACTCACATGCATCTTATCAGCAATCAGTACAAAAGATTATTAGCCTTCTGAATTTGGTTTCTCTTGACTTACAGCTATAAGAATTGGTCAATTTTCTTTTGTAATCAAGGTTGTCAAATAGAAATTTTGTTATTTTGACACCAGATTTTCTTTGTCTCAGGGGGATGGTGATAAATTTCTTCTTGAGTATTTCACTATCTCCCTTATAATCGATACATCCCCCAAATGCACTAGAAGATTCAGTCAACCCATTGGAACACTTATTTCCCAAACCCCCATCCCCCCCCCTCCCCGCCCCTCTTTGAGTATGATGTTTCCCACTTTGCAGACCATTGTTTTGCAATTTTCCCAATCAAAATGAAATATACGGCTGATGGCTTTAAATTGCAATAGGAGCCTTTAACAAGATGAATTTCATAAACACATATAAATGTAATGTTAATTACACTTTCAATTACATTTTGTGTATTCATAATTTATTTTCTGCCTGATTACTTTGGGGTGATAACAATTATTTTGAACTGATAATTTTTTTTGTTTATTATTTATTTGTATTATATAGGGGATGCAACTACTTTGTACTCATCCAATACTCCAGTAAATGGTAAAAAATCAAAGCTTGTTAATGACTTAGACATTGGAGCTGATGGGAAGATTTATTTTACTGACTCTAGTACGAAGTGGCAAAGAAATAATTTTGATAAAATTCTATTTGAAGGGGTTGCTAATGGAAGGTAATTTTACCCTTTTAGTAATTATATGATCATTTCAGCATAATAGATAGATGATAAGCATATTTTAAACACATTAAAATCTTGAAAAGCAACATAAGCCAAGAGGATTAAAAAAAAACACTACATTTCTTCTTTTCAGCTTTTATTGTTTGGTATCTTTCTTTTATACAGATGCTGTTAAATCCTCCACATTTGCGTACATTTCTTGGTTAAAATGTAAAATAATATGAAATTCCAGCCCTGCTTTAAAACTGCTGAGTTTTTAGAACTGAACAATTATTTTAGTGCCTTCATTTCCTCTTCTCACCGTCAATACTCTAAATTAAGTGATAATAGAACTTACATAAATAGGGCTGGTAAGTAGTTCACCAACCAGTTCTATGGCTCATGCAGGTTTTATTGAGCCGTATAACTGGCTGGTGACCTACTTACCAGCCCTATTGTGGCTTTGAACATTTTTTATGATAATAATAAACTCTCAGGTTTTTAGAGTATGACCCTAGCAGTGGTGAAACAACAGAGTTAGTTGATGGCCTTTTCTTTCCAAATGGTGTTCAACTTATTAAAGATAAGTCTGCAGTGCTTGTTGCTGAAACCTGTCGAGCGAGAATCCTAAAGTTAGTTGTTTATCTGTTTCAGTTTTTTTTTCATTACCTTCTGTTTTAAAATGATTAGATTTTTTGCAGCTGAGAAGTAGGAGGTGAGAATTAGATGCAGTTACATTGTATAACTGATTAGCTTTATTGATTAGTCTGTTGATGCATGAGTAACATAAAACTTGTAGTCAATACAACTTTGTTAGAATATAAACATGTTAACTAATAGTTAAATTCATTTAAAATTTTAGTTAGTTTTGTTATTTCATAACATCAAAGAAATCATGAGCAAACTCTGGTCTCAACACCAAAATAAGTGAGTTAAAAATTGCAGGTATGATCTAAAGACCAAAAAGACAACAGTATGGGCAGACAATCTACCTGGGGTTCCAGACAATATCCGCTACAGCAAAGCAACAGGAACCTACTGGGTGGGGCTAGCTTTCATCAGAGAAAAAGGAAAATTTTCTTTGCTTGACAGTTTAACTCCTTATCCCATGTTACGTGGAATATTATCTAAGGTATATATTAAGTGGCTTACATATTCATATGGTTTTTTGTTTGTTTGCTGTAATAATTGTTTTCATTAATTGAATAGAATACATGCTATGCATAGACCAATAGGTTTAATACTTTTCTTTGGTTTTACATTTTCAGATTTTATCTATCAATGGTTTATTGAAAATGAAACAGTATTTACAACCCACAAGTGTTGCAACAATGGCAGTAGAACTAAATGAAAATGGAGTTATTACTAAAAGCCTTCAGGACAAGACGGGTGAAGTTTTGTCATCAGTCAGTGAGGTAGAAGTTGCTGATGGGGTTATGTACTTTGGCTCATTTCATTCCAATTATATTGGCCGCTTGTATAGGAGGAGAGTGCCAGGTCTTTAAAAGAACTGTACATTGTTTCTTTTTCATACTAATTTTCTTTTAAAAATTTTTTAATGACTAATACATTTTTGTCAATGTTTTTCTGTTGTTTAAAAATAAAAAACTTTTTTTCTCAGTTAATAAATGTTTATTTCAATAATAATGACAGAAATCAAAACAATTTATTTAACATTGCTTGAATGAAACAAAACACATGAAAGTATCAGGGTATTTTGATGACCATTGCAATGATCCATACCTCTTCAACACGCACACATGATCACACAAATGGAGAGAACATATGCTGTATTTCACATTTCAATAATCTCCTGATAATAAAATCTCATTAGACAAACATGACACAATCTCGACCTACAAAAAGCCAAACTCACTTTTTAAAAAAGTTTTAAACCTTTTTTCCGTAAATGCCCTTTTATTATATTAACAATGTCATGCTGTCTCACAATAAAAAAACATTCAAAAATATTGTAACCCCAAGACTATAGAGTGCTTAAGGTAGTTAATGTGTGTATATTATATCATCAATGTTTGAAAATAAATAGATCAATCATAGGTTACTAGAACACCAATAGTGAACATCTGAATGATCTGTACATCCATAATGAAATCACTTTCTACATATACATGTATCAATATCATTCAACTACAAATTAATATAAATATATATGTATATAAATTAAAACAAACTGAATTGCGAAAATCAATTAAATTTACACCATAAATATACAAAGTGATGTTTTTTGTTACCTGTTATAATTTCTCATATAATACTCAATGACTGATTTAAAAAAACATGGGTAATAAAAAAAATGTAGGTACCGGTTAAATATATAATTTGCATCTGTTATCTTATTCTTCAGTTCTTAAACAGATGCAAGCAAGAAAGGAAAATAAAAATATGGAGAAATATGAGCTAGTTCATACATGAACCTTTAATGTCAAAGAAATGACATATTAGTTTCTAACAGCCAATACTAGGGGTTTATGCATCGATTTAGTTTATAAAAAGAAAATTAAAATACCACAAACCATTATTAATGTATTATATTCTACATGCATACATGCTTTTTTCTTGTAATACTTGTGAAAACTATATAATTAAGAGGCCCATCAGATCATTTTAAGGAAATTAAAACTATGAATCTATTCAATCAAGTTTAAGTTATTTTAATCACTTCAAAAAACTAGTTTTAAAAATAATATACATGGTATTGCAAGTTTTGTTTTACCATGTGAAAAAAAAAAATGCCAATAACAGATACTACAAAAAAATAACCAGAAAATAAAATGATGCAATACTAGAATGATTTTTTCCCCCCTTCTAATTTTAGTATTACAAGGTGAACATCATTCAATGCAATGTCTACCCTTACACATGAAGCTGCATCATTAAAAATAGATATATGTGTGTGGCATTTTAAAGTGTATAAAGCCATGATCATTAGAGATTGACTAGAATTATTAAATTCCATTCTGAACCAAAAGTGATGAAAATGTAAAGTAGAAGAGTCATATTAATTTCTTAATTCCATATAAATATTTATAAAGACTACTACAGTACTCAAAACAGGCTTCCATAGCCGATAATTTAAATTTTGTCAAGAAATAAAATCTAGCAATATCTAACAATCAGGGTCTGTCTGTGTGTTGTTCATGACATCATCTAAAAGTGGCATTTGAGGTAACTGACTCATCTGCTGAGCAGTTGGTGAGAATATGGAGAAAGGATCCATTGGTGACAGGTAGATACCATGAGCATTAGCAAGAGCAAAGTTGATGTCATCAGCCAGGGTTGGTGCAGCTTCACTGTCTCCAACAGCTTGGTCTGGTGAGCTTGTCACATAGTGCTTTGCTTCAGGGTCAATTTTATTTGTTTCTGATTCTTCTTCCAGTTCTAAATTTGATGGGGGTTTTAATTTAGATAGTTCTTCTCTTAACTGATTGTAATGCCGCTGTAGAAGAAGAATAAAATATGTGGTATCATTTACAGAAATAATTTTTTAAACTTAAATAGCACTTTTTGCACCTATATCACTTATACATGCCTTTTTAGACTTTCTTTAAGCTTCCATTATTTATCTTTTTAAACTAACATTAATTACCTTTAGAGCTAGTGTACTTTGAGCTATTGATCTGCCAGTACGTTTATCATTACTATAACATTCCATTTCTGTAATCCACTTCTCACACTGTAAAAGAATCTCATGTCTTTTCAACCAGAAGTGTGTCTGAATAATCTGAAAATTTTCATAAATTTATAAAAGTGTAAAAATGCACAAAATTATTATTTTTTTAAAAGCTGTAAAATATTTTGAACTGATGTAAACAAATTTGTTTTACCTCCTTAAAGCAAGGAGATGGGTTTTTCAGTTGTTCAAGCATTGCCCATTTCACAGTTGCCTGTCTTATGTTAGCATCATACTCGTGTGAACTGGCAGCCCCAGATGGAGTTCCTCGTGACCTCTCGTAGCCTGGTTCGTTGAAGTAGGGTTCACTTACTAGAATCAGGGACTGGATAGAAACCAGGACCTGGGGGAAAAAACATATGTGATATGAAGCTCTCCAAATATTGCTATGGTTCACTGAAAGGAAACATTTAAAGATCCTGTAGTTATTAGCAAAAAGTATTTTCACTTTGAAAAAGAAAATAATTGAAATGTCAAATACTATCATAGAGGGATCAAAGATACTCGTTTTGGGATTTTGTGTTATTTCTAATTGATTATTTATTTGTGCATACATTGAAAGTTTTTAAATTGTATTTAAAACATGGCAAACGAATATGCTTGGTAGAAAGATACCAGTAAATATACAATTCTTAGAATCTCATTTTGAATAGTTAGTTAATAATAAAACTATCATTAAAGACAAATAGTTTGATTCTTCAACAGTTTTTACCTCAAAAATCAAGATTAAAAGACTCAAAATTAGCCTTCAGTGTGAAGTGGCTCAAGCCATGATGGAAGGTCACATTGTTGTGTTATTGATACTATTACTACAGAGCAATGCATGAGCTACTAGTTAAAGGTAACAATTACCTGGAGAAAACTAGATGTTTGAGCATTCCATTTTTCCTCTGGACGTCCATGCCAAGTGTTCAACACACTCAGACATACCTAGATTAAGATGAAATATTTAGATGTACAGATCTCAAAATGATTCAAAATCAGCTTATAGTATAGGTTTTTAAAACTCCATTCCATTACCTTTCCATCATTATACAGGTTAGGATTGAATCTGACAGAGTGATTGCCAGTTGTCTCCATGTTGATAAATGGTGGAGTATTAGGGTAGTCTTGAGGGAAGAATACATCAAACTCAAAACATCCATTAGCATATGGTGTGTCTGATGGTCCAGTGATCAAAACCTGATGGCAATTGATGGTATTAGATCATGGCAACAAAAAAACCCTACATAAATTTTACAGTACAGATCGAGCTAAAACTGACTTGTTCAAATTGACCCATACCTTCATGACATCTAGTCGCTCCTCATCACACCTTACAAAAACACTGGAGCTAAAAGCAAGGGGCAGAGATGTGGACAAAGTTACAGCTTCTTGAGCCAACCTTCTTGTTCTGGACACGTTGGTCACTGTACCTGTGGCTTTAACATTAGATTCATAGTGGTGCGAAACATGGAATTTCAAGTTTTTTCCCTCCTCAGTAACCATTTCATATGTGTCAAACTGCAAGTCTTTCATGGCAGCAATGTACTGGTCTTCCAATGTTTTCTGTGGTTTATTGCTATGACTCTCCCTCTCATCTTGAGATGAATGTTCAGATTTTTCTGAGAAAGCAAAATTATCTTCACATATAATTATTAAAAACATTGTGTCATAATAAATAATAGTAAAAGTAAAGAAAATAAATAACTGAATATATTTAAAAGAATGTATTGTCTTACCACTAATTTCTTTTAATTTTTTGGTTGCAATGTGCACCAGCCTAGCAGTTTCTTGTATATCTGGTATAAGTAATGCAAGTCCTTCACTTTCTTCATCCTCTATTTTATTACCTGATTTTCCTTTATTGGACCTTCAAAGACAAAGTATAAATTTTATTTTTTATTATTCTTTATGTATTTTATAAAGGAAATTATTCAATCTGAAGTAAATTATAATATATAAAAAATATAAGTTAGGTTATAACAATAATTTAGACACGCAACCCACTTGAGTCTGCTTGCGTATGTATCAACACAGCCTTTCATTTTCTCAAGGAGAGTTTCAATTGATGCCTGTGATTCTCCACTGCTACTGCCACTCTTAACTTTATCCTCTTCCATGGGCAACAGGATGGGTACTAGGCTAGGGCACACTGTGATGCCTCTGAGCAACTGTAAAAGTGCACGATAAAGTGGCACATGACGAGCCATATCGAGCACAGAGTCATTACGTAAGTAGGATGATAATGCAGGCACTAAACAGGACTGTGAAAGAAGGTCTGCAAGTGAGTCAGGTATAAGACTTGGGTTTGCCTCAGACTGCGACAATGAAGGTGATGATGAATCAGAGTCATAGGTGGATTCAGCATCTGGTGGTTTTGAGTCTAAGCTGCCATTGGGGTTCATATAGCTGGCCAACACCTTAAAAAAAAAAAAATTCAAGTTAACTTTATAAAACAAAAAGTAGTTCAGACTTATTTAATTTAAAATCAAATCAAATAAAGGGTATTTTCATGTTAAGATCTTCCATGAGATAGAGAACATACTTGCAACAAGCAGGCAACATGTTCTTCTTCTCCCTTTTGTCTCAGCATAGCTTGTTCAGCATCCCAGCTGGATGTGGTGGAACCAGTTCCAAAACCTGTTCCTTTAGCCCAATAGTGCTGCTGAGTTTTCTCTTCTGGTTGGCTGAGTGATGCCATTGCTGTTGATGACTGCATTGCTGACAATATCAATTGTGTCTGCAAATAAGAACAATAGTCCATACAGATAAGCTAGCAATAACACAGTATGTCAGATAAAATTAACTGTAATGAAAGCCTTATTTACCTCGTGCTGAAAACTAGAAAGTGGGGCTCGTGGTTTGTGATGGCTAAGTGTAGCAAGACAAGCTAACACAAGGTGGATAACCCCAATTTCTAAAGCCATCCGCCGCAACAAAACCCCATCATCTGTCGTCAAGGGTGAAGTATCAAACAAAGATTTTAGGACAGTGAATGGCATCGTGGGTAGTGAACTGGCTATTGGGGACGTTAGAATTTGACCTGTAATTAAAAAAAGGTTCAAATATAGTAAAGCTAAAAAAATTCATTAGCATGATAAATTTGGAGGAATAAAACAAATTCATTACCTCCATCTCCATCATCAGTGACTCCAAGGACCAGCCGCAGCAGGCACTGAGCAACTTTTCTCTCTTTCAGCAGCACTTCAGCATATCCTGGAAGTCTTAGGAACAAGCCAAATGCTATCAGAGAGTGGGGTGGTATAGAAGGCACTGTCCCCACAACAGAATGTTTATTGGGCTTGGATGTGTGGGGTGGTGTGATGGGCTCTAGATAAGGCTGAAATTAAATTGCAAAAGATTTTTATCATAAATTGATCTCAAGAGGTATTTTTTAATTTGGTTTATTTTAATTCAAGATTTAATTAACAGTTATGGTTTATCATTATCTGGTGTCTTTTTCAGTCTAACGTTATAAGAAAAATAGCTTTAGCCTGGTAGAGACATTAACTAAAGTAAATAGCATAGTGCTCAAAACTTTTTTCTAAGACAACAGAAAACAATGTACATCATAGAGCTCATCAGATGACTCCACAGTCACCCAGTCATGGCCTAGGTCACCAATGTTGTTGTTGTCTGTGACAACTTCAACATTGCTGCTCTGTCTAGAGATCTCAGGGAACAGAAGTGGCAGATGCTGGGCTAACAATGCCAGGCCTCCAACACTTGCAAACACCTGCAACATTTCAAAGGTTGACATTATCAAAGTTGTATGGGTTAGTGTAATACTAATTCAATAGTTTTATTTAGCAAAATAATCACAATAATGTTCAAACTGAATCAAGTTCAACAACCAGACACTTACCTTCAATGCAGAAGGAAATGGGGGTGATGATAACAGAGACTCATCAGATGCTATTGCTTCATCAATGCTCTCTGTGTCAAAGTGTAAATATCCCATTAAAATACAATTATTAATATCCCATCAAAATGCAAGAGTAAATATCCCAAAAAAATACATTTGTAAATATCCTATAAAAAGACAAGTGTAAATATCCCATAAAAATACAATTGTAAATATCCCATTTAAATACAAGCTTTATGGGTTGAAAACATTATTTTTCAAGAAAAGTAAACAAGCCAACCTTTCATTGAGTTACTTCCAGCTGTTCTTAACCTTATGACAAACTGTAAAGCAAGAGTAGAGGGAAGCAGTGCATAATCTGACAGAACATGTAACAGCTGAGACAGGGTTAAACTCTGAGGTAGATCTTTGCCTGGAAAGTTTGAATTATAAATATCTTAACATCTTAAACCGAAAAGCCTGTTACATTCTTTACATAAATAATTATCTTAACATCTTAAACTGATAAGCCTGTTACATTCTTTACATATAAATACTGCAATTTTTTGGCTTTTAAGATGTATTATATCTTTGCCTAAAAGGTTAGAAGTTAATATTTTTAATTGATAAACCTGTTTCATTCTTTACATAATTATTAATACTGCAATATTTTTGGCCTTTAGGATGTATTAGAAATAACCCGAGCAAAAAAAACTACCTGGTAAAGCTATATGCCGTAGTCTAACTCTATACAAGGGCTGTGGATATCTGAAACCAGCCTCTACAAGTGAGCCTGAACCAGTTCCATGCCTGCCTCTTCTTGTTGGTGGTCGTGGTGGGAGACTACTCTTTGTTGTTGCTGGACTTTTTTCTCGTTTTTCTTTAGCAATAGCTGAAAGATAAATAATATTTTAAAGCAAAAACAAATCTATGTAGATACATTTCTAAAACTTTTGGACTAAATTAATCAAAATATATTTTTAAATTAGGAAATAATACATAGCACTTAACATATCTATTGGTTCACAAAAATCCTTTTCGTAATCGATTTTAAATGAGGTTTTTCTAGTAAACTCATTTAGTTAGCAATGTCAAAGATGCTTCAAGCATTTTTTAGTTTGTTTTAAAACCCGTTATCATGAACCCCATGCTGAGAGGGCTCACCAGCCGTTTGGGTGACAAATTCCATAACTTCCACATCAAGCTCACCCAGTGCTTCTTTCTTGTTATTGTCGTCAGTTCGAACTGATTTGTCCTCCTTTTTCTCTGGGAAATAGGTTGGTATGGTCGAAGTGTCTGCAATAAATATCTTTATGTTAAAAGTTGTTTTTTAACATCTGCGAATCTACAAAAAAATTCCATGAATTTACTGATTTTGAGTAAACTATAAAATAATTCCAAGTACACTGAAAAGAAATACAACTGTCTTGACAGATACCAAAGAAAAGAACACTATAAATAAACATTACCTGCAACTTTGGATATCACATCAGAGCATCTAGCATTAAGGTTCATTTTAATACACTGACAGCTGCGCCCACTTCCATAATGTGGGTGATATATTTGTCCAGTACAACTAGTCAGTGGGAAAATTTCTGCTCCTTCACTGGCAGTTGAATCATCATCTTCAGACAGTAAACTACTACTAAAGTTGCGCACAGAAACTGTAATCTTTTCATCTTCCAAAAGAACTTGAAGTAATAAACGCCGCATGAAGCCAGACAAAGGCATTGCACTTAATAATTCTGCAGAAATAAATATTTTAAAATCTGGTTGATAATAACCAAGTTTCAAACTTACAAATTAATAAACCAGTAGTATTTAAATGTCATTAACAACATCCATTCATGAAAGTATATCTTTTCCCTTCAGTGCCCAGGATACACGGGCTGCCAAATATAGATATGTCGCATCAAAATAAGAAATTTATATATGATTATGTTCCTTATTATGGTTTAGCAGATTCACACACAAAATGGACCACTATACTTAAGAAACTGAATTAAATTCATAAAAATTAAAGATAAAAAAACAACAACTGATAAGATTTTTAAAAACTACAAGAAGACCAGATTTCCCATTGAAAAATGGCCTGTCTTCAGCACTATGCCACCACTATACTATAATTTGATGGGGCCATGTATTGAACTTGAGATGTTTGTTTTTTACCTGTTTTACTGGTTCCTTGATCTTTAATCACATCACATAGTACTTTAGCAAATAACAATTGATTTTCTGGATGAAATGAAATCACAGCAGAAAAAAACTGGATTGTTCTGTTTTCAAGCTCTGATCTTTCTTCAGATGATAAGAACTAGAAACAGATAATTGTCAGAAGAATGTCAGTTAAAACACTAACTAGACAAAGTATTTGTAGCAAATTGCCTTTTATCAGCAAGATTAACTTACCCCATTATGATCATTGCTAGGAGCCATTAAAATGGGTGCCTGATACTGACTGCCACAAAGAAGAGTAAGTAGCAGTGACCAAAATGCATTACCCTCAGCTTGACCAAGCCAATTCTTTAATTCCATCTCAGAACTTATCTCAGTAAAAAACCTCAGAATGGCTGAGACTAATGATGATGTAATAGCTGGTTCATTAGCTGAAGCAAACAACAGAGTTCACATTACTTTAAGTAATCCAGTAAGATTTTACTTTTATACATTTTTCCTTACACGAATATAAAGAGTAAATTTGTGGCTAAATTTGTTTGGTACCTGTGTTGCCAGGTGTGTAACTGTTTAGGCCATTATTAGCCTCAGCTGAATCTGGAACTATTGGGGTCACAGCCAATAACATTTGTTGGTTACAGAATTCACAGACAGCCTGCGCCAGCATGGCAGGAAGGCCACAGTTCATAAGCTGTCTTGTTGCTACTGGAGATTTGCAAACTGTTGCAAGCAACATCAGTTTACTTTCATCCAGACTCATTGTACTTAGACTTTCAAGCCTACAGGCCTAAAACACAGAATAAAGAGGTTTACATTTAATGGTTCTATAATCATTTCACCCAAAACAAAAATAGGATTAAAAAAAAAAAGTATTCTGGTATATTTTAAGGGAATAACATATTTAATAATAAACATGACAGATACCTCTTTGGAGTCATCAGTCATTCCATCTGTACTGTAGGTCAAATGTGTCACAGATGGCATCCTGGTAGCTTCTTTGGAGTCATCTGTCATTCTTCCTGCTCTGGTTTCTTTTCTTTCTACCACATTGTCAGTGTTGGTCTCATCCATAGCAGTGGCAACAATCTGTGAGCCATCAGCGCCAACAATGCCCATCCACTCTTGGATGTACATGAAACCATTGGAACAAATGTGGCAGGCTGAACACAATAAGTTATTTACAGCTTTCCTCAAATTGCTGTCTGCTAGTACTCTTGACCAGTTGAATAATGATCTGAAGAAAAAATTTCATTATAAGACCAAAAAAATGTCTTCTATTTTATAACAAATCATTATTCTTGCGTTGAGAAAAATGGGAATCAATATATTTTGTAAAGAATATTTTTACCTAATAAAATCAATGGAAACAAGTCTGTTGATAGGGTAGTTAACTTGTTGTTCAGTGCTGTTCCACAAAATGGCTGCTACACACTGAACATGCTCTGGGGAAGGGTTACTTAAAGTATCATAGGACAGCCTCCTGTCACGCTGGCTGGTACTGTTGAACAAGTCAGTAGTGCTGCTCATTGCCTCTTGTTCCTTCATTTCAGCTTGTCTGATGGCAGCTATAGAGCAGTCTTCAAGCCACTGGAGCAGAGCTTTTACTCTATAAAAGGACAATTTACAAGGGTTAAGCTATTCCATGAATAACTGTCAATTATGGTCACTGGTAAAGAGTAAGAATTATAAATGGATACCCATATCTGAAGTTATGGGACGGTGTGGCTTATTGGTAGGGCGCTAGACTTCTAACTTGATAGTCTCAAGTTCAAATCCAGGTTCAAGTCAATAGAACATCCCATATGTCACTCAGCTCTGATGGGTACCTAACTCACGTTAGGAAAAGTAAATGTGGCTGGGAATAGTCAGACCACATTATCCCTTCATTTGCCAAGGTCAATAAACATATTAACTCTACTTCACTTGCCCAATGGATCGCTAGATCTAAAGAGGTTTTTTTACTTATGTCTGAAGTCGGACAGATTGATAAAACATTTTAAGACTTAGTAATTTTAGTAATCAAATACCATTATGCCTGTAGTTTATTAAAAGGCCTAACAATAATTTTCTTATTAAAGTCTTATTAAAAGGTAAATATTAGAACTCAGTTATAATAAGTTATACATAGGTCATTTTTATGAGTCAGGCAAGTAGAAAAGAACATTTCAAAACAGTTTCTTTAAGTTTTTGATAACAATAGAAGCAGAACCACAAAAGTGTAAAACAATAAACATATTGTCAAATATAACAGATTGATTTATTCTTATACCTGGAGCAGGTATTTTCATCTTGAGTTGTTCCCAGCCTGTAGATTATTTCTACAGTATATGGACTTGCTGCTCCATGAATTTTACCCAAATATGAATGCAAGGGTCCTGTAGTAAAAGTAAAACAGTTTGAGACGTTATAATAAATAAAAATATTAGAAAATAAAAGAATACCTAAAAACTAAAATAAATCTTACCCATCTCTCCAGTTCTTGATGGTTGTCTAAGAATAATATCAATCAGTGAAAGTCCAATGTTATTGTGAGACAGCCCAAGTTTAATGAGAATTGTCTCTATCTTGGGGGCATGTACACCAATCAGAGGGTGAACCAGCATGGAGGTGCAAGTTGCTAACAGATTGGGGGTCACAGCAGCTGTGTGTGCCACAGTACTTTGAATGTCCTCACTTGAGTTCATGAGGCAGTGGTGGAGAATACGCATCCAGCCAAGGCTAAAGACACAATAGAGAAATATAATACTGAAAAACTATTTAGGAATATAATTAAATAAATTTTTAAAGGCTAACAATTATTAAACATTAAGCGATTAATAAATATATTTTACACTTCAGATCATAACAGCATTACTTGCCTGGAATGTGAAAATGAGTCTTCATTCAAAAATGACAACAAATTTTCAGAGTTCTCAGCAAAAGCTGTTTGTCCCCATAAAGATATTTTCTGTAAGCCTAAGGTCATTGAATCCCATGGCCGGTGAAGCAGCAATGTAACAGATGTAACCACCTCTGGTTTCTGCAGCTGAAGTCTTATCAAAGCTAAGCTAGATGTCTGAATGGGAGGTGAGGCTGGAGTGACTATGTTACCATCATGGGACAACTCCAAGCTTACATGAGATGGACAAGCTATGGAAAGTGATGGGAAGGCGGCTGTCATTTTGGAATATAGAAAAGTTTTTTTGACTAACTGAAATCATCATCATTTAAAAAGCCATCAAAGAAGAAGAGACTTTCAAAAAGAGAAATAAAAAAGAACAAACTTTGAAATTAAAATTTAGAAGTATAACAGTAAAATATCCAACTTTAACAATTTAAACAAAATTCATAACTTTACTAATAAGAAGCTGTTTTTAAATCAGTAAAAATGAAGCACATTAAACTTACTGGAAATGGCTGCACCATGTGGTCTAATGTGCACATATTTAAGTAGCACAGCAAATGGCAAATGTATTGTTAACTCCACACAAGGCTCATCTGGATAAAAATGGTAAGACCATGTGGCAGACCGAGCTCTTCTGTTGGCCACATTTTGAATCAGCCCATCAGCAGGACTGGCTGTTGGACTGCTGCAGGTAATAGTTCCTAATAAAATAAGATTATATATATTTTCACTAAATACATACAAAAATATGCATGCAAGTTAATACCAATTGCTTGTAATAAAACAACATTTGAAGCAGATTACATACCTAAGTGTGCAAAACTCTGTAGCCCTTCAGTGTTGTCAATTTCAAATCCTTTGCTTTTTTCCCCAAGATCACCATGTCCTGAACTAAAATTCTGCATGAGGGTTGAGATTATGCTAGGAGATGACGAGATCATTTGCTGATTGCAGCGTACAAAGTTGGTACTGACAACATTGACACCACCTAGCAATGGGAAGAAAAGCAGATTAAGAATATTTCATACAAACCTTACTAACTATTTCATTTAAGTTAAAACAGTGAACCAGATCTCCAGTTGTGTACTAAAATATATCCCTGGTATCAGAAAGTATTTGTGTTTTTTATCATTCTAAAATATACATAATACACTTACCTAAATCAATAAATCTTTTAATTGCAGATGAAGTATTGAGCATTCTAAGTGTGAAAAACAACAAGGGCTCAGACAGTCGAGTGAGGGTTGCTTGACAAATAATAGGTGGCTGTCCAGAAAAGAACCTAAACAAGTTATCTACCATGATGTTCCGATCACTGCATTTCTCTTTTAGATTTCTTAATACTGTATATATAAGATCACCAACAGTAACAGCTTCTGTTTGATCTGCTGTTTTCTGGAGGCTGTTGACAGAGTCTGTGTGAGCAAACATGAGAGCCAGTTTGTTACTGGTGCAGTGACTTAGAGACTGGATCAGGTTCTGCATGATCACTTGGTTGCCAACAACTATGTCAGCTATCTCTGATGTTGTATGTGAGTTTTCATTCACATCCTCTTCACTATCTTCTTGCAAGTGCTGATGCACCTGTGATTCACCCAACTGCTGACCCAAAGTCCGAGATTTTTCATCATCTGAAAGACGAATGTTTATCAGTAATCTTGGGCTGTAAGGCTCTATGTTAGAATCAGCCCAGGCATTTTTTCTTGGAGAGGAGATGTGAGATGATTCCCAAACAGTGGAATCTGAGGTGGAGGCTTTTGAATTGGTTTTTGAAGTTGGAAGTCCTGCCCCTGGTGATAATATTAATCTGAAATAATGAAGGTTGGGATGTTAAGATTTTACCACATATTTTTGGGTGCTAATCAGCATCTTTAACATTACCTTTGAGTATTCACCTTATGTAAATACACAATTTACATATGTGCTTTGGATGATTCACTCTAGGTTATTTTTTTAATTGTATAGACTCACTTATTGACAAGCTGCATTAGAAAAAACATGAGTTGATCTCTTAAAGAATCTGTTCCACCAGGTCTACTATCACTGCCACGCAGGAGAGAGGCTACCAGTCCTCCAAAACAAGATCGAGCTCCCATGGACGTGTCATGGCTTGTTCGACAAACAACCTGTTTATACATAGTAATTATGGAGATCAATAGAGTTGTGAGAACAAGAACAAAGTTGAATCAAATACTTACAAGTGAAATGAAAAGATAAAAAACAAAAACAGAAATTATGGAGATCAATAGAGATTTGAGAACAAGAACAAAGTTGAATCAAATACTTGCAAGTGAAATGAAAAGATAAAAAAACAAAAACAGAAATTATGGAGATCAATAGAGATTTGAGAACAAGAACAAAGTTGAATCAAATGCCAGCAAGTGAAATGAAAAGATAAAAAATCTTTACCTGGTCTTGTAATGACAAATGCTGGTATACCAAAGTACTTGCGGCTTGAATAACACTGAGTGCATTACTGATGTCTACAGCTACTAAAGTACTTTCTGCAAGCATCTCTAAAAACTGCACTTGGGCATCTAGTGGGCCACAGCATTGATATATTGCTCCCCTAAAAGGTTTTATAGACATTTTTTTTTTAAAATTACCACCATTTAGATTTAATGCTTCAGACAAGTTTATATGGATTTTTTGGAGATAATGTTATAAATTAGAACAGAACAGTTGCTATTGTGAAGAAATATTTTGTTAGACAAATGCACAAACTTTTCTTTTGACCCAACCATGATTTTGCTGTAAGGTTCTAGTAGTAAATCCCTTCCCTAGTTTGATTATATTCCGAATAATTAAATTCCATTAAGTAAGAGTTTAACTGATGTTAACAGAGATCTTTCAACAGTGATTTTTTTAAAATTTTCAAACAACCATGAAATATAAAGTCTTTTTAAAAATAATAAGTTCTCTCTCACCTTTCAGCAGTGAGATTATAAACAATTTTAAGCAACATCTCTTTGAATCTCTGGCCACTAACTTCTATAGATTTACAATGTAATCTGTGAAGTAAATCTGCAAATACTTTGACAGCTGCAGGTCCAATCTGTAGGGAGAAAGTGACCAAAAATTATGTATAAGATTCAAGTTCTGTCTTTCTGTGAATGAAATATGTAAACAAAGCAATACATACTTGCTGTTGTTGGGCTCCACCAGGTGGGTGACTAGATAGAAATTTACTCAACAGAGGGGCTAAATTTGGATCATTCAAAACATTTGGTGCCATTGATGTTTCTGTGCCACCAGAACTGGTGTGCCTTTGGTTAGTGAGCAAACACAAGGACTGGAGTAAGTAGACCCAGGTACGTACAAGCAAACAAGGCATCATTACAGCAACCTGGGACAAAACAGATCATTGTACAAATATAAGAAATTGGTTGTAATAAAAACAGTTTTGCTAAGCATTTGACAAAAATAGTAGCAGTTTAACTATAATCTTAAAGTCAAATAAGCTAATCTGTAAGATTAAAATGTCATACAATTTGAAATGTATTCTTACCTCTATGAGACTTGCAACAGCATTCTCACTTAGAGCTATAACAGGTTGTCTGGTAGCATCAAACACTTGAGCGGATGCCACATTGCTGGCCGTGTTGGCTGTTGAAGCAACATCATTCAGCTGTGGATCTTCATTGAGGGTGAGCCACAGCTGTAACACTGATTCTATGCTAACACGACCTGTTCTCAACTGTGCAAACATGCGCTCGAAACACTGGCTGAGCATGTCAACTGAAGTTGTTGTCTGTAAGAAACAAACCAGGGTTTGTCTATGAAGGTTATCCAGATCAAAATGATCTTCAGTACAAATAAAACTTAACTTTAATGGAAAATGGAGGCATAATAGTACTGACAATGAAAAATCTTATTTTTAAAATTATTTAATATTATTTAACCCAGTCCATTTTAATCGAAGTAGAAAAATACTACTCAGCCCAAAATACCAAAAAGAAATCAAGGAAAAAGGGCTTACTAAGTCGTCAAATCTGAAAGGTACATTTTCTGCAGAAGCTGTGTCTGTTATATCAAAATTGATTTGCTCATAAGTGTTAAATGATACAGGAGGCTGAGGCAATGGAGAGGTAAATGCACACTGAATGTTGCTCATCTGCAGAGACTGCATCACCTGGTCGGTAAAAAAAAATATTTGAACAATTTTCTGAATTAACTAGTTTTTTCAATGATTACATTTTATTTATGTTTTATACTGTTTTATTTTATTTCAAAATAATGTAACAATGAAATACTATAAAAAAATGTTCTGTAACTGTGCAAAGAGAAGAAAATGTATTTATAAAGCTATTAAAATTACCTTAAGTCTATGTTCTGGCATTGTTTCTAGACCAAACTCAAGTCGAGCATCCAGAGCAGTTGAAAGCGTATGACTAACTGTAGGTGCTGCTGCTATTCCATATTGTTCATTTAATGCGTTCTTCATACCTAAGAGATGTTTTATAGTGCCAGGTTGGATGCTGGGAGTAAAACAAAAATACAGAAATATTTTAGAAACAGATATTTTCAAAATGACAACCCATCTTTAATAGTAAATAACTAAAGACAAATTAAAGTATATAAATTTAAATGTATCAGCATCTATAGATTAACACATAGGCAATATGTGTAGCATTTTAAAATTGTGGAGTTATGTAGGGAAAGGTATTCTTTAAAAAAAACATAAATTTTAATCAAAGGCTGTAATAAATTACAAGGCTTATTCAAATGTAGATTTTGAAAAATTGGAAAAATATAGTATTGAGAAATCATTCAATGCTAGACGATGCAGTCAGAGCAATTGAGCAACATTTGTTGTCATTATTTGTAGGGTACTCTAGGGTTTGAATTTAAATGTGTTGGCATTGGGGCTGAAGGTGGTAGCATGGGGACTGAGGGTACGTGAATTAGAGGTATGAATGGGTTGAGAAATGTTAGGCTGTAGCAGGCAGCACTTTATGTGTGTTTTTGTCAACTAAAAGAAAAATTAGAATATTTTTCCTAGAACAGGCTTATGGTTAAATTAAAAAACATAGTTGCTTATTTACCTTGGAGGGACTATTTTGATCACATTATGAGCTGCATTGTTTGTTGATATACTTGGTGGCTCAACATCTTCAAAGCTGTCATCTAATAATTTCTTCAATGAGAAGGTGGGTCCTTCAGGAGTTACCTCCATGATGAAATCAGGGAGCTCAGCAGGAGCTGAGGGAGGGTTCTCTGTATCCACTGGAAGTTTGGCCTGATGCTTACTGACTGATTCCAACAATTTGTTCCACTTAAATTTGTCTTTATCACTTTTGTTTAAAAACAATGAAACCAAGGCAACTGGGTCCTCCTTTTCACCAAGAACAATATTACCATCAAGGAAATCTATCAAAGAAATAGAAAGCTTTAATCCACACTGTTTGGTTATAGGTTTAATTGAGTGAAATCTAACTCAACTTTAGTAAACATTAAAACTATGTGTAAATGAATATGGTTAAAGTGTACCTTTTCTAATAAACTCATAAAACTGTGGCTTGGTTTCTAAGAGGTCTCTGACATTCTCAACTGGAATAACTCTGATTAACTTGTTTCCTCTTAGTTGTAAACTGAAATGGTAAGGAACCTCTAGCTCTAGCCACTGTGTGTACAGCACTGTGTCATCCACGTCTGAGATATCTGCTTCTGAATCTTCAGGGCTGGAGGGACATGTTTTCTCTCCTAAAATATTTTTACCAATGACAAATTCTTAAACCATAGTTGATATTGTCATTGTTTAAACACTAACAGCACAAACAAGAGTTTAGCTATGGTTACAAGGTCAAGTAAAAATTCTTTACCTTCGAGGATGTCTTGAAGTAAGCATGTGATGGCATGGCTAGCCCAAGCTCCCCCCCAGCTCAAGTTATCATGGTTGAATTCTGTGTCAACTATCAAAAGTACCAGCTGCTCTAACTGCTCCTGGCTCATAACCTCACACAGATTTATGGATGGTCTACAGGCTACACAGATTTTAGCCAGCACCTGGACAAACCAAGCCATTTTCAAAAAGCAGAATCACTTATACAGAAGACAATTTGACATCAAACTAGTTTAAAAATTTCAAGTAAATAAATACTGTAGTAACACTTTCAAGCAGTATGTCAGTATTTACAAAATGCTGTCTATTACCTAACCTATTTATTAGCATAATCCAAATGAAATAGCATACCTTGCATGCAACAAGAAACAGATCTACATGGCAGGTGAAGTCCATGCTCAGCAATAAGGCCATTAAGCCACGCACAACACCTAAACATCTCTCTCTTGATAAAATAATTGACTGGATTGTATCCATGTCCTCATCTTTATCAAAATCACTACACTTCTTCTGTTCTGTTACTCCTTTGAAGAACTGGTAAAAGAAAGATACCTCATAGTTAGTACTAGCTATAATTATGAGTTTACAATGACATGAACTGACAACATGAAAAGATACCAATAGAGTACTAAGAATTAGACAAAATTTAGGTAAACATAATATCAGCCAAAATTTAGAGACAATTTTTTTCACAAAATGTTAAATAATATTACCTTTGTTGAAGTTGGATTTTTTTTATTAGTCCCAAACAATTTCTTAAATCTGTCAATTTCATGCATTTTCTGTCTGTATTGTGCAACTTTTCTTTGAAAGCCTCTGCGATAGACACGTTGAGATTTTCCTCTAGCTCCACTAGTCAAAGTAGATGACCACTGACTTTCAATAAAACCCCATCTGTTATTCATGCTGAATGCTGAAATAAAGTTGAATTGTGAAAATTTAAGTGCCTTTAATGTTGATTTATTCATTATAAAATAAGTTGAAACATCTTTCAAAATCTGTATTTAAAACAAAAATCTGTTTAGAAGAAACAATACTTAATGAGTAACCTTTGTCCTAATTGGTATTAATAATTTATATATGATCACCATATTGTAGTTTACATAAGGGCGTCACTGTAAACAATTAAATCTGAAAATATTTCTTTTACATTAACATTTTCATATCGACTTAATATGTTGATTTTGTTTTTTTTTTAAAATAATCCTAGAGGATTTTTTAATAAATTATGGCTATAAATAATTTTTATTCTATTTGACCAGACCTTAAAAACAAAATTAGGAAACATTCCAGTCCAGCTACACTATGCTGTTTTGCAGCTCTGTGGATCGGAGTTTAATAAATTCCATTTTGGCACTAAATATTTTCTAGCTAACACAGCATTTTACACCTGACAACTTATTCCTAGATTTAGCACTATGGATTTCTAAGTTTCCTTTATAAAACAGCAGCATTATAAATAATTATATTCTGAACTTTGATTTGAAAATAAACTGAAAAATAGTGGATGAATTCTGACAAAAAATTTGAATCTGAATGGAAAATTAGGAAATTTGTAGAAAAACAGAAAGGTCATGTCACTTAAATGGACAATCCCAAGCCTAGGCCGTTAGTTCAGAAAACATGAAAAATGTAACAATCCCGAATATATTTTGGGTCTCTTTATTTCTGTTAAAAACTTTTACCTTCCTTATCCCTTTTAGCTCCCTTTTCTGCATCATCTGTATTGGGAGCCATTGATGAGTTTGGGTTTTCCATGTTGCGGCACAAAAAAAGTAGAATCCAGCTTATCAGTGGTAAGTCAAGGTGTTCTGTAATCAAAATAAAAAAATATTAGTAGTTAAAAACAAATGCATGAATAATATTTAAGAATGCATCAGTAATTGAAAAAAAAAAGCTAAACTAAAAGCATATCTTGTGTTTAAAAACTTCTTACTTTCCATATGATTTGAAGTGCTACTATGGGATGCATAGTTTCTGTCTGTTGTTAGAAGAGGTTGTAGCACTGAGGTCAACATTGACAAAAGACTATCTAAAATATAGAGAGCACTGGGGCCTGACAGAGACTTTTGTCCTAAAGCACACAGTAGAATAAATACCCTGTAAAAGTGTAAAGAATACAATGTGAAAACCACCAAGAGTTTACTTAAACTAATAATTGTTTCAACAAACTTTTTTTCTCTCCTAATTACTCAAGGGCAATAAATTACCTGTCTTGTGGAAATATCTGGGAATACTGGGAATGAAAAAATTCCTGCAGCATGTTCCCTAAAAACTGCCCCCACCAAGGTTGGGTGCCACAGACCCTCACTAGCAGGAGACCAGCAGAAACTTGGATTCGTTGTGTTCCATGAAGACATAAATGCTGAAACAAGGCCTGAGCATGGTCAGGTGTTAAAGCAGTATACAGAGTTGAAGGCTGAGGGATGGCTGGTATGCCCACAGTGGAAGTCAACAATGTGTCTAAGAGATTCTCTAGTATCACCCGTAATTTGTCTGTAGTAGCCTGATAGACAAAAATATAAAGCAATTGAAATTACTCAAGGAGAAAAATATATACAACTTTTTATATACAAACATGCACTCATCATTTCACAAGAACCAGACTGTTTTAAATCAAATTTTCAAAAAGGTTTACAACATGGCTCTAAAGTTTTGTTTTCCTTTGTTGATTTTTAAAAAATATTAATCACATAGAAAAATTTAATTATTTTGTAATCACATTTTTTATCATGATTTATTATTTGCCCATTAACAAAATCCTACCTGGGCTAAGAGTACTGAAGTGTCAACAGTTTCATCAATAGCATCTGTTGAAATACCTAGAGAGGTCTGAAGTCTGTGAATTGCACGTTGGGCTAAATTCAGCTGAAGTTGTAGCTGCAAACATTCGTTGTATGTCTGGGGATTTTCATTTGAAAAAAAAAACATGATTAGTTCTCAGAGTTTAAAGGTGTAGCACATATTGGTATATAATAACAACCTTATTTTAAGAAAAAAAAAATGAAGGGCTTTTATAGCTTATTCTAAAAATCCATAACTTGATAAATTAATTAACAATTAAAACCAAGAAAAACATGGCCTTGCACTATCAAAATACCTGGATTATTTGGGCGTCCTCTTCACTTAACTTTCCTGAGCTGCTCCTCTTTAGATGATAATGAATATGGGATGAGAGAAACTGAGCACTGCTGATAACTTTTAAGTGGGTTTCTAAACGTGTCTTAGCTAGATTAAATCTGCACTGCAGATCCTCGAGTAAAGAAAGGAAGAGGGCTAGCTGAGACAAAAGAGCTGCATGAGGAGTGCCGATGTCACAGCTGTTTGAATGTTTGGCTGCAGTAGGTGGGTGAGTGTCTTTTGAGGAGGAGGATGAGATGTTAGGTACAGCTGGATTAGATCCACAACTTGCTTGATTTCTTATTGCACTGGTTATGCTTGCATTTGGCCACTCCCAAGGAAGAATATATGTATGGCCATAAAATGATCCTAAAGGAATACGAGACCTGGTTGTTCCACCACTGTATCTACCAACTGTGGTAATCTATTGAAGAGAAATAGGAACATTTGATACATTATTTAACATAGAGATGTTAGAATTTTTCAGGGAAAAAACATTTGAAAAAAATAACAAAGAAAATATTACCTTAAGATAGCGGCATACAGGAGCTGGCATTATGTTGTTCATAACCAGTGTTCTATCCCGGATATCAGAGGCTACAACCAATCTTTGTCCATCAATTTCCTCCCCTTCTATCCATACATCTATAGACAGTGAGGCCAGATCAACACTTGAGGGAATTATCACATCAGTTAAGACAATGGGTTTGCCAAAGTCCAGAGTAACAAATCGCCTTGCACCTGAAAAAAATGTGTTTGTATATTTGCTAAAAAATAGTTACTTGGAGAATAAAAGTCTAATCACTTGACCTGTCTGTTGTTTTTGTGTACTCAACCATAGTCCTTTGTCAATTCATTTTATTTTAGTACTTTACACGTCTTATACAATATTTACAAATTCTCCTAAAAACTACTGACCTGAATGCATCCTTTCTATGACAAGCACTTGAGGGGGTGGAGCCTGTAAAAGACCTTGTATTTGAGGAAATGCAAATTGTTTCTGTGGGCCAGGTTTCTGTGGTTGTTGGCCTTGCTTCTGTGGTAGTTGTTGTTGGGTGGTGTTTACAATGTGGGGATTCAAAATTTTTGCTCCATACATCTTTGATGAGGGTGCCACAAGGTTTTTTTTCTTAAGGATGTTTTCATCAATAAGGGACTGGCAAAGCATAAAAACAATAAAATGTTGAGATTTTAAAATAAATGGATTAATTTACATTCAATTGTTTAGATTTTAAACACCTTTAAAAGTGAGTAAAATATAGTCTTTTTAAAATTAAAATGCTCCTCAGCCAAAAAACAAACAACTTACTAGTGTGTTAGACAGCTTGGGAGCAGATGTTGCAAAATATGAAGCATAGTCAACATTCAATATAGGCAACATTGGCTCATCAGCAACCAGGCCAGAAGTCTGAAATGGGATTAGGTGTGCTGGACCAGAGTTGAAAGCACTGGTTGATGGTGCTGGGCCAGATGTGGTTGATGTGGCATCCATCCTTTCCATACGAGTCCCATCACTTGTGGCGTGACATCTGAAGTGAAGTGGTTCCACTTCCAGTAGTCCTAAAATATCGCTTTGCAGACAATCAGGCTGTAAGAGAAAAAAATTAGAAGTTTGTAAAAAAAAATGTTATAGAAATTAATAATTTTGCTTCTACGCAAAATATCTTAAATGAAAATACATAGAAAAATAGGGGCTAAAAATAACATTTTCATTTTAAAAAGTGCTAAATGCTTAAATGAGGCTAAATTAATTAGGGCAGCCTCTAACCTAATTTTTTTTTAAATTAACAAAATGTATAGGAATATATTTCAAAAATGCAAACCTATTTTTAAGTTTAACTCATTTTTTAAAAATTATCATACAAATAGAAAAAAAATAGTATGAAGATGAGGAAATAAGTATTTGTTTTTATTCACCTGATTTTTTGCATTCTTATCTGGTGGTGATATCAACATATCAAACAAATCAGGTTGTTCCTTGTTGCTACTTGCAGTGGCCCCACCAACAGCTGATTTAATCACATTGCTGAAGATAGTGTTTGGTGTTGCACTACCTGGTGATGTGTTAGGTTTGGTAATACTGCTTAGCTCCATGTCAAACAGTTCAGCTTCAAATGGATTTCCATACAGTCCATACCTACAGAATTATATAGGAAAAAGTTTTCATTCAATTTTAACTTTTAGAATTCAACAAGTTTTTTGCAATGCTTTAAGGGGGGCCTGCAAAAGTTATCTCAAAATTTACTTTCAATATAATGTCAGTAGCATGAATTGCATAGACATTGTATATCTTGCAATGCTAAAAATATATATGCAGGATTATTAAAAGTATAATTATATGAAGAGTGCAAAGGTTGTAAAGGCTCCACTGTGTTCATTTCTGCTTCCTTTATCACTTACATTCGTCAGGAGAACTAATTTTATAAATATAAATACCTTCATTAAATCTGAGCTGTGTGATTTATACACATGAGCACTGTCATTTAAATGTATACACTTTGAATGCAGGCTAAACATGACGATGTCAAAATGGAGATTACCCCCCTCCCCAACCTAAAAAGTAATTGATAAATACTTAAATGGTTGTGTTTTGTGGAAATCAAACCATAACTAGAAAAAATCTTAACCCGCAAATTTATTTACCTTGTTTTAAGCAGGGCATGCTGCTGCTGTGTTCTGCTATTATACTGCTTAGACAAAGAAAGTAATAAGTCACAGCATTTCTCAGCTACTGTTTCCATGTCCATGCATTTTACTCTGTTCAGTAGAGTGAAGAACCAGCGCATAGCACCACTAGATGTACACAGGGGTAAAAGAGGAAAGCAGTCTAACAATGCTTGCATTAAACTGTGGTTGAATGTGTGAGCAAGGTCAGGATCAGAAGACAGCTTTGTGTACCTGAAACATTAACACAAATATAGTTTCTTGTAGAAATGCTGTCACTAAAACTGCTAACTTATAAAAGTATTGTCATTTGACAACGCAATTCCTCTGCCTTAATTTTTAATGTTATGGTTATGTGTCATTTAGGCAGTTGACTTTGATTTGCTTCCATAGCCTTTGTCCAACCAAGAACAAACTGTAAGTTAGCAGTTGTTTGTTTTTGGTTGTCTCTCCAAGATGAGTTGCTGACCCCAGCTGTCGAGCCTCATCTGCCCGAGGACTTGAGACTCACAATGCAATGATACAAAATACAAGTCAAAGGGTCTTTAACAGACTTACTCCATGCAAAGTGCCAATAATCTTGAAAATTTGTGAGCTGTAGTACGTGATCCAACTATAAAGCAAGACTTGACCATTCCATTCAGCTCACTTTGAATTGATTCAAGCAATATCTTTTCACTGTCTCTGATAAAAAAAAAGATTATGTTTTAAAGTTTAATATTTTAATTGAACATTCTTTCAAATACAAACATTTAAATTGTGAAATAAATGCTCACCTTTTCTCAACATCATTTCTTTGCATTGAAAGTATCCAGATAAGGATTTCTAATGCCATATTCTGCATATGTTCAGTGCTGACACCTAGAATGCCATCACCAGATGCTGTGACCAAAAGTTTAATCAGACGCTTGTGAAAATTAGTATCTTGTATCATGGAACTACGTTGAAGCTTGTCTGTTCGAATAGAAGTCTTCTTAAATACACGAACAGTGACAGAAATCTCTTGGAGCCAGTCACACCCTTTAGCATCAGTAAGCTTTTGTTTGGCAGGAGAAGAGCTCTTGTCCACACCTGCCTGAGCAAAGCTATCAAAAAGTCCTTTGATATTCTTGTGCTTGTTATCTGCCATTAGATTCTTGTACATTGAAGTTATTATTTTCTTTTTGGATTTCATCTGAAACAGATTATTTTTATGACATAAACAGCTTTATCATTTACTTCAACTGAAAATCTCACCAATAAAAATGGAATATAAAATGATTTTTACTTTTTAAAAATTTTAAAAACAATTTTTAAAAACAGTCTAAGTTCTTTGATTTTAAACTTGCTACCAGAATGAATAAATGATAGTAATAAATAGCAAGAAAGTATGTACCATTTTGTCCATTGTGGTTTGGTCTTTCTCTGTTTTTTCTTTGTTTATCACTATAGGCCTAGATAATGGGCTATTCTCAAATCCTTTTATATGGAGAAGTAAAGATCTGGGTTTAGCATTTAGCAGCTGTGGGCTTGCTAAAGTAACAAGTCCACCTGTTCCAGTCAAGTCTAAGCAATTGGCCAGCTTGATGGGCCCACACAAAACCTCAGCATTGTGACTCTCAAGGAATTTGGGGTTTAGTACATTGTTAACCATTTCATCAGCAGTCCTTGCATCACCAGTTGTATGTTTAGGGCCGAGACCATTTAATGATGAAGAAAGTGATTTGGGATGGCTGACTTCTGAGCTGCCAGGTGGACAAAATATAGATCCAATATTTTGTTTCAGCAGTGTTACCTAAAGATGTGGAATGTTATTAGTTTCATAACACTGACATACTTCCTTGTAAATAAATTAAGACATTTTTAAATAGCCTATACATTTTACAATCTTAATATTTTTATTAAGCAATTAGAAAAATATTTTTAGTTTACCTCAACATTTGGTTGTAGGGATCCTAAAGCGTGCAAGGAAAATTTGACATCTACATGGCCAACAGAGCAAGGTTTGGGAAGTAATATCTCTAGTAAATGCTCATCCCATGTTTGACTAAAATATAAGTATTAAATAATAAGTTGGTAGGCCTAATTAATTAGACATGACATTTATTTATCACAAAATAATCTTATACGTAATGAGTACTAAAACTTACCCTGCATCAGTTATAAGCTTCCATGTGCGTGTGTGTTGAGTAGATTCCCCTTGTTGCTGTAAATGTTGTGGGTGACGTCTCTGCTGTTGCTCTTGTTGAATTTCAGACCAACAAGGTGGAACAACTGCTGTAAATCTGGGCATCAGGTTTTCAAACTGGATTAAGCTGTGCAGCTGGGTTACTATTTCTGCATTCAATGGCTGGTTTGTCAGGTAATCTGATCCTGTTTGAAAATTTAACATAATTATAAATTTAACTGGTTAGACATGTTTTGAGCTTAATCAAGCATATTTAGAATAAGCAGGAGAGAACTCCCCTAAGGTTTCTCATATAGTTGTATATAACAGTGAGGGCTAGGATGGACTTCCAGTGGGATCAGATTATAGAAACAGTAGGTAGGTTTTTTTTTATTAAACACAGAGGCGAAAAATTCGTAGAATATAAAATTATCAAATTCTGCAGTTTTTTGAGAAATTGGAAATAGAGTAAAATACCAATTCCACTAATGCGAAATTTGCTATAGGATCTAATACTTGTATATGAAATTTCATTGACCTAACTAAATGGTACTAAAATTTCATGTTCTTACACACAGAAGATTTTCAGCTCAGATGTAAACATCAAGATTTGTCAAAATTTCTATTTTCTTTCTACAAATAAAAGGTAATATAAACCCAGCAAACCTGAAAAATAGGTGACATAAAAAGTGATGTACAAAATTTCTTGCAAATTAATACTGATACCTAAATGGTCCACTACATCTTCATCAAACTTGGCTTTTTTACATGCAGATCCTTCCCTGTTTGTCTCAGCGCCATCAATGGGGTCTAGGCTACTCAATGAACTCTTTCTATCACTAAAAGTGTCTAGATCAAAGAACTGAAGTTTACCACTGTCAGTACAAGCACACAGACGCTCAATACCTGAAAAAATGAGTGTTAAAAAATGGAATGTATATTAATACAATTGATGCACACAAAAAAATTGAGCATAATAATTACTTTAGCCTGGTAAATTTTAAATTTTCGACATAAAGGCAACAAATTTAGTAAAGCAATAAAGAATATTTATTAGGGTAAACTAAAAATGACAAGTAAGAATTCTTTTAAGTCTTGTAAATGACCTACCAAGTTTATCTTAAGTACTTTACAACAAGGTTCATGGTTAAACCATGCTCCAGGTATGAATTTTATTTAGTTAAAAAGAAAATTACTTTTTAAAAAAAATAAAAATGATGTGCCTGTACAAATCAATACATTATAAAACAGCTACCTATTTTAAAAAAGTAATTACCACATGATTTTAGAACTAAGTACAACTTGAGATCTTACCTGAGCAATAGGTTGCACACAGATATTTTTCACTTGGACCTGGACTTAATTCAGCAACTTTTGTTAAGTTTATCAATGAAAGGATCTGAATGGCTCCTGAGGCTGTTATGATAACAATATGACCAGCAACATTAGGAGGAATACTACTACCCTGATTGTCGGATGGATGGCCTCTCTCTATATGTTCATCAGCCTGTCAAGGAGAAAAAATTTTAACTTCATCCCACAAAGCTAAAGAAGTCTCATGTAAAAAAGCAACTTTTCAACATTTTGCTCAATTCCCTGCCACATACCAGAATGTGGAAAAAACAATGATTCTACAACTAAAACATTAATCCTCCTAGTCATTAAAGAAGAAGAAAACTTATAGGATTTTGCGCTACAAGATAAAGGATCAATAGGAATTGTTTAAAGTTGTTATACAGGTTCCACATGGGCATTTTACACTTCTAACTGGTTAGTACAGTACTTCAACACTTTTTAACTTAAAAAAGGGGCATATCCTTGCTAAAAATATGGTGCCATAAAATACATGTACATCTTTAGTTCAATTAGATTACTTAATCAAAACTCATAAAATCAAATCCCAAAATCAACAAATAGCTTGATAATGTTTTTAGGGCTTGTAATTTACAATACAGAAAATCTCACATGTCAGTACATCTCAAAAGCTAAGTAATAACACCCCCAAGGTGATTGTGAATATGAATTCGACAAAATGAATGATAACTAAAACAGTAAAAGGTTAATTGGATGATTTTTAGATACAGATGTCCGATAATAGACTCTTCCATAAAATATGTGTGTTGGGTTGTTAGTAGTATTGTAATCAACTCATTTTATGGTTAGAAATTGAGGTTAGGCATATGGTAGGACCATGTGTGTATTTAGTTAACGACCAGTGACATAACACCCCTTTTTTAAAGAAGATTCCATTATCAGACACCAGTATAAAAATTCCCCCAGTTAATTAATAATAAACATTTAGAAAGTGGTAAAGTGGAATATTTACCTGGTCTTCTACTTCCATAGGTAGCAAAAAAGTACTTTTGATAACATCCTTGGGACAATTAACTTTATAAACCACCAAAGGTTCATCTTCAAGAATAATCCTATTGTTATCACTTTTCAACTTATACACAAGAATGCCACCACCACAATAACTGTCTGTAGAGCTATTTGCCCTACTTGATGCTGATACATTTGTTTCAGCAGAGTAACTAAGTCCTGAAATTTCTAGGAAGTTTGTTTTTGTAGAAAGAATAACTATCACATGTTGCTTATCAACAGAGGGCAAAATGGACTGAACTTCTATTTGCTCTTTCTGGAAATATAGAGGGATTTCCACACATTGTATGACAGTTCCTGAAATTTTAGGCGTTTCCTTTTTATGTGAGCTATTAGTATTAATGAAAGAATCAGCACTAGAATCACTGGTATAGCTTGTATAGGAGGATAATCCTTGTAATTTTATTGAACCTGTGGGCTCAGAATCTGCAAAAGTAAATGATTTTATAGAAGAGTAAGGCTCTTGAAATGCATCAACACTATCACAGGGGTTACTAGGTCCATTCGGTAAACTAGATTGATTTATATTTTTTATATGTTTCTCCTCTGGTGGAAGATTGACTGAAAATGTACTAGAGAATGGACCTGAATTTTTTTCAGGAGCTGGGGTAAAGCCTACAATCTGGCAGTCTGAATCTAGCGTGTCTTCCCAAGGATTGAGCACCCATTCATCTGTGTTGTTTGCCAATGTGTTGAAGGAAGCTGAGAGATTTTCCTTGCTAGTTGATGGTTTACCATTTCTTGGCGATGCTTTTTTCTTAGATGGGCTAGCCAGACTTGAAGAATGAGCCTCTTCAATTAATGAAACAACAACAATATATGGAACTAAATGACTTTCAGGCATATAAAATTCTGTATTATAATGTCCATCTGTTATAAGTCTGGATATAGATGTCTCACTACTGACAGCTTCATTTACTTCATTCATCAGTTGCACAGTCATATTGCTACAGCAGCCTTCTGTATGTGAATTGGCTTCCTCTGACTGAAGAGTTTTAGTTTGTCTAAGTGTCACTCCACATATAAGAGAAAGTTGAGCATCATTTACAGAAGAAGGTTTGGAAGGATTTGGAGAGGCTAATTCATCTTTCCACTTTGTTTCATCAGCTATACATAATGAAGTTACACATAAATCATCGGATGGTCTGTGTGGTCCAATAGTTGTCTGATTATCTGAATCACAGAGAGAACAAAAATATGCAATTGATTAAAAACTGTTTGTTACTGGAAAGAAAAATTAAAATCATTAAGTAGTGTAACATTTCTTATACTTAAGAACAATGTGCTCACCCTACAAAAAAAAAAGAAAGATTTCCTATTACCAAAACACAGAGAACTATTTTTAAAAAATCAATACTATCAACCATGTTAATAGGCTTAAAAAAATTTTATATGTTTAAACCAGGCATTTCAAACTAACATATTATTTTGTTGCACGGTCATACTATTGTGTATTTATAATATTAAAAACTAAATAAAGCAACATTAGATCCTCTATTAGCTTACCTCCCTTGTGTTTCTCATGGAGCAGAGTATCATTTGCAACCTCATCATCTGATGATTTTTTGTCATCCATGTCTTTCCTGATGATACATAAATAAGAACATGTAACCGCATCTCATCATGATCATATCAATACTGCCTAAGTTAGTTTTTTAGTGTTTGAGCTAGCATTTGAGATTTATAAGTACACACATACTTCTATGTTATGGCACAAACACTTAAGTCATACATTAACCTGTTTTTTTTTGTTTGTTTTTTACTTTGTGTCCGGTTCTGACAGAAATAAATTTATAAAATTCATTTTTCTCTAGTGTACTCACAACATGAAAAAATATGACTTAAGCGAATGTATACTGAAAATGATATTTCAAAATGTATTTTGTTTTTTTATTTTTATAATTTTAAAAACAACTTTTTGTAGTAACTATATTATTCAAATTTGATAACATTTTTTTTAACGCTACTCACCCTGAAGCTGAACTTTGATGTGTTTGTACCCGTTCTATTTGTAGTCCTGTCTTCAAAGCAACTAGGGTATTTGTAAGATCAATATCAAGCTGGCAATGTTTCTGGACAAAATAATTATATATATGTATATTTCACAGGTTAGATTTTTAAAAGGTTATACTTTAACTTTGTAAAAAAAAAATGAAACACATTAAATAATGTTGCTTCCATACTTAAATAACATTAGTAATACTGTAAAACCATTAACAATTTAATTTAAATAGCTACATATTGTGTTCTTTGTAATTAAAAACTTTTTATAATAGATATATATAAATATTGTTTTAGCAGATAAAACTGAAAATAACAATGTAACCCTTAGGGTTAGGATTAGGGCTAAGTTTAATATTATACACAAATGTGACTTGAGTTTGGTGTGGGATCTAATAGACAATAGGACATTTTTAGTTCCAATTTTCTCTGAACATAATTTTGTATAGCTGTAGCTATTTACCTTGAGAATATGACTTATGTCCCAAACAACAATGTTCCCATCTCTTGTTGATGTAGCAATAAAGTCTTCATTAAATGTTGTACTTAGACAAGAAATTTTCTGTTGACAGAAAAAAATTTGTAGAGGAACATTTATATAAGGTATAGATTGTTTTTATTTTAAATACATGACATGTCCATCTGGTGAACTTGCTTAAGTCAAAAAACCAATGTTGAATTATTTTTAGTAATAGTCAAGAGCATTATTCCTTCAAGCTAACTAAATATTTGTTTAAAAAATTTGTTCCAACAAAAACTTAGAATAAACAAGAGAATAATGTCATTTAAAATTTGAATTTCAAATCAAAGGATCTAGGACCAAGTTCACTATTTTCAACATTTTAAAACTAATCTTAATGATATCAACACACCTGTTGAGAATCCCCATGAAACTGAGCTGGTTGTGTGGCATATGTAACAGTTAGAGGTACATTCTGGGTATAATCGCCTTTAATATATGGACATGACTGTGAGTGCCGTTCATGTTCTGACCTAAAGATGTTACAAAAAAAAAGATTTATTTCTCAGTACTAAGATTATGGTAGAGCAATATTAAAGAGCATATATTGTATATTTTGGAAATCAAAAATAAAAAGTGCAACATACCAAGGTTCATCAGTTGGCTCCCAACAAACAAGGCAAACATTGCATGTAAAGCACATTGCACGATCATCTCCATGTAAATTAGGGTGGTGAAAAAACCCAGCTTGGGCCATTGGCTCTGGAAGGGCCCATCTGATAAGAAAATAAAATTGTTTAAAAAATGCAGCTACAAGTGTCCTTTTAATATTTCTAAGAAGTAACTCATGCTAAATTATACAAAGTATTTCTAATTTTGAAGGAATAATTGTGACTTAATTACAGTAAGCAGTTCAGCCCTATTGAAAAGATATACAACTATTATTCTGTATTTAGAAGATCTAATCCAAAAAAAAAAAAAAGCTTTACTTGTATTTATGAATTTTTAAAAAAATTGTCAGGATGAAATTTAGTAAAACCACAACAAACTAGATTTAAAAAATATATTATAATAGTAAATAAATGGTAGAAACAGAAAGAAATCATACTTGTAATTCATATGTGGCCAGTTGGCAAAAGTCTCACGTCTTGCTGCCTCACTGTACATCAATGATCTGTTGACTGGTTCCTTCATGATTTCTACCCTGCTGAAAGGCAGCAAAAATCCCAGCCTATCCACAATAGCAGATGCCACTGGAAAACCCTGACCAGTTTGATTGGTTTTTGTGAGTTCTTCCATAAGAGCTGAGCAAATTGACTTGATAGCCACATGCTGCATTTGTAGACAAACTGTTGACCACTATGTAGCAGAGAAATATTTAGTCAAAATATTGGCAGTGAATATTTTTACAAAAGAAATTAAATCTCAATAAGCTCCTCTCCTTTTATTATAATTCATAGTGGTGAAAGTTTTTTGGATTAAAAAAATACCCATGACCAAAAAAAAACATAGCAATATGCATTCAAGTTGGAAAATGTGGGCAAAGCCTAAAATGTATAATAGTTCACATTTGTGAAATATGCAAGGACACTTTGACACACACCTTCCAGCATTGTTTTAAAATTTGATTCTTAAAGTACCATTTTTAAAGGTTATCATAAATTGCTTAGTTGCCTCAATTATTACTTAAGCAAATATATCTATTTGGTACATATATTTAAATAAGTAGGTTTACAATCCATTTTTTTATAACTCATATTTTTTAAATAATGCTAAAAATACTTAAATATCAGTTAAAAGCTTAATTTGAGACTAAGCTTAATTTGCTAGATCTTTATATAAAAATAACCATACAAATTCAACTGAGCTATATTATTTGCAATCTGCTTACCTTGGCAGTTTTGTGATTTCCTTGAGTTGCATCGTGGGCTTTTTCAATGCCATGATTTAATTCCTTAGTAAAATCATCTATATATTCTTTGTTGCTAAGGTCAGTTGACAATAAAGTTTTCCTCAGTTGTACTGCCTGCAGCATTTAATTATAATGAATACATTAATAAAAATATCAAAGAAATAATACTGGAATAACGTAATTAAGAAAGAAACCTGAGAGCTTTTCTTATGATGCAATGTTTACCTTTTTAACTTCAAGATCCAAAGTAATACATGATATCCATGCAAAATTAAACTATTTTAAATATAAATGTGATGTATATTCACCTCAACTAATGGAATCTCTATCTTAACAGTATCTTCAGATTTAGTTATAGGAGTCTGAAGTGCTGTATCTAGAAGTAAGATTCCTTGTAGATCTCCTCTCACACCTATTGCACTACCATCACAGTAAACAGTCTTGTCTTTTTCAGCTAAATAAACACACTTTACAACATCACATTTGTGACCTGTTAAAAATAATTTAATTATGAAAAAAAAACACCCTCAGAAGATAATATTTTATTAAAATCAATCACACAACAATTAAGTTAGTTTGGCCTAGTTTCTAACTTACCCCACTAAAAATAATTCTTTTTAAACCAGAACAATTTAACCTGTTTACCATACTAAAAGACATTGTGAACTAAGTTTCGGCTAGTAAAAATGGGCTATATTTAAAAATTAACCTAATGAAGTGTCTTAAATCTCAGTGCCTTGGTCGACCAATATATTGTTCTGAGACTGTCAGAGCAACCTAAGACCCGACCCCCCCCCCCAATAAAAACCATAGATTTGTTTGACATAACAATAATCATAATTGATTTGATTATTCCTGACTTGCTATGTTCTAGGCTATATGAACAACAAATGCTGAAGGCTTTGTGTGTAATATAAAACATAAGTTAAGAGTTAAGACATAGATCTACCTAGTTACTTCTTACTAAGTTTTTCATAAAATAGTAGTTATAAGTTACATTACTGCCTTTTCTACAATTCGATTTATTACTTTTCTTTATTAAATTTTTTTTTTTTAAAAAGGGACAAACTAAGCCGCAAACGGGATGGCGGTAAAGGACATGATTTTTTGTAAAAAAGCGGAAGTTTTCCGCTTTTGGCGGGACGGTAGGCATGTCTGGACAGCCCATACATAAAATGTGATATTAAAAAATGTCACTGGTGCTTTTTGCCCGGCCCAAGCTACTATTTGACAAGGTTATTTCATTCTAAGCTTAAAGGTTTGGTCAAAACTACTTTATACAGCACTTTTGTAGGCTTAATGCTATCAAATGACTATTGTAAGTAAAAAAGTAAATATAAGGGTAAAATAACATGTACGTTTTAATCAGCAATTATTTATGTTTCTATCACAATTTCAGCAATCTTTTTTCTATCTTAGCATTGCAAGCAAAAATCAGCTTAATAATGTTCAATGCCACCCTATCCCCTTCTTGAACTAAAAATAAATTAAAGTTAATCAGTAAATTTAAAGCAATGAAGTATGATGTGACTGTCGGTATTTACCAAAACAAACAAAAAAATCCAGTGGTATTGGCCTTAGATGACTTAATACACACTACATGGCGAATTATGGTCATTGTTTCAACATGCCTGTACAATTTAATTATTCTAGAAAACTCTAGAATCAATATGTACTCAATGCACCAAATTTTAACATAATCTTAAAAAGGTCATTATTTTGACAAAATTGTTATCTTCCAGTTTTGTTGTCAAGAAAATGTTATTTAGTTCATCAGAACATATCAAACCACTCATGGTTTGACACATGTTGACCTGCGCTGTTTACATTCAAATGTCATAAAACTGTAAGTTTTTTAATACATTTAAAAAAAAAAAATTTTTTTATCCATTTTCAAATTTTAAGCCAAGCGATCTTGAATGATGATCTCTTACTTAACTATATTAAGTGAGCAATGTGCCTGGTCTGTGACTAATCAATTCATAATTGATCTAGGTAAAATCGTGATATAGCGTGGGTTATTATTCGGAATGGAACAGCAGTAAAAAAAAAACCAGTAATTTTGTATTTCTAATTATTTTAAGTGTAGGGCCTATATGTTAATTATTGCTGCTACTAAACATTGTTCTAGTCCTCCTTACTACTTTTAACTTTAGTAAATCTAATTGTCTTATTTTATTAGATCTAGAATCTAGATCATGTTGGGGCAAATCCTCTGTGTTTTCTGTGTTTCTTAAAAAACAATTACTACACACTACACACACCTTTATTAATACTAATAGTAATAATAGTATTTAGATCTACTAATTGTTACTAATTTTCTGTATATTAAACTTTAAATTAAGTTAAAACAATAATTTAACGCACTTGACTTTAATTTCATTTCAACAGTCAATTAAACTATGGTTTACAGTAACGAATGTTAACGAAACTCAACAAACATTACTGGATCGGATGATTTCCGACACTATAATATTGTGAGATTACCTTGATCTAGATTCTAGATCTAGGTATATAACATAACTGTATAACCCAACGCAATATCTTCACTAATCATCAGGACTGGTGAGTCAGAGTGAGGCTGATGACTGACTGTGACTGGGGATTTCACTCAAAATTTAACCAATGTCCACAGTTGCTTTTTCTAGCAAATATGACATCACAGGAATATATCTTAACCTGTAATAGTTAAGACCTAACCCCAACAGATCTATTTATTTACAGATAAAGCGTGAGGAAAAATATATAAATATTTAGAACCTAGATCAGTAGATCCAGGCCTATTTTTAACTATTTTAGTATTTTTTATTTTGTTTTTATTTTTGTCTAACAGAGAGATTCTAGACCTGTTCCTTACCAGAGAGGTCCGATTTTTGTAGAAAAGCACCAGAAAGGGCATCTATAACTGTTATGGTATGATCTTTACATGACAGAATTACAGAGTTTAAAGAGGAGTTGTAGGTAATATTATTTGTGTTAATATCAACATTCAGACACCCATCTTCGCGAATAGTCCACTGTTTTTCTGTGTCCGCCGCCATTACTATACATTGACCATTATAGTGACGTCACGTATAACCTTTCGAGATTTGGTATTAAAAATTGATTTCAAGCTATAATCAATTTGTACAGCATCAAATATGATTTTTGTTTAATTCAGAAAACAATAAACTATATTAATATCAATTAAACATTAACAACAGGATATTTAGTTATAATTTTTTTAGCAATGCCATCTCAGTCATATGGTAGGTAAAATTAAAAAACGTAAAATATGTAGGTCCTAGATCTACAGAACAAAAGATAGAATGAAGGCTGGTCGCCCGGTGTTGTTCTCTTTCATATTTCCCTACCACCTTTCTTTTCTTAAAGGCCCAATAATTTTAAAGAGGTTTCTTAGCAATAATTCGTCGTTGCTTTTAGTGATTATATTAGTCTATATTATGGAACCTGGTTGTGTTGGTTAAATAAACAGGGATAACTGGAAATTGCAAAATGTCGTTGCAGCCTTTGGACTTAATCAGAATACTTAATCAGATGAACGAGCCAAAAAGAATTTTAATTTGTGAACATATTCAAGTTCGAATTTTAAAAGATTTAAAATTTTTAAAATTTTTTTTTCAAAGTAATAATTATATACCTATAAAAATGAATTTATCCGAGGCGTCACAAGGTGGGGTGTCACCTAGTGCGGCACTTCAGTGTCACCCCCCCCCCCAACCAATAAAATAAAAATTTTATTAAAAATATATGTGTGTGTCATACGTGTAAGTGGGGGATGTTTTGCATTCAATTATGATATAAAACAATATTTATAACGTGCAACACATTATCATTAAGCCCTTATTAGCCTATATATAGAGTCCTTTCATATGACGTCACGTCCGTTCGTGATACCTACGCCCGCCGCCACAGTGGTGTACACCAGACGTAGACACAATCAGCTGTTCACCAGCGCTGGACGTGTTCACCAGCGCTGGACGTGTTAAACCGTATGTAAAGATTCGCGCCGCGGAAAAGGAAAAATACGTTAAAAAACTTGAACTCTTAGGAATTGAAGATCCTTATACAGTTATTGACAGTTTTGTGGATAATATAAATATGTGGCCGAAATTTCTAAATAAAAATACTGTTAGTAACACTGTTTGCGTTTAGAGATTAAGTAGACGAATCTGATCAAATGCAGTTCTCGATTCTTTGTTTCATGTAAGGATAGTAAAATAATAAACTTCATTTTAATTATAAAAGATAACTATTAATAAAACAAATATGCTCGACCTTCACAAATACTAATAGTAAAAGACAAAGTCAAAAGTAATAATAAGAATAATAAGATCTAATAGTGTTTTAATATCTAGATCTAGAATCTAGCTCTAAACATGGCGTAAACAAAATTCGGTCCACAGATCTAGATTCTGGATTTAGGATGACATAGAATCTAGAATCTACTTCTTTACTTAAATTTAATTACAAAATTTAGATCTACATCCGATTCAAAATACACCCATAATAAATCAAAAGTAGTCATAGTAGGCCTACTAAAGCATTTAATTGTCTCTAAGATCTAAAATCTCGCTCTATAATCTAAACATTTTTTTAGCAAACGATATTTTCTGAAATTAAAATAGATTGTATGACTAGACTTAGATCTAGAATCTGCTACTTAAATTTAATTGTAAAAACTTTATACAAGCATGTAGTTGATATTATTGTAGTAGAAGGCTTTAATAAATTACTAAGGCCTACCTAATTTGTTGTCTTTTTACAGCAATATGTATCTGATACTGGACTAGTTTAATTAAATTCAAATTCATATCTAGTAATTGGTCTAGTAAGTTTTTGTAGCCTAGTAGTTGTGAAGTAGTAGTACAATCTAGATCATACCAGCCAACAACAAATAACCACATTATTATTATTTGGTTAATGATTAGGCTAATTTTTTTAATCCACTGTTTATAAAAGAAACAAATCAAGCTAGAAACATTATAAGCGAGATGGTTTAGAATAATAACAATGGACCCAGTCTACAATTGATACAATTGCAGGTGTACATAGGGCCTACAGTCTAGTAGTTTACAGTAGGCACCTAGTGTGTAGCTAGTATACTAGTGTGTAGCTGTCCAGAGTTAAAATTGTTGGATGTAAACAGGGATGATACTAACTAGGCCTAATCTGCCTTAATGCTTTCCCCTGATAAGCCATGTGTGCTATAAATGACATAACATGACATCGAGGTGAGAAATGTTGAGGGAGAGTAGTGGGACTTTCCCCTTTGTTCTCCCTGCTGGGCCCTGAGGGTCAAAATTATATAAGAAATACTATCTCTGTGGGGCTGGGTATCACGGAGGTGAGACATTTTCAGGGGAGGGCAGGGCAGACTCCTCTTTGGTTTTATTGTGGGCTAGATACAGGTGGGGGCAGCCATCATGAGGGTTGAACGTCAGTGTTAATGTGTCTGATCACTTCCCTGCTGGATTATAAGGGTCTTAAATTGTATAACATGCTACCCAGATTGGTTATTACCCATGGATTATATTAGTCGTTGTAGTGTGGGTTTTGTAGGAGTTAAGTGGTCTCACGTTTGCTACAGTAGATAACCTATAATATATTACTGCATTTGATCAGATTCGTCTACTTAAACTCTAAACGCAAACGGTATTACTAACAGTATTTTTATTTAGAAATTTCGGCCACATATTTATATTATCCACGAAACTGTCAATAACTGTATAAGGATCTTCAATTCCTAAGAGTTCAAGTTTTTAAACGTATTTTTCCTTTTCCGCGGCGCGATTCTTTACATACGGTGAACACGTCCAGCGCTGACGAACAGCTGATTGTGTTTACGTCTGGTGTACACCACTGTGGCGGCGGGCGTAGGTATCACGTGATTTAGGTCACGTGTTTGCAAGGACTCTATAAGTTAAATTGTTTAATGTTTAAACAGACATAGGCCTACTGTCAGACATATTTTTTTTAATGAATAGAAAAATAGACCATTAATCACATCACAAATCGTGAATTACAAATCAGTACAAAAACTAACGTAAGAGTATCGACATATGGCGAAATTACTGAAGCGAACGTGCACAATCAAACTTGCAATTATTGTTTTACTAGTGTCACCCCACGATACTTTCACACTCGGAGGCCGTTAAAAATAGATTTAGTATTCAAAAGCTACTTAGCAGTCGCGTCCAATCATCGAATGATATGTTGATTTGTAATTTTACAATGTGGTGTCACCCAAATTATCTTTGGTTGACGGTGTATTTTCGTTCTAAAACTAATTCACATATTGCTGAAGCATTGTGTGTAAATTATTGCATGGGGAAAATGTCAATTCCTAAAAAATATTTGAAAGTTAAGTATGTTGAGGTAATTAATTATTAATTGAACTGTCAAAAGCCTCAATCATCTGTAAATTTTGCTATATTTTGCTTTGGTTTTAACCTTTAAATGATGGCATCTGGTGCGGTCTGTACCCCCGTCCTCCTCACCTCGCGAAACCAGAGTTTCTTCCAGGCATCTCTTCGAAAAAATTCTACACCCCCCCCCCCCCCCGAACGAAATGAAATTTATATAATTTATATAGAAAATATATACTTTTAACAGTGTCTCTCTCCCCCCCCCCCCCGAAGAAAGTCTACCGCCCCCCCCCCCCTCCCGGAGAAAAAAGTCTGGAAGAAACACTGCGAGAAACCTCTTTCCTTTATCGTTGGGTTGGCGCTCAATCATATGGAACACGTTTTCCCAGCTGTAACTAGTGTAAGAAAAATGTAACAGCATTAGGTCAGAGATATCGGGCTTCAGACCACCATCATAGGCCTAAATAGCTTTAATGATTTCTTTATTTCTAAGCGCCCCCCCCCCCCCCACATGCACGAGCAAACAATGACAGAATTTTGTAGGATTCTCTAAAAAAAAAAAAACCCATCTGAGCGATAGGCGTATATGCACTAACACAACTACACTAGTTCAATTCGTTTTCTACAAATTATAGACAAATAACCAGTTTCTTCGGGGCATCTCTTCGGGGGGGGGGGGAGATGGAATTTGTATAGTAAACATATACTTTTACTAGTGCAGAGGCGTAGCGATGGGGGGCAGGGGGGTACATATGTCCCCGGGCGCCGACCTTAGGGGGCGCCAAAATGGGTTATAAAAACTAAGTAAAATGTCATTTTAGCTGCATTTTTGCAGTTTGAGGAGGGGGGGGGGGGTGCAAACCGAAAGTTTGAGAGGGGGGGGGGGCGGTGGAAATCGAAAGTTTGAGGGGGGACGACGCCAAATTGAAAGTTTGTCCCCGGGCGCCGGAAAGGGTCGCTACGCCTCTGTACTAGTGTCCGCCCCCCGGAAAATGTTGACCGCCTCCCGGAGAAAAAAGTCTGGAAAAAACACTGCAAATGACGCCTTGGCGACCACATATTGTTTACAATGTCGACCACATATTGTTTACAATGTAGACGAGGCGACCATATAAAAAATTAGACAATGGTATTTGATTATATTTGTTAGTATATTTGTGTGTGTGTGTGCGGTTTTTAGTGCTTTCTCGTTATAGGGGAAGTATTGGAATCGTGCTAAACAGATATTGACAGTTTTCACCGTTTTAAATAACCACCTTATTGAATGTACTTTGCATTCTAGATTTAAATAACCACCTTATTGAATGTAATTTGCATTCTAGATCTAGTAATCGGGCAAAAATCTAAGTCAAGATTTTGACAAATTTTGACGTTTTTTTAACCTTCTGTCTGTCTGTGAAAACAAGATAACGCGAGTACCGCTTTAGTGAGGTTGACGAAATTTCATACGTAGGTATACTCTTGATTCTGTCAAATTTTAAGTGATTACCGGTAACCGGAATGAAATACTTTTCGCTATTTCAGATTTCTCACCCCCCCCCCCCCCCCCCGAGGCGGCGTAGTGACCGTTCCTGGGGACAAACTTTCAAATTTTCGATTTGCACCCCCCCCCAAGTTTTTCTATATATATTTTGCTATTTTTTGCCTTGGTGTCACGCCCCTAAATGGTGTCACCCGGTGCGTTCCGCACCCCCCGCTACGCCTCTGATCTTACATAACTTTTCTACGCGAGAGTGTATAAAGAGAACAGATAATTAGTGCTTTATATTATATTCCACCCTTTTTTCAATTTCTCAAAGACCTTGAGAATTGATATATATTCTCATAAAGCATATTCTAAGGAATTTTCACTCCAGTTTGTCTTCTCAGAAGAAAAAAGAGCATTTGTCACATAATTCTAGATTAGATCTAGATCTATATTGCCAGCCACACATTCATTTTACTTTGACAGTAATTTTTATGGACAAATGGGAACAACCAAGTTTATGTTTTGCAAAATAATCTAGGTTTAGTTATCCTCCAAAAGATGCTGCCCATGTTGGCATAAAATAATGAAATTAATTTTTTCTAACCGTAGAAACCTTCTCAGGAATATTCTAATCAACTTCCCAAAATTTCCCGGCAATCAGATGCAAGGTGTAGTAATGCATAAAGGACAAACCCACAGACTTTCATTTACGAATATAGATAGATATGCCCTGTTAAATTTTATATTTGCACGATATGGTTATTTCAGATTGGCTGGTGTCAAAAAAGCAGTCCACATTTAAAAAAAAACAAAAAAAAAAAAAACAACGGAGATCAGATACTTAATACATGCTTGTTCACAGAACATATGGGGTTGTGGTCTCAAAGGAAAGCATTAATTAACGCCTACTACAAAGCAGATTTTTCTATAGATAATCTTTAAAATTTTAATTGATTGTCAAAAATGCTTTGGATTAACAATTACAATAAGCTTCCTACACCATAGACTTCTGTCTGTGTCACATTGAACAAGTAGCCTCTACCAATTATCAGTACAGTGTCAAGTAAATAAATCTTATAATCTGTCTTATGAAAGGACACAGTAAAAACAAAACACTGTAAAGCTTCTTTAATAATTAATCACGGCATACAATAATCAGCAAATTACACAAATAGCAACACACAATTTGTGTGGTATTCTTAAAACCTTGCATTGTAAGTGAAATGACTTGGTCCAATGGATCTGTACATTTGAGTTTATAATCTGTTGTAACTTACTAGCTTAAGCATTATTTTCACGTTTTGGCTGAAATAAATCTTTCATATAAACCATTTTGCTTAGCGAAATTATTGCTCCTTTGAAAAAAAAGCATTAAATTTAGAATGTCTTTACCCTATCAACCAATAATTTTCATGAATACTAGAGGTATAACAAAAATTTAATAACTTTTCATCTAATTAAAAGATTCATTAAATGTATTGATTAGTTGTAAGACCATTGATCTTTTAAGTATGCCATCAAATTTTAAAAACTGTGACCTAAGATTGCTAATCACAACATGTTGGGTATCCAGCACACTACTATACATGTCAATTCATTATACTAATAAGACATCTTAAAGATCAATAATTCTGTTCTAGAAAAGTTATTTTTTTGTAATTAGTTTTTAAATACATATATACTGTAAAATAATTTTCAATACAAGATAGTAACAAACAGTAACACTATACAAGGAATAAATATACATTTTTAAACACTAATCACAATATAAAATGGGTTATGTATAGTTTGCATTGAAAATTTCAGGAACAACATTACAAACGTTTATTATTATTTGAACAATATGGCTTATTAACGTTTTAGGTATTTTTTTTGGTGTTCACATCAAAACTGTTGTTATATCTGCATATTTTTTTTACAAACGGGTAAAATATTGGTTTTGGGTATGTAAATTACATATTTACATAACACAAATAACAAGATATAACCTAAGGTAAATTTAGATTCTCAATCACTCACAGAAAGCACAAATTTTTCCCCTTCTTATGACTAAAACACAAATACAGGAATTTTTCAAAGTTGCGCCGCATTCGATATACGTAGTATAACTAATACTACTTGTATAACTGTTAGTTTTAAAGTTTAAGCAAAATAAAAACATGTTATGTCTTGTATTTTACAGATAAAGCGTTCTTTAAAACCATGCCACTGACTGTAAACTAATATTCCAATTTATGTTTAATACCCTGCAGACAAGAAATGAAGGGCTTCATGTAACTGAAAATTTCAACAAACCCCACAGCAGCCCTGCATAGTAAATAGAAACGAGTTGTCTCTAATAAAAAAAAACACAAGAATTTGTTTGAGGAACCTTTCTCCAAACTAACGGCTTACAGTCAATAGTTTGGTAAAATAAAAGATAACTGTAAAGAGAGAAGTAAATCTATGTGCCACATGAAAAACAACAAAACCAAATAAATAAAATTGTGTTCAATCATACAACAAATCAATGTACACCCATATCAGTAAAATAAAATTTTCAAAAAAAATGCAATAATTAAATTTTAAAATATTCAAATAAATAAGATTATGTGCTATACTGAGGAACAGTCACAGAAAAAATGCACAACACTGGTAAACAAAAATTATATACATGACAGTGATGTTTTTAAAATACTCAGGACATAATTTCTTTAGGGAATATTTTTTTTAGGAAGCTGTACTTCAAATTCACATGGTGTTAGTTACCAATTGACAATCATCCCACTTGGGCTAATTACATTAAGACTGGATTTGAAACAATACTAAATGCAGGTTTTTTTAATTAAAAAAAAAACATTTTCAAGTAATAATTTAATTTTGCTATTATGCTATTATATCAAAGCCAAAAGTATAGTTTAAATACTTAGTGTGGTGTAGCAAGATATGTGTCAGCTCTATATTTCTATCTCTTCACTAGCATAAATAATACACCCCCCCCCCCCCCCCCCAATTTCATTTGACAAAAATTATCAAAATGCAGTTTTTACTCGACAATTAACAACAACACAATCAGAAAAGGTTAAATAAGAGCCTTTTTTTTTACAGCCAGCCCAAACTCCATCTCACCGTATGTTATACAGCGAGGCAACACTTGTAGAATTGATCACACAAAACTATCTTCATGCAGCACTAAAATGCTATTATATTTTTTACTTCAAATATTTTCAATATTACCAGTATGTTTATGAAAAATGACTTTCTAGCACATTTTAAAAAATTGTTTTATATAATAACTGTTTAGATCATAGGCTAGTTCATTTGTAAAATGCCAGAAGTGTCCAATTAAACACTCTCATATTGATAATAAATCAGTAGTAAATTAATCTTGGGTAAATTAAGTAAAATATAATATTCTTTTGACTCTGTATTCTTAGGTATTAAGATAACTAACTACTAAATGCAAAATAAAAACTGTATATACATCCTATCACGTTTTGAAATTACTGAAGTCCATTTTAAGAGTAATTGTTGGTTTGGCAGGCTGAGGCGCTATTTTAGCTGCAACCCTGGCTTTGTCCTGAGCTTGGGTCACTTGTTTGAGTCTAACAGCAGCTTCTAATCTAGGCTTGAGGTGAGAGGACATGTTCATTACAGTCCTAAAATGTTCTGGGTATAGGCGGCCAACCTCTGTCAATCTAGCAAGGGCCTTGTCACTGAATGTGTATACTTCTGTAGAGGCTTTGCCTGCAGTTGTTTCATCCAACAACAAAGATACCAGGATTGGGATATACAAAGCTACCATGGTTATTCCTAATGAAGAAACAAATATCAAGTTTAATGAGCTGAACAAATATTTTAGTAAGTATTTTTATATACGTATAATGATTTTAAGTGAAAAAAAACTTACGTTTACTATCATCTGCTAACGAAACTAATTTTTCTATACAGTCTAATTCCATTGTTAGAAGCTGAAGATCTTGATGTGAACTTGAAACTTGAGTTGCAACCAAGTTTAGATGTTCAATAATCCTTGGAGCCATATTGTGAATGAATGGCACAGCCACTGATTTGTCCTTTTGGCTTAAGATTGACATAAGGGCTTCCACACATTTTTGTCTCATCTAAAAATAATTGGATAATAAATGATTCAAAAGTTGGCAATATTGAACAAAGAACACATTAAATATAACTTTTAAAAAGAAATTCATAAAATATTAAAAAAGGTAAAATATTGATAAAATATAATGAGCAGACAACTTCAACTTTTTCCTAAATGGTGTCAGCAGTGGTAATAAGTTATGTACAGAGTACAATGTTTAAAGGAGTAAAAATGTGATATCAAATTACTGGATATTTGCCCAAAATTTTCTTATTAACATTACACATTATTTAAATATTTGACTACTAATTATTTAAAAACTTACTAGGGTATTTCCAGTGTCCCAAGCCTGCTTGTAAACATCCAGCATTGGATTTAACAGAGATGGAATTCCAGTGACCTCCCTTGGACAACATGATACAAAGACAGAGAGAACAGACACCAATACACTGTAATCCATCCCAGAATAATCAGAGCCTATCATGAAAAAATAAAAACATTTTAAAGATGTCCAAAATTACTTCCTGTTCCATGCAAAAAGTTAAAACTATAAAAAACATAATTTTTAAATAATATTACAAACTTCGATAATCCATATGTAAAATAGTTGGAGTAATATGAAACACTAAAACCAATTTTCTATTTAGAATACTTTAAAAAAAAAAACTTAATCCATTGCACAAACATAAAATATTGGAAATGTAAATTAGTGTATATTTGTTTTCTTAGAGATATAATAAACCTCACTACAAATGTGTCAAGAATTTTAAAATCAGTTCCAAATTAAGGTCAATTGTACTTTTCTTAAGATTGTTAGTGAATTTTGTTTTTTCAAATGCGTAAATAAATGTTAGCAAAGTCATACCGGCTTCTGCATATTGTAATATTGAAGATATTGCACTTTGTAAAAGTCTTGACCAATCCTTTTTGGCAGGAGAATCATCTTCTGTAGATTGTTTTTCATTTCTTGTCAAATCATAATCACACACTCTCTTTATGCACTGTAAACTTGTAGAAACTATAGTGAGAGATGGAGCTGCAGCTCCCCTAGAGCACATCTCTTTCATTATGCCTGTTATCAGGTGGAGTACTGTTGGTAGGATAGTAGCTGCACCTGTCGCAAACAAATCAATTCAATTGAGGTGGTTTATAAATATTAAGTTGATTTTATTAGTAGATAAGCTTTTAAATTAAAATCTATAAGAACATTTCAAAATTAAAGCATACCCATAGGTGAACAAAGATCCAAAAGGTCAATCATTAAGAACATCACCGAGGCGATTAAATCATAAGTGTCAGTACCCATCTTTGCTAGATGAGTAGGAGGCTGAAAACCAGTAGCAGTTGATGATGGGTTTAGGGCAGGGATATGTCTTACTATAGCACAGAGGCAGACCTCAAGAGTTGCAAAAACTATGGACGTATCAGCAGGGAATTCCCCAGTCTCCCCTCCTTCTCCCCAAATGTCAGTTTTGTTTTCTGTAAAGGTTACAAGACCATAACAATAAGAAAACAATCACATATTTTTTTCGATTTTATCAATTCTAATTCTAGTTTGAAAATACCTTTAGTTTTTGCTTTTTGTATTTCCAGACTTTCTTTAGCTGCAGCTACCACCAAATTTACAACATCTAATGCAAGAGCATGAATATCTATTCCATCTCTTGTCAGAGTAACCCTGAATTGGGAATTACAAAAAGTTGTAGCATATAAGGTATGAAACTGTGATAATAAGGTTTAATCTTAGTGAATTCCAAATGCAACTACCTATGCATAACATTGAGTAGTTCTCTACACAGAGTAGCATCTCTACCAAGTTGAGACCTAGGCCACTCTTTCCCCAGCAGGGCTTTTAAACCACCAAGACAGTGACGGACAGTGGATTCCTCTAGTCGAGATGCTGAATTGCAAAGTGCTTCCATACTGATGCCTAACACAGAGAAATTTAAAAAATCAATTTTGTGGTAGAAACACAAACCAATGTGAAGTAGTATTTTTTTGTTACTTGTGCAAAAGGCAAACTTTAAAATGGAGCATAAATTTAGTATTTTAAAAATCATCTGCAGTGTTTTTAAAACAGGATTATAAAAACTGCTAATAGTGCCAAAAAAACCATGTACATCAAACTACATATATTTTCTTAAAATAAAAAATATTTCTTAATTTGATTTTGACTATGCATGTATTGTGAATTTACAAAAATTATTTAATGGATACAAGTATTTAAACAAACTTCATCCAACTTTATTGGGTGTTGTTTATCTCTGATTGGTGTTCTGAAGTAAGTTTCTTGCAGGCAGGTTAGTGGAGAATTAGTTAAAAAAAAAACAACTAACAAATGTCTATTCTTACCTAGTATTAGAAAGAATCTGTCCTGATTCATGGACCTAGTTCTCATGTTTGCAGGAGCATTGGCTGCTTGTGCTGCAAAAGATATTTTACCATTGTCTTGATCATCAGTAGACTCAATCTGTGCCTCTTTGAAGCCTGTGTCATTTAACCAGATGGACAAGCCATGAAGAATTGATGGCCATGATTTCTTATAGTGATGTATAGCAGATTCTACTGTATCAGGGTGATAAAAAGCACCACCTTCTGATGGCAGCTGATTGGAGTATTCTGAAATTTTAAAGAAGAAAACTTTTTAACAATTTAAACACACCTGACTTCGCAAATATAGTAAAAGGACATCAAAATAACAGACAAAAATCTACAATTTTTTCAAGGAATGTTTAAATTTTTTTTTGGATCATTTGGTAGTTCATGAAACAACCTATACATCAAATGGAAATTTAAGGAATTAAAAAAAAATGTAACACCAATTTTAATATCTAGTTACCTGCAGGTAATGATAAAAGTGCATGGTCTTTAAGAGCATTAAACCAATGACGACTAAGGTTTTCTAATTCTGGTTGAACAAGACTAAGTAAACTTTCTCCTGCATGTTCATATCCCTCTATTACTTCTTCATCAATGCTCTCTTCCTTGTGTCTAGTTTTTCTCTGCTTTGATTCCAACTCTCTATCCACTGCCACTATGTAAACCTTTGAGAAAAAGGGAGAGTAACATGAGAGTTGTGCTTTATCTGTTCAAACTTAACAGCTGTTGCATTTTTAACAACGTGTACAACAGATACTTACTTCTGCCCAAGCTCGTATTACTGCCAACTTTTCCATAGTTGATGCACTTTCATTGTATAGTGGTGCTTTAGGCTTACCACTAACAGACCCTAACTTAGCTAAAGAAGAGACCAATAGCTGATGAACTCTTCGTAGGTCATTCAAATCTCTAGCTACACCACTGCCTATCCATTTACTACAGACCTAAAAAATCAAATGGATTTCAGTTAACAATAATATAACAGGTAAACTATTTCAATAGATTATTTCAATAGAGAGACATGTCAAAAAAAGAACATTGTCCAATGTAATTCAAAAGAAATGCACAACTGATAGTTATGTCCACACTATACAATAGAACAAGAGAGAAAGAAAAACAAAGTAATAAAAAAAATGTGAAAGATATTTTGATACCTCACAAGCAGCAGCTGTAACATCAGAGGGTGTATCAGGAGAGAAGGCTGGTCTCAAAGCTGCTCCAACCTAATAAAAAGTTGGACAAAATGTATACTGACACTGATTATAACACAACATACAAGCTATGTAAATAGGCAAACAACCCAGCCTTACTTGTGCTTGGTACTGTTCAAGGATGACATGGCCTGGAAACTCTGGTTCTGGAACTGATGCAAACTGCCTGATAACCTCCTATGAATTATAAATATGAGCTATTTAAGTAAATATGAGCAATTTAAGTAAATATGAGCTATTAATTAGATATGAACTATATAATACTTAATGGCCACATTAACTTTTAAAGCTTTCCTCTAAAATTGAACACAATAAAATAAGTGATCATTTAAAAAGTACTAACTTCCAAAGCTGCTAATCCAACCAATCTTAACTGATTACTATCTGAAGTGGCAGCTATAAAAGACATTCTGATGAGATCACTTAGATGAAGCACTAGGAAATTGTCTGGAAATAATAGACAAGTCAATAATAAATAAACTTGCATGTGCTAAAGAGCCGCCTACAAACATTTGTTATTCAATAGCCTATATGCCGATTCAAATAATCACTAGATTTAAAGCTCACTTTTTCCTGTTTTCTCTTTCAGTTCTTTAGCAAGCTGTAGATCAAATTGCCCTTCACCTCCTTCACAGGCGGATATTATTTTCATGAGACATTCAACAGCAAACACTCTTGTTGGCCACCTATAGACAAAATAAAATTCCTAAACATACAAAAACTACAAACACAGAAAGTAATCAAAACAAATCATAAAACAAGACTGCACCTTGGTGCAACAGAAGGATGAGTGATGTCTGGGTCAGCAGCCTTAAAAGTTACACCAATATCATCACCCTCTTCTTCATCATCATTGTCTCCACCATCATCTAATTCATTCTCTGCACTTGTTGCATCTATGAATAAAACAATCACTAGAAGATAAGTACTTGTATTAATAGTAGTTGATACATGTATTTTAGTAGCATACCAAATGACAGCAAATGTAATTAAAGCATACATACCTGTGGAAGCTGACAAGACTTCTTTCAGTAATGCTAGCCACCGACCAAGATTTGCAATAGCTAGGGATTGCAGGAGGGAATCTATAGTGTCTCTTAGATCAGACAAAAGTTGACCGTCTGTTTCTGTGTCCAGCATCCCAAACAACACACCTTCAAGACCTATAAAGAATGCACACATTTTGTAGATCTTGTCTTAGGGTTAAGGCTTGGAAGATCTTCTAAACATACTTAACTTTAAAATATATTTAGGGATTGACAACATTTTCCCCATGCTTTTCCATTCTTATAGCAATATGCGAGAACATACCAGCTTCAGCAATATGTGAACTAGTTTTTGCCTCCTTTTCTGTACCAACAAAGGATAGTGCTAGAGAACTGACATCACACGCTTCTCTGGTAGCTAACTGACGAAGGCAGGAAACTGCTGCCCGACGAAGGAGCAGGTGGGAGCTGGTTAGATTTTCCTGAAAATAAAATTTGCATATGAAGGTTTTGTTAATTAAATATTGATTTTATCAAAGAATAATAATATGAAACTACTTTAAAAATTTAAGCTACTGAGTAACTCTCCAAATGCAGTGGCATTATTCATTCATGTTCAGTAGTTTAAAGTTAAACATTATGTAATTAAAATACAAATTAAAAAGTTTCCAAAATAATAATTTTAATGTCGCAGACATATTTCTAAAACTTACACAAAGGTGAGGAACCAGACTGCTTAGATTTAAATGCCTTGGTGCAAACATGTGCAACTGCTGAAGACACGCAATAGCTTCTGCTTGAACTAGAGAATCAGGGTGAGCTTGCATGACGGCACAACACACCTGGCAATAAAGACGAGCTGTGCCGATGGAACTTGAGTTGCCTTGATAGAAAACAAACCATTGCTGATTATACTGTCTTTAAAAAACATAAAGCTAGCAAATCTAAATTTAGCCTTTGTAATCATCAACAACTTGTGTGTCTCAAGCCATGAAAACCTACCTGCTAGTTCTGGCCCTATGGAGGTAATGAGGGCAGATAAGCATTTACCCAAACACTGATGGACATCAATTATAGCTGGTGGAACTGACAAGAGCAGCTGTAAAACTAAAGACAAAGTTGGCTCCACATAACTGCGATACATTGGACCTCCAGAGTCAGCAATAAGGGCTAGAGCATGTAAAGCCCAAACCTGCACAAATATTTCATTTTATCAAATATTTTAAATATTACTACTTTTACAACAAATGTGATAAATTTTGTGATTAACAGGGTAACTTAAAACATATTAAAATGCTAGAAATTTTAAAGTAAAGATTAAAATAGCTTCATTAAAAACCATACAATAAGAGAACTGATATCAATAAATCTTGTGATCTCACCTGTACAACTGGCGAGTTAAAATCTTGTGCCAGCGCTAACAAAATGCTGACAGAAGTATTAAGATGCTGGTTAGAGCCCATGCCCCCAACATAACGATGCAAACAACCCAGAGCCAAAGAATGTCCTGTACGGCTAACTACATCTCGAGCTGATTTTAGTCTGCAGATAAAAATACAGTCAAAGCAATCCTAATATATAAAACCCCACGTTCGCACTTCTCTCTCTCTGTCCGCAAAATATTTTCGCCGGACATCACGTCAGAAACTGAAGCGATATATGAAGAACTTTTTACGGACTTTTGTTGAAAATAATATGTTAGATGTTTTAAATGTATAACCACAATTTTATTTAAAGAAGAAAAATAAAAAATAAAGGCGTATTCGAATATAGAGAAACAGTATTATTTATGCAACCGGAAAAGTGTATAAACTTGGGACAAGAACGCATTTAACAATGACGTCGCTTATTGTTTACACTAAAACAAGAGCACGAAACTGATGACGTCATCTTCCGAGTTTAGAATTTTATGAACTATTTCATTCAAATATGATTTAGAGCTATGTACGCTATGAAATGTAGACTACACAAAACGATATTCTTGGCCTAAACTTAAAAAAAATATTTTATCTATTTGGATTCTAGATCTAGAGATTCTAGATCTAGACTAGATCTAAATCTACGCAAAAACTACACTTAGACGCTACGTCGCTAAGATCTATTCTAGATCTAGACTCTACTGTAGAATCTATTCCAAAAATAAATTTCTATAATAAACTTTTTCAGGACTTAAATATTTTATAGAAATCTGTGTTTGTTTAGCAATGAAACTGGCTAATTTTGGGTAAAAAAAATAATTTGAAAAAATAGGCATATTCGTACACTTCTTTTATTCTCCATATTTTAACAGGTACCTAATTAGCTGAGATGATAGTGTACTTGATACCAGACAGGTGGTGCTGGATCGAAACACACCAAGTCAAACCTAATTTTTTTTTTTTTTTTTATATGTGAATCTTCCTATTTTAGACTATAAAGAAAGGAACTACTTTGGAAATCTTTGTCTATCTATGCAATTTGCTAATCTCTATAATATATGAAGCAAAGTTGTTGGGTGCCTGACATCGGGCACTTCCCGGCGCCGCAGGCACTTCAAATTTGGCAGGATTTTGCCTTGGGGCGACAGAACACGGGGGCCGGTGCCGGTTGGCCTAAAGGTCTACGATGAGGGGGTCAAAACAGACCTCGACTGACCGGCGCCTTATATGAGCTATAAATCGAAAAAAATTTGTCGTAGACCGACCCTCGGGCGAATTAATTAAGCATTCAAATTCTCAATGTTTTTGAAAGCCTAAGCGAAGCTGGGCAGCATGCCTAGTATATTATAAAGTACACATTAAATTATCTCACATTTGCATAAAAACTAAATTTGGCAAACTAACAGTCATAATGAAATGCATTATTTTGCATAATTGAATTTAAAAATAATGCCTTACTTGTCAAAGCTGTGCTGAGCCATTTCAGCAATAAATTTGCTGTCGCCTACAACCTGAGCCATGCGGCCCAAGGCCTCTCCAGCAGCACATCTCAAGATAGGATTGCTACTGCTCATGGCATCCTGTTAGGTACATGGTGTCAATTAGACTGGATGGCCTATTGAAACATTTTTTAAACACTAACTAAAGAAAGTTCTAAACTAAATATGATTTTACCATGATTAAAGAAAAAGCAGCTTTCTTCACATCATCTGGACCCGGGTTGGCCTTCAACTCAGCTAGACTCTAAAATTAGGTTTAGCAGATCCATTAAAAAAAAGCTACACAAACTTAATTATAACATTTTTTAAAATTCTGTAGGTTAAACTACATTTTTCGTATTATGTATACAGTCCTTTCAAATGCAGAAATCAAAGAAACAACATGAAAGGTTGTTTACTTTTTAAATAAACATTAAATATTCATATTGAGATAGTTATTGACAATAGGTACAAACAAATAAAAAATAAAAACAGCACTATTTTAAAGTTGCTTTAAACTAGAAGATTAGCATTTCTCATCAGTCTATCTCTATTACACAAAAAGCAATGTAAAAAATAAAAACCTTAAGAGCACACAGAACAGCTGTAAATACATTCATCTGTACAGCTTGCTGACGAGGGCCTTTAGCTTGGCGTATGCACTCATTGAAGTGCTGCAGCATTTGATAGCGATGTTTATGAGCCACATGGGGAAATATAACACCATACAGCTTAACTGAGCTGTCAATAACTGCAACACCTAGTGGTAATGGGCCAGGTATTGGTTCACTCTGTAGGGTAAAAATAATATTCAAAACTCAGAAAACTTTAATCACTCCAGTACATTTCCATGTCATTTTTCTGACTAATAATATTTAAATTTGTGTGCAACTTATAATTATAAATTAAAAATGTTTAAAGTAAAATTTAGTTGTTAATAAAATGGGCTTATGTGAGAACAATGTTAAGTTTGAAAACTGCAATTTAATAGCTAGTAAAGCGATAAACCTACTGGAGGACAACGTATATAAAGAGATTGACTGTCATGTTCTAAGGTACCAGAACCTGATGCACTGTTTGGTTGGAGCTGAAAATAAAATATTTAAAATTAGATCATTTCATCAGCCAACATGCCACAAAGATAAGCCAAACATAATCATTTCAATCTACCAAAAGTATATTTAAAATAAAACGAACATACACAAACTAAAGGTGGTGAGTTAATGGGAAGACAGGAAATATTACTGTTAAAATAAATGGCTAATGTATTTCAGAAAAATATGTGTGTATAATTCTAAATATTTATGGGATTTTAATGCAGATGAATTTATTTTATAAAAACTATTTATATAACAGATAAAATAGCTCCCAATATTAGTGTTTAATTACTGTTACATAATATTACAGTAATACAAGCACATAACAAATCAGCTTAAAAATCAACAATTGTCTCATTTCCATGTATTCTTTAAAACTAAACATCCCTAAATTAGGAGCTGGTGTTAAATTAAAATAGTGACTTCATGCTAGTAGTTATAAACATTCCATATTTTAAACTTCTGCAAAATAACAAAGCATACACATTCCTGATGTTACAGCACATTTGTATCATTATCAGAAAATGTCATATGGTTTTACAAAGAATAGACAGCACATTTGTGAATGCACAGATTACACATGCATTTTCAAGTTTGTAAAACTACCACTTTACTAATATTAATATTTATTCTTAAAGTGGACTACTATTGTGAATTTTTAAAATTTCCAACTAGCCTGACTAAAAATACACATATAAAACAATGTTGTATGAAAACAAGGAGTTCATCAGGATGGCACACAAACTAGGTAAGGTTAAGGTTGTAAAAAGTAATTAAACAATGAATTATTTTCAGTCAGGGGAAAAAGCCATAAACTATAAAGATAGGAAATAATATATAACAAAGAAACGGGATATTAAAACAACATAAAGAGTTTTCGTTCTAAATAAAAACAGTTAACATTTTTATTCTAAACACAGGTTTAAGAATATTTTAAAATTTCCATATAGAAGGTTTAATTAAGATTTTTGGTGGTCTACAACAACCCAGTATGAATAAAACAACAATTAAAAACAAATAAAAACAGGATGCATTTTTGTAAACACATGATAACCTTGACAGACTACTGACAGCGAACAGTTTAAAGTTTGTCATGCACAAATCTTTAGAAAAAGATATTCTTTTGGATCTGCAAATTAAAAAATGCACACACATATTGTTGGTCAAAAATGGCACCAGAATATAGAGAAAAGAAATGCATTCAGAGGAGGGTCAGTGCATTTCATAACACAAATATTATGATGCCTAGTTGGTGACTAATTGATAGAAATGTGAAAGGCAGGCATTTCAGGTTAGAAGTTGCATTTTTGTTTTACTTACAAGTTCCTTATCCACCTTACGATTTGGCTCCATCTAAAGTTTGTTGCACATACAGACACAAAAATGAATCAATTTGAATAAACTTTTTTTACATGTGCCAAATTAAAAGAAAAAAGATTTAGCAGGCAGCTTATATTTTTTGTACTAATTTATATTCGTAACAATTCATGCTAGTTTTGGAGAAAGTACATAATGATATAAATTTTATTTGTGCATGGAAATGAGACATTCAAGTTAACCATTTTCCAACTACAGCAATGTCAAACAACCCCCTTAGTTACAATTTGAAGAAAATTGATTAAAATATTTTAAGTTATTTAGGATAATAATACAGTTTTCACGAGCAATTAATGTCAAAGTTATAACAAACCACATTAAAAGAGTGCATGGTAAGCCATGGAAACAAGATTCTATTTCATACAGAGTTAAGTTAATGCTTTTGTTGCAAATGTGCGGATTATTTTAATTTAGTTCAAAATTACAATGTTGATATATTTTGAGGACCTCGCTCTTATTAAACAAGACATTAAGTGGAATTACAGTGCATTTTGTCTGGATTAACTACTAAAATAAAGTTATAGGTACATTTTTACCATTTATTTTTACATTTTGACATGTGATCCAAAAGAATGAAAAAGAATAAGACATTTCTTTAGTTTACAAAATATTAAAATTACTACCTACTACATGTATATCTATAAACTAGTTCAACTATACACAGAGAGAAATAAAATTGAAACAATAATTAAAAATAAGTCAATAAACTAAATGTCAAAATCTATATGAGAAAAAAATATCTTGTCATTCAAAACATTTGAAAAAGTTCTTAATAGAACATAGAAAGACATCATTCAGAAGATAAAATTACTGCCAATATTTTCTAAAGCATGCCCTCGTTAAAGAGTTGTTCTTGATTGAACACAAAGCACATCACAATACAAACACAAGAAATCAAACTCTTAAAAGTGAGCTAAATCACGCCTAATGTTATACCTGATCTTCTATTGCTTTATGGTCTGTCTCCTGAAGCCAAGAGCCAAGTATGACATTGTCATCCACATGGCACATGAACCTAAGTTGTGAGGTTGTTGTATTGGCTGGGTTGTCTGTTAGAGTAAACTCTGCTACTAACTCTCTCAGCAAATTTGGGTACAGACCTGAAGACACACATTACACAGGGAATTATTAAATAGAGAAACACATCTTCAATAATGTCTTCAATAATGAATTTGAAATAAATAAATACTGATTGAAGTTCTTTGCTACATTTTGATAGGGTCAAGATTGTGAATTATATACAGTTAAGCATAAAATTTTTTTAATGAATTACTTTATTTTGAAAAGTACATACTTCGTTTGAAAAAAAAAAGGTAATAAAACTAGATAGTATGGTGTATATAATTAATTTTAAATTGAAATCATACCATAAGTACAGAAAAGTAAAGAAAAGTGTAATAATGTGCTGTACCTAAACTAATAATAATTAAAAAAAAAACATGTTCAAGCAGTAGCGATTGAGTTTTTACCTTCAAATGATTCAGGAGGTAATAAAGATAGCACATCATATAAGCGCAGCCTAATTGTAGCAGCACTAGCTTTCAACTGAGTCCCATACATTTTAATTACTGAAGCTAGTCTGAAAAGTGATAACACAACTTTATATACAATAAATATTCCAGTTAGAAGTTCAAATTTTAAAAGGAAAGATGGTCTCAGCAGAAAACATTAAGTTGGCTGGAAAGAAAAATATACGAATGTCTTACTGTGACATCATAACAAGAGCACATTCAAGTGGTGCCAACATTCTGCGTATGACATCCTCAGTCACAAGATCTCTACAGTTCAACAGGAAGCTGTACATTGCTGAAACAAATTTAATCAGAATTAAGCAGAATTCCAATAAACATATTTTTCCTACTTTTGTCCTCCAAATGAAAAAATTATTTTACCTCCTAGAGCACCTGCTCTCCCTTCAAGTGTGACTTGCCATGTGAATGCTTCACCTCTAACCTTTTCAGATTCAAGTTCTTTAATGGATCTTGGGAATGCATTCCTCCATAGCAATAGCATTCTTGGTAAGTGGTTTTTTATTACAGAAGGACCTATCAGCAAAATAATATTATAATATACATTTTAAAAATTCATTAAGAATTATGAAATAAATAGTAAATATTTTAGTTTAAGACACAATAAATAAAATGTGTTGATCTATTAACCATTAATGTCCCGTAACGCCCGCTGCCGCCCGACACCGTTAATGTCCCGTAACGCCCGCTGCCGCCCGCTTACAATACGCATAGAAAAATTAAATTTGTTTCATTAAAATTTGGCCTACAAATCCTAATTTTTAACTAAACAGGAAGTCGGATGGTTTCAGCATCCTTTTCCGGTCTTATAATTTCAATGGCGCTTTTGAAAGATAAAAAATAATAGTTTCTTTCTATCTCGAAATTTTCGACTCATCTGTCGTATTTTTAGTAGATTTAATATTAAAAATAAAAAAAATTAATGCCTCTAAACGTATCTAGGCATGTATTTTATGATTTATATATGTTAAACATAACCAAATTGATATTTAGCTGTTAAATTCGATGCATAGTTGTTTAGACAAAAATAAATAAAGTTGACTACCGAAAAGACCTGTTTTGAATTTTCTCCGACATTTTTTATTTTTATACTGTACTTTTACCGAATATAATATATTCTATTTAATACTGTTGGAAAGCCAGGTTTATTCCCAACATTAAGCAGTAGTTTTTATCTTAATTTTCAATTTCATTTAGACAAAAACAAATATTTTGTGAAACTATTCACTTGATCATACAGAGTTATTCTCCTTACATTGGGCCGTCATGGGTGGAGTTTTGGTAGAATGAATGGGACATTAATGGTTAATATACAAAAGATAAATACTAAACTCACCCAAAGTCATTAAAGCACCAAGAAGTAACCAGCCAGACTGAGTTCGTTGTAGTGAAAGTCTACTGTTTTGTGATGCCGTTCTCAGAAGCTCTTCAGCTATATTGAATATTTGCTGAAAATTTTTAAAATAATACATATTGAATATAAATGATAACAGACCCTTAATAAGTTTTGGGTAATAGGAAATTGCTTCTACCTTTCCTTTAGAGTGTGGGATTCCCAGAGGGCACTGGTAGACTCCACCCAGTAGAGCAGCCAATGCACTGCTGTAGCCTGCAACAGCCTCTGGTGATGATCTTAGCTTATCCATTCTTTCAACACAGCGATCAAGAAGTGGGGTAAGTTGAGATGGCAGAGCAACAGCGATGCTAGCAAGACACCAAGAGGCAGACAATCTGGCAGCATGAGATGGATGAATCAGCACAGACACAACTGGCTCGATAATGCCTGAAGGCAAGGAAAATATTTCACTACAGTCAAAATAAAAAAGATGTCATGGAATAAGATTTTTTTAATAGCAAAAATAAGTGCCAAATCAAAATTAAATAGATGTAATGCAACAAAAAAATCTTATAGCAAAAAAAAAAAAAATAAATAAAAAAAAAAAAACCCACCAAAAGTTACTGAATTTTATAAGCATATATATACATATTTTGTTACAGAAAGTTACATTATTTAATGGTTTTTATGTAGGGTGATAGTGTATTGTTATATTGTGTACAAATTAACCTAGCTTAGTATTTCAGATTTATGTATTCACACATTCTTTCTTATATAACAGCATGTTTGTGCAGACTGATAAAGAAATTTGTTGCTACAATAACATATAATACCCATTTCATTTTATTTATCATAATTGAAACATACCTGTAGCAGGTTCAGCCACTAAGGGACTAGCAGACGTCCCTAATCTCAGAACAAGACAGCCTAGTTCATGCAGTGCACACACTAACACATGCTGACTGGCTGTAAGGTCAGTAACTTGATTCTTGCCATCTGATGCCTCTGCTGTAGCTTCTCCTGAATTTTAAATTTAAACATGTTATAATATCTTGTTTAGCCTGATAGATGGCTCTAGTCACAGCACCCTTATAAACAATATACTTCAGCACAAACCAGGAGTGAGATGTAGAAAACTTCAAGTGAGGAAGATAAAAACTCACCCACAGAATTCATCTGCTTGATTATAACTTGACAAATTTCTTTAGCTGCTGCTATTTGAGCCTTCTCACCCAGCATTCCACCAATGACGGAGCGCATAATAAACTGAACACACTTGCGAGCATAAACAGCATCCACGTGAGATGGAGTGGCTTTAGGGTTAGCCACCAGCTCCAGAACATGAGTAAGGAATACAGAAATGTTTCTTTCAAGCCAAAGTCCTCCCATGGACTTTATAAATTCAACGTAGGCCTATGAAGGAATATAGGAAGATATGTAAACTTATCAAAAAACTATGTAGTACAGAACATGCAGTGTGATGTAATAATCAGTTACAAAAATAAACTTACATGTGTGATGCCAACTCTAATCTCCCTATTGACAGGATTAGATCCTTTAATCATCTCTCCTGCTGATGAAGTTTTAAGAAAGCCTCCAAGAGTGCCTTTTAGAAATCCTGAAGCCAGTAATGCTAGAACATCCTCCAGACGAGTTGGCTTGATTTTGGCTAAAGTACATGAAATTCTCAGTTGAGCCCAATCAAAGACATAAACATGCAACAAAGTTGAAGGATCACACACAAAAACATGAATTTCTTAGAATAAATGACAGAAATAGTTAAAGCAATTAAAAATAAAGAGATGCTCTACTAGATGGTTTACAGTAGTATAAAGCCTCACCATTAGGTTGCTTTGGAGCTTGTGCAGTAGCCATAAGGTTCCCTAACAATTTGGCTATGGTGCATCTAGCATCATAATTAGATCCATCTAAAGCTCTGATACAAAGTGAGGTCACTGTTTCTAGTTCTGTGGTGCTCATAAAAGTTGCCTCGTTTACCAGCTCATTCATACACTGTATTGTACAAATTTTAATATTAATAATGGAAGGAGTTTTAAAATTAACATTACTGTTTACACCTTAATTCATGCACAAAAATATAAAAGTATTAAGCACCGATGGGAACTTAAAAGTAAAGTACAAGATACCTTTGCAGCTGCTTGTCTAACTGCCATAGATCTATCAGTCATTGCCTGCCTGCAGGCTTTGTATACATCTTTGTGTGTATTAGACCCGGCAGAGCCAAGCCCTGAGACAAGTTTCTCTAGTGTTTGCATTATTTCAAATCTGCCTTGAGACTGAAGAGATGTTTATAAACAAAAAGTAGGTGACAATCTTTAAAAGAAAAATAGTAATAACTCTAGCATTGTAAAACAAGTAATGACCCTCACATTTTTCTCTTTACATTCCTCTAAAATCTTGTGTAGTAGTAACATACATTTTAAAGTATAAGCTGAATGGTATTTATTTACCTCTGAATTTTTAAGAGATTTAATGAGGATTTGTACAGTATCTTCATAAGATCTTCCTGTCATCCGGCCCAGTTTTTCATACATAGCACCCAAACAGGCAATAGCTGCCCTAAATTTAGAAAGATACCAAAATTTATAGCATTCATTACATTTACTTAAGATGCATATTAACATAGATATAAACATTAGATAATAATAAAGATATTAAAAGATATAAACATTAACTATGTCCATTAACATTCAAATGGTAAAAAGATCAAAGAAATCAAAATCTGACTTACAGACGAGATGGTAAATAACTTGGGGAATCATCTTTACTTCTAATGATATCATTGCATTTATTAATGGTCTCAAACAGATCAAAGGTATCACCAACACTAAAGATAAGTGCCAAACATCTGGCCAGCAGTTTGCGAGTTGGTGGGCCAGGTGATTCAGTTATCTGTGAGGTCAGCTGTTCAACAAGTCTCTTCTGGCTTCCTTTAATGTCAGACTGAAACATTAAACAGTGGATTTTACTCAGCTATTGGGAGCAGCATGGTCGAGTGGTAGAGGTGAAGGTTGCCAACCCTTAGCCTTAAGTATTTAGTTAGGTTTTCTGGGAAAGGAAAGGTGGTTGGGTAAAGTGCTGATCACCCCTCCCCTTTAATTACCGATTTCAAAGAACTAGATGGAACTCTACATCATCTACAATATGGAACATCATGTCTAAAAAATACCTTTAAAAAAAAAAGGTTTCAAAATGCCAGTAATTATTTTTTTTTTAAATTTTTTCTTGCAAAGAGGAATACAATCTCTTCAGGTACACAGTTTAAAAAAAAAAGTGAGAAAAAAAAATGATTGAAAAAAATAAATGTTGCTGACATGTGAAGCACTTGATACAGATTAGAAGGTCATGTTACCTTGGTTAAATCTAACATGCACAGGTGCCTGCAGCATCCAACAGTTCCAAAAATAACACCACGAATGCTTTTATATTATGGCAAGTATCCACTAGAATTGTGGTGATATAGCAAGACATGGCAAAAATAGAAACTTCTCAAGGAATTTTTCAAAAGCAGGTTTAAGGCAGATCTTGGCACAAAGAGGGAAAGCCAAGTCAAAAATAGATTTACTAATTCACCATCAAAATGTGCTTGAAAGTTTATTACTAATTAGATTATGGTAAAGAACTTCAGAAGTATCTTAAAGATTTATTCACAATAATTGGAACTTTTTAAATACATGAAATTTTAGTTGTAAAACCATCTGTTTTAATATAGTGTCTATAATTTAAAATATACAATAGTATAGGCCCTACTTATTCATGCAGCCTAAATCAATCTAAGACAAATATGTTTTGCTTCAAGCAAGGTAATAGATCCTAAATTAAGATAACAGCATACTTTAAGGAAAGGCTTACTGCACATTAAACCAGCAAAAAATAAACAGGGATGAAATAATGAACAATCATGCCCATAATACATAAAAATTGGTCATTTTTTTAATTACCCTATGAAACAATATGTAAAATTTCTATAGGTCAACATTATCCTATAATTTATCATTGCTATGATCCCTATCTACATGATAATATGGTGCAACAAAAACTGTGATTTTGTAAATTAATTATGGGGAATCACATATTTTAGGCAGAAGTTATAGAAGCAACTATGCAACCTTAGTTACACACTGTGTTTGAGAGAAGAATATGAAAGCCACATGTGTAATAGATTGGCTCATATTGGGCTGCATGTGGCTGAATTTTACGTGTTTTTGTGTGCGCAAGCTTCATCTGTGTGTGCCGGTTCTACATGTTATTGTGTGTGGGCTACGTGTTATTGTGTGTGGGCTACGTGTTATTGTGTGTGGGCTACGTGTTATTGTGTGTGGGCTACGTGTTTTTGTGTGTGCCGTGTAGTGTGTGGGCCGGCTCGATGTGTTTGCGTATGTGCCGTTATTGTGTGTGGGCTACGTGTTTGTGTGTGTGCACAGTGTAGTGTGTAGGCTCCATGTTTTTGTGTGTGCCGTGTTATTGTGTGTAGGCTACGTGTTTTTGTGTGTGTGCACCGTGTAGTGTGTAGGCTCCATGTTTTTGTGTGCCGGCTCCATGTGTTTGTGTATGTGCCGTGTTATTGTATGTGTGCTACATGTTTGTGTGTGTGATACGTGTTTTTGATTGTGCCGTGTTTTTTGTGTGTGCCGTGTTTTGGTGTGTAAGCCGTGTTGTGTGTGGGCTACGTGTTTTGGTGTGTGTCGGCTCTACGTGTTTTAGTGTGCCGTGTTATTGTGTGTCCCATGTCTTTGTGTCTAGTCTGAGGTTTCAAGATACAACTGTCAGTCACAATGACGCCGACCTGCTCTCCCTTAAAACTAAGCGACTGGCGAAACATGTCATCCGCAGACGATCTATGCGATCACTCAACGGGCGAGTGTATGCGTCTAACCGTGCGTTTTCCTCAAAATAATCAAGCTGATTTTTTTCACTGGGCCTCAAGATTCTAAGACTAGTGGAAAGTGTGAGGCGTGTGTGACCGACACGTATTTAGACAGAGTATGTTATGGTAGAATCTTTCACTAATCTTGTTATTGTGTGCTGATTACATCGTAAATGACAAACGACTTGATTTTTATACGATGACTTCCGCAATAATGGGTCGTCCATAAATGACGTCAAACAATCCGATCAGATCTGTCGTTTGTTAGCAAGTGACCCCCCCCCCCCCCCCCCCCCCACTTGTCACTTGGTGGGTGATGTCATCTAGGAGCGACTTCTGAGCATAATATTATTATATTATAGCGTAAAAATGGATCATATCTATATATCTCTACATACATATACATACACAGAAAAACTATGGGAGCTATTAAAACAAACGAGCGTCATTTGAGTACGTAAAAAACCAACTGCATTCATGAGAAACCCATTCCTCGGCTTCATCGCGTAGTATGTCAATAATCAATGTTATATTAAGGAGCAGTTTTATGCGTGCAAGGCCGAGTTGTCATATTTATCAGATTAAAAAATCAATTGCTGGCATTTAAATTAAAGCAAGAGACAGTGAACAAGACGGGCTGGAGTTGGCAGGAACGAAAATAGAATCGAGAGCGTAAGAGGGAACAGAGACGAATATTGAAATAATCCCAAGCCACATTGTAATCAAACATACCAAACCAGAGGCAAGGGAAATAGTTGTTCAATTCCGGAACGTTCTAAAGCTGGACAGTTTAAGAAGAAAGAGATTGGCAAGGGAGTGAATGCCCCACAGGACACCGCGGGAGATGTACGTGGCTGTAATGTAAATAACAGAAACGTAGACATAAACACCCAAGTTTGGTAGATGAAAACAACACACAGAGAAACGTAGAAATAAACACAAAAGTTTGGTAGATGAAAACACACAGAGAAACGTAGACATAAGCACCCAAGTTTGGTAGATGAAAACAACACACAGAGAAACGTATACATAAACACCCAAGTTTGGTAGATGAAAGCAACACAGTTTGGTAGATGAAAACACACAGAGAAACGTAGACATAAACACCCAAGTTCGGTAGATGAAAACAACACACAGAGAAACGTAGACATAAACACCCAAGTTTGGTAGATGAAAACAACACACAGAGAAACGTAGACATAAACACCCAAGTTTGGTAGATGAAAACAACACAATGAGAAACGTAGACATAAACACCTAAGTTTGGTAGATGAAAGCGACACACAGAGAAACGTAAACATAAACATCTTTACACAACTTAAAAAAAAATTTAGTGAATAAAATGGCAAAGAGTTGTTAATGAGTCAATAATAAATAACCACAACCAGTTAGTATTGCAATCATAGCACGGCTTAGTTTTAAGAAGATAGAATGCGAGGTACAGAAGGGAGACAAGACGTATTAAATAAGCAACAGTTTGTCATTTAGTGCTGATAACACACTAAAATATCTGGGTCATCCCAGTATTGAGTTACAAATGCCGATAACGGTTGTACATTTTCAGACTGTTTTCCCCTCTGTCAGCGTAGTAGACAAACATCTGTTGTTTCAATAGTTTGACGTACACCAGTTTTTTATTCACACAATGTCAAAAAATGGTTGAATATGGTTGTTACATCAAAACCCACAGACTGAGTGAGTTAATCAAGCTACAGCTGCATACTGTAAACAATGAGTACCACAAGTGCTGGCTTCTTCGACGAGACGCGGATTTCAATTACTCACTACCGCTAGAAGTACGTCATCCACTTATTTATAGGTTTCTAAACACCGGCTGTATTAATTGGCAATTCCTTCCTGTATCGTGGGGCCGCTAGGAAATGTATGTGTCAACTCTGACAGTAAACACACGTCAGTTGTACATGCCAGTTTTAACCACATATTTCTCGTAGACGTAGCTTTCTTTTTAACTTTCTTCCACGATACATAGTCTACATAACCCTGATATCAATTTTAAAAAAAACCAACTACAGTCTGTCTGGGAGTACTTGGAAAAGATAATGGATTGGTGGCATGATGATAATGTGCTGTGTACTAGCAACGCTAACAGCACGATGAAATTGGCTACTATATATTCCATATACCCAGTAACAGGTTTGACCGAACGTCTTTAAAGCTGGTACCTACTGCCAGCCGTCTGGTTAATCCATATAATAAACACACTTGACAATAAACAGAAACGAGGTGGATGAGTAATGTTTTCAAGCCGCTCGTGCGTGTTTTGGGATGTGGGGGTGGCAGCAAGATAAAGATCAGATATGTATTTAAAAGTCAAACAATTGCCACAACTAGTTAACTAACGCCGATAATAGAGAGGCTGGAAAATATCGGTTCCCACGACTGGACTATACTATACACTACGTCCAGTAATTTAAAGACAGCATTCACACTTTCTGATATCGACCGTCTCCATTATGTTCATATGTTTACTTATTTTAAAAAGTTGATCTAGAAACGAAAGCCCACAGTGATAAGCATCTCGACTAGCCCTGGCGTGTATGAGACGATAAGTTCAGTCTACCCTAGATTCTTGCATTATGAATCATTAAAGGTTAGATTCGGTGCTTAGTTTTCTCTAGCTGGGGTGGATGTATGCATGTGTTCTAATCAAACTAGAACTTTACTCCAGTATAACACAGCTACTAAATTCTCACCATTAAGCGGGGACTGGAGGTATGTGAGTGTGGGTGGGCGGGGGAGAAATGCAGAGTGATAGCATTTAACATATGCTGTCGTGGCTTTGGAATTTCCGTTAATGGAAAAAAAAATCTCTCACTTTTGATACGTAAAACTTAGTACAAGACCAGGCCAGAGTGTTTTAACAAACAAAACTGGTGAGAGAATATCAAAACTGGTGAGAGAATATCAAAACTCGTGAGAGAATATCAAAACTCGTGAGAGAATATCAAAACTGGTGAGAGAATATCAAAACTGGTGAGAGAAAATCAAAACTCGTGAGAGAATATAAAAAATGGTGAGAGAAAATCAAAACTCGTGAGAGAATATCAAAACTGGT